CACACGAGCTAGACATATTGCAAATATATATATATATATATATATATATATATCTCTCTCTCTCTTTTAATGACGAGATATGGAAGTAGAAATATTTTGTTTGTGTAGGAAAAAAAATAAAATAAAAATAAAAACAGACATATTTTGAAATGTAATTTGAAACTACAACATAAAGCGACCAGATCTCATACAAGATACCTTGACGTTCGAAGGGAGAAGGCTAAGGAAGGCCCGGCACGGATAAACTTTCCGCCAGCTGAGCTCGGGTTGCGGTGATGCACCTGGCTTGATCTCATCACCAACATCACCAGCTCCCATCTTCTCCCTGTCCTACTGCATCGTCTTTTACTCGTGACAGTTCTGCCAGCATCTCCAGTTTCCCATCATCACCATGGGGTCTGATCCGCAGTACATTAAGTTCCCCAACCTCTCCATCGCCCAACATGTCTTCAACCTCTCCAACCCAGCATGCGCGCCAGCCGTCCAGCAGACATCATTGAAGAAGCTCCAAGATGTCATCTTAGAGCACAAAATGGCTCCCTTCTACCGGCACCTAGCCCATCCCACCGAAGGCATCCTAAACAATTCCGGCGAAGGCGTAACACAGCTCCCACAAAACGGAGGCAACTCAACGAAGCCTCTCATCACGTCCAATCTTCTTGCATCTCGCAAAACACCACTAAAGTTTGATTTCCCTTGGGATGAGAAGCTTTACCAGTCTCTACTGGAGGATAACAAGAAAGAACTGGAAACCTTCCAGAAGGAGGAAGATGACGCGGAAGAGGCTGCTGGGGAGACTGAGGTACAAGCTGCGCGCGGGAAGCGAGCTGAGTTCTGGGCTCGTGTAGGAGATAAGGTGAGGATTATTCTATATTTCATCAAGCTTCTGAGTTTGCTAGCTGACACTAGTATTCCAATAGGACAAAGCACTCGAATCGCACGAAGCCCTCCTCGAAAAGACCGGATTCCTCGGCACCAAGATTGATCTGGTGATGGCTATGCTCCGTATTGGACTCTTCTTCGGCGACCTTTTGTTTGTGAACAAGACCATTGAGCGAGCAGAGACCTTGGTAGAGAGTGGTGGAGACTGGGACCGTAGAAACCGTCTCAAGGCATACAAGGGATTACATTTGCTCACCATTCGTTCTTACAGCCTTGCCGCTCCTCTCCTTCTCGACAGTCTGTCCACCTTCACAAGCTACGAACTTTGCAGCTATTCTTCGCTGGTGATTTACTCGGTGCTTGCGGGATCCTTGTCCCTCAAGCGTGTGGACTTCAAGGCGAAGGTAGTGGATGCACCAGAGATCAAGGCCATCCTTGGATCGGGAGAAGACCAACTGGCTGCGCTGAGTGGAGAGATCTCTTCAGGCCCTGGTGCCCGGGATGAGCAGATGAAGGATACAACTGTGTCACAACCCATACCCGCCGGCGCCAAGACCGCTGTCAACATCTCCTCTTTCTCAACCGGCTCCGGCGTGCCAGCAGAGGCCGAGGTGCCCGTCGATTTCGCACCGCTCGCCAACCTCGTTACCAGTCTCTACAACGGCAACTACCGCTCGTTCTTTGTAGCACTCGCTGCCGTTGAGGACCAATTCCTGACACAAGACCGGTATCTGCATGAGCACCGAGCTTGGTTCGTTCGTGAGATGCGACTGCGCGCCTACCAGCAGCTTCTCCAGAGCTACCGTGTAGTCGGGCTGAGTGGTATGGCCAACGACTTCGGTGTGACGGTGGACTACTTGGACCGGTATGTGCTGTCTGGACCTCTTCAAATGTCCACTCATTTGCTGACAATAATCACAGGGACCTTGCGAAGTTTATTTCAAACAACCGCATTGCATGCACGATTGATCGTGTCAATGGTATCATCGAGACGAATCGGCCAGATGACAAAAACAAACAGTATGCCGATGTGGTGAAGCATGGTGACTCTCTGATTACCAAGATTCAGAAGTACGGCCAAGCTGTGCGCCTTCGGGGGAGTGAGCGAAGCTAAAGTGGTATATCTACGAACTTGGAGACATTCTTAGCCCCTAACCCACCTATGATCAACTATGTATGCCTGAATGGAGAATCCTACTGCGTGTTCTTAAACTTAGAATTGACCTAAATCCTATGACATGCCACCCATTTCATGACATGATCAATCCTTGACTAAAAGTCCACGGGTAAATCCTTTGAATACCCGCACCGGGCAGCTCCGGAAAATCGCTCATCGGGCAACCGGAGTGAATTTCCCTCGGAAAATGATCGTCGCCGATCATGCTATCATGCATGAACGTGGATGATCTTCAATCCAATGTTCGTATACACAGTAGTTCTCATCAAAAATCTTCTGTTATCTCCCGGTCTCCTTGACTCCAAATGTCTGATATCTTAATCTTTTCTTATCGTAATCGGCTTGCCGGCGGGTGTGGGGAAAATGCTGACTCACAGGTTCACCGCCCAATGGTCAAGGATATTTTTTTTCTCCTTCTTCTCCCGATCGCAATCGGACAATCACGACAGGGGTGCCGAAAGGACTTTTCTAATTGATCAATCTATTCTTTGATTGACCATTCGTCAAAATGTCCTGGCAATATAAGCTAGCATCCAGTATGCGGGCCTCTCCGCTCCGGGCAATGAGCCGGACTGGTCTCCTACATCGCCCGGCCGCACGTGGCGCTGCGGGGTGTCTCTCCGCTAGATCAGGTACGTGAGATCCCGGATGTCACCCCAGCTTACATAGTTGGGGTGCCTCCACAATCCTTCCTTGGGCATTTTACCTCAATTTATGGTGTGATTACTTGTTTCGACTATATCTCCCCGTTTTTGGTTGTGACTTCAACATCTTTACGACCTTCATATACTTGATCCTCCTAGCTCTAGGGATACTACATTGTCTCTTAGTCTGAACCCCACTAACCTCCTTCGGGTCAATCCAGAGCTCATCATGACTCAAACCACCGTCTCTTATACTGCTAAGCGCACCCTGTCGGCCGTTCCCACCCGCAAATGTCTGAACGTCGACAACATCAACCAGCATGTTCGGGAGGCCAAGTACGCCGTGCGCGGTGAATTGGCCGTCAAGGCTGAGACCTATCGTCAGCGTCTGATTGATGGCGACAAGTCCCTGCCCTTTGATAGCGTCATCTTCGCCAACATCGGTAACCCCCAGCAGCTCGATCAGAAGCCCATCACATTCTTCCGCCAGGTCCTCAGTCTTGTCGAGAACCCCTTGTTGTTGAAAAACCCCGAGGTCCTCAAGGAGTCATTTGGATACAAGCAGGATGTGATCGACCGAGCCCAGGCCCTTTTGGCCAATGTGCAGAGCGTTGGTGCCTACAGTCACAGCCAGGGTGCACCGGGCATCCGGGACAGCGTCGCCAAGTTCATTGAGAAACGTGATGGCTTCCCTGCCAACCCCCAGGACCTGTTCCTGACTGCTGGTGCCTCATCCGGTGTGAGCACCATCTTGAACGTCATCTGCAACGACCCCAGTGCCGGTGTCCTGGTCCCCATCCCTCAGTACCCTCTTTATACTGCAAGCTTGACCTTGTTGAACGCCCGGTGCGTTCCTTATCTCCTCGAGGAGGAGAAGGCATGGGGTACCGACGTCAATGCGATCCTCAAGTCCATGGAGGAGGCCAAGGCCGCCGGCACCGATGTGCGCGCCATTGTCGTGATCAACCCCGGCAACCCAACTGGTGCTTCTCTCAGCTCAGACGATATCAAGAAGGTCCTTGATGTCGCTGCCGCGGAGAGCTTGGTGGTCATCGCTGATGAGGTGTACCAAACCAACGTCTTCAAGGGCGAGTTTGTCTCCTTCAAGAAGCGTCTCCGCCAGCTCCAGCAGGAGCAGCCCGGCACATACGACCACGTCGAGCTGGTCTCGTTGCACAGTATCTCCAAGGGTATGGTGGGTGAGTGTGGTCACCGCGGTGGCTACTTCGAGCTTGCCGGCTTCGACCCCTTGGTCCAGGAGCAGATTTACAAGCTCGTCAGCATTGGCCTGTGCCCGCCGGTCGTCGCACAGTGCCTGCTCGAGTGTATGGTCAACCCTCCCCTCGAGGGCGAGCCTAGCTACCCTCTCTACCAGAAGGAGTACAACTCCATCTCGGATGGTCTGCGCGAGCGTGCTCATTCCTTGTTCAACGCCTTCCAGCGCATGGAGGGTGTTGAGCTCCAGGAGCCCCAGGTACGTATTATAGAATCGTTCAAATTGCTACGCATTTTACTAATCATCTCAACAGGGTGCCATGTACCTTTTCCCCACTATCAACCTCCCCCAAAAGGCCGTTGAGGCCGCCGCCGCCGAGGGCCGCCCCGCCGATGAGTACTACTGCTTGGCCCTGCTGGATGCCACAGGTGTCTGCGTCGTCCCCGGCTCAGGCTTCGGTCAGAAGGAGGGCACTCTCCACTTCCGCACAACCTTCCTTGCCCCTGGCACCGACTGGGTTGAGCGCATCGTCAAGTTCCACTCTGAGTTCATGGACAAGTACCGATGAACATAAACAAGAAGCGGTATAAATGTGAACTGGCCATCCATCGCCACCTGTTCACGTATATACGAGATGGATCATTGTCCATTTATGTGTGGATAAGTTCATATACCCCTCTACGACGCAATGTTTCGAATATTTAAAATTGGATATGGATCTGGAATTGGTTTGCCCTCGATACCTCTAGACTACTGACTCTATTGGGCTGGCTATTTTTGATCCTCATTTTTGGATACTCTTTTGAAGCACTTATGCATCGCATTTTGAATGGTGGCATACATTTGCGTCGTTTGTTCTAGTTGATTTAGGTACTACATATTTCGGTTTGCCTTTTATAGAGAATGAATTCAGCTTCATTGATTCCTAACCAGTTCTTGTATCTTCGTCCTGTTCCTGCCATTGCTTTCATCTTTTGTTGGAAGTAGACGAATGAGAGAGGGATGACTAGGAGACATTGAGGGTTAAGTGGAGGTAACATAAAGTGATAGCGCAAATATCAGGCTCAGCGAATATTTCTATTCACTCTGCAAGTTGAAAAGAGCAAAGCAACCCATGATGGTCACTCCAGAGAGTAACTGTCGGCCTCTCCCAGGGCTCAAGTTCCGTGTCATCCTGAGTATTCTGCTTTTCCACATCCTTCAATCGCCGCGCCTCTAATATTTCAATTTTACGCGCCTTAAGACCAAGCAGCGCAATCCTATCCATCCGATTTGGCGGAAACCGCTGCTTCCCATCCGCACCCCACGTATACCCCGGTTCATCAGGACGAAGCGCCAACCAGACATCTGTGAGTCCATTGGACTCTATGAGCACGGCATCTTCATCCAGAACCGGATTAAAGTCACCAGCAACCAGACCACATCCCGCACTACGCAAAAACGAGGAAACAATAGAGAGTTGCTGGGGTCTGTGAGAAGGCTTGATAGGCAGGGAATCCAGATGAACGTTTGCAAGTCGTACTCGCGTAGAAGCGTCTGTAGATGAAGGAATGAAGAGGTCGCAAAAGAGTACATCTCTTCCGAAATGACTAGGGAACTCTACCCTCCACACAGGCCCTAGAGCAAACCCGCTCTTGTCAGAGCCGAGTCGCGATGCAAAGCGTGTCTTGGATACCAGGGTCATGGTCGTAAATGAATTTCTGCATGGACTGTTTTCTTCTTCGCTTGAGAACCATGAGGTGCGGGTACGCTCATCGGCCAGGATTAATCCTAAGGCCTGGGGTGAGACTTCTTGGAGGAATATCACGTCTACCTTGGAGTTGAGTTCGGTGATGAAGGTGAGTATTTCTGCGATGCGTTCTTGGGTCAGCTCGCCGAAGGCGTCGATATTCCATGTCAAGAGCACTAGATCGGATGATGTATCGGTGTGTGTTGGCTCGGCATTTTCATTGTTTACTGGATCCCAGTGCTGGGAGTTGGGGTTGAACTGGTGCCATAACTGGAATTTTGAATCTGCTTTTACATTGGTTGGAAGAGGCGTGTCGTGTTTCCAGGATGCCATACTTGTTCGGATACGTGCGTAGATATCCATGAGAGTGAGATCACTTGTAAGGTTGAGGTTTATGGTCAATTAATGCCGGGGCGGTTACCTAGCCCTGTAGCTTTAGGATTAGTTAAGCTTTCAGCCTCAGGCTGAGTTGTTTGTTGGATTTTTATACCCAAATCTGGATCGGACTGTATGTATCATTTGGATATCCGCAAAACAGCCACCGGCCAGAGGTATATCTGAATAGGTCGTCTTCAGGGCATGCGTAAACCCCTATAATTCATCAGTTCTGGTGACCCCATAGAGCGTACTAAATATAAGAAACGTGTAGACGGAGTAGTATCCTTCATCAGATTCATAGATCCTTCCCTATGCACTGTCGTCCGGAAGGTGTGGCTCAAATATGTGAAGGAAGATTGAACGCCAGTCAGCCTTGGGTGGATAGGTCGACGCTGCGATCGAAAGAGCGTCGACTTCCACATGATCTATCGAAATATTTGAATCCTCCGCATACAGTTCTATCTGCTGAACGCGGGTAATTAAGGTCTTAAATTTAATCTAGAGGTTGACGGTGAATAAGGACCCGAACGACGTCCACCGGTAGATTTAATAGTCGGTTACTCATTCGTTAAGGGGTAAATATGCAGAATGAAATGGACCTCGATATCTCAAGGTGGTGCGTGGAGAGACGCGAAAAAAAAAACATCCCTCATCCCTGAAAGCGAAAAGCTGTTGTTATATTTAGCGTCAGCTGGTGGTGAAGCCTGGCTGAAAAAAAAAAAAAAAGATAGACATAGCATGTCCTGGTTTCGATCCAGGGTCCTATTGTGAGTTAGTTTGATGTTGTTGAATTATTTGTTTGCGGTGAAACGTACCTCCGGGTTATGAGCCCGGCGCTCTTCCCCTGAGCTAACATGCTGGGGTAGGTGGCAGACAGACGTAAATAGTGCTACTAATGCACTAGAAGTTTCAAGACAAGCGGAAAAACAATAAAATACGACTAAACAATGCTCTTCCATGCTTGGCTCGATATATATATGGGGACGGACTTACCATAACCCTAATAAGAGAGAACAAAAGACAACTAAGGACCAACCAATGACTTCAAAAGGTTTAAGATGAAACTCGATATACATTTTATAATGATACAAATATAGCTAATTAGAGAATATGCAGAGTCGGTAATTTTTTTTACGTTAAACATCCCAACAAGCTAAGACCAAACCGATCCCTTGTATGGAGATAGAGCACGATCTAGGATCTAGTACTCCGCACCCAGCTACACGTGAGCCCAAGAGGATTGCTATTACTAGATGATCAAGCACTAGTATACATATTATACCTCAATATGACATGTCCTGTGACACGATGCGAAGAAGCGGTGAAAACATGGCTCCGTATGCTGTAGACAGCAACAATGAAAATGAACATAAACATACACCGGCTGATCCATTATAACCTATAAGAACTCTTCTATCCTTCCACATCCATAGTTCCCAGATCCCCAACACATACGTTAACACATACGTTATACAACATGCACCCCCAACCTAAGACCCATACACATGCAAGGCGCATAAACAAACCCATCCACTCACAGACATCCACCTGACGATATGTTTTCGGTAACCGGCCATCGGTATTGTCGGATCCTCGGCATACAACTCTAGATCGCGCAACAGTTAATCGTACAGGTGCAGCATACAGTAGTCACACGGCACCTCGTGCTCTAAAACCTGACTTGCGTTGTCTTGGCTAATGCTTAGCCATGGGTTGGCGTTGCTACAGGGGTGTTCCCTGTTGCACGGTACGTGTCACGTACATTATGTATGTATGGTTCTGTTGGGATGCCGAGCTGGACGGGTAGGGTACGTATGTGTGTACGTTGCTTGTAGTACTAAGCTGAGATAGAGGAGCTGTTTGGTTCTAGTCTTGGTTAGAGTAGTGTGATATACTAGGTACAACGTACTAAATGTAAATGATTTGTTTCTCTGTTTGGTATTGTAAATTGCTATTATTGATATACAACATAGATATTGTTCCACTGTTTCAGAACGTGGGGGAGGATCGTATAGGTGATGTCTCAGAGTAAAGGATTGTAACTCAATCATTCAGTTTAGGGCAAGAGGGTAACCTCGAAGGCTGAAGACACTTGAGCCTGACCAATCCACGAGTTAGCCTGATCCATGAGGGAGCTGAGTGCCACTGTGGGTGTAGCTTGGATTTTCTCACCGCTACATCCCGCCTGACCGGGATCCTCTTTGCATTCAACCCGGGCCGGGTGCTACTAGCGTCGAAGAATACAGATCGTTTATTTATCAAAATTGTTTTACCTAGTTGATAGGTAATTGATTTGTGATATCGGCTTGGGATATATCAGCTAGGGTTCTGTGTTGCCCTGTAAAATAAAATATGGGGTGCATGATGAGGGACATCCAAAAGCAAACCCTGGGGGTCTGTAGGATCCACATTTTGCATGGAACTGGGTACTGGAGGCAAGGGTATAGAGAAGTACCGCCCAAGTCATTGTACATGTAAAAACAGAACAAATGAAAAAAAAAAGTCTATACATCAGCGAGAATGCAAGGAGTAAAAACAAGCGCGTGTACGGAAGCAAAAGCAAAAGAATGTACAGGCACGTGCAAGTGTCCAAATCGCAACCCCTCTAGATTAAATGACTATCAAGGAAGGAATCTAGACTGGCTAATGGAACAGGACAAATCAGGCATTTATCATCATCTCTCATCAAGGTCATAAAGACGGTGTAGAGGTGGTGGTAGATTGCCACAAGAGAGCAAGCCCCAGGACAAATGAAGTATAAGAAGAGAATATAAGCAAGGATAAGCGAGCACCGCTTTTACTGGGCCCAGGTTTGCTGGAAGAAGTTGTCATCAATCGGCGGAGTAGAACCAGCATCGAAGAGACCGCCAGGCCAGATAGGAACGGAGTCCGGCGAGGGAGCGCTGGTAATCGGGGCCGACGTCATGGGCTTGTACAATGGTATCTGCGACATGCTGTAGATATCCTGGGCAGGGACTGGTTTTGGCTCCATGCTCATGCTGGCTTGCAACTGGTGCTCGAGCGCAGCGGTGGACTCATTAGTCGAGTTAAGGAAGTCATCAATGTTGATCGAGTCCAGGTCATTGGATGACAGGAGACGGGCCTGAGGTAGACCGACCAATGAGGATGCAGAGCTGACGCGGAGCTGCTCCATGTCAGACGCTTCGCTCACGCTGTGCAGATCGTGCATGTCATTGCTAGCATGACCCAAGCCTGGAAGCGGTCCAAACTCGTCAGCCTCGGAAATGTCCCCGGACGACGAGGGCGGTGGCAGACCCGAGGGATATGCGTTGTAATCAAAGCTAGCATATGAAGGAGCTTGCGTGCTGTTTGCGGCAGGCACGTCGGAGTATAGAGGGAAACTTGACCAGTCGACCGAGGGAGCACCAATGCCAGCAGACCCCAGGGGCATGTCGGAATCCGGAGAGGTGAAATAACATTCTTGGTAAGGTTCTTGGAATGGCATGCAGGTGATTGGAGAATTGGTGCTCGTGGTCGGAAAGGAGGCGAAAGAGGAGATGTCAAGGGGAGGAACACTAGTGACAATCTGCTCGAGAGGGAATTTGTCCATGGTTGTAGGGGTAGATGTCGGATTTGACAGCACATCCTGAGATCGGTCTATTGATGGGGCGGGAGGTGCTGGCGTGGCGAAATTGTCGATGTACAAGTGATCAGGAGGAGCGGGTTTATAATCGTCTTCGGAGCCCGAAACATGCGCGCTGTTGGGAGAACCATTTTGCGACGTCTGTTGTGATGTGGAAAATTCGGACAGGGTAAGAGGTTCCTTGATGAAGGCCGACTGGCCTAGCGGCAAATGATCCACCGACCGACGAGGTAGGTCGGTTGGGTGGTGGATGGTATGCGATCGTGGGATCGTATAAGGCAATCCACATTTGTGGGCCATGTCATTATGCTTGTGGGCGGGTTTATGATGACCGTCGCGGAAAATCGTGAGCGTCGATTCCGATTTGGTAGACGTAAGAGGGGGTTTCCGTGGGGTTTCAATCGTAAGCGGGGGCGGGGAGAAGGGAAGACCGGTTTCAGGCACAGTATCTAGGTGTTCCTTTTTGAGCGCACAGGTGCAGCGCTGGCCATGGCAGCAGCCACAGCGACCATGGGTAACGCCAGCATGGCAGTCTTCCTTCTTCTTCTTGTCGCCGCAATCACACTGGGTGTGAGTTGTCCGAGACTTGCGTAGGCCGCGGCAGTGAGCACATTGAGAGACTGGGCGGCCTTTTTTGTTGATGTGGGTCAATTGGCGGTCTAGGGGGTAATTAGCATATTATTATTTGAAAGATTGGTTAAGATTAGCATACCGCTGTGGTGACAGCTGCTGACTCGGTGACCCCGGACGCAAGCTTCACAAGCATACTTTTCACCATCGATGAGCATCGCTGCGGTGTTACTGGGAGGTACACATGCGATGATTCGCGAGGGATATCAGAGAAAATCGAAGTATTTGAAATAAAAGAAATCGGTTGAAGAGACCGAGATATCAAGCCGTCAAGGCGATTGGCAACGACCTCTTTGAGAGAGATTGGGCCGGGTAGAACAAAATGAAGGGGTATAATCGTATAGTCGGAGTTCCCAATGCGCGGAGGAGTTCACAGAACGCCGGACTAGCAGTTTAAAATTCCGGTTGAGAGCCACCGTAGTGATTGGAACAGAAAACAGAAGAGAAATATGAAATCCAAAGGGTATCTCAGGCGCGAGGTAGAAGGGGGGGGGGGGAGGTCAGGGATCGGAGAGTAAGAGAGAGAGGAGAGAGGGGGACCAAGCCTACGCACCGTTTGGCGCCGGCCGTTAGACAGGACACCAAGTACCGGTAGTGGCGGCCAAGATACAAAGCGTTCGATAAAAGAAGACGTTGGACACCTTATGAAGAAGAAAAAGAGAAGAGGAAGGAGGGCGGGCAGGCCGTTAATAACGGGGTATGGAACGAGGATTTTCGCTGCGCCACTGGTCTTTAAAGGTGACCGTATTAGTGTGTATTTTACTGGGCTTTGACTGCTTTTCACTTTTTTTAAAACTGCTTTTTATTTACTGGTTTGGTAAAGATTTTACATGTAGCAATGGTTCAACTTGATAACACTAATATAGTAATGGTATTAAATATTCTTTTGAAAAAAACAGCAAACCCTTTCTCCACATGGTAGGGTTTCCGCACAAGATTTGAATTTAGTTTTGCTTTCTTTTTTATCTGCTAGTTTTTTATATCGTATTTTTGTTGTTTTTGTTAATAATTTTGTTTTGTTTTTTTTTTTTTTTCTTTTACTTTTTTACTTAAATGCCCGAACTGGCAGCCCCAACCGGATAGAATACAAAATAATAAACCGAATGCTCTTTTACAAAAATCCATTTAGCGCATTTGACGAACTCACCCCACTATCTAAATCTGGGGCCGCACATCCCGACCTCCCAAGGTTGACACATAAGAAATATTATCTACTGGGGCTGAGTCTATGAGATTGTGTATCCAGGGGTCTTACCGTTACCGCTTCCAAATTGGTAAAGAACATTCCATAATCCCTGCACTCAGTAGAAATAGAAAATTGATGACAGGTTGGAAATGGCAAATAATAAAAGAAGAAAAGAAAAAAAAAGGATAAAGGGATAAAAATAAAGGGAAAAGTAGAAAAGCCAGTGGAAGGAGTCCACGTATACATCGTCAGTTACGTGTTATCAATACTAGTACAATACACATGCGTGCCATACCAAAGTGGGTTGATGGCGTCAGTGTTCCTGCTTCGAGCGGCCTGCAGTGAGAGTTCAGGGCCCTGATCTGCATCTTTACTCCGTTCTTTACTTTTATAGGATTCATATTTAGGTAATATTTGATATAGGGTCTGGATTCTTGGACATATTATTCAATGACATATTCAATTCAATTCAGAGTATCTTTCTGTTGTTTTTATACAGTATTGAGTGAAGTATGGGAAACCATACCATCATAAAATTCAAGCCGCTTTAGGGTTGAACTTATACAGCGATCTACATCTACTATGTATATATCTGGATGGTCTCTAACAACATAATTCTCATTTACGCATGTAAAAAGATGGGTTGACTCTTTCTGTCTTGGATGTTAACGAACACATAGTTATTGAAATACACCCCTTAACAAGAAAAGCGCTAATCTCTTCCAGGGGTAATATTAGCGATCAAGTATGAGACATTATGCATAAACAAGATAGTGTACTCATTTAGCAAAGAAAATGCCAGATACGTAATGAAAGGTAGGAGCAACCTTGGAAACCAATCATAAATTCTATACTCTGTACTCTCTGATACTCTTTGGTTTTGGACTCCCACAATGAATAATGCCAACTCCAACCCGTGGCTATTAGCATCAGGCTGGAATAGCTGGTTCTAGATATCGACCAAATCATTGGTCACTTCCCTTACAACATACGTTGTCGGGCAGATATTAGATACCGGTAATCAAAGACTAGTATCACTGGTTTCTGGAAAAATGATGGGTTTAACTAGAGTACTGTGAGAGAACATCATTTGCGACTCTATGTTGTAGGTCCACGGTGATTTAGCGAAAAGTGAAAGCAATATAGTATGTAAAACATTCACCAAATCCGATATTGTTAGCCAGCTTGAAGGCACGGTTGATACTAAGGCTGTGACCAGTACCGTAGAGTGGTGGCACTGGTACAAGGTGTAGGTACATACTCATCCATTTGCATAATCTCCAAAGAGAATTGATATACAGTCACAGTCTAAACTGGACCAATATGCTTGGAATATGGCAGGGCCAAGTATATATCAAAAGTATTCTAAGTATTATTCCAACTTGAATGTTGGAAAAGTGTAACCTTAGGAGTCGTAGTTCATCCGAAGCCGAAGGGGAAATAGTATTAATCCGTTCGACACGCAGAAACGAAAGGCCGTCCTCCGTGGGATCATCCAAAAAAGACTCGGGGAAGTAAACAACTGTATATAGCTTCAAAATAATATCTAATTCCAGTGAATCCTCTGTGCAAAATGTTGTTGCTCAATGCGGCGCACTCGGCGCTAGCCCCCTTGAAAATTCCTCCCCCGCGAAATTTCTAGTTGAAACTTCACCTCTTGCACTTCGCGTCCTACACTCTCTTCCCTCCATCTCCCGGAGGTCCGCTTTATCCACAACCCATCATTTCTCGTGAAGTTTTCAGCTTTATCTCGTGCAATGAACTCTCGCGAGCAGTCTGACATGCCTCCGGCGCCATCTTACCCGTCTCCTAACGGTGCGCAGATGGCCCAGGGTGTGCCCTCGTATTATGGCAATCGCCAAATGACCACGGACGAGCTGCTGTCCGCGGAACTTTCGCGTGATGCTTCTGGTCCAGGTATGGGCGAATCAAATAATAATGTTCACCATGGTCAGTCTATGGTATTGGGTTCCTCCAATGCTGCTGACATGGGTCGAACCTCTTCGGAGGATCAACACCAGCACCAGCACATGCTCCAATTCCCGCCGAGTCAGCAGGTTGGTGTCGACCCTAACCATGACTTGAGCTATGGCGAACAGAGTGCGCGCAAACGATCGAAGATCTCACGGGCTTGCGATGAGTGCCGCCGAAAGAAAGTACGATAACTCCCTTGAACGCGACTGTATACCTCAAAAGCTAAGACGCGTTTTTGTTTATAGGTTCGATGCGATGCGAGCTCGGAAACCGGCCTTGAGACATGTTCCAACTGCAGACGCCTCGGCGTTGTGTGCCAGTTCAGTCGTGTCCCTATGAAACGCGGCCCTAGTAAAGGGTATGTAAAAACAAGTGCACCTGAAAGAACTGCCAGCGCTAACAGACACAGTTACATCAAAGAACTCGCCGAGCGACTCCATACTCTCGAGAACCAGATGCAACCAGGGATCGTTCAGCCTGACGTGCCGTACCAGTCCATGAATGACGTGTCGCTACCAAGAGGTTACCAGGATTTCGCATCACCGGTGGAATCGACCTCTGGCAATCGCAAGAGGACTTACTCGGTCTTCGAAGGTCTTCCCAGTTCCTCGTTCGCACAACCTTCTTTCAACGCCCGCGTATCGCAAAATGCCTTCGACGCGTCCGAGACAGCGGCAGACCCGTACAACCCAGCTGTCGCCAACGGTAGCGCACCGAAACCTGGTAATCTGTTCTGGAACCCCTCTGGAAATGAGAATGACCTCCCGAGCGGCCTTGAGATGACTGATTTGCCAAAGCATGAAGGTTATGATCTGACACCAGTGACTTTGGATGAAGGAGCTCTTGACGCGTATGTATACCTCTCGTAATTATGAAAACCACTACCTAACACTGGATTTGCAGTTACTATCAGAAGATCCACACCCTTCTGCCGATTCTTCCCCACACCAAGGAGCGAACATTGGAGCTTTTGCGCCAATGCAATCGCGAGGCACAGGAAATTTTCTGCCACGCGTTGTACAGCGTTACTCGAACTGACATGTCTCGCGTGGCGGGCAATTTCGAGAAGATCAACAGCTTTGACAATGCTCAGGATCTCCTCATATTCCACACCCGCCAGCCGTTGATTGTCTACACGACTCCTGTCAACATTATCTGGCTTCAGTCGCTATTGCTGATGATTATCGACTGTGACACTCGTGGACCAGATAATTTCGTTATGAAAGATGGCGTTCCCAAGGGCACCTTGGTCCAGGCAGCCAATAAGCTTGGATACGAGTTGGCCAAGAGCCAAGGCCAGCTGAAGAACAAGCGATCTGTAGATCCCGATGTCGACTCGGATGCCAATCTCACCCGGCGCAACTGGGTGTCTTTGGTTATCTTGGCCCGATGGTACGCTATCAGTGTGGCAGATGCCACCGTTCTAGGCGGTCATGAGATTGGCGGCCGTGAAGATGAAAGGGTTGTTGGCCAAATCACAACCGGAATTGCTTGTATGTTGACTTTCCTTGTTTTACAATTATGCTGTTTTACTGACTCTTTTCGTCCCAGCTTACTCAACGTTCCTTTCCGAGATGGTAACCTTGGCTACCGTCGACCACAACGTGTGCCAGACTAATTCCGGCCTAGGTCGTATCATCGGCGCTAACCTAGTCTCATCCCTGGAGCGTCTAGCGGAGATGGAGGACATATTCCAGATCCACGAGCTACCCGAGAACTCTAGTACTCGTCCACTCTATGAGAGTCTCCAGGCACAACTCTACTGGACCGTCCGTTTGCTCATCAAGCGCCACGTCTTCGTGTACAGCCCTTACGAGATCATCTTCTGCGCACAGGAGGTCATCAACGAGATGCACAAGTCAACCATGCAATCTCGCCTCCCGTCACCCTTCGACCTGCACAGTCTAGCCCTCGCCTCAATGACTCTTCTTGAGGCGACTGTTCTCCCGGAACATGCTAGTGAGTGTTGGTCTACTCTTGAAAAAGTCGAAGAAATCCTCGACCGCCGCTCCAAGCGCGCAGCAGAGGGATCCGAGTTCGATAATATCTTCGCCACCCCTGAATGGGACTCCAAGATCCGCATCTTCCTCGAGTGGCGCCGTATCAAGTCTCAAGAGAGCCAGCTACAGGAAGCTGATATCGACGCCAAGCCCCAGCAACCTGTGATGGGTCCCAATGAGCAACGTTCTCTCCAGCACCTTGCTGATCTTGCTGTCGGTGCTGAGGGCTCTGTTGGCCAGAATGCGCAGTCCACGCCCCCACCTGGTCTTGTCAATGAACAGGGCGAAGCTGATCAGAATCTTGCTCCTCAGTTGACCCAGTCGCAGGGCGGGTCGGGGCGTGTTGTTGTTGACTTCACTATGCTCACTAAGGAGGGATATCTCAACGTTTTCTCTGGGTTGATCTACCGTCGCACACGTTAAGTTTGCTTCGCGATCAAGCCCCGTCTTCTCTGAACCCTCCTGTGTCTTGTTTTCGTCTGAACAAAGGAGGCATGTCAGAAATTGGGTTTCTTTATGTAATATTTGCGTTCACGGGTTGGGCTTCTCTATGGCTCAAGTCTCTCCTGTATCTTACTGTAGTCGCGTCTCGGTTATGAAGCTGAATTTAGCTATTGAATGGAATACATGTATGGTTTTTGTAACATATCAGTATCCCCGTATATCTGAAGTTGCATTCCTTCATATGGTATGATATAATATAATATGATATGGTATATTATACTTGTAGTAAAATAAGATGCACCATACCAGGGAATAAGCGAACAGAACTTCCTCATCTCTCACTGCTTTTGTCCGAACGCAAACCGCCTCCATGTTCCATCCACGTCCTCGCACAGAGCCATGAAATTGTCATCGTCAATCAACTCACACATCCAGTTCTCGAGAAAGACAATTCGCTCTGCCGTCGGTGAAGATAGATACCGCGCAAGATGGTCTTCTGTGGAAGCTGGGTCTTTATCGTTTGGCTTGCTGGCCGAGTTGTTGTTCGGGTTAGTTAGTTTATTCTGTGTTTGCGACTTGTTCTGAACGCTGGATACTTGGGATATCCGTTCGACGGGCTCGCAGATCGGAACTGTGTTCTGCGAAGCAGTTGGCTCTTCATAGAGCAATAGTGGCTGGCTAGCCTCTGGGCAAGGATTTGGTTGGGATAAGAATTGGGAATCAGAGTCTGGGACCCCAGATTGAGTATTAGGATTGACCACAAGATGTGGACGAGGTTCTGGATCCTTGGTTGGCTCAATGGGCTGAGAACTTGGCGGCGGAGCTGACTGGGGATGCTCCTGTGCTGTTCGAGTTGAGCTTGCAGCGCGCGGTTTCTTTGCGGTTGGCTTTGAGAAGGGCAGGTCTCTCTTGGGAGGGAGCATCTGGTTTAACTGGTCGACGTCGTGGATTGCAGATATGGCAGAAAGCTGAGAGCTTGGTGGATCGGGTTCTTTGTTTGAGGTGTGTGCGAGAGCAGAGGTATGCGGTGGGTGAAACAAATCGACCTGTTCCATGCTTTGGGGTGGGTTGAGAGCTGGCACAGGGCCCAATCTGGACATGGGGTGTGAAATAGTGCTTGCGGGAGATGAGGCTCGAATTGGTGCTACCAAAGCGCAAATGTTAGATACCTGCTAAAGTTGTGGTTAGAGAAATGCATACTTGTCATTCCAGATCCTATCATCCCCGTGGGGTAAAAGTGGGCTCCATTGCTACCGGTTGAAGTTGCCGCTGTGTTTGTAGTCCTGGGGACAATGGAAGAAAGGTTCCCCGATGTCCATGATGAGACTGAAGGAAATCGTTGCATTGGTGGAACTGGTATCTTGCCTTCTGTCAATGGACAGTTGATTTCGCCCAGAAGAGCCAATGCTGTGAAATAGTCACGTTCTGTGGTGAACTTGATCTGAAACCGACGAATCTGCACAGTCGAAGACGATGTTGTTAGGAATCACCAACCGAAGCAATATTTAGTAGAATATACACACTTGTGTTCCACCATAAGGATACTTGACTGCAAGACAAGGCGACTTCACAACGACAGCAAAGTTTGGCCTTGGTGGTGGAATTAGCTGGGATTGCATTGCTGCCATGCGAGTGAAGAATACGAGATCAAGATGCTCCTAAATTGGATGATCACATGTTCAGCATTACTGGTTATCAAGGCTTTATCTGTGAGTGAGAGTGAGAGTGTACCAGGATGCCATCACCTCGAACCACTTTCTGAATCATCTTTGATGGTATAGGCCCGGAATCTAGAAACTTCTCAAAGATGCATGCAAGATCTCCATTTCCAGGGATATGATTCCAGGTCAGTGGACCAACATGATCAATGGCAGTGGTTGTATGGGAGAACTTGGCGATGGCTAGACGAAGGACTTGGGGAGGGATGGGTGGCTGCAGATGCTGCATCTTATAGAGAAAGGGCAATCAATAGATGGTATAACAGCTCAGAAGAGATCCATGGAAATTCATGGATAATATAGATGATGAAAGATCGTGGTGCCTGGTGGAATGATCGTGAAGAGGGCAAAGTTGAGAACCCTTGGTCAACACTCCCACTGCTAATTAGAATTGCCCACCCCATTAGCATCTTTACATATGGTGCAATTAAATCACTATAGATCCAGTAAGTTTAATGTATATTTTCACATTCCAAATTGTTACTCTTAAAAGTACTAGAAGTAATGTCGAGACTCGAAAAGATATGGCTGAGTTCCCCCAGCAACAATATAGCTCTGTAAAAAGCCAATAGAGATTATTTTCCTATTATCTCAATCAATGCAATTGGGAAATAAGACAGTCTATTGTTCTCAGTCTCTATTTGTTGTGTCTATAAGATTGATCAGGAATGTTATTCCTGAGGCATCAATATATACCTGAGGCACAATAGATCATTAGTCATCAATAGGAACAACCAATAATCCGATAACGCGCCCTGGAGAAGCGCGGACTTTTGGCTGATCAGTGCCGTTGATCGCAAGCCCAGCTCTAGCCCTCCAGGGCCGCAAGGCATTGACAATTATTTTACTTTCGAACCCTATCGTTGATTTTGATCGCCTACGCGCAAATTTACTACACCCTTAGAACTGCCGTTGCTACCGAGTACTTTTCTCTTTTCATCGTCGCATCCAGTCCTCCGACATCCAAACGCGCGAATACTACCACTCAATCCGAGTCACAGCCACTGGCCGTCGCTATCACCTCTTTCGGTCAGCTTCAACCTTGTATCTATTTTCTACTCCGATCCTTCAGACGCCGGACGAAGTCGCCAGTTTGACGCCCCTGCAATTCTCCTGCTCAACTCGTTTGCAAACAAAGACGTATCAAGGGCAGCATCTCTCGAACCATACCTTCAAAGTCTTCGATCTTGAGACCAGAAAGCGTTTGTCTCCGATTTGTCCCTCCAATTATCGAGGTCAAGTTTGTCGGTCTCATCTGCTGCAACGACGGAACCACCTCGTGCAACTGAAAACGTGAACGGCGCAAAGCTGTCGCGCTCCTTCAACAGTACAATGTCTGCCAATACCCCTCGCACCTCGCTGCGACGTAAGACTGCCATCTCTCAGACGACAGGTGTGGTATCTGTACTAACGCCACCCACAGAGGGCTTACGCCATGCTCCGAAAGTTAATCAACCCTTCATCCCCGATACAACCCCTGCTCGTCGATCTCACATCCATCATGGGCTCACATCACCTCAACCATCCACCAGCCCTCACCATGTAAACATCAATCCCGCCGCCAATCCCCAGAGCGCACAGTTCGCGGTTGATAGCTGGGAAGGAAAAGACAGTCGACAAATTCCCATGTCAACGAGGGAAGTCCCGACCCCAGGGAACCGACCAGTCATCTTTGCCCATCTGCGTGATCCTTCGAAAATGCCCCGGCAATTGGATTATTATGACCCTTATTTCCCACTGAGATATCTCGAGGTTCCAAGGAGTCGGTATCCCCTGCATCCCATGAATCTGCATAAATACTGACGGGTCTTGTCTTCTTTAGCCGATCATATCTACAAACGTGCCCACTATGGTCTGCAGTCAGGTATTCCTGACGAAGTCGACTTTGCGCTGTACCACCTCGTACAAATTTCAAATCAACGATGGGATAAATTCAAATTCGAAGGGTTTCCCTTGCTTGCGGAAACTTTGATGCAGAAAGCACTCGACATTACACAACTCTGCACGGGGGTGAAGTGGGAATTCCAGTATGATCCTCGGAAGCCGATTGACCGTGTCAACGTGCTCAATTCTCTGCATGGAACCCGGGATATTCTGGACAAAATTAGCAAAATCCCAGTCAACCTCCCGGACGACAGCCTTGAGACGTACGAATTCAACCATCGGCTGAGAAATATCAAAGAGGCCACCTTAGTGTTGCGAAACATGGTGCTCCTAAAGGAGAACGCATTTTATGTGTCGCGTTATGCCAATGGTCTATTGAGGGACTTCTTGGTTATCTTGATCAATGCTCCCAATCAACCTCGACTCACTGAAATCAAAAACGATGCGTTAGATATTGCGGAGGAAGTCACCAAATTCTTGCGAACAGACCATGAAGATCCGCTGTGGATTTCTTTGGTCAATTGCCTTGACTCCCCAGACCGCGCCCACGTCGTGCGGTCCCTGTGGGCCTTGACACACTTCGGAACTGAGTTGGACGATGCGGATGCAAACCGGGCCATGGAAACTCTGACCAAACCGACTCTCCAGCAGATGTACTATCACACGCTTCTTGATCTTGACAAGGATATTCTGAGTGGTGCACTGGACTTCTGGTATCAATACACGCTCAGTCATGATAATATTGAGACATTGATGGATGTCCTCAATTTCCCAATCGTCTTTGTTCCCCGAATGGTCGCACTTCTGACTTATGAAGCACGGCCTACCAAGAAGGAAACTGTTCTTCAGGAAGAAAAAGTCGCACCTCCCCCTACTGACATTCCTCGTGTATCCCCTGAGCTTTTGGAAAAGCTCATGGAACTATCCGAGCCTGAGCGAAGCTCCCAATGGCTGCGTTGTTGTTTCATCGAGGATGCAGAATGCGAGATCACACAGATCGCTTTATGGCAAGCCTACCAAAGCCGATTCGCAGATCCTCGTGTCACTGGAGGCGGCGTCCTTCCCGCTGCAGAGTTCATCAAGAACGTCAGCAACACATTCACAAACGCCCAGGCACAGGTCATCAACGGCCCTGGCACTGCCACTAAATTTATTATCAAGGGCATCCGACCTTTAGAAACTGCCCACACATTTGAAGGCTTCCCTTATTCCTACTGCAGATGGGCAGACAACTCAAAGCCTTCTAAGATGTGTCAGCGTGCATTCACATCTCCGACAGATCTCCGGAATCATGTTTTCGGCGACCACATGAACCTGGAGCCCACAGAGTCTCCTGGCCAGTATAAGCTTGATCCTGCAGATTCTCCCATCCACACCTGCCAATGGGACCACTGTTCACGGTTCCGAGCATCTGGGCCCAGCGCCAACACATCTATGGTCGCCGGCCACGTTTCGTCGCATTTGCCCGAAGATCGTCCCGCAGACGCACAGCCCACAACCGCCAAGCGTGTGGTTCTCCAAGAGCGAATCGTCCGTAAATGGTATTACATGGATACTCCAATCAACGAAAAGGGCGAACCATTCGGCGTGGCCTACAAAGCCGCATTAGTGCTACGCAACATCGCCCGAGGCCTGCCAAACCGAACCACATCGAAATACGGCGGTCTTCCCTGGAAGAAAGCCTGCTTCACGAGCCAACGCCCTAAGATCGTCGAAGTCTGGGACCGAAACCGTGCGCTGCGGAAGGAACTTACCGAGTTGATCATGGTGATTGAGAAAGAGGTAGACTATTAAATTTCCTGTTTTTCGATGTCACAATTGCCTCTTTTTCTCATGAATCAATATCTCTGTACGATTAATACCCTGATTATTCATGTTCTCACTGTTCTGGTTCCCAGGTCCTCCGTCTTGTCTAAATGTACAATATCTAAGAGCCAGGGCCACATTCGCGGTGTTTTTCTTTCTTTGTTTTGGCTTTTCGCTTTCGTCTAAGCCTAAGTTCGCAAAAATGGCCCCCGAAGGAGTTGCATTACTACCTAGGTCTAGGTATGGGGTGGCTGATGTTTTACTTTCCCGGCGTTTCTTAGGATAGAAATTCGAGATTAGTTAGTACACCGGGGCTTTAATTCACGCTTTCATTTAGTATTTCTCTTTTCTAGCTTACAATATACGAGATTGAGCATTCATTAATACAAAGGTTATCGCCTCGCCTGAGTTGCCACCCACTGGATTCGGGATATTTTGTTCCTGTGAGCTGCAGGCTATAAGGAAGTGATGGATGAAGATTACCATATTGACTGTGACTATGGTGAAGCTTTTCATGATTGTAGGTAAAAGGACAAGGATATAGACCAAACATAAAGTGTAATAAACATGCTATGTGCTATGATATCTAAATGACCATAACCCTAGTAGTCCCCCGTAGGCATTCCACCCATAGTCGGAACATGCTGACCATGGAATCCAAACCCAACAGCCCCATCAACATTCGCTCGACCAATCTCCGACAAGTTACGAGCATCAAGACAAAGTAGATAACTCTTCTCACGCATCCCATCGAGAACCACACTGAGAAGTACACCATCATCTTCACCCGTGCCATCAGGGTTAGCAACGAAAATAGGCTCACCGGGCGATTGGCCATGACACGCCCACAGCTGAACTTGCTGTGTATCACAATCAAGCTTCATAATTCCATCTGTCAGAGTCGCCTCTCCACGGAAGGTCGTAGCGTAAACATATCGATGTTTCCGAGTACCCATTTTCGGATTCATAGTCGGTAGCTCAGGGGACAACGATTTGCAAACGGACCATTCGACTGTTGCTTTCTTGCGATCTGTGCATGGGGCGGAAGGCACCGCGGACAGGCGGAACCGGGTAAAAGATGTGCGGAATGAATCGTCTCTATTCTTTTGGAAGGTCTTGGCTGTGTCCGATGAAGAGATCAGGTTGTCGTAGTAGACAGACTGGAGGAACTTAGAACTGTCGGTTCGCACGATATCTGCTACGATATCCATCTCTGCTGGATTCTCTGAGGGTTCGAGCCATGCGTTGACGGTATGGAAGCAAAAGAATGCAGGGCTTTCGTATGTCGCGAGCAAGCCCTGTCCGTGTTTGCGGTCGATGACATACCACACTGCCGGCTGGCTTGGGTCTGTTGGTAGGATTGATTCGATAAATGAGGAGTTCATTAGCCGTGGGTCTATGTGCGCGTTCCACACGCACAATATAACATGGTCCTCGGTGATGAGAAGGGAGTGGAGATAAGCTGGTGTTGCGGGGAAGGTTGCTAGGATTGTGGTTTTTCCTGTCGAAGCTGAGACCCCGAAAACACGGTATGTGCAGGTAGGTCCTAGGGTGAGATTGAAGTTGAACATGTCTCCCGTGATAGGATCAGATCGTGCATGAGATGCAGAGAGTTGCCCCGTAAGTTCGGGATGCAGGGTAGTCTGTGAGGCGAGGCCGATGGGCTCCAGGGTTTCTGGGTCGAGCTTCTTGAAGGCATTGTAGTCGGTCTTTGCATAGAGAGTTCTGATTCCCCGAGAATCGCCCCAGCGAGAAGTTGACTCATCGGGCTTGGGATCGAGGCCCGGGACATTGATTGAAAGGGTGACGGATATGTTCTTACTCGATGGAGTAGGTTGCGGAACAAATTCACTCTGGACTTTGCCCAAGACGCTCTTGCAAGGATCACGTTTCTGTCCGAAACTAAACGTGTCTAGGGATCCTGTCTTTCTCGCTTCTTCAATCAGGTCGTCGGTTGAGAAGCGAGAGTTGTAGAAAACCCGAGGCGAAGTAGAGTCGTCTAGAGCAATGATTTGGAAACGATGGGTTTGACCGAATCCATCGAACCAGTGGGAAAGTCGTAGCGTTTCTCCATTCTCAGCTTCAACTTGATTTTTCCCTGGTCCTGTACGGTACAGAGTTCCAGCAGCGTAGGCAGGAATATGTCCTGTCACGGACAATTCGACGGGTTCGCGCTGTTCGTATTTAGGATTGAACTAGCAGGGATTAGCCAAGTATATATAGATCGAGATGTCTACCTCACTTACACCTTTGTCATTTGGCCAGTTGTTATAATAATCTTTATCTGTATGATTCTCCATGCCTGCTGAGTCTGGAGTAATAGTATGAATTATTCCAAGTGTTTGTGATTGATCTGTGAGGGTATTGCCTATGGGTTGAGTTGCCTAATGTTTCAGGTCGGCTTGCTGTAAGAGTTGTCTTCCTCTGACAATCCACCCTTTTATATATTTTTTAACCCCCTTGATTTGAAGATATCCCTCTTAACTATGTTTGCCTGATTGTGGGATCGTCATTAGCGGGGGAATCGCGACGGGGGCTGAATTACACAACATCTCCTTTCCCTCACCAATCGCCAACCTCGAATTACCGAGTCTCGCTCATCCTCGTCACTTCAAGCCACGCCAAGTCTGCAACTAACTTTGTATCTCGGATTATACATTGAATTTTTGATACCATCCGGGTCATCTTAGCGGGATACACCCACTTGAAGGCAGTTTACAGCCCCCCGTCAGACAAATCATACACAACCTCGGATACTTTTTCGGGGTCTTCTATTAAACCGACGCCAACCCCCCATGAAGCGACAACAGAATCCCGAGACTGCAGGCCTAAAGATGTGGAAATGTAAAGAATGTTCCTCAAATTTCCAGCGATTAGATCATATGAAACGCCACGCCCTTACTCGTATGTTTCAACGATACCCAGAATGAATATAGTAATGACTTCCTACAGATCACACGGCAAAGAGCCACGTCTGTTTATTTTGCAGCTCTGCATTCAGCCGAGGGTGTGTCATCTTCCACTCCCGAAGATATGTCCTGTCATGCTGACAGAACCTAGAGATGTACTACGGAGACACTGGAAATCGTGCAAGGCTCGAGTAGATAGCGGCCATGCAATCCCCGAGCCGGAGCGCGGTGGGAAACACAAACGTGCCTGTGATAGTTGCGCGAGCCTTAGGAAAGCATGTAATGGGGAAATGCCGTGTGCTGAATGCAGCCAAAGAGAAAGACAGTGCACTTATCAACGTCTCGGTGAACAGCTTCGCTTACCACCTTTATTCGACAAGATTCCTTTGACATCTACATCGCAGGATCTACTGGAGAGCCAGGATGTCGAAAGTTCAGGTACGAATGATGAAGTCCCCAAAGTTTCTGAGGCGAGTTGGGACCTTGGACCTGCAACACTATATCCATGGAATAAGGAGGTTCTTGCTCGATGCCGTTTCGGTGATTAGAAGGGTCAATAATCGACAAGTCCTTATGCGAGATCAGGTATATAATTTCTGCTTGATTCCAAGACAAATGGTATACTATAAATGATGCTGTTGGGCGTATAACACATTCTGAATGTGTCAGATATCATTGGCGAACAGCTCGAATTCCTCCGCTAAAGATGATCGCGTACCTCTGCTCAGAGAATATGTCATTGGAATTTGAAAGATCGAATCACTCCATGCTGTCACGTCTTCTGTGGGCTACCCGAGGTCGAGATATTTATTCATTAAACTAATATGAAGTGTCTATTTGATAATGACACGAGCGGAGATTTGTTTATGTGTACATCACTGGATATAGTACCTGGACACTCTGTGCCATTCAGGTTCCTCACTGCCTCCCCAATAGCAGTTTTCATCGTGGCAAAAAAATGGAATCAGCGCTATCATAAACATTCTCGATAAAGTTCTCATAGTTCAACCAAGCCGTGTCATCGTTACTTTGCAAGGCCGGGTTACTGAAATCCATCGCATCCCACACATTAGGCCAAGGTACCGGCTCAAAGGACGTCGGCACTTCTGCGATGTGCGGATCTCGGGGTTGATTGATTGTCTCTCCCAAATTAACCGAAAAGCCCGTAAGGTCCGGTCGATCTTCGGATTGTTTTGGGAAAATGTCCGAAGAAATGCCACCGAAAGGATGTTGAGACACTTGGTGAGAAGGGTCAACCCCGAGGAGTTCATTTCTCCGCGTTTTCGCTTGTGACATAAGCCTCTCCAGAGGCCTCCAGAGCATCCCGTGCTGAGAATCTGCAATTATCAGTCGCGAGCGCTGGTAGACGTCGTCAACGACGGCCCAGTACTTCGATATCACCGCGGGACTTTTGCAGACGCAGAGTTCGGCAAGGGCCACGGCCAATGCGTGCCATGGAACCCACATTGAACCGTACCATCGCCAACACTTGGCGCCTGGGTAGTTGTATACCTCCTGCGACCACTGCAGGTTGTCAGCTGCGATTTTGAGGAGGGCATTTTCTTGGATTTTCGGGGGTATAAAGCTATGGCTTCGTTGTAGTGGCCGGAGAGAAGCTAGCTGCAACCAGCTGCTCATGACACACGCTGTCTTCTGCGCGTACCACTGGAAGTCTGATAAATCTGGCCTACAGCCGCTTAGAAGTTCTAAAGCCTTTTGTTGGAAATCGTGCACGATTTGCTGTCGCAAGCTCATGATGGTCACGGCTGGCTGGCTGAGGTCCGAAAAGGCAAGTGCTCGGGACACGGAAGCTGAAGCCGCGACAACCAAGGTGTGCGTCATGTCGGTGAATGTGCCTTCTGCGTGTTCGGGGATTGGGTCTGGCATGTCGAACCATATGTCTTCGTCGTTGATATTCGACGGCAGGTTGTAATCAAGCCATGCGGATTGCATCATCGGCTCGGATGCCCTGTCCAAAGAAGCTGCTACATCGAGAAGACCGATTCCTAGCCACGCTCGTTTGCGCATCTCGTTCTCGAAAGGGCGGATGGTGAATGGCGGCTGGCGCATGTGGAGGGATAATGCCTGGCCTACTCGGAGTGCCATGCTCAACATGGTCCAGACCCTTCGGCTTTGGTCTTGAGATCGTGCGGCGAGCTAAAAGCATTTGGATTAAGTTCCGATCTTGAGATAACGGGGCGCAAAAGACGAGAAACATGTGGTCGCACTTACTAGAGAGATAATATATGCTTGCAGGACAGTGAGATCGTTTGTCGTGACAAAGTCCGCCCTTACGAGGGCGGCTTCGGTTTCTTTCTGGAATTCCGCGACTATTATCTTTTTGTTCGCGTTGAACATTGATTGACATTCCACTTCGTTCAGAGTGCACACAGCGCAAAGATAAATAGCCGAAGCAAGGGTGGCTGGAGCTTGGTGGTCCTGCTCATAGTCAAGATAAGGCTTGCCATCCCTAAGAAATGCTTGTATTGACGGTCGGTGTAAAATTTTGAAGAGAGGATCGACGTTGTGGAAGAAAATGTCACATAACCTGCGCCGAATTTGGGGTTGTAGATTTAATGGTTTGTTGGCTTGAGGTGAACTCGACGAGCTATCAGGGCTTTCTGAGCTCACAAGTGATGCACCGAAGCCAGGTGCCGTGTCTTTGAAATTATGGTCTTCATTTTCTAGACGACCTTCCAGGACACTGCGCAATTCTTGGGTCTAGTGATTGCAATATGAGTTGACTCGTACCTGTAAAATGATGAGTTTAACAAGCTCACCTGCTGCATAATATCCTCCCAAAATGAGCCTCCCACATATGCAGTGGAAGGCCGAGGAAGATGTGCTTGAGCTGCACCGGACAAGTAGTCATTATGATTCTGCCATGTCGCAGGACCGGCGTTGCTGGCCTCCCCCGCCGACTCCTGCTTTGTGACCGGATATGAAGGCGCAGGGGCTGCCGATGCAAGCTGTAGTTCGTCTCCTCGGTCATTGGCGACTTTCTTTAGAAGTTTCTCGAGTCTCGCTACCCTCTCAGATAGTTCTTTGTCCGAGCCTACAGCCCGCTCGGGTTTTCGCGTGCGACCGCGTGGAAGACGCGCACGTTCCACCGGAACACACACGAGACCAAGTCTCTGGCAACTTGTGCAAGGACTTGACTTGTCGCATTTCACTTTGCGCTGGCGACATGCTTCACAGGTAAGGCGGACCCGCGGTGCGGAGGACCGTGAGTGGGTTGTCCCGGCTTGGCCGGGATCGGCCATTATTTTGCGTGGACCCAATTATCTAGTCCGGATATAGGTAAATGGACTTGAGATAGGTCGGATATTTTATGCAATGCACGTTCGTGTCGAAGATCCAAAGCTTTTAAGAGGTTCTGCCTTGCTGCTTTGACCCCCCGCGAAAGCTATCCACATTAGACATTCCTGGCCAATCAGAGATCGAATTGGTTATATGATGATCTTTGTCAAATGTATATAAAAAGAATCGACGTTGATGTTTAGACATTCAATAGGTTAATAGTTTAAACTATCATGGTATTTGTTAATAGATAGATCACATTCTCTATTTCTGGATGTTTTCAGGAGTATCGCTCCTTTATCTCCTAAATCCTAAAAGTATTTATGTCACTGGTATAGAGGCATTGGAGATTCCGAGGGAAGATGATCCCAGTGATGAACTTCACATCGCATAAGACAATATAGACTTGATGTCTATTCGATATGGTATACGCGACGTATTAATACTAGTTTAGGCGTAGGCATGTGTGCTAACTTAACTAGAATGGCAAGAAAGTAGCCGACCTCAACCACAAACTACCTGGAGTATATAAATCAGCGACCTGATGCTGGGAGGGAGGAGGTCGAGACCGTTCGCAATATTGAAAGGCTCACATGGAAGATTCGCATATGCTGGCATAAGTAGGGATGATTCACCATCTAACTTTCCAAGTTGAAGGGAAAACCGCAAATATGGACGATGCATCAATTCACGAGACCCAGGTAGGTAAGTTCACAACCGCACTAGAATTTCACTAAGTAATTATCTAGTTTATAACTCAAATTTAGAGACGAGAGACGAGAAAAGTCGAGATTGTTTCTCTTATACTTTCACATTGCGAGTGTGTGGGGACTGTTCGGTGGAGTCAAGGCGAATAGCGCATTTGAGGACCTGGTGCGCAAAGATAGTGATAGTAATGCCATTGGAGGGCGTCTATGCCGTATCCCGGGACCGAGTTTAGAATATAGCCTGTATGGTACATGGATGCCCCAGAGAGAAACATCAGTGGAATTGGGGACCCTTTATACAAGATAGCGCACTGATGTCTTCTTCGGATATTTCCGATTCTTAGCGTAGCTACTAGGTCCAATAGTCCATAAAACGCACGGATGACTTTCCCAAACCAGGATGAATTTTCATAAGTAGACCACAATCAGATTCATCGGAAATAAGCACCACCTAATACATAGTCAATGCTCTTCGTAGATCCAAATTCTCCGCCACCGTGCACGCGGCATTTTTTCGGAGAAGAGGGGCGAATGTAGATCAGCATTCAACAATCAGATTTTTTTTTGACTTCACGAATAAACCCTTGGCAGGAATTATTGAGTTGAGAGGCAGTAAATATTGAAATGTTTCGATCAAGAGATACTATTCCACAAGAGATAGTATCCCCGAACTCCCCGAAATTGAACTTTATCGTCCAGGATCGTGCAGGTACAAAATGGGCTGCAGCATTGATTGCAGATCGGAAGAACAATTAGGGTTGTCCCCACTTAGACTATTGCTCCTGCCTTGGATCTTAATGGGGTTATTTGACGCTATTGATTTCATAGACCACTATGACGGCCTCCAGCCATATAATCCAACGAGCACGAACTGGAAGCGAGGGAAATGTGGATAGATGGATAAAGGATAAATAAGGTGAAACATATCTCATTCGCAGGTTCGGCAATAAAGCAAAAACACTAGCGGAACCCACCTGCTTTTTGTTGAATAATCTAAGTGGATTTTCTCCTGTCAGACTAGTGTGCTTGGCTCTTAGCCAGACGCGGATGCGCGGATGTTACTTGGAACCCAGGTTATTGGGTCAGCTAGTATCTCGGGTTTTAATATGAACCAATCTCTCGCATATTAGACAAAGCAATTATTGCCACGTGCTAGGGGTAGTTCGTACTTCAGGCAGTACGATTGTGAACTTGTATGTTGTAGGTAGAGAGGGAGATTCCTAATAGGGAATGTATAGGCCGTCCATGGTATCTAACCACGAGATTACCATGGATCAAGCCAAAATATAAACCAATCAGATGGAGATATACCGAAAACACAGTTCATGCCATATGGGGACTATGCCTAAATGGGACTTTATACATATACCACGGTACCTTTTCCGTCCAAGTCCTGGCGCCTCTGTCGTATAATAATATATACAAAGCAAGACTACTGGTCACAGCTCCTACTAATCATTAGACGAGTTAGGAGTCTAGGGCTGGCGTTTCCTGTGTTTCATGACCAGGGGAATGAGGCGAATATAATAGCCCTTCAAAATTAAAAGTTCTCCTATTGCTCTAGCTCGGTGGCTGAATGCCCAGCTGGTGATCTTCAACTCCGGTGGGGAGGATCTCGTGTTCCTCTCGGCTTTTGCCTATTTATGTATTTTATTTTTATTGTGCGCAATAATTGATAGTCTTTGATCCCTCTTTCGTACATATGTATTAAGAAGCGGGCCATTCCCCCACATCGTGATCCCGGGAGACTTCCTCTCGAGCATTGTGAAAGTGGCGGTCCTATCTACTATAAGTCAACAGGTGAACTTTGCGATCTCTCTTTCAGCGCATTGGATACTCCCCTGTTCACAATCGCAATCTGTGCACAAACTTGTCCTTCGTTTATATACGCCTCTATGATACGATGACTACACTATCAACAGCCCGCGGCCACCAGGCCCTCGCCGTGAGTGCAGTATTTACAACTATAGCGACATTCATTACTGCCGTCCGTATATTCACACGAGCCTTTCTCGTCAAACAAATGGGAGCGGATGACTATGTCATCCTAGTCTCTCTAGCCTTCTCATGGATTTTCTTCGGCCTGATGGTAGGCGAAGTCTTCCACGGCATGGGCGAGCACTATACCGATATCCCCGCCCCAATCTTCAAAGCTCAGATGATTGTACGCTCCATCTCAATAGAATATCTCCAAAAACAGTGCAGCTCCATTAACATGATTCTCTTACAGTACTTCTGGGCTTCAGTCCCCATATACCAAACAAGCCTCATCAGCACAAAGATGTCAATCCTTCTCCAATACAAACGAGTCTTCTCCACGCCACGCATGCGTCTAGCATGCTGGCTCATGATCGGTGTTCTAGGCGTCTACGGAACATGGACCATCATTAGCGCCTGGGCTAACTGTGTCCCTCTCGCCAAATTCTGGGATGATACCGTCCCAGGCTTCTGTTTCGATAAAAAAGCTTTGTGGTTCTCCAACTCAGCTATTCACATTATTACCGATATCGTCATCCTCATATACCCAATGCCAGTCCTGAGATCACTACAATTGCCCAGGAAGCAAAAGTTCGCTCTCATGGCTGTTTTCGCCCTAGGTGGATTGTAAGTTTAGCCCTAGATCACGACAATCTACAATGCTGACTATTATCCCAGTGTCTTGATCACAAGTATCCTCCGCCTCAAATCACTCCTCATTATCTCCAATTCAACAGACCCAACCTGTAAGTACTACCATCTACCAACGACCTCCTACCATCCCATATCTAACAAACCACAGATGACAATGTCGGTGCAGCAACCTGGTCCGCCGTCGAGTGCAACGTAGCAATTATCTGCGCCTGTCTCCCAGGCACACGCGCCTTCCTTTCCAAACTCCTGCCACATATTTTCTCAACCCGAAGCAACGGCTACCGCAGCAAGACGACACGACCTTCCCGAAACGGACGCAGTGTCCTCACAGGCGATGGAAACACGCAAGTTCTAGCTTCTGTCGTCGGCGGACGTGATCACTCGGGCTACGATCACGATTTAGAAGATCTGTCGCCGTCTGGTTCGTTCAATAGCTATACCAAGGAACCGACGAAAGAAGCCTTTGCGGGCATTAAGGTTACGACCAATGTTACGCAGGAAAGAACCTCGCATTCGAGGATTGCTGTTAACGATGATATGGGCAGTACGAAGGAATTGGTCAAGAAGCATAGCTTTTGATCTATAATGATTTGGATTAATGAGTTCTTTGTATATAAATTTCACTTTTCTTTTGGTGGTTTTACCTTTGCTCTTGTATTTCTATGGCTTTATGTAGAGACTGACTTTGTCCGCTTTAAGAAGATATACAACATACGAGCAGTGGAACTTGCTGTGGGTGATTCCCAGGTTCCAGAAGATCTTTGAGCCCCTACTTGACACGTTGGGGGCTAGAGTCGCCATTATTGGGCGAGCGGTAGGTGAGATGGTCCACGGTAATGCGCTTATTATGGCCCGCGCTTGTGGAGGCACGTCATCGTCATGATATACCTAGGTAGCGGAGAATGCCAAGGGTAAAAGTACGACTTTGGGTCCACATGGTAAGATTCAAAGCTGGAGGAGCCGCTTAGGCCAAGCTAGAGAGAGTTACATGATGATTGAGTCTGCTATGCATGAAAGGTGGATAGCGTGATGCAATATAAAAACCAAGACCTCATAGTTATGGGTGTTATAGATCGTCACTTGCCCTGCTCTAGTAAGGTAGGTGGACACCATAGTCTAGCGGGTTAATAGTTTGGGGTGTATTTCTTATCCCCTTAACCCTATCTTTGGTGTTGTCCTTCCGTATCGCCTGGACCCAATGTGCCGTTTGATCGCCGGTCAATCCAGGTGGTGACTTTTTACTTTTCTCATTTATCACTGCATACTAGTAAGGGTAAAAGATGATCCTCTATATTCGGAACATGTCTTCCCACTGGTTGCATAGTCCGCGTCGCTAGTCCAGTTGACATAGAAGAAACCCTATATCTGATAAGCATGCAGTAGCCTCTTTCCCTCCGTAGAATTTCCAGGTCTGAGGATGTCGAGGTGAAGTGGGCAAAGAGTTGGACACGACCTTATAGTTAGTATCATTTTAAAGAGATGTTACGTGACGGCGTATTAGGCCGCTAAACCAAATGCAAACTACGTAACTTCAAAATCATTCAGTGCTACGTACAAATTCTTCAAACACGAGCTCTAGGGTATTATGAATGCATTGTAAAGACAAGTGTACAGATGTCGAAGCGAACAAAACGAGCTAATCATTCAGTATGCATGAGACCCGCCCATTGTACATTCGGAAGCCGCCCACATTTCAGAGACTAAGGGCTCATGACAAGGAATATGCAAAAGGAAAAAATCGAAAAGAATTCTAGGCAAGGATCTGGAAGATGAACACTGGTATATGCAATGTGCAATGCGAAATTATGCTTGCAAACACGCAGATGTCATCATGCAAATCCTACAGACTCAAGATCGTGGTGAATCGTGCATCTGCTGCAAAGAAGATTTACTCTACTCCCAAACATTGGAGAAGAGGTCGTCAGATCCGGCAAATCCACCGGACTTGTTGTTCGTGTTCGTGGAGGTAGTGTTGGAGACTGGGGCAGCGCTGGCCCAGCCACCGAAATCCTCGTCCGCTGCAACAGTGGGTGCTGGCTTGGAAGCAGCACTAGGCGCACCCCAGCCGTGGCCCACATCGTTCGGGGTCAAAGTGTCAGGGACCTTCATCATGGATGCAGGCGAGGGTGCGGCAGGAGCAGCCGATGGAGCAGGATCAGGTGTGCTCCATGCGTTTCCGCCCCATGGATCGAGGCTTCCAGACATCATGTTAGCTGCTGCTGTGGTCGCAGCACTGGCCGATGGCGCCCTAGGGGCAGCAGGAGGCTGTATCGGAGGAGCAGAAATATTAAACGCAGATTTCATTTCCTGCTGAGGAGAGGTTGCGGTAGACTTTGGGGGCGAGACTGTGGGGGCAGACGCAGGAGGAGAAGAAAACCCGAATAGGTCATTTGACAGGGACGATGATGGAGGGTTAGGCTTAACAGTCGGGGAAGAAAACCCGCCGAATCCGAAATCTTGCCCATTAGAGGAGACAGAAGTTGTTCGGGACTGGGGCTGGGGCTTCGGGGCAGACATGGTCGGGGAGGCGAAGCTATCAAAAAAGTCGCCGCCCGCAGATCCCGATGGCGATGTGACCTTCGGGGCAGCAGGAGTTGACTTGGCGCCGCCGAAAGATGAAAGATTGGAGAATGCCGATGGCTTCTCCACCGGTTTGGCGGGTGGAGGGGAAGTAGTACTCGGGAAGCTCAGTCCACTGAAGGCATCTGTCAGACCACCCATATGAGACGAAGGGGACGGGGCAGGAGGCGAGGCCATGGCGCCGAAGGAGTTGCCCCGCTGGTGCTGTGCGGGTTGTGTCGGCTGCGGCTGCGGCTTCGAATACAATGACAAGATCGACTGTTTGAGGTCCGGTCGCGACATTCCGGCTGGTGGTGCTGGTGTGGATGCTGTGCTAGACGGGCGACTACCAGTAGAAGGTTGGGTGCTACCGAAGAAGTCGAGACCCAGCAATGAATCATTGGGCTTGTGAGTCTTGACTGGTGCAGGCTGTGCTTGTCTAGGTGGCGCACGCGGAGTAGGTCCGGTTGTGCTAGGGCGAGGCGGAGGAGATATATCATCGCCAAACAAATCAATCGAGGCTTGCTGACGGTGCGCCGGAGGCTGGCTGGGAGCGGGTACACGTTGCGAAGCGGAACGTTCGATCTTTGCTTTCTCCTGTACGACCGCAAGAGGCTGATCGTTCAGTTACTGATGCTAACTGACCGGTCTATCATGCGATCACTCACCACGTCGTCATCGCCGTCATCCAGGGTCGAGGGATCCGGCATCTCACCGTCCATTACCCATCGCTTGCTCTCGTACTTCGTCCGAATGAAGTTCTCGATTTTCCTGTTCACAACTAGTTAGAAACCATCACCGAACAAGTGCCATTGGAATGCACTTACGCATCGGAGGGAACATGGCCGGGTGCCAGTTTCGCTTCCCAGTATCTGCATTCTATTAGCCCATGCCCAACGTGGCCGGTCAATTGATTGCAACGAACTTATTTGCTCTTCCATTGCCCCATCTCACAACACTCTGAAGCTGTTCATCGGTCCACGCATCGAGATCCACGGACTTAACTCGGCTGATATGCGTACCCATACCCCTGTGAATGCCCGAGCACCGAATGCAAACAAAGACACCCAAGTTCCAGGAAGCCCATCGCGGATCTATTCATAAAACAATTCAGTATATAAGTGCCAAGAAAGATGGAGATGAAGCCAGCGTGGGCGCAACTCAAGGAGGGGATCGGGGACCACTCACGCTTGTTCCGTTTACAGTCGGCACATATCTTGTTGGGCTCGAGTTTCAGCAAAGCCTTGATAGTCTGCGAGTTCTGGGCCGCTTGGCCTGGAGTAGGACGTCGAGACATTATAGCAGCACCTAATGGATGGGTGAAAGGATAAAGAAACAATGAGAGCAACCTAATTATTCTTAGGTGGCGGTCGGCACCGTGCGGCCTAAGGCTGCGGTGTGTATACGGATGGGGGAAAATGCCAGTCACGCAGTTTGAAGTAAAGTAACAGGTCACTACCCAATAACATATCTTTGCAAATATTAACTACTTTGTATATTTACTTTGATAGAATAACTTCTTTTAAAGTTATAATCTACAAAATCTGGTTGGTCCAAAAACGACGCCTCTCTCCGTATCATGCATGTCGGCCTTTCTGCAGCCTTGGTCCCCGCAAAACAAAATGATCGAATATATCTCATTCAAGCCCCTCAGGCTTTCGGCTGAGGATTCTTAACAGCACTAGTATCTTCTGTGAAACGCAGACTGACACTGTTCACACAATGACGCTCATCCGTGGGATTATCATACCCCTCACCCTCGAATACATGGCCGAGGTGACCCCCACAGTTGGTGCATACGATCTCTGTCCGCTTCATGCCAAATGTGTTATCAACATGTCTAGTCACAGCGCCAGGGATGGAATCAAAGTATGCTGGCCAGCCGCAGCCAGATTTGAACTTGTGCTCGGCAGTGTAAAGTGGCGCATCGCAACCAGCGCAATTGTAGACGCCTTTCGAGGGGTAGTGAGAATCGTATTCACCGGTGCCGGGGCGCTCGGTACCCTTTTCACGGAGAATGCGGAACTGTTCTGCAGTCGTTCTTGTAAGCCATATATTGTCTAGGACTTTAAACCTTCCATGATGTACAAACCTGGGTTCAAAACAGCTCTCCACTGGTCTTCGCTTCTCTGGTCGGGGGGCGGCATGGTGTCGGTTGTTTTCTCGGAATTACGGTTGGAGCTAAAGAAGGCACCGAAAAATGGAATGGTTGATGCAGCTCTAAGAACCCTAGTGCTTGTCTTCGAATGGGGAAGTTTGCGCGTCGAGGACAAAAATCGCGAGGAGGAAAATGTCGGCGCAAGTCGGATAGGGGTGGTCTGGTGTCTGAGAGGTGAAATAAGATTGCGAGATAATTGGGATCGCATATGGAAGAATCGATAGGACCTAGAAATAATCTTGATAGGGAATTGAGGAGAAAATAAGCAGTCACTGGGAGCTGAAGAGAGATGAAAGTGGGGTGAAGCTAATCCCATATGGGCGCCTGACCACAGGGGCTTTACGTCATCATGCGGGGAGAAACTCCCGGGTGTCGGGGACTCTTTAAGGCCTAGACTGACATCGCTGCCGTCCAGGATCTATAGCATAGATTTATATGTTCCGTGTCCTACACTTTATTTTTGAAAAAAAAAGGTTTGATTCCAAATCAGCCCCAGGTCCCACCTGGGAAAACTCCAGCAGTGCAGGGGTATCTCAACAAAATCCAACATATTGAAGAATATAGGGAAAAAAAGATTAAGAAAAACGAAAACGGAAGAGCATAAAGAAAAGAAAAGCTCAAACAAATCTCAGCGCCGGTTCACTCCGGTCACCAGCATGGAGCCCCGGTTGAGCTCCACACGCCAACCCTCCTTCTGCAGCATATTCCACACGGCGGGTCCAATATGTGATTTACGGTCAAGGGAGTGGTGACCAAGACCGCACACAATATTGAACCCGCCGTGGGAACTCCGGCCTCCGCCACGGACGTACTTTTGGTCTCCCAGCCCGTCCCACCACGCCTGCACCCTCTCACGGGTGATTCTGACCGCATTGTCAACGGTCACACCATGCAGATCGAGATCAGCATGCGAGGACTGGCGATCCACCAGTCGGTCAGAAGCTACCGCTAGATGGCGCATGGCAAGTTGACGCTGTTCGTTTCCGACGTCCCGGTAATAGGCAGAGGCGCCTCCGTAGAGGGGATTTGAGCGAGCACGGCGGGCGGACTGGGATGCCTGGGCGAGGGCAAGTGATCGGGCCGCGAAGTGAGAGTTGGCGGCGGAAGCAGCTTCGTGGAAATCCATAAAGTCCGAAGCACTTTCTCCGTGGTGGGCTGGAGCCACATTCTCCTCTTCTTCGTCGAGGGTGACCGGGGACGAGACAAAGCTGATGATGTTTGAGACAGAGGTAAGTTCAGGTCGACGGGACAAGGTGTCGGCCAGTTCATCCGCAGCTGAAATTTGATTGTTTGTAATTCGAATCAAACCAATCAGAGTTGTAGGTTGGACGCCGGGGTACTTTTGGCTGAGCTCCCCCACTTGCGTGACGAGTACAGGATCGTCATCAATCTCATGAATATCCTTTGGTGCATGGGCCTGTGCCAAGGCTCGGATTGTTGCACAGAGTGACATTGAATTTTCATGATAAGTTGACGCAATTTTCTCTCTCTGCAGAGCACACGTTCGCGAGGAAATGAAGTCGATATCCTTCTTTCCTGTCTCCCATTTATTGGTAGCGGTGTTGTTCATGGCCTGGGAGGCCAACTCGGCTCGACGTTGTTTCTGCTGCTTTTTCTTCTTTCGAGATTTCTTGCCCCCGCCGTTCAGGTCCTCATTGGCCTGGAAGCCATCGATTGACTTGGGAATGGAGGATGCACCATCTTGACCAGTCTCTTTGGGGGTTTGTTGAGGAATTTCTCTAGCAATTTGTGTTTCTTCAATAAAAGCAAGATTGAGCAATACATCCATCGAGCGGCTAAGGTTATCATGGCAGTCTTCAAGAATGCGTTCAGCTTCCAGGCGAGTAATACTCGGGAACATGCTAATCAAATTCTGTGCCTTCTCGGCAGTTGTCATACCCAGAAAGGTGTATGCAAGCTTAGAGCCTTTGAGCTTTTGCACCTCATGATTGGCAGAGTTGGGGTTGTCATTATCGTGTTCTTGATTATCAAGCGATGGCCAGCTTGTAAAATCGGAGGGTGCATCGTCAGACGATTCGATCACAGATCCCGAGACGTCAGAATTGCGGAGGTTGGTTGTGCCTGTCGGGTCAAATGGCAAGTTCTCTTGCTCAACAGCAGATGCGTTCAACACGTCTAGGGTTTCACGTAACTGTTCGACCTGAGTGGGGATCGCTAAATCAAAGTCTGATACGATTGCAGCAAACAACGCGGGGTCAATTGGTGGGCAGTAGGTATTTTCAAGCTCCTAAACAAAGATCAAACATCAAAGATTAGACCAGAGATCATGACAAGCAAGTGGTACATCAACAAGACATGCGTGAATTGTGTGTGGACCAGTGGGATACGATATACCTTGAGGAGCTCATCGCTGCAGTCCCCCATGGCTGTGATGATGGATTTAGTTGCAGTGATGATAAAGGTACTTGTTTCATTCCCTGTTAAGGATTGTGATGATGGACAATTGTAAGGAATGTTGGTGGGGGTAACAAAGGGGAAAAGTGGCTTTTTCTCGTGATGATCTTGATACCTGCGATAAGATATAGAGATCGATGCGGGTAATGATGGGGGAACCAATCACAGAGCCAAACAATAGATCACGTGTGTATATCACGTGGGTGGGGTATCCTAGGTAGGAAGTTGCACGCATACACAGATCACGTGCTAGATGCCATGTTATGGACCGTTTGAAATGATACGATCAAACCTCAACATAAAACATTGAACGGACCCGATATTAGGACTTAAATAGAGTTCCTAGAGGAGTTCCTAGAGGCTACTGATAAGAATATATATATGGTCGTACTATGTATTTCTTTGTTCTGTCCAATCAGCCAGAATCTACTACACCTACATGAGCTCCCTATATCTGCCTCGTGTAAGCTACGCAGTATCTAGGCACGCTGAGACTTCTAACTATGTATAGATAAGTTACACATTGTGTCCAGAGCATATAATACATTGATTTTGGAATGTCTTGATCGATACAGCCCGTTTGTTCATTCCTGCAACTATAGGTTCAACTCTGTTTCCCCCATGTAGCTATATTGGGGCTCTAGGTATATAGACAACTTATTGAAAACACTGTACAATGGAGAATCAAATGTTATACCTGGAATAGTCAATTCCACAAATTAGGGCTTTTTCCGCCTTGTTTTGGCCGTCGACTACAAAACTGACATCTAGCCAGAATGATATCTAAAAAGACCACTGAAAATATATCACGAGGCCGCTTATGCAGCCCATTATTCTTGTTACAGTTAATTTATCTTAAGCATATCATCAGACAACTGGGGACATAACCAAATGCGAATCCCATTTTTTTGTTCAACGTATTATTCCAGAGTAGATGACTTGATTGCAGCTTGGCAGTCAAGAAACATTAGTAGAACTTCTCGGTAGGACAAATTTATATACTTTACACTTTAATTGAAGAATGATGAGGAATATGCAGAAAGATGCGTTTAGACCAGTCATCCAAGTGTACTGGAAGGATCAAAATATATAATAGCGATATAACATTCTTACCACACAGTAATAAACAAACGGCCAACCCTAAATGTATCGATTTTTGATCTTATCAAGTTCCACAAGGTTTACTATTATCGCAAACCCATAGCGAACATCGGGATCTGGCCCGAGCAATTTACATCGGCACGCCCACCCGACTTTAACTGCCTACTGACGTATCTATATCTTTCAACAAATATACTAATCTAGATAGCCCGTTCAAACAGATTTGTCTTTATTCAATTATCAAAAGCCTCCGTATAATGTTTTCATCCTGTCTTCGAACGAATCGAACTGCATTTTTAGCTTGTTTTTCCCAGCCAGCGCGAAGATTCTCAACTACCGGGGTAAAACACATGGCAACCACAAGAAAAGAATTCCTTTGCATCCTTCCCGACAATCCGAATGTGCTGGCCATTAGAAAACAAGTTAAAAGGTACATCATAGCTCTAGACATACAAGTTGATCCGAGCACAACTAACAATATTGGCTAGAATCCACTACGACGGAATCAAACCCTTAATAGCAGCCGGAAAGCTTGTTGATGGAGGTGCCATCTTTGAAAAACACCCCGAAGAGGGCAAAGATGCTCTGTTTAAGGGTAGTGTGATCGTGTACTCTGCCAATAATGCCGAAGAAGTCCGCGCCATTCTCGAGAAAGACGTTTATGCTACTAGTGGCGTGTGGGACTTGAGTAAAGCACAAATTATCCCTGTAGGTGGAATCCTGATTCCTGAATCTGCATGGGTGTGCTAATAAATTAGTATGTTGCAGCTGTTCGAGAGCCGCTTCCATGATGGATATAGGTGGTTGAATTATATATAGAGTTTATGCAACCCCTGGCTGGATACCTCTGGCTGGATATGAGAAAGGGGTTCTGTAGGAATTGAGCTTTGCAATCTTCAATATAACGTTCGTAATGATTTGAACCAAGTGGCTCTGATTATTGAAGTCCTATTTTGTCAAAGACGGAGGTTACAAGTCACCTACTACTCTTATGAATACAAATCTAAGCATCAAAGTAACCCCGAGAGTATGAGATATGGACTAATGTTATGTTTGGAACCTTCGAAGTTCAACAAGATGAGTAATTGACAAACACATCAACGAGGCCATGATTCATTCGTGTAGGAATGTTAAAGCGTCTGGAAAAAGATAATGAGATACAGACAAGGTATAGGATGATTGTGTACCTAGGAGGGAAGGGAAAAAGGAAAACCCCAGACGCTATGCGAAGAGATAAATCAAAGCTTGTGCCGAAACAAGACACTAGGCCCCCACGTTAGGCCGAATATACTGCGCTCTTTAATGCCAGGTGATCATGATACCAAACCAGGAAAAAAAGATGCAGTAATCAAAGAGGGCAAACCCCTAACAAAAGCCGCATTTCACCTTCCCTGCTAGATGCCAATGAGTGCGTAAAAATACGAGCCCTGGGAATTGGTACACGGGGAATTATGAAGAAACATTTGAAAGGATGTGGGTAATGCATGAAGATGGGAGAACGCGGCTTGAATGTACATGTTCTAGGAAGATCCTGAACTGACAAAAAGCATGGGTATTTCCGTGCGCTACTAAAAACGAGAAAGCAGAAGTGTGGGAAGAGAAGAAACGAAACGAGTGAGGATTCCAGCCCCGGATTCACCACATATCATCGTCATCGTCGTCATCGAGTTGGACGTCGTCGCCAAAGGACGAGTGTCCGGGTTGGTAGTGGCCCGGGCCGTAAGCTTGGCCATTTTCATAGGCCTGCTTGTCGCCCCTCGCGTGGCTACCATAGCGATCATGCGGATCGTCATCATAGTCGTACATGGAAGAGTCATCGTAGGCACTTTCTCCGTAGTTTTGTTGTTGCTGCTCCTGAGACTGTGCGAGGCTGTTAGTAATCTGGCTCATTCGTAAGCCGAGAGCCATTCGCTTACCTCTTGGTATCGCTGATATTGCAGATACTCATCTGGCTGATCTCGTGATTTTGACGATCTCTGGGATGACCCAGATGAAACCACTGGCATCTGTGGGTGCATCTTTTGTACCTTGGCCAGGTATGAGTACATGAAGTTGCTCAGTAATACTTGAGAGTACAGAGCTCGCCGGGGATTCGCGAGCTTGATATGCGCCATCCGGTAAATAGCTCGCTCCTCCAAAATCGAGAAGCGAGACCATGGATAATCGACGTCGGCACGAAGTACTCGAATTGGTGGTTCGGGAGAAAGGTTTCGTGACGAATGTTTTCGGTGGTGGCCTTCATTGCTGTGCTTCTTCCGTCCACCGCCAAAAATAGAAGAGAAAATGCCGTCTTTCTCTTTTTTCGAGTCACCCGATGCTCTCCTCGCACTGTCTTTGCGTCGTTCTTCCTCAAGCTTCGGATCGAGGCGGTCCAAAACAAGACTTTCGCGTCCACGTGGAGTGCTCTCGATAGATGACTGTAGAACATCTAGACGTGTGTTGTCGTGGGTTTTATCAACAACCTTAGATTTGGTCTTTTTTGAATCGCTGTCCTTGTCCTTCTTCTTGTCTTTTTCTTCGCTGCCCAGTAACCAGTGCCAACTGGACTTGCGGCTACCATCAGAGTCCTTCTTGTCTTTTGATTTCTTGCTCTCAGATTTCCGGTCTTCGGGTTTGCGTTCTTCTGAGATGGTAGGGATGAAAGAAAGACTGTCAGTGCGGGTGCTGCTGCCAGGTATCATCTGGGGGTTATTAGCAAAGTCATTAAGTGAAGATGCGGGCTCGTGAGGAGGTTGGCGAGGATTCTTAGGTCGTTTTGGTGCCGGGTCATGGGAAGGCGTGGGTTTCGACGACGGTGTAGATGCCGCAGCATGATCCGATGACCGCATACTTTGTGAAGGGGGACTTGGTATGCGGTTGGACTCAGTGTTGGGAGGTGTTTCAATTATTGCAGGGATCTTTTGGTCGCCTGGGGTTATGTTCATGGTGGATCGGCCATTCGAGCTGATACGAGAATGCCATTTCCGTGTATTGGCCCCATCTCCCGACTCGGATCGATCCAAAGTAGCATCCGTTTGCACACCAGTGGGCAACCCTTCGTGCTCGGTCTCAGGCTGGTCTGGAATTGAATCGAATGTCGAACTCGCGGTTGAGCTTGGGGCATAAGCTGAGCTATGTGATGAGGCAGAAGGGGCTCGAGCCGCACGAGTCGTTTTGGGAGTAGGATCAGTCGAGACACGGGTGAGCCCCAGAATCGTGGGTTCTTGAGGCGGTAGAACCACAGGAGGTCCTGCATCACTCCCTGCAGATTCAGATGCTCCCCGTCCAACTCGTTTAGAGTATGGCAACTTTTCACCCTTTTTCACACTCCCTGCTTTTATATATTGTGTCCGGGTTGATCGGCGTAAGCTGTTTCCCGGAAGTGTGGGGGGAAGGATCGGTCTGTCGTCATTTCCTGCAATACTGGCATTCTGCATTCCGCGCACGAGTGCTTCTTTGTCTATCGGTTTCGAATCATCCACCAAGCTTCCCAACTGTTGCAGGTTGGGACTCAACATGTCACCTCGTTTACTTGACTGAGAGCGTTGATGTTCCAACCGATCTGCACCATCTGTGTAACCTGAAGAATTGTCGATTTGTCTCGATAACATAGAGCGCTTGCGATGAAGACCACCTCCTGATCCTTGGCGTTCAGACCCTAAAGTCGAATACTCGCCGGATCTGCGTTTGATATGATCTGCCTTGCTATCGAGAAATGACTTGAATTCTTTCGGGGCGAGTTCAGGATGCAGTCGCGCAGGAACCCAGAATAACCGGGAGGCGTCATCTTCGTCGGCCGAGGGCGAGGGGGGTGATGCGAAGCCTGGGAGATCAGGGTCACCGGCGGCGGCTACATCCATTGACATGCGCCGAATCGCAGCGAGATTGTGCATTTCCTGCACGACGGCTGCGGGGTTCGATTCATAGTCGATATCGTTGAGAGGGAAAGACGAGGTTGCGGTGTCTGAGGGACGAGTACCACCGGAATTCCCGGGATCACTTTCTCGATCAAAAGACCGGTTTGCAACAAGTGGCGGTCGTTGATTTCCATTTGTCCGTATCGTGTGCCCATCTGACGAGGATTGGTGAAGTGGCGAGGACGGGGAAAGAGGTGACTCGGAGCCTGCGGCGGCCCGCGGGATGGTTGTTATTGACTCGCCGAGGGGGGTCGTTATATAACTCAGGCGTCTCGGATCATTACGATCGTAGTCGTCGTCGTCATACATGTGTCCGATAGCTTCCGTCACATGGTGGCTTGGATCGCTGATTGATAGATGGGCGGCATGACCTCTCCGCGTCGCATGCCCGCCAGCCTCGTGGGCAGTCGTGGAAGCCTGATCGAGTACAAAAAATCATTAGAATCAAATGCGCCAGTTTCAAGCCAAGATCCTGTTTTCAAGGTCCACGGGAAGGGGTCCAATTCGGTAGGAATGTGGGTGTGCCTGAGGGGTTCGAGGTTGAGGGGCTGACAAAAAAGTCACACCCACATGGACCAAAAAAAAGGACCAGGAGATCCACACACCTGCATGGGAAACCAGTTGTACAGGGACCAGAAGACGTCAAAAGACGGAGCCCGAAGGGCAGAAGCTTAGGAGGAGGGGGCAGTGTCCACGTTGGATAGCAAGGAGGAACGGGTCATCGAAGCGGGGAAAGACGAATGGAGACAAAGGGCAGCGTATGCATTCGGATACTACCGAGTCCAAATGAGCGTCATGAGTCGATAAGTTTTTGAGAGAAGAAAGGAAAGAGAAGGATGGAGGAATGGAGGAGGGAGTTTAGCGGGCGGAGAGAGTACATAGTGACCTCCGCACCTGACATCTTACACTCCAAATACAATTCTTTCTATATTAAGAGTTTCTATCTAGTTTACTTTTTTTTTTATATATATATAATTGAACTAAGGTCTTTTAGGTTGTTTAGGTCCTTTTGAGATCTTATTTCATTGAGAAACTTATTGTCTCCACTTAAACGGGGGGGAAAATGGTGGACGATCGATTGATCTACATCCTCCACGTTCTATTTCTTTCTTCCCTCCCAACTTGAATCTCACTTGAATTCAGTGATACCTTTTGGTTCGGATTCTAACACCGGACTTCAAAGAATTAAGTACTACCTATCTTTCAGAGCTGACTATATATTTCTTCGATCCGTGACACCACAATGTACCTCAAAGGCTGAATTGCCTACTCATCACATCTTTCAAGGGCTGGATTGACGAGGTTATCACACTTCGAATTTGCCATCGGAAAGCCGCCAGGTAACCCTTTGTCTATAATTTAAGCCCACAGATGAACTAGATGGGGTCAGACCTGAGATTCGATAGAAAGTCGTGTAACTTTCTTCAACCTCGGGGACCGACAATAGCTGGATATGCTGCGTATATCACCACGCAAGTATTCCAAGGTTTGTACAATTGATAAATAACACGAAAAATGCTAGATCAGAACGCAAATTTCAAACCGAGAAAGACCTCTAGGGCCGAGGGCATAGGATGTCATCAAACCTAAAATGTCAGGCCTACATAGATCTGAAAGTTGTATTCAAAAACTAGAGATGAGGCATAGAAAGTCTGGAAAAAAACCCGGGGAAAATCAATGGGAAATGCTCTGCATAAAACCAAAACGATCCAAGACAGTATCCCCAAGCAACCCCCCGAAGAAAAAAAAAAGTATGAGAAACTCCACGCTGAAGAATGTAAATGGCGCCAACTTTAACATAAACGAACGAATAGAAAAAGAAGTTTGACGAATCCGTATACGCCAGGATATATGTAGGGCAAGAGTTGGGGATATGTTCATCAAGCCCCAGAGAAATGTCCAGAGTTCATCACAGTGCTACATGGACAATTCGATGCGATGCGCATAAAACTTAAGAAGCCTCAACATAGTTGCTGTAAATGAATTAGCCACCAATTCTAGAAAGTTGGGACAAGTTCTTACCTGGGGAAGATGCCCACGCGATCACCAATGCGACCAGTCCACCAGTCCTCCGCCTTCTCCGTGCGCTTCATAATGGTAATAATTTCACCCTTCTTGAATCCAAGGTCGCCCTCCTGATCCGCATCAAATGTGAAAAGGGCAACCGCCTGGTCTGATCTCAATTGGGCTGCACCAGTCTTTTGCTGGAAAACCGGCTTAGGGGCAGTTGGACGAGTAGGTCTGCGATCCGAATAGACATATTCCTCCTCGAATGGCGCAGTGTTACTCCGGTTGCGGCCATAGCTATCAAATGAATCGCCGGCAGGGGCCCGGGTTGTCGCGGAACGACCGAGTCCCGAGGCAGGCCGATCATAAACATCATCAGCCCAGGTGTTCGCGCGGCGCGGCTTATCACGGTAGTCGTAATCATTTTCAGTGTTAGATCGACCACGCTGAGTACCTTGACCGTAGGCTTCGCCCTTGCGTCCCTCCCAGACCACATCGTCATGGCTCTCGTCATAGACAGGGATATCATTGTACATGGAGTCACCATAGCCCCGGATATTTCCTTGGAATGCACGGGAGTTCAGCACGCGCATCAGAGCATCGGCGGCCGGTGGGGCGCGAATGCTGCCGGTGAGGAGTTGGTTCGCGGAGACACGACTGCGGTACAATTTCTCGTTCGCATCCTTGCGTTCCACCAGCATACTACCTTCGAGACTGACACCGGCGAACAGACCCTTGGTTTTTGAGTAGGAGAAGACGGCCGCAACGCCCTTCGTACTGGCTGCGCCGGCTGCCTCGGCATTTCGGCCGATCGGACCAGCAGCAAGTGATACATTACCACCCAGCGTCAGTGTTCCCACTTGCGAGAAGGTGCGAACAGCGGCAGCATCGTTGAGAATGAAAACAAAGTCGGTCAACTCAAACCCGATCTGTCCTCCAATTCCAGCACCTGCAGTCGCAATAGCTGATGGAGCCGACCAGGTCCCATCGCCAAGACGAGCGACAACGATACCGGAGCCAAATCGACCAGAGCCTAGGAAACCGGCCTTTAGAACCGTGAGAACCGCAAGACCCTAAAAGGTCTGTTAGCCATGGATGTGCGCAACGGGGGAATGATGGGTTTAAGTACCTTTGCATTGGCCAAAATCTCTGGGGGAATGACCTTGTCTGGACCGAATGATTGCCTAGGATCAACGAATGATGTCAAGATCTTTGCTGCCTTTTTGCACTCGCCTGTTAAGATAGCATCCACTGTCAGCCGGATATGCCGCATACGACTGCGGGGAAGTGGGCTTCGGAGATTGATGAAACTTACTGGCCATAGACGAGGGCAACGGATTGTTGATCCCGAGAGGCATCTTGGGTGGTGATTATCGAGGTAGAATGGAAACTCGAAAGAGGAAGAAGGGAGATGTGCAGCTGAAGTCTCCAGGGTTCGAGGGTAACGTTTAGTCAGTTGCATGTGGGCCCCAGGTGATGACGGCTAACGCGGGAGGCTCAAGATGTACCTCGCAGAGAACTCCTTGGATTATTATGTTCAGCACAATTTTGGGGATAATTTCAATAAAGTAACCGAATACTCAATTGTAGATCAAATATACTCATTATAGTTTGATATCCCACGTATTTTGCCAATTATGGGGTCTCGTGTCTGTGGCGGAGCAAAAGGAGAGTTGCTTGGCAAAGTGAGTTCATTGACTAAATATTAGTAGAAAGAGAACAAAAAGATTGTAGATAGAGTAATAATCTCTAGATGTCCCTATGTGTAGAAGAATATGTATAAAGCGTTGTATAGCACGTAGTTACTTGCAGAATGTCACAGGCGCCAAGGCCATTATCGCATCGCGATTGTCTCATCCGGAACCTTGGAACTTCCAAGGTTATCCACCTCCATACACTTAACTACAAACCCACCTGGGCATGGTTGGATTATGATCAATACGTGACTCGCTAGACGCGAAAATGTCATCAGGTATGTTGGTTATCTCAATCTCTAAAACACTGCTAACAGTCAACCCGTTTAGTTCGCATTTGCGTCTGCGGCGATGAGGGAACTGGCAAATCCAGTCTCATCACCTCGCTCGTCAAAGGTGTGTTTGTTACGAACAAGATTCAACCAGTCCTCCCCCAAATTACCATCCCTCCTACCCTCGGGACCCCCGAAAATGTTACCACCACGACCGTCGTCGACACCTCGGCCCTTCCCCAGGAACGGAACAATCTCGCACGAGAGATACGGAAATGCAATGTGATCCTCCTCGTCTATTCCGACCATTACAGCTATGAACGGGTAGCTTTGTTTTGGCTACCGTACTTCCGCTCGTTGGGCGTCAATGTCCCGGTTGTGTTGTGTGCCAACAAGTCCGACCTGGCGACTGGTCACAGTGAGACGCGAGTGGTTGAAGAGGAGATGCTTCCTTTGATGGCAGAGTTCAAGGAAATTGACTCATGTATACGTACGAGTGCTCGGGAGCATCGTAATGTTAACGAAGCCTTCTTTGTTTGTCAGAAGGCTGTCACGCACCCCATCGCGCCGCTGTTCGATTCCAAAGAGGCTGCTTTAAAGCCCGCTGCGGTAGCAGCTTTGCAAAGGATATTCTATCTCTGCGACAAAGATCGCGATGGATATCTATCAGATAAGGAGCTCGAGGATTTCCAGGTCCGGTGCTTTTCCAAACCATTGAACGAAGCGGATCTGAATCACATCAAGGACACTATTCAGAAAGCCTGTCCAGAGTCGGTCACGGAGTCAGGCATTGACTGCCAAGGGTTTATTCATCTGAACAAATTGTACTCGGAGAAAGGGCGACATGAAACAGTCTGGATAATCTTGCGAGCATTCCAGTACACGGATAATCTCTCCCTTCAGGAGAAATTCTTACACCCGAAGTTCGAAGTACCGCCGTTCGCTTCTGCCGAACTCTCACCTGAAGGCTATCGATTCTTTGTGAACCTCTTTCTTTTATCCGACAAGGATAATGATGGGGGCTTGAATGAGGCTGAACTTGCATCCTTGTTTGCTCCCACCCCGGGGTTGCCCGCATCATGGGCCGACGGTTCATTCCCATCCTCCACAGTCCGAAATGAGGCAGGACATGTAACCCTGCAAGGCTGGCTTGCTCAGTGGAGCATGACTACTTTCCTGTCTCCCAAAACTACCCTCGAATACTTGGCATACCTGGGCTTTGAGCCCTCCGAGAGCGATCAATCTATTACTGCGGCGCTGAAAGTCACACGACCACGAAGAAAACGTCGCCGCCCGGGACGTGTGGGACGAAATGTTGTCCAATGCCATGTCCTGGGAGCCCCTGGATCCGGAAAATCGGCCCTGCTCGATGCACTTTTGTCCCGCGGATTCAGCACGACATATCACCCTACCATCCAACCGCGTACCGCAGTGAACACGGTGGAGCTTCCGGGCGGAAAACAATGCTACCTGATTCTGGATGAATTAGGTGAGCTGGAACCTGCTTTGCTGGAGAACCAGTCCAAAATGCTGGATCAGTGTGACGTGATTGCGTACACGTATGATTCCTCGGACCCGGACTCATTTGCATACATTCCTGCATTGTTAGCAAAATATCCTCATCTGGAGGAGCTCCCGAGTGTGTTCGTTGCCCTCAAGGCCGACTTGGATCGGACGACCCAGCGAGCCGAGTACCAACCTCACGAATATACAGCTATGCGTAACATGCCCAGTCCGCCGCTCCATGTGAGTGTAACGTGGAGTTCAATCCAGGAGGTGTTTGTCCATATTGCTGAGGCTGCCATGGAGCCCAGTACCGCTTTCCCACGTAGTGAAGAGGATGTTGAGGGTAAATGGATGTCGTGGGGAATCGCCCTGGGAGCCGTGGTTTGTGCGGGCGCCGCGGCGGTGATGATCTGGCGACGAGTTGGCAGTGGAAATTAGGGTCTTCATTCATGTTCTATACCATATCCCATAGTTTAATGTGCAAATAAATGTAAATGATATATTCTTGATGATACTTAGTCAGGCACATGGCCGGCTCCGCCGGAGTTAAGCCGGTCCCAGGCACGTTTCTTCTCCGCTCGAACATTTACCCCGGACATCAGTTCCCTTGCTGATCCTCTTTTCTGTATTTTGAAACCTCCAACCTTCGAATCTCCAATATTATTATACACATTTTATCATTGAGTATATATACGTGGATTCTCGACTTATTCTCCTTAACTCTCGCCCCCTGCCAGCCTTATCTCTGCAATCTGTCGCTCATTCTCTCCACATAAGAGCTTGCAGATATCGATATATAAGATCAGAGACAGGAAGCTTTTATATAAAAGGCACAGACCTGGCAAAGTTTGCGCGTTTGCCTGATCGGTTCCAAGGTTGGGCTGTTGGTCACACCAGATCTCCCTGAGTGACGTCTCGTCATGTTGTAAGCATTCTTTTTCTTCCGACTTTACTAACACCTGGGGGGTTTTCACTATTACCGACGTAATCTTGAAGACTATCAGATATCGGAGATCACTTCATTTTCTGACAGTATTAGTGTCCTTCCCCCTCCCCCTCCACGCTATACCATCCCTGTCGCCTATGCGGCGGGGGCGGCAAATGGTATGGCGGTCCCTGTTGTGGAAACGAACAATACGATTACTCACCCAGAGCGTGGGTGTCCATTGCAAGTTGGCGAGGGTATGTGCGCGCTCATTGCTAATATTCTCTAAATATCCCGATCCCAGAATCTCAGTAGCTGACTATATTGCGACAGGAACCTACATACTCCAGGATGATCTGCTCCTCGCGACACCCCCTCCTCACCCATCTGAAGCTCCTATAATCAACCCGAACCCTCTTGCGACTCTACCCACACCCCCTACATCTGGCGTCAAGCTATCTCTTGTTACTCTCGATCCTCGAAAGAAGCCTCCCACCTTTTTGAAGTCGGCTGTTACACCTCCCCAATTTGGAGATGGAAACTCCGCGCTTGCGGCGCCACCGGTGGCAGCGAAGGACGCATCGAAGCGGAGGAAGCCCAAGAACAACATCATCAAGAGCAGTTCTTCCTTCGTCTCGCGAGTCATCACCCACGAAACATCTGTCAAGCGATTGGGCGATCGCGACTCGAACGGTGTTTTTGCTTTTGCGAATATCAACCGAGCATTCCAATGGCTTGACCTTAGTTCGCCTACTAAAGAGGAGCATCTTACCAAAGTTCTCTTTACCAAGGCGCACATGCTCTGTCACGATGTCAACGAAGTTACCAAGACATCCTCACACTTGGATATTGTGATGGGATCCTCTGCGGGCGACATCATATGGTATGAGCCTATGTCGCAGAAATACGCGCGAATCAATAAGAACGGCGTTATCAACAACTCCCCCGTCACCCACATAAAATGGCTCCCTGGGTCTGAGAATCTGTTCATTGCGTCCCATGCTAACGGTGTGCTGGTCGTGTACGATAAAGAGAAAGAGGATGCCCTTTTCACCCCCGAGGCGAATGGACATGCCGACCATGACGTTGGACGATTACCATTGGACATCCTTAAGTCTGTGAACTCGAAGAACCAGAAGACCAATCCGGTCTCATTCTGGAAAATGGCGAACCAGAAAATCTCAAGCTTCGCCTTTTCACCGGATCAAAGGCATCTGGCTGTGGTTCTCGAAGATGGCTCGCTGCGGCTCATGGATTACTTGAAAGAGGAGTACGCGTACTCTGTCAATAGAACCCAACAATTCCCAACTAACACCTTCTTAGAGTACTAGATATATTCCGCAGCTACTATGGCGGACTGATCTGTGTTTGCTGGTCGCCCGATGGCAAATACATCGTAACGGGAGGCCAGGATGATCTACTAACGATCTGGTCTTTCCCCGAGCGCAAGGTTGTTGCCAGATGTCAAGGACACAACTCCTGGGTTTCAGCAGTAGCATTCGACCCTTGGCGCTGTGACCAGAAGACTTACCGGTTCGGCAGCGTCGGCGATGATTGCCGCCTCCTATTGTGGGATTTCAGCGTTGGAATGCTTCATCGTCCTCGCGCACACCAAGCCTCAACTCGAAACCGATCTAGCATAGTACTGCCGAATTCACAAACTGCTAACCGCCACCGTGCAGACAGCGGCGATAACCGTGTGCGCTCGGACTCTAACGAAACCGAAAAGTACGATGAATTTATCGACCAGACCCCGAGTCACCCGGTGGAACCCCGGTCTCGAACTGCCCTTTTGCCCCCCATCATGGTAAGCATCGATTGGTGTCCAGAGTGTTAGATGTGAGATACTAACAGACCCATAGTCTAAAATCGTCGGCGAAGATCCCATCTGCTGGCTTGGCTTCCAGAAAGATTGCATTATGACTTCGTCTCTTGAAGGTGCGTGTAATGAAGTTCTTCGAGGACGATTTATGCTAAAATTCTGACAGGCCATATTCGCACTTGGGATCGACCCAGCGACAGCGTCAAGTCATGATGCTCCATTTGTGGTTCAGTCCACTTTGTAGGTATAGGATGGTTCGAGACTCCTTATCAAATGCATTATGGAATCGATCTCGACTCAACAATTTTGGAAACCCTGGAGGTTACCAATCGGGGGTTCACTTTTTAGCGTGGCTTTTTTGTTTTCTGACACCTATGATATCTTTTTCCATGTTTATATTACCTTTACCAATCTACATATTGATGACGCATCTAAGCACTATTCTATATGTGAAACTATTAGAATGACCTTGGAGAGACTAATCGACGTCAAACCTAACTAAAAGGACGACGATACAGGTTACCCTATTTGGCAGAGAAATTTCATACAAATAGAGCAATAGCTAACTCAAGATGTGATTGGCAGTATAATTCCAATATAAAACAGACAGCATTATCGCATTTCTCATTAATGTAAGGGGGCATAAAATAAGTCCATAGACCCATCATCAACATCAACATCATCAAGCACAATAAATCATCACTAAACTGAACCAACTTCCACCCTTCACCGAATAGTAGCAGTAGCCTTTGTAACAACTACCACAAATAACCCACTATCCCCAACTTATAATTAATCCCAGGATCTCCAACTGACCGGTTGCCAGAGGGATAAAGGGCGGGGATTTAAAGAACCAAAGCAAGCAAGCCCAAAAGCAGACTTCCAACAGGTGGCATGAGGAGAGCCGCAGCATTCGTGGTAGATGCCGACTCCGTAGCAGAGGAGGTTGCGGATGAGGTACGGTGAGTGGTGGAAGTAGAGGTTGAATGGGTTGCGGTTGACATGGTCGAGGACGAAGCCATTGCCGAAACGGACGATACTATTGATAGAGTTAGTGTTTGTTTTCTCGATGGATGGGTGGAAAGCGAAATGTTCGAAAGCCTCGCTTTCCGCCTTACTAACCAGGGGTAGTGGATTGGGTAAAATGGGATGTGGAAGGAATTGTGCTTGGAGTCGAGAGAGATGCGGATATAGGTGATATAGAAGCGGTAGTGGAGGAAGTAGTTGGGGTAGTGGATATAATGAAGGAAGAAGCGGCTGTAATGAAAGACGAAGAAGATGGAGATGAATAGATTGAGGATGAGGTTTCAAGTGGAGATATAGAAGAGACTTGGGAAGAGGTTGGAGGTGTAGATATAGAAGAGGCTGAGAGAGATGCTGGGGTAGTAAGTGTCAAGGTTGAACTCAAGGCCGTGTAGGAGGCGGATGTCAAGGGTATTGTTGTAGAAGTGGGAATAGCAGATGTTGAAGGGGAGGATGTTTCAGTGGAAGCGAGAGATAAAATGGAAGAGGTGGACGCACTTGCAGAGCTTGTTATAAGAGAAGATGCTGTAGGGGTAGAAATAGAAGAAGAATAATAGGACGAGGTAAGGGCAGACACACTGGAAGAGTGAGTAGCGGTCGAAGACAGAGAGGAAGCAGTCGCGGAAGGAGTCGATGTAAGATCAGTGGCCGACGCGGTGGAAGACATCAACGAGAGAGACGAGGTTTCAAGAGCAGACGATGATTCAAGAGCAGACGAAGTTTCAAGAGCAGTGCTGGTTTCCTTACCAGAGCTACTAGCAATTGCACCAGGCTCAGTGACTCCGAATTGCTGAGACTGAGCCAAAATGCCACTGGTGGGAGAGATGAAGTTGATCTGATATCCCTTTCTATATTAAATATCAGTAGATGAAAGGAAATGCAGTTAAATTGGACATACCCATCGTCTACACCTGTGAATGTCTTTGCTTTGACGGTGTAGGAGCCCTTGGAAGAGTCTACATCCTCTACCACCACTTCTGTTGTCGGAGGATAGACATTCTGGTTGACCAGCTGGATAGTGAAGGTATCTGGGTCCGTTCTATATGATTCTTAGCATATTGCCGGTAGGATCGAAGATCTGGGGACGTACGCGACAGTCTGCCACTTGATAGTAAGGGGCATTTCGGGATCAATCTTTTCACCAATTTGTGGCGAGGTAACAAGGAGAGCTAATTTCACTGTTAGATTTATTTGTACTCCCCTAGACGAATTGCCATACCCGAAGCTGTAGCAGCTAGAGCCACCAAAGAGATGATATTAATCCGCATACTGATTGGCTTTAGTAACCAATACCAAGTGAAGTAATTCGAGGAAATAGTTGTCAATCTTGGATTGTTGAGCCACAATATATTCGCTAGTTTGGAGGATATCAAATTCAGGGGTGATATAAGATGGGAACCTGATACTTTATAGTCTCTGCCGTTAGTAGATTTTATCCCAGGGTCTCAATCTTTATTTTTGGGCTGATTTGCCGTGCCTTGATCCATCACCCCTCGTGCTCCCAGTCGGAGTACAAGATGGACCATATTTCCTAGTCCCCGTGATGTGTATTTACTACTGCGCTGCATGCAGTAAAAGGGATCTAGAGGAAGGACTGTTGATTCTGTAGCTTGCAACTTCATCTTCAGCCCAGATGGGAATATTTCGTTGGCTCAATCCATGTACAACATCTCTGATTTTGACCGGACACGCGTCACAGTTCCTGTCCGTATCGCAATGAAGACATTTCATACATCGTCTGTGCATATAATCGGCGTAATGATGGTTGGTTAGAGCACGGTACCCCTAAGGTAACTGCTGCGGCCCGTTTAGATTCAATTGTGATTTTCAGGGATGAGAGATGATTAGCTTTTTCTATGCGTCTTAGTTTTCGATACCGTGAGTGATCTATGAAAGGGTTCTAATGCTTATATCTATATCAAATATCCGTTGTAATAAGCCTATACGGAACTCTATATTCACAGAATATTGGACCTCTAACAAACTAAGTCACTCCCTTACAGACATTTAATAACCTCGATCGTTTACTAAATGTGAGACATTAACTCCGAAAGGTCTAAGCACACCGGGAGTATTGTGTTCTGAGTCCTCTTGGTCGTTATGAGCTCAGTAACACAAAGCCAAGGGTGTTTCATATTCTCAACCGGTCCCCGGTCCACACGCGAAAATGACAAGAAGGTTAAAAATCAAGTCCATATCTTTTAGATTTACTAGAGCAAAGGCAATATCACTTCCAACGAGGCTCTGCCATTCCAAAATGGTTGCCTAGGACGCGGTCTTGCAGTATATAAGAAGTTGCACGAATTATAAACACAAAGTCGGAACAGCACCCATTGGACAACCATTGGGAGATATTAAAATAGTTCAATGGTATCCAGGTTACTCGTCGGGAGAAATCCTTGTGACTGTCGTAACTAAAGATCCCCCGTTCGGTCTCGATGTGCGTTTGTGTTCTCCGACACTTCCATTGCTAGGCCAAGTCAATAGTCGTCGTCAGCAACATATCAATTCATCAATTATGACGTGGAATATGTGAGGAATCTAAAGAAAAATTGGGTATGGTAGTTACTTGTTTTATGAATGGACTGTGAATCATCTAGTTTTCCATCATGGTGGCTAGATGCGCAAACCAGTCTACGTACAATAAAGATTAAAAGACGATTTCATTGTATTGCTCAACTGTCACTTTTTGGTAGTACATAGAAACCCATGTCTTCTCGATAGCTCCCTCCATATCGGGGGAATTTCCACACTTGCTGTGCACCTTGTGGTTTCCTCTTCAAGTCCACCTTAACGTTCAAGCACGCTACGACCACCATCGATAGTGACCCTGTTCCGCACTCGAATGTGGGCGTAGGCAGTTCCAAGTTGAATGACACGATGCGGAATAGGCTCATCTTGACGGTCTGAGTCGGGTGTCGCAGTCTGAGAGTCCGGGCTCTCAGAAGTATCTGACTCGCAGGATGAGATATCACTCGAGAACCCCTGATCCTGCTGATTCTCCTGCTTCTTGATGTCTACCAGGGCCGTTGGACAGAACACCAATGCCTCACCAGTTGGCAGACGGACAATTTTCTGAAAGATGGTTGACGAGGCCGCCGTCTTTCCATCAAGGTCTTCACTTCCACCTCCCGCAATGTGTGACTTGATAGCCTTGAACCAAGCTGGAGATGAGAAGCGATGGATAATAGTTACATTGCAGAGCTCGAGAAGTGACGGCGCAAGAGTCGGCTCCTGTGTGGCTATTATCACTCGCGCGGCCAGATGCCGCTGCTGGCGGACGACGGAGAGCAGTGTCTCTGTCAAATCTGAGGCCTCTGCTGAGGTCGAAGTCATAAACTACAATTGAACCAAGTCTCAGTATTGGATCACATATGAGAAAGGATCCACTTACCTTATGGGCCTCATCGAGAGCAATGATGCGGCCCGTGTCGTGACGGTTTTTCAAAAACAATGAAACCGCAATGTTGAATAGAGCACAGGCATCATCTTGGCCAACGAATGGGCAGCTAAGATCGATGATTGTCAACGTGCCTGGAGAAAACCTCCAGGTATCGTCAACATTAGGGTGCTTGGACTTATCCAGACTTGCGCCAGGCACAGATCCAGGCTCAAAGAACGATTCGAGAACATCCAAGCGCATATTAAGAGGCATCATCTGGCCTTTCACGAACTGCTCGCGCTGAAGAAGATGTTTGAATGCGCTGTAGTCAAATCCAGCTCTACCCTGGTTGGCGATAGCCATGTCGCGAAGAATCTTCATAACGACCTATATAAATCGTCTATCAGTACATGGTCACCATGGATAGGTGTGTAGACATACCTCCATGTAAAGGGGCTGCTCGGCTCTGTTGCCGATGCCCATAAGAGTCTTCATCATGCTAATGTTGAGATCCTTCTGCGGCAGATACAATGGCTGAACCTTCAGCATTCTTGAACCGCCTGCCAGTTTCGTGTACGCCGCTTTCATGGCAATGTAGTTGGTGGGGGACACCAGCACCCGCACGGGAATGCCTGAGGAGTACAGATACGCCGCTTCGCACAGCTGCGTGCTGGAGAAGGTCGTGAACTTATCATAGTGAATCACTAGTCCGGCTAGAGGTGAGGATAGCTTGCCGGCAGGGGAGGATTCAACCAATGAGCTTTCTAGCAGGCAAGACAGTGTGTAACTCTTGCCACTTCCTTGACTGCCACAGATGAAGGTAGACCATGGTGCCGACACGTTGGCATACACAAGATCACCTTGTGCCGGTGCGTTGCCAGCAGGTCGTTTGCGGAGACCCAGAAGTCCATACTGGGGGTAAGTTCGCTCCCCGTTGGGATTTTTATCGTTATTCAGACGCTGGGTATCTAGAGCCTCACATGCTGAAAGGGAGAATAAAGGTGCCGTTATGACCTCCTCCTCCAAGCGGGTGTTGTCGTATGTCAAAGAATTGGTGTCAGCTTTTACCAGCTTCATATGCTCTTCTATCTCCTCTGCATTCATGTAGGGAGGGCGGGATGCCATGATGTTAAATTGTCACGTAGGAAAAGCTCCTGTTGGGGCCTTTTAGTAATCGTGGGGGTTGCAGGTGAGGGGGTTGTGGGAAGCGAGAGACGACGAGGTATAAGCGAAATCAGAAAAAGGCAGGAAGACTATATAGCCAGGTATGGAAAGCATCAAACGCAGGGCGCGTCATGATCAGGCATTCAGGCAATCATGCAATCAAGGACGAACATCCAGTGTGTTTGCTCATGATAGGTCTCTTCCTTTTCTCTCTTTTTAGTCAAATGTCAATTTTAGAATTTCTAAGATCATATAATGACAGGACTCTCTCCTATGGTCCATATTACTGCTCCACAGCCCCAAGGTCAGAGTACTTAGTTTAACAGATACCCTAGATCCTCTCTCCCATTTTCCTGCAAGGGGGCTATCTGACTTTAGGCAGCATTACGCTATAAGAGTAGGGCAATTTAGCTCCATTAGAGGTCCATTAGTATGACTGGAAGGCCAATCAAGATGAGAAACCGAGTCCTAATATATTGGTCAATCAAAATAAATGGCTTAACTTATCTACGTGTTGCTTTGCGAACTTGACGACTTGAGACTATATAAGAGAGGATATATCTAGAAGATATTCGAGGTATAATATAGAACTGTATCTAACCTAGTCAGGCCATAAAATATTTGCGCTCTGAATTCGCGGAATAGTCAGCTCTTCTATCGGTTAGCACTATATATAAGAGACCGGTGGCACTGGCTGCTGGGACTTAGCTGGCTCTCGCCAAACTAGACATAAAGGTATGGCCGTGAACACAATATGACTCAAATGCTAATGAAAATAGCTAAAATAGTGGTATTGAGGCTTGTAAGTACTTCTAGGCTGAAGAACAGTTCAAGTTGGAAGATATTGCAGCCTATGACAGCCAAATTTGGAAAGTGAGCAAAACGAGCAATCTAGCAAAGTACAATCTGCTAATTATGACAATTACCTGCCCACCCTTTGCTGGGCCTCCTATCGCCCCCCAAATCTCGCAATAGGTTTGCCTCCCGCAATGTTCCAGCCATGGCATTGGTACCAGTTCGACCTTTCATCCCCAATGAAGAAGTTGGATTGAGCTTGATCAAGGCGTTTCTTTAGCCATAATCCGGTTTCGTACCTATTCAGTCTAGAGCTGATCCTTTGGAAGAGCCCTGACGAAGCTGTTTCTTTGGAAGCCTGGAAAACGAACTCATTTTCCACCTGGAAAGCCTTGGAAATTTCGTTGAACCGAGCTCGAGTTAGGGTAAACACCTGTGATAGAGGATGCTGAAGAGTGCAGAGATGTGTAAACGTCCCAGATGCTTTCTGATAGGATGACCGTCTTAAAGTCTCCCTTTGAGGTTGAAAGTACTCAATTGGATTTTTTTTTGGTCATATCGCAGGTTCAAAGTGAGGAGAGATTCAAGCATACTGTACGACTGTACGCAAAATGGGGTTCTGATACTTGATTAGGAAAAATACCAGGCTTGTCCTTACTCATATGTTTTGTTGATCGGATAGGCCCCCACGGACATTCGACCCAGGTCTTTTAGGCTATTAATCAATATCAGCCCATATAGTATGGCATTCAAAGGAGGCCATTACTTATATGGACTGTGTTAGTGTCCTAATCAGGGAACATTAATAACTATTGGATAGTAAAGGATCAAACGCTTCATTTCGCAGTTCAAAAATTCTTTTTTTTTTTTTTTTTTGCTTTTTTTCTTTTCTTGATTGTTTGTGCATTGCTTCTGTAATCATCATCTTCTAGATAGAAGATGGGGGAAACGTCCTGAAAACTAGAGAGTATGCACAAAAAACAGGCGATAGATCAAATGCTTTCTTGAGAGGAATATGTGTTGTGGTAATGTCACAGTGGCGCAGAACAAATGTACCGATCTCTTCAAGTGTTGAATCCTTCTTCATTCGGTGCTCCCACGCTAGTGCACAAGCAGGCGATTGATAAAATGCTTTGTTGAGAGGGATGTGTGTCGATATGATGGCTCGGTGTGACGTGGAACAAACGTGCGAGTCTGTTCAAGCCCTGAATCCCAGTTCGTTCATGTTGCTCATCATCAAGTTCTCCCACTTTTGACTTTGCTGCTCAAAGCCCCCGCTAAAGGATCTGGGGGTGAAGATCATCCCCATACGCAACAACCTAGAAATAAGTACGTGGTCTTTCTTTAGGATTGCATATCGTAAGGCCTCAGGACCGAGCTGTTGAAGATCACAGCCATAGTCAAACATCAACAGGAGAATCCTTTCGTTACGACTGAGGAGTGCAGCGTACAGGGGATTTGGTATTTCGCAAACCCAGCCAGGGGTCTCAACTCCGTCAATCATCTGTATGGTCTTGTGCTTTTGGGTGAGCTTGAATGGTTGTCGGTAAGGGTGTTCGTCTGAACGTAAATCCGAGATAAACCGCAACGTGGGTTTTGGACTTTCGTCGTTCACATCGGCACCTTTGCTAAGTGCAAATTTGACAACATCCTCGTGGCAGTGCCAAAGTCCCTCGTACATGATGATCTGTGCAGCATCTTTGACGGTAAGGAGTCGAGGAGCTTCGTCAAGGAAGGAGAACAGAACCTTGAGAACTTCTAAATGACCCCGAGCTGCAGCAAGCTTGAGTGGCCGTCGCAGCTTGAATTCACCCGTGAATGCATCAGCATCCTTGAGTAGGAACTTGACCACCTTGACGTGACCATTTCCGGCGGCCTGTCGCATCGGGGTTTCGTAGTTATCGTCGAGAAAGTTTGGATTGACACCTTGGCGGATGAGAAGACGGACACAAGGCATCGAGCCAATTTCGGCCGCTACAGTCAAAGGGTGTGGCTTTGGGTATCGTGGGAGCACAGTAATGGACTCGGGAGCATTGCGATCTTTCAAATGAGATTTGAATCGATCTAGCAGCGGAACTGTGGCACCGGCCGTGAGGCACTTGAGGATGGTTCCAGAGAGGCCTCGTTTAGCTGCCCATAAAATAATGGCGGCGTGTTCCTTTGCCGTGTTTGTTTTGTAGAGTTTGTCTTCAAACATCAGGAAAAAACGTGTGTTCGTGCAAATGAGGGCATTGAGGTCCTTCTTGGACTCAATGTTGCTCTCAATCATGAGAATGAGCTCCGTGGGCAGCCACTCGAGTGACATGGTTGCTGTCGGTACAAGTCATGTTAGTGTTGGACATGTGAGAGTCGGGAGGAAGGTTGTCACAAAAATAACGAGGATACCAGCTGGAATGATAAGGACTGGGCTGGTATTCAAGAGCAACAGGGAAGGAAATGCGAGGGGATGAGACATGAGCAGAGTGAGAAATATGAGGTTGGCGAGACATGATCAGAGTGAGAGAGTTGAGGTTGACGAGAGAAGAGAAGAGGAAAGGGAAGATAGAAGACAGGTGCCTAGTTGTGAGAACCGAGTAATAGGAAAGTGAATGAAAGAGACTTTAGAGACGACCGACTGAGACTACAATGGAACAGGCTGCCTCGTTTGTCAGGCGTCTGTCGCTTTATATTCACCTAAGTTAGATTGAACTACCCTAGCCGATCAATGGTCTATGATCTACCGATTAATAGCTATTCGTGGCTATCAATTGAATCTGGATATCTCGTAGTCTGCAGTAGAACCTATCTTGGCATGACAATGACTTCTAAGCTTTTCGAATTTGCCTGGACAGAATGACATATTCTGTTAGGTATTATGACTCTACTTTGTTGGATGTCCAAACATGAGAAACAACCATAACGACGTGAGCCTCCTTGAAATCATTATAATCCCGATCCAGGTGGACGAAGATGAACTAACTCTGTTGATATGCGATCTCAGAAAGGGATATTGATATACATACACAAGCAACAACGGTGCATTCAATAGCTAACGTCGGGACTGGGTCCGACACACCCACATTGTTCATGATCTTTGAGAGTGGATTGCGACCACGCCATTGAATTTGAGGTGATGTGCAGTTATGCTCATTATTTCACCCCCATAACCGTTGTAATACTACTAAGAACTGAATAAAGGCAATAAGTTATATTTAGATATCTTGCACAGCTGCATATTCTCAGGGGTCAAAAACTGCATTCATCTGAGGTAGCAATCGACCCGAGCCATAAATTCTCTTTCACCCGTTCCAGCTCCCGGGATATCTTCGCGCCATTATGCGCCACAAAGTCTCCATGATAGTCAAACAAGGCGGCTTCCACCATTGACCGTAGCTGGGGGTCTGCAGTAACGATCCATGCTGCTGATAGACACAGTAGTACGTATCCTGCTCCAACAGGTCGGTGCATATTGGACTTCTGAGCATGTATGAGAGTATCCTCAACAAGCCAGCTTGAGTCTAGCAGGGAGATGTAGTCACCGGGGTCTAGTGCCTGAAGAATGCAGTTGAAAAATGTTGTGATTGCGATACCAATTCCATGAGTGCGGAGATAATGTGCTCGCAAGATTCGGGTCATGAAGGTTTCTGGCCTAGCACTGAGCGAAGTTTCAGCTTCAACTGTTCGTGCTTTCAATTCGCCCAGAATCAATTTGCATTCTTCGTATATTGCTCGGACTTCCTCTGCCAAAGGCGTTACATCTTCGCCGTCGCGTATAGCTCGTTTGCCACGTTTTATTAGGACTGGAGCCTGTGCTAGAAATTGCACAATCTGGCCTTCCGGTTGGTTATTATCAAAGTCATTCTTGACTAAGGCATCCCACTCTTCGGGACTTAGGTCGATAGCATCATTGTATAAACCTTCGAATAACTTGGGTGTGATCAGCTTGGCTTATGAGGGAGATGAGGGTCTGGGGTGATTTACCACACTTCCCCGTAAAGAGAGAAACAATCTACGTTCAAAGTCATCGCGTGGGCCAAAGTTCTTTCGCGCTTTTAGAATGCTAGCGGCCCCTTGCGCGTGTCCTGATATTTGCGCGTTATTTCCCATGAATGTTTGACAGAGCAGAAGTATCATCACGGCACACAGCGTACTGGAAGCACTCGCCTGGAGCGGGTCATCTAGATAAACTCTTAGCGTTCTGAGCGCATGGGAATACTTGGCTAGTGCTTCAACCGAAATTGGTTGGCGCGCGCAGAAGCCAGCATGGGCAGTCGTAAGAGCATCAACTGCACGGTCAAGTGCTTCATTACTTCCGATTCGTCGGGGTACATCTTCCAAGAAAATGCCAAAAGCCCACCACAAATTGTATCGGAGATCAGTGGATCGTTTTATGGCGCCGACAAACGAACTGGTCAATGATGTCATACTGTTTCCAGGACATGCGCGGGGTATCTGAAAATGATATTGTTTATTTGTTGATATCGGTTTTAAGGCGAAAGTCATTTGGCTCTGATTTGGCTGGGAAAAGTGTTCCTGCTTGAACTTGAATCGTTGCTGACCGGACCCCACACAGCTCACTTTAAGTCGAAGACATCGTCCACATGCAGGTTGTTTCTCATCGCACTTTGTATCATATTAGAAATAGCACTCTGTGCCATGATTTTATCGGTACCTTTTTCTTTTGCCTGCGGCATGCGTCACAGGCCCGACCTGATGGGACACCTGGCATGGCGCACGGGAGAAGCGGAGCGTGGATCTCAAAATGGACACTGCAGTGGTTCAGAGACCTGGCTATGGAGTACAGGGGTACCCCGTTAGAGGCTATAAAATCGTAATATATCGCACTAAGAAAGAAAAGGATGAAAAGGCCCAAAACACCCAAATTGAGGTTTATTGGGCTACCCAGTCTAACCGCTTTTAGTTAAATGTAGCGCTCTGTGAGGCTGAGTCAAACGTCGCTGATTGGCCAGTTCATCAACTATATGGGCGGGGCTACGGGGCGGAATATCGACAAGTACAGCTCTGTCTAACCTGATAAAGACATATGCACCGCTTCATAGTGTGTATACATGGTGAGTGAAAGGATATTTAAGCATTCTATTCCCCTCTCGTATATCCATCCATAATTCATTGGATTTCCATCATGACCTCGAATAACTCTCATGCAGAGGAAAATCTCTACTTGTACAATCCAAGTCATATATTACCAGCTATATTTGCGGCCTTGGTCGGCGTGTCTCTATTCCTACATATTTACCAAAACTAGTAAGTTGATATACAACCTGAGACCGGAGTTGTTCTAACACCTTTAGTCGCTATCGATTCTGGCGCGTCACATTCTTCATCTGCTGGGGTGGAGCCCTGTTCACTGTGGGCTGGATTCTCCGCTGCATATCAAGTTATCATTCAGCAAACTTAAACATCTACATTGCATCAACAGTCTTCATCTATGTCGGCCCACCAGTTTACTCAGCCGCCGCCTATAACCTCATCGGGCGTCTCATGAACTACCTACCAATGCACGCAGTCCTCAATCCAAACCGTGTCCTCATCTTCTTCGTCTATGTCGGCGCTGCCGTGGAAGCAATTACAGTCGTAGGAGCAGCCAAGAGCGCATCAGCCGGCTCTGACCTGGACAAGATCAAGTCCGGTGGAACACTCATTGCTGCAGGTCTTGTTCTCCAAGCAGTGGTCGAATGCTGCGTGATCGTGGTCGTTGCAACAGTTCACACCCGCTGTTCTCGGGCACGGATGCTCCCGCCAAATGTTCGTATGATCTGCATCACACTCTACGGGACATCGAGTCTTGTCTTGCTACGGTGTATCTTCCGCGCCGTCGAGGCATTCGAGATGTTTGGAAATCTTGGTTGTCGGGTGAACTGCGGGCCTATTGTCAGCAACGAATGGTATCTATATGCATTTGAGTTGGGACCTATGCTTCTCTTCACTTGGTGGCTCAACTTAATGCATCCTGGTCGGCATCTGCCCCGTCAAAAGCTACGGTATCTCTGTCCTGATGGTCGCACCGAGCGAATGGGTCCCGGCTGGATTGACCGCCGTTCTCAGTGGGAGACCTTTGCCGATCCGTTGGATTTGAAAGGGGTGCTTAAAGGTGAGCCTTCTCATGAGAAGTATTGGCTGCGGGAAGGTGAATGGCCTGTGTGCAAGGATGGTAGTTTTGCTCTGGGGACTGCTACCAATACGAGGGCTGCATCTGAGGACGAAAAGGATCTCGCTCCACTTAGTCCTCCTGTTTGATACTGGATGTGTGACATGATTTGTTGTATATATTGTATTTGAAGATGCTGTGTGTTTTTTAGTTTTTTCTATGATGCCTTTCTTCCTTGCTGGCTGCGAATAATTCCCAATATGTTTATATAAACCTAGACTTGGACGTCAATTTACTCGAAGAATATATCTTTATCATATGACTCACAATTGGACTTATGAGATATACCACATTTACCTCTACCCAAGACCCATTAGGAGGATTATATATAAGTCGAGTATGAAGAGGCTGGTTGTCTTCCAAGCTTGCTTGACCCCGGGGCCCTGGGGACCAATCTTCATCAATCATATCTCATTGCATCCAGTATTTACAGCTTGGCCTGTTCGAGTGGACTCAGCTTCCTCAACGGGGGCCCTGCTCTGCTTCCATCGCCCGCCATAGGCCCGTTTGAATCATCCCGGGGAGGGTTCATCCTCCACTTTTGACGCAAAGCTTCGGGTGCTTTGTTCTCAAAACAATCTGCGATATATTGGCCCAAGATAGGGAGGAATTTGAATCCACTAAAATCGGGTTAGTTGGTATGAAGACATAATGTGCAGAGTAATAATTTCAATCGACACTTACTGTCCTGCACCACCAGTAGCCATGAACAGCCCCTGTATGGTTGGGTGGTGATCGATAATGAAGTCTCCATTGGGGGTATCCGTGTACCAGCACAGGCGACGGTTCATCCAAGGACGGTCGCCCAGCTTGGGGAAGAACTGACGCAACCCCTTTCGCAACGACTCATCCGCGTCATCAGGCAGATATCCAGTGGCCGCATTGCTGGTTTCGAACTTCGGCGAAGAAAGTGTCTTCTGAACACCATCCACATTGACACTGATGTCTGTCGCATACCCATAACCGTGGCGCGCAAGCTTGAGAACATTTGTGTCCGGTGTAGGAGGGAAGGAGAACACGCCGGAGCTCATGTTGATCATGACAGGGATCTTTCTCATCTCGAGAGCCTCCTCTTCGGTCAACTGAATGAAACCAACAGGCTGGCCAGAGGAAGATGCCGCATGGCCCATGTTCAAAAGACGGTTAGTCCACGCCCCAGTGCTCAAGATCACCTGTGAAGCAAGTAATACCTGCCCTCCAACAAGGTTGACACCAACAACGCGCGAGCCCGCCCGACGGAGGGAAAGAACAGTGCCGCGAGGCCCGGCAATTATCGAAACACCCGCCACAGTACACTTGGAAGCCAGCTTCTGAATGCTGCCTGCGGCATCGGCCCAGCCACCTCTCGGATTGTGATATCCATTCATGCCAGAGAAATCAGCCTGTACACTGGGGTAGAGTTTGCGGATATCCATGGCATCGTCGAGATCGTCTACTTTGCCGCCTGCCGCCCGGATTATAGCCTTGGACTTCTCCATGTAGTCGTTCTTAGGCGTTTCCGAGAACAAGGCAAATCCTGATTCGAAGTATTGGTCTTTGTACTCGGTAGTCCATCCATTGTATGCCTCCCTGGCCATTTGGGAATAGATTGGATCCGCGTAGTCGGCGCGAATAATGCGCGAAATGTCAACGCTGCTTCCATCTGCTGATGGTGGAACAAATCGATCGACAACGGTGATATCCGTATATCCGCGCTTGTTGAGTTCAAGAGCGGTCGAAAGACCGAAGACGCCAGCGCCCACGATCAGAATTGAGTCTGTCTTAGATGTGGTCATTTTGAGCTATACATTAATAGCCAGAGGAGTGTCGTTGAACTACACCGGTCGGAGGATATATCCTTATAAAATGCGGAGGCCGGCTCAGTACCGAGTCTTGGCGTTCGGAAAGGTCGGCACCCGGTCCGTGTTCCCCGGGTGAGAAGATGAATGAAGAAGGCCTAGATGCCAACCTCGCCTGTGGAAGTCGGATTAACGCTTAGCCAGTCTTCAAATGCTCTGCCGTAATCTTGTAGCTGGAGGAATAACGTGTCACCACCACCAAACTCCATACTAGGATCTCCTGAAATCCCCGAAAAGTCCATCCGCGGTGAGGTTTGAGAGGTTTGACTCGGCGCTTGTATGGGATCCTCATTTTGCTCAGGTGGGTAGGTGACACACTCGGCGGCCACTGTCTTGTGGCCTGAGATCCCAGCAGATCCAATCAAAGCAAAATCACGTTCGGTGATAGCACCAGCGGAAAGGTCCCCTGAGCATCCGACACTGTCTTTGGCAAGTTCCGGGCCGAAGATGTCGCTAGCAGGATCTGATATATTGCTTGCATGGGCATATACTAAGATTTTCCATAATAACTGTAAGTTCACAGACCACTTCTGGCGAGAATTGGTTCCTCCCGGAGCGATGTTGTCTGTCATAAGGCCTCCAGGAGAAACGCTATCCCGGAGTTGTTGCAGTTGTTGGACCTAAAGTAGACATCAGAATCAATACACCAAAGTAACAGCTGGGAGAGACTGGCCTGGCGATCGATGTGTGGCCACCGACGACCCATGCTGCGTAAAAATCTGAGACATTTCTCAAATCCCGTTTGCGCCTTTCTGTTAAAAGCTTGATCTTCCACAAAACTATGTTGAAGGTAGATCGTGGCAACAATTGCCACGCACTGCCCTATGGTCGGGTCAGATACCTCGAAGTTCTTCGCCTCGATAAGCTCGAGAAAATGAACAACCCAACCCGAGTGGAAGGTCAGCTGCTCGAAAGAATTTCGGAGGAATGACTGAGGCATTGTCCTCCGGAAGTTCCGAAGTCGCATAGATAACAGGAACGGATGGTTTACCAAACAGGGAACTGCGTGCCAAACGAGCTGGAAGAATAGCCATGGGCTCCAGTAGTCACGGCGAGCCTGAAGCTCGGCGGCTGGATGATCTTGGAAGCGACTTGCATGCAGTCGGAACCTGAGTGGCATGAGACTCTCGTGCTCACAGTGTCGGAAATTGATCATGGAGTAATCAGAGTTCGGAGACCACGGGGGATGAGCGTCAACGCCGACATGGCTGGCGGCATAATTACATGACATCGCCCATAGCTCGCTTGTGTAAACACTACTACCAATGATACCAATGTCCGGTTTTGAGACACCGCTGTTACCACGGCTAATGTCTTTGTTGGAAATCATGGCACCCAATGGAGAGACGATTTCACCAGGCTCTGCAAGTAAGTCCAAGCTGTCTCCAGGTGGATGTAGAGACCCTTGGAGGTTTTTGAGCATGACGAGGCTTATGTAGCAGAGCTTGCGCTCATCACGTTCAGTTTCCAAGTTGTTTAAAGACTCCAGGCCACTTATTCTGAGGTTTTTCATGAAATATGTGGCGAGTCTAGTATAAGACCCTGCTCGAATGATATGACCCGCTGGGCAGATGAAACACAATGTTAGAAGCGAAGACAAGAACACAGGCTAGGGCTGTTTTACCTGTAAATTCCAGCATACTTAGAAGACAAAGTGTCTGAATCGTAGATAGCTCCACAGTGCCGGATGCCAAACGCATCATGACCATCTGACAGGCTCTTCCTGTTTTTCTTTTCACCTCCGATTGTATGTCTTGGTCAATGGCCCCTATTCCTTTGAAGCGAGCACCGAGAGCTTCAATTGCGAGTAAAAGCTCGGGGTCCCGCTTCCCCAACGAGGCCAGAGAGGACCTGTGTGGGAATAATAAAAGGGGCTGCGCGTTACAAAAGGTTAGATAAAGCTCAGCATCCGGGATCCCGGACGATCCAGCTCTACTTCAATGGTCAATGAAGAACTCCTACAAGCTTATCCCAAGCTTAACTCACATAGAAGAGCTCTCCAGAGGTGTAAGCTCTGGTATCTGGGGGTGTTTCTCAGGGACAATTGGCGCCAAGGGGTGATTAGAGGCAGGTCGCCTACGACCTCAATCAGCCAAATAGAACAGGGTATAGACGCAATTGCAACACACTTGATATATTCCATCAATTGCTCTAGTTTCCCCTCAATTCCGGAAATGCGTTGTTCCTGCGCCACATTAGAATCCGTCTAGGTTCTACACACGCAGGTATCAATTATACTTACCATCATCTTCTGTGATTGCCATGATACTTCCTCTCCAGACTCATTGCCCGCATACACGCACTGTTGACCCAGCCGCTCGCAGTATGAGCAATTCGGTTTTTCTCCTGGGCACCGCGACTTCTTCCGGCTAGAGGAATGTCAGTTCGAATTGCCTCTCAACTTGGGAAGTTCAAGCTCACCGGCACGGCTCACAGGCCTGACGAGCACGTTTTACTGGTCTTTCGTCCTCCGCTGACGCCATTTTGCGTATGTCACCATAAAGTGTGATGATCTGAGCTGTTCGGGGTAAAACGTCGATCTAAGGCGGGGAACGACTTTGCAGACTGTGGGTCCGAAAGAAAATGCATACAAAGCTCCCCCAGCTTCTGTTCTATGTCGCTATTTCCAAATTGGAATTTATCCTAATATGTTTACTATTATACATTTTCCAGTTCTAACACGCTAAGACAAATAACCAAGCAGAAATTTAATGATGAATATAGGTCGATTCAAGCCCTGTTGACTCTAAGTCATCGTTGGTTCTATATACACCCACATCCTCTGACTGTAGAAGGAAACAGTAATAACAGCCGAAGAGTCAATTGGGATTCGGTGGACAACGCAAGGCTTTGGCTGATATCCTCACGCTTAATCTATACTATCACAACAAGCCCTGAGGGACTTCAAATGGCCCAACTTGCCATGTAGTCTATGCTGTTAATCAGGGATATCATCATAACTCATCCAATTGCAATATAGCAAATCTAGGCTTTGATGAGCACTTTGCACAATATGGGACTCGAATTTGCGTGTTATAAGTTATGCGCGACTTAGTCCACGGTGTTCTAGGCATACAAGCAGGGTTCCTGCGACCTGAAAAGCGTGAGACTGTGCAACTCGGTATATTTTGTTAGAGATATAATGAAAGATGAAGACTTGAAATTTGTAAATTTCCCCATAGTGATCGATGATCATGTGATCTGTCACTGAGCTGACGTCGGCTCCGATTCCCCAACCTTCGAAGCTTTTGGCCACTCACCTCCGCCTCACTCATTTCCGTGTACTCTTCTCCGGTCTCTGTGTTGCGTCACTTCTAATACATACACTGCGAAACTATCAAGGAAAACTTGGAAGTATTCAAAATGAGTGACGCCTACGAACGCGAGCAGTATGTCCCCCTTTCGCCGCCTTGTCCTGTCGGACATCCCTATGAAACGAGTCATGTTTTGATCTGAGTGCTAATACTTTGAAACAGGCAGAATAATGCGCTCCTCAATTCCCTCTCCTCGAAAGTCTCAGCCCTTCGGTCCGTGACGATCGATATCCATGATAATGCGCGGGACCAGGACACTCTCGACCATACGGTACGTCTTGATCAACCTTTCCCTGGTCCGATAATCACTCGAAATTTGAGGATATTTTGACTGGGGCCTTGGTTTGGTTAACTTGCAACTGACAATACTGCCTTCTTAGAGCGATGTATTCTCCTCTTTCTCAACGAATCTCAAAGGCAGCGCCACTCGACTGACGCGGATGGCGAAACAAGGCGATTCTGTGGCCGTGCTGAAGATCGCTGCCATGTGTATCGCTGCTGGTATCGCTCTCTATATCATTCTTGGGTGGATCTTCTGAAGCACTTCTTGCGTCTTTTCAACCTGCTGCTTCCTCGATACCCCGTCACCCACATCCCCCGTCCCCCTCAATCTTCGATGCGCTTGCTGGACCGAGACTGCTATCGAACATTTATGACCCGATCCTGCCATGTTATTCGATGGTGCTGGGTTGTTTTCGTCTCATAGGCCGCATCTGTGCTTCGCTCAATCTTACCATGGCATGGTACATTGGATTGCAGTGTATGCTGTGCTCCAGGATTCCCCCGTCGTTCTCAATATACTCGTCCTGTTCTCAGGCTGTGCCTGTTATAGACATTGCGACCCGACCCCTACCTCCTTCGACCCACTTTGGTCACCTTCCGGCCTCTGGGTTATCTTGATTGACGTTTTCATGATTTGCAAATCGGCCCAAGTGGTTCTGTTTTCTTCTTTGGAGCCGCTGGCTCTAAATCCCACTGCGACCTGCATTTTTTGCTTATCCCTTTCTATGTCATTAATACTGTGCTTACTCGTGAACATAATACATATCCCCATCTCACTAGATCTGTTCGGCCATACCCCAGTATTTCCTCGTTGCGTAATCGAAGTATACCAATGGATCAGGTGGATATATGTACCAGCTGGTCAATGTCATCTAAATTGTACCCGTCGGCTCCCCGGAAGGCTCTACTGACATCACCAAGTGGTCCATTACCCCATAATATATTGGATCTACCCCCAAAAAACTCTAATACTAAATTATCAGTTTAAGCTCACCAAATCTGTGGCAATGTGAGCTAACCAAAAACGGAGGTAGTAGGGGCATAATGAAAGTCCGACTTAGACTCTTTTCTCGCTCCATTTCTTCTCACTCCTCCAATCAGATGTAGGAGTCAGGAAAGTTTATTTATCATACAGACTTGAAACACTTGTTCTATTGTGTCGTGTGCCACATTTCTAGTTTTGATATCAGAACGCTATTTTTGGCAAATATGCCTTGAAATACCATCTGGGCTTGGGGTAAGTTGACTGTTGGCGCAGAGATCAAGGAAGAGACTTTTTTTTCCAGCAAATAGCTACCACTGGTACCACAGTGCATCTTGATCGACATACTGTGCGCATCTTAACTTAACCATAACAAGTGCAGAGTATGATCCAACATAGCACTATAGGAAGCTGTAACATCACTAGACCTATTGAAGATTGTAACACCGAGCTCAACCCTAGACAATGCTAGACAAAGGTACACTGCATACGGAGTACATGGTGCTAATTTGACCAGGAGGTCCGATGAAACGGTTCTTCAACGTTCGAGTGGCATGATATCCGCCTATGAGTTCATTCCTCTGATCGGGCAGCCAATCCTATGGTGCATAACAGGGACAGATGCTTAACAATATCAGTTCCACATGTCTCGTCTGGTATATGCAGCGGCATTGCGGTTCTGCATCCGAGGCGGTTGCGCTGGACGCTATTCCGACAGCCGAGGCTGCCTAGCTACATACCCATGACGACATACAAAGCCTGCTAACAAAAAGGAAAACCAGTTCCCATACAACTAGCAAGCTAAGCATCTGGGCATAGTGAAGTTTCTCCCTACCTTCAATCATCCCGCTGCAACAAAGCCGTATGAGATTGCTTCGACAGGGGTTTCCAATTTTGATTTGCAACTGCAGATCGCTAAAATGATCGACGCTTAGAATATAAGCATTGAAAGCGTATTACCTCTTTTGGCGACTGACATAACGTCTAGGTATTTTGTACGATATACATCCCACTTTTGATCTAGACCTCTAGACCGTAAAAGCTGAACCAAAAACCCTCACTGCCCATGTGGACTGATTCCGGTGTACAATTGGTCCAACCGAGGCCGTCGTAAGTGTAAAAAAATTCTTTCCCGTTCTTGGCAAAGAGTTGATCCACGCGATCTCTTTTAGTTCCCGCTAGGCATTGCGACCTAGCCCCTGGCGATCACCGGAAGCTGTATTATGCCCTATGGGTATTCGGGCCGAGAACTACAAAGTTTTATATTGCGTTTGAAAGCAAGAGTTGTCTCTGTGCGCTGTTTATTTATTATCTGAATTATGAGGTTTTCTCTAAATTAATTTTACCGTAACTTTCACATGTATCTTGAGGGAGTTAACAATCCTTATTAGTATACGTATACGGAGTACGAAGACCCGTATTAGGAAGGTACCAGGGCCCCACTGCCTTAAAGCGCCTATCTAAAAAAAATTAACCGAACTGATAAGCTCAGACTAGATGAGGCCTGTTGATATTTACAGTTGATTTGTGATTGGCTATATTTAGTTGCGCTTTGACTCTTTGACGCGTCTCTTGATATGGTTTGGTAATGACAATATAATTTTAGCGTTAGCTTGCCAGCATGCCTAGATCTTTACAGGTTATGTGTACAGTGCCCACCTGGGCAGTTTGACAGCTATTAATATTCAAGTACATCATGACCCATATATTTGTTATAGTAGGACAATGAAATTGAGACAAAATGTATAAGAATATATAAATATATAAATATAAAAATATAAAAATAGCAATAATGAGTCAATCAGGATGACGACATTTTATAATAAATGTTATCAGCAAACAAATCGGAATGATGCGATCCGAGCCCTGGACAAGAAAAGACCTTGGAAGTTCTGGAACCCACAGAGAATTTTATAGTGGAGTGTCTGCAAAAGTTCACCGTCGATCTTGTCGGAGTGGGGCCGGTCAATTAAAATTTTTGTAGCTTTGACCCTTGGCTGATATTTGTTGCCCTTTCGAGATAATGTAAAATATCTCAATTGTCTTTGGATGATTCTAGGCCTATCAATTAAGCAGGCCGTAAGGTTCCAAGGTTTAGAACAAAGGATTAGCTACGGGTCGCACACCGTGGGAAGGTAAATAATTGTCCGTGGTGGACAATGTCAAATAAATAATTAAAAACAGAGAAAACCAGTTTTAGCCTAAAATTGCACACCGGGAAGCCTAGTATAAAAAGACGCGTTGAAGTGTACTCGGGTAGATAAAATCGGCAAGCAATCGGGATTCCGATCCGGGTGAAGCGGAAATGCCCGAAATTCGAAGGCATCCCGACCTGGGCCCACGGCTTCGAATGCCCCGAGTCCTAGCTTTGCGACAAAAATGTACAACATACGGAGTATCCGAAACAAGTCCGCAGAAGTGGGCCTGTAATCAGATGTTTGTATTGAGACCTTATCTATGGACTACATATGGTTTTACACTTCCAAGGTTGAAATCGCTCACAATATGACCCGCTTTGAACCTATCACAACGCCACGGGCATTGACAGCTAGGTGGGGCTTGTTTATCACTACCAAGTTCCCGCTCTTACCGCAATGCTCATCAGGGACTCGAGTGATGTAAGTCTTAGGTTACTATACTCTGTAGATCACGGATATTTCCGAATGCTCCCGGTGAAACCAGAAACGAAGCTTGCTAGGTTAACATCAAAGGTACAACATACGAAGTATAGATTTCATGCAGCGGGAATTTGCAGGGGTGTCTTAGGCACGCCACCTGCAGGGAGAACCCCTACCTACGGAGGACAGGGATATTTGAAACTGCATTTGTCATCGTATCTGGGCAGTATCGGTTTGGTAGAGTGCCAACTCTTGGCGTGAACGGCAGTTAGATTGAAACAAGGCTGAAATTCTAGTAAAGTATATTTTCCATTTGAGTGGCGCCATCTGGAGCCTGATAGGAGCAGTGTATATGCCGCGACTGGTGGAGTGCATATACAGGATTAGCCTAGATAGGGAATACCCTGTTTACTATAAAAGTGGAGGTCAAAGTTGACGATCAGGTTTGAAGTATGAACCTTATATTGTCTATCACTTCATGCCGTGTAACTTCAAAAAGCACATGTACGTTGGCATTCTGCATCGTAAGAGATCTTCAACCCATGCGGGAAGGGTGATCCCGAGGTATGTGCAACATGGCATGGCGTGGTACATAAAATGGGTAAATGAAGACCCGGAAGACCTGATTAATTTCATTTATGAATGTGATAGTATTCAAATCTTATTCTGAAGAGAATGTGATTTGTGTTTGATATCAAAGAGCCCTAAATAATGATATAACAAAGTAAATATGTGTGCTCTTTGGGAGCTTCGGAGTATAGGAAGACACGTGCATATGCATATGCAAAGGCCTGACATATGATAGCGCTGACGTAAAACACACCAGGCACTCATTTTGATGTGATTTACCGGTTAGAACGGATCTAAGGTTCTTCTTAGGATCTCTCAAATCCTTTAAAACCCCGGTGTTTCGCCATTGTTGCATTTTCTCGCTATATACGCTAAGTCGGAGCCTAACCTCTCACCTGGTATTTCTCAATATTTCTATTTGAGATTAGTCATTTTGTTCGCCACTACAAAAGAAAAATAATCAAAAGAGGAAAAAAGAGAAAAAAAAGCGAATTAATCGCCGCTTCCGGCACACTCCACTGAGGACCCGCGACTCGGACCAGCCTTGCGTATCTGGCCATGTTCCGGTAGATCAACGATAGAGAAAAAAACGGAAAAAATACCGAGCTTACCAGACAACTTGAAGTTCCTTTTACTTCTTACTCTTTACTCTCCTCTTCATATTTTTACCCAACTTTCTTGCCCATTGCTGGCAAATTCCAAATGGCTCTCAGCTTCTTCAGCGGTGGCGGGAGCGCCAGCAGCGCCAAGTACTTTGACATTCGGTGAGTGGGGGACCTGCATCTTGTGTGAACTGCACATCTGACTTTATGCAGGTTGAACGATGATTATATCGTTTTTCGTGGCGGTGAACATGAAGCTGCGAGCGCGCATCTGCGGGGCACTCTGATTCTCTGTTTGTCCGAGCCGCTCACCATCAAACATATCCGACTCCAGCTGACGGGCATGTCCCGTGTTTGGTATGTGTCGCACTATCCGAGTCTGAATAATCACTAACATGGCAATTCTACAGCTGGCACCTTCCATCTAGTGCAGCCGGCGGTGGCCGCAAGTCGTGGCGCGAGCGTGTGTTCTACGAGAAAACCTGGAGATTCCGGGAGCCGGGTAAGGGAAAAACCGAGGTCCTCCCTGCAGGCAACTATGAGTACCCTTTTGATGTGGTACTTGAGGGTTCCATGCCCGAGAGTGTGGAAGGTCTCGCTGAGACATGGGTGATGTACCGCTTCAAGGCCGAGATCGGCCGCAAGTACGTCAAGGACATTGTCGCGCGCAAACCGCTCAGAATCATCCGGACTCTGGACCCCAGCGCTCTGGAGCTATCGCATGCAATGGTAAGTGGTTATCGGCCTAACCGATGAAATTTTGCTAACGAATTTCCTAGTCTGTGGACAACATCTGGCCCAACAAAATTGAATACTCCATTAGTACCCCGACGAAAGCCATTGTCTTTGGAACCGCCATCACCGTTGATTTCAAATTGATTCCCCTTCTTAAGGGTCTTCGAATCGGTCAAATTACATCGCAGTTAATTGAAAGCCATGACCTTACGCTCAATCCAGAAGATCCGGATGCCATTCGCAACACATACAAGACCACAAGAACGATCTTGACCGACGAGCATGAGCTGGATGAGGATAACATTGAAATTATCGATGAAGCCGCGGAGGGATACCAATGCACGCGTATCCTAGACATGCCGCAGACATTGACCCGCTGCCTGCAGGATACAGACACCAAGGGGATCAAAGTCCGCCACAAGTTGAAGTTCCGTATTCAGCTACACAACCCCGACGGCCACGTCAGCGAGGTGAGTAATGGTAGAGCGACCGATCATATTTCTGTCAGGCTAACATCTCAATGCAGCTCCGAGCTACTCTTCCAGTTTCGATTTTCATCTCACCACACATTGCCATCGATGACAACAATAACCTTCTTGCTCAAACCCCCCAATCTACCCGGATCGCCGTTGATGAATTTGCGCACCAGGCACCCCCTCTTTACGGCGAGCACACGTTCGATCAGCTGTATAGCGAGGTGGACCCCAGCGGATATCGCACACCAGGTCCCAGCAGTGGCCCGGGGACGCCCTTCACTCCTCTCAGTCGCAACATCTCGTCAGAGAACCTGGCCTCCATGAACGCCCTAACCAACACCAATATCTCAGCTTCAGCGCTGCATCACCGTCTTACGAACCTGAACTCGAGTCCATTCCACCATCCTGTTACTCCTGGTACAGTCACTCCTGGCGAGCCAATCCACGGATCTCACTCCCCAATAGACACTCACCACATTCATCGCCAATTGGGTGTCTCCAATGACTACTTCGGACCAGCTTCCGGATCAAACTCACACAGCCATGGCAGTCCAGAACTCTCCCGTCGGCCATCCGATGAAGTGGAACCCGAAGTCCTTCCCTCAGGCATGGCAACTCCCTTTCACCCCCAGTACGATGAGGTGGAGACTCTTAGTCGGGTTCCCAGCTATTCGACTGCAGTGCGCTGTGCCGTGCGTCCATGTGACTCTGGTCTTCCCGATTACAATGCCGTGATTGCTAGTAGCCTTCCCACACTATCGGTCCCACAATCTCCCCAGCAGGCTTATATCCGCAGCGGCCGCGCAAGCGGCCCTGTAACCCCCATAGAGGTGCATAATCGCCCCGGCTTCGGCTTCTTCCACTCTCACGGCACCCATGCTGATGATGAGGACCGCAGACTTAGACTTGTGCAAGCTCGCGCCAGAGCATAAGGCGGGGTTAATCCTTCGACCCATGCATGATCCGCCTTCAATTTCCACCAAAAGTTCTCCTACCGGTGCTGGACACTGAGACCGCTGTGAACCGCCCTGCTCTTTCACGACTCTTTCCTTTTTCTCTCCACTTTTGCCCTCCTCTATCTCATGTCCTTATCCACGAATGATCACGCCCCCAGCATTAACTACCCCTTTGAGCCTCAGCCTCGGTCAACCTGGAACTTCTCACGCAACATGGTTTTGACTCGCTCTACTGCTCAACCGTGGCAGCTTCATACCTCTTCTCACTTCCCTTCCTTTCCTTGCAACTTCTTTTTCTCTCTCAGGCGTTCGGCATAGACAGGCAGGAATATTTTCATAGACGGTGACGCACAGTGTTTTGATCTTTTACTGCTTTTTTCTTTTTACCTTACGAATGGGATCCGATATGAACGAGCTGCACGACATTGAAAAAAAAATGCCCATCAGCACGAGCGACGCATACCAAGCCTTTACCGCATGTACTTAATTATTTTGTTGATTAGACCAAACTCTTCAATGCTTACCAGATTCGACATCTTCGATGATATCATAGCCTAATTAGGAAATTAGCTGTCGATCATATTAGGTAATGTTCTCCGAGGCCCTGGCCCTGCTCTCGGACTTGATTTCTTGTGTCAATGGCATTGTTTCGCTTTCGATAGATGTAACATTGAGGGCTCCATTGGCACATGGCCTCTGCCGCTTTTGGTTACTATCTATACGTATCATGGTCTTCTAGTCTGGTTAGAATTGAAAGCTATCGACATAATATACCTTTAGTACATAGTAGGACCTACCCAGTCCTTTGTACACAGTAGTAAGCACAATTTACCTCGAGTATTGTAGGTATGGATGCATTACATTTACATTCAAACCTATTCCGAAATATATACGTAACGTGCATATAACCTGACTATTGAGTTGGACATAAAGCCACAGTAAGGCCTGATAGGGTTGTAAGTGGCTTTGGGCTGAGCAGTGACCTCATTGGTGTTTGTCGATCGGTTAAGAATGAACTTTTTCGCCTTAATCTTTTCACCTAACAATATCTCTCAATATTGTCAGTCTATGTCAGTCTATTGACTCTGGGCTGTTCTGTGTAAGTTTGATCTCCGATTATGGATCTCTTTGTTGCTAACTATTGAGTGGACTAGACCGGCCATAGACTAGCGCACACCCCGCCTTGGTCTTCCACAGCCACTGCTAATAACCCCCCATTTATTCAATTTCAGCCACTTTAACTCTTCACCCGGTTCTGGGATAAGATAGCTTCGACATCTTTAACTGTCGACGACTTGAATTAGATCCCGAACTCACCTTACCCCGCTATTTCTCCGCCATGTCCACGACCCCCACGGATGTGAAGCTGCCTGTGCGGTCTGGTACCGTGAGCAGCACAGTCACTCGTCGTACTTCTATGAGCGACGATGAGGCTATCCCCGAGACCGATAGTAGTGAGGTGCGTATTCGCGATGTCCTGGAAGAAAAGAAATAGCTAGTACTGACGGTATGCTTGTTTCCAGACTACAACTCTCCTGCTTGAGCGTCTCCGAGCCTGGAAGCATATGTGCGGATATCTCGAGGAGTATTTCTCTGTTACCGCCAAAGTGCAGAAGTCCCAGTCCAAGGATTATGAGAAGATCTTGAAGGTCAGTGTGTATGCCAATGGGTCGGAGTAACCAGGACTGACAAAGAATGGAAACAGGCCGTGAACGAACCCCTCAAGGAGGGCCACCACTTCAGCTCCAGCGGAGGTGGTGTAGCTGGTCTCTTTGAAAACATCCGCAACAACACCCAGGGCATGGTCACCCTGTACATGGACGGCGAAAAGAACCTGAAGACCGCCGTGCTCCCTACCCTCGAGCGTCTGCACAAGGAGATCAAGAACAAGTCCAAGGAGCTGAGCACCGGTGCCAGCAAGGGAGCCAAGGCTGTTGAAAAGGCGCGCAGCCTGACCCAGAAGCACATCGAGCTCCTGGGCCAGAACTCCGCTGCCTTCGACGCCGCCGCCGGCAATAAAATCGAGCAGCACCACGACCCCTATCTCCTCAAGCGCGGCATCAACCACCGTCTAAACAACCAAGTGAACGAGGAGAACAACCACCGCCAGGATATCCTCGCCGTGCAGAACTCCTTCCAGCAGTTCGAAGCACACGTCTTGCAAACCGTGCAAGGCACCCTGGACCAATTCCACCAGCACATGGGCGGACAACTCGAGCGCCAGCGCGCCATGTACGCCGATATCCTCGGTACCGCACAGCGCATCCCACCGGACTTCGAATGGATCAACTTCTGCGTGCGCAACGACGCAGCCCTCGTCAACCCAGACTCACCCCCACGCTCCTTCTCCAGCATCACCTTCCCGAACATGGAGCACCGCGCCACACAGCCTCTGATCGAGGGTTCCCTCGAGCGTCGCTCGCGCGCCGTCATCAAGGGCTACAGCACTGGCTACTACGTCGTCACACCGGCCCGCTATCTGCACGAGTTCAAGGACAACGATGATTTCCGTCGCGACCCCACCCCCGAGCTCTCGCTGTACCTGCCTGACTGCATCGTCGGTGCTATCGATGGCATAAAGTTCAATGTGAAGGGCAAGGATGTCTCTAGCGGCAAAATCGGAAATGCATTCCACACAAACACCGAGCTCAGCTTCAAGGCGCACACCCCGAATGACGCTGAGAAATGGTGGTCCGTTATCAAGGAGGCTACCCGGGGCCCGGCAGTGGCTACTGCTGTGCCAACGCTCGCTTCTCCCGTGGCCACGTCCCCTGCGGGCTCTGTTAGCCCCTCCCGTAACGTGTCCGGACAGACACAGCCGCCCTCCTACGCCGAGAAGGAGATGGAGAAGAGCCAGGCTGCTCCGGCTACTGCCGCTTCCCCTGTTGTCGCTAGTCCGACCGAGGGCATTAGCCGCACAGCCAGCACGGCTAGCCACTTCCACACCTCTCCCGGCGGCTCCGCCGTGGAGAAGTCATGAGATGATTTCCATGCTGTTTAGGCATACATTTTATGCTCTTTTGGTTTTTTTGGACTTGCATTACCCCAACACATTATACGCATGTGCATCTCATCCGTCTAGGGTGTAGCGTTCATTCATCCACGCGGAGAGCGGAGCACTGTCAACTTGATATATACCACTTAATGAATTTCCTTTCAAAATAAAAAAATGCAATCAGATAACGCTAATCGGATCGAAGATCCTTCAAATACACAAAGCTGGCAGAAATGTGTCGTCGAATCATATCATAGCCTATGTAAATACAGGCATGGACTTAGTCCGTAGTCCCAGCAATAACTGCAGACATTTTCATCAGAAATCCTCAGGACTTTCCAAATCATCCAACTTCTCCCCGAGGAATCGTCCCAGCGCAGCACATTTAGATTCCAGCGCAAGCAAGACACCCGGCGAAGCTGACAGATTCAAGCTAGCCAACCGCGCAAGATCAGCACTGCGGTCGATCTCGTACTGCGGATCTGGGTGGCCGTTTTGAGGCGGGTTCGGAGACGCAGGCACGGCCTGTGTGCGCGAGGTATCACCCGAGACCTCGGGCGTGGAAGTCCCATTACCAGCATCGGGCACGCCGTCGGTCGCGATGGCGTCGTTAGCGCCGTTTGGATCGGACTTGTCTAGTCTCGATGGGCCGACTGCTGCGACGAGGACTTTATCCGCGACTCGGGTTACTACTGCGACTGAGTCGTCGAGTTCGAAGACGATCGAGCCGACGTCGCCTAGTGACATCGACTTGGCGGTCACGTAGGAGGAGGGATGGCTGGCTGGGTTCACGCCTGTTAGGTTCCCGGTTGAGGCTGTCTTGGCGTAACATGTGTAGGCGGCGCCGTAGGTTGCGCTTAGGTTGCGCAGTTGGCGTGAGGAGAGGGGGGAGCCGTGGGCGAAGACGGAGCCGTTTGTTGCGAAGACACTGTGAACGATTAGGTTAGGTGGGGTTTGAGATGGAAGCGCGGCGGGCGTACATGATTGTTGTGATCTCTGGTGGGGATAGGTTATCTTCCAGGAGATCGCTTAGCGCTTCTGCGTCTAGCATCTTGATATCGGGGAGACCGGGGATCATGGTGTCGGTGTCGGTGTCCTGGCCTACCGAGGGCGTGTATTCCTCCTTGGTCTCAGGTTCCTCTTGCAGTGATACGTGATCTTGCTCTGCAATGCAATCTTTTGGTGGAGTCCACGAGCAGTCTTCTGGGAAGAAGAAGCAGTTGTCTTGGTAGTCCTCGTCGTCGAGGTCGTATTCGATCGGCTCGTCAGAGTAGTCCAGTAGATTCTGAGCACACTTTGTCTCGTAGCGGGCCCAGTAGGGGAGAAAGGTCGGTTCGAAGGGAGGTTGGGAGGTTGATATGGGTGTAGTTGTTGAGGAGCTATCGGAGATCGAATCAGAGAAGCCGGGAACTGGATATTCGCACTCAGCCATCTTCACACCCATGGATGCGGACTCGGCAAGAGATTATAACGTGGGGATTGTTTATTCCCCACAAAATAAGTAAAATCAAGAGGACACGAGGGAAGAAGGTAATGTTTTCATAGCCAGTGTTTGGCTAGCTAGATTACAGGAAATGAGGGGAACAGGCAACACTTTGGAACCGTTGACTCCATGCGCATCCGAGCTCTCTGGTCCAGATGGAAAGTCACGATAATTTCAACTGCGTCCGGTAGCACAGAGAAAAAAAATGACAGGGAAACAGAGCTTTATGAGGCCTGGTAGGACCACCATGTCATGTGCGTTGGCGGCTCCGCAATGGGTAGACCCTAGCGACGGGGCAAATGTGGGCGAACGTGTACATGAGCAAAGACATGATTGGGAGAGAAAGAGGGGGGATACGTGAAAACTGAGGGCTAAGCGCGGCAGTATGAGAAAGTCGAAAACTTGAAGGACCGCTCCGAATGCGACACGAAGCCGGGGGTGAAGATAGAGGCCAATGGTAGGAAAGGGATCAACCGGGAGCGGGGAAGAGAGTGTGGAGGAACATGCAAGAAGATTTCCACGAACCTGGCTTATACGAAACTGGGGTTGGATTGGAGGATTTCCGGGGGGGGTTTTGAGGGAGAGCCTTGAATGTTAAGAGGAGAAGAGGAATTGGAGATGAAAAGGTCCCGTGTGGAGTTCCCGCATGACGTTTCAACACGTTGGAGGTTTATAGCTGCATATTATATTTGTTAATACGAAGTATCATTATTAAGATTGAAACAGAATACTTCCTTCATTTCTACATTTCTATATTATGCTTGTCTATAATACATGTATTATCAAATGTTTATTATATATTATATATTCTATGTTCTAAATATACATCCAAGGTTCATATTTTCTGTTTCATATTAAATAGATACAGCTTCTATTAAGAGTAATAGACTATATATATTATAGAATCTAATTGCTCTTACATCTATATAATTCTTGTAGCTATACAAAAAGCTATATTGTATAATAGCGTCATGTGCCCCACAGTCCACGGGTCTCCTCACGGCTGACAAAAAGTTCTTTGCCCCTCTTCCTCAATGTTGGCTCGTCTTTCCCTCGTCAAGCAAAGATTTGTGCAAATCAGTAAGCTGAATTCATATTCAGCTGATGAACCTATATTGACAAATTTACTAGGATCTTTAGCAACCATGGCTTCCGATACCTCCACCTATAAGCTCAACCGTTCGTGGATTCAATCTCCTTCCAGACAATCACTAACATGAGACCATTATAGACACGATGATGCGGGTCAAGGATCCGCAGAGATCGGTGGAATTTTACAAATTCCTCGGTTTGAACCTGGTCAACAAGATTGATATGCCTGAATGGAAGTTCTGCAACTACTTCCTGGCCTATGACGGCCCCGCCTCTCTCCAGGGGAGTGATTGTCACTGGACCGATCGTAACGCCGTTCTGGAATTGACTCACAATTATGGCACTGAGAACGACCCCAACTACAGTGTGGTCAACGGAAACACAGAGCCGCATCGTGGCTTCGGCCACATTGCCATCGCGGTTGACAATATCGAAGCCGCCTGCAAGCGGATTGAAGATGCTGGCTACCCCTTCCAGAAGAAATTGACCGATGGCCGTATGCGAAACATTGCCTTCGCCAAGGATCCTGATGGATACTGGGTTGAGATCATTCGTCGCGCCGACGAGAATCTCAGCACCACCACCGACCCGGGTAGCTACCGCCTGAACCACACCATGCTGCGCGTGAAGGATGCCGAAGCCAGCTTGAAGTTCTACCAGGAATCCATGGGCATGTCTTTGGTTCGCACCATTGAAAATCCAGAGAACAAGTTCAACCTGTATTTCCTGGGGTACCCTGCGTCCAACCCAAAGACCAAGGAGGGCAGCAACCCGGTGGCGGACTGGGAAGGTCTGCTAGAGTTAACCTGGAACTACGGCACTGAGAAGCAGGAGGGCCCTGTCTACCACAACGGTAACACTGAACCCCAAGGTTTCGGTCATATCTGTAAGTGGACGATCACACGACTTTTGATTGTTTTTTTCCAAGGTTACTAATTTGTATCAGGTATCTCTGTTGACGACCTCCCGGCGGCGTGCGAACGGTTCGAGTCTCTGAATGTGAACTTTAAGAAGCGCCTGACTGACGGTCGGATGCACAACATTGCATTTATTCTTGATCCCGATGGATATTGGATTGAAGTTGTGCAGAACGAGGGAATCAAGCGCACTGGTGACTGGTAGTACAAATCTAGTCAATACATGTACTACTATTCGTACTTATACTGTCTTAAATTAGATGTCACTTGATCAAAAATCTGCTTATCCCCCACCATTTCATAGGTGGATCCTCTTCCACCCCGCCCTCTGAACATTTGGAATCTTTGGAGACTTTTATTTTATTTTATATAAACCTCCCTTATCAATGGCTTGACAATGAAAAATTTTGAACGTTTCAACACTTGGCGCGAGATGAATTAGACAGTGGTCTCACCCATTTCCTCTCATTTGCGGGGATTCATCGCCACACACCCCACAACCCCAAAGGGTTTTAGCACCTGGAAGAATCGGGGAGGCCTCGAACTTATATTAACCATGTCGCCTGAGCCCGAGAAAACAAAAAAGGCACCCCGTAAACATGTCACCACTGCCTGTGTGCCATGTCGGGAGAGCAAAATCAGGGTATGTGGTCTCTGAGCTTGGAAAAAGCCTAAATGGGATTGAAATCTGATGTGCTTGCAGTGTGATGGAGCTACTCCGCACTGCCAGAATTGTCAGCGCAAAGGAAAAGAATGCAAATACCAACATGGAGACGACAAGCGAAAGTAAGTATGACCTTCGTTCTTCTGTCCAAGTAATGAAGCTGCCATCGTAGAGATACATCACTTAATGTTCAAAAGCTAAAACGAAATAGAGTGTCTCTACGAGCATCAACAGAGCTGTTCTCAGCCCGAATTGATCAGCTATGTCATTTCATCAAGGAACAAGGGTTAGAGCCGCCGCCAATGAATCCAGAGGATGAGGCTGGCATGAATAGGGTCTTGGATACACTCCAGATCCCGCGTGGATTTCCTCAAGTCTCGGCAGTGGGCGATGAAAAGCGACCAGCAGATGAGCCAACGGTCTCTGGAGTCTCAAGCAAATCACCGCCTCAAGATCTGCCTAACGTGAATACCAAGGGACAAACCGCGATCACTAATTTGGCTGCTTCTGGTGCATCCCCTGCCCAAGATACACCATCTAGTGGAAAGTTCCCGTCGCCGGAGGGCTGGAATCCATTTGGAATGGTACAAGGCGCTTCCGACAATCAGAACTTTGTCCATTGGGGCTTCACTTTGCCAACAGCTGAAAGCTTGGACACGATTTACGCTAATCTCAACGGAGGACCAGGGGCCCCAACAATGCCTAGAATGCCCGTTAACACTGAAATGAGCCCGCATAACTACCATCTTGGCATGGATAAGGCTCATCAGCCAGGGGGTTCGCTAGGCCACCTACCCCATGACGGAGAAAATGATTCGGACAGCGGCGAAGAGGACGAAGCTGAAAACGATGTTATTGAGCAATTATCGCATCGCATTGGCACTTTGAAAATTGCAGGCGATGGCCACCTGCGATTCTACGGTGCCACGTCCAACCTCAATCTGGTGGACGTGTCTGCGACACAGCAGCGGCAGCGACCAGACGCGCGGACTGTGCGTCACGATGGTCAGGATATTCTGAATCACCTTCGGGTTGGTCAACCTGTTGACCAAGCCCTGGAGGATCATCTTATAGAGTTGTATTTCACCTGGCAAAACCCCAGTACATACATTGTCGACAAAGAGATGTTCATGATGGCACGAACTAAATGGCGCGATGAATTGGACGATACTCCGTTCTATTCGGAGGTTTTGACCAATGCGATGTGAGTTCGACTTATTTTCGGGTCGTTAAGGGCCTTGCTGACATATTGCAGGTGCGCAATAGGGAGTGCTTTTGAGGCACGCTATCACCCTACGTTCATCACTTTCCCCAAATCCCTCTCTGAATTCTTCGCAGACCGGGCTAAAGCCCTTCTGGAAATCGAACTCGACTCTCCTTGTGTTGCTACTGTTCAGGCACTTGTTATTATGAGCTGCCATGAAGGCGCATCAAATCGCGATGCCCGAGGTTGGCTGTATAGCGGTAAGGTTGAAGATGGGCAACCCTCAACTATAATTGACTAACCACATTGTAGGAATGTCTATGCGGCTTGCTTTCGATCTTGGCTTACATTTAGATATGAGGGCCTATGTCGAGAAGGGCGATATTACTCAGTTTGAGGCTGATGTACGTCGTGCAACCTTTTGGGGTAGCTATGTTGCAGACCAGTGAGTTTTGGCACTTTTTATGCTATGACTATCTCTAACAGTAGCTAGTTTCTGGGGCTTCTACTTGGGCCGCCCGTTCCGCATGAACGCTGGTGATATAGGTGTCCCCAAACCTGGCTCTGCTCTTTGTCCTGAAAAGGAAGAAAACTGGCATCCATATGGCCACCAAGCCGCTCATTCGCTATCGGAGAACGGCCTGAGGAACCCCATGGAGTTAATATGTAGGCAATTTGTCGTCCTATGGGAGATGATCTCTCCAGTTGGTCATATTTTGTGAGTGATTTTTGGATATCAATCAGTACAATGTTAACATGTCTTTAGGTATGGATGTTCCGATATCTCTCGGCATGACTTGCAAAGAATCTGCTATCAAGTTACGGAAGATTTGTTCGCCTGGAAAGCAAACCTTCCTTCTACCCTTCAGATTAATTTGGACGATGATAAATCACCAATATTGCCTCATTTGATGATGCTCCAGTAAGTTTGTTCTAATACAATAGACGCCTGGAATCATACTAACAGTCTCTTGCAGCATGCAATACCACCAAATCATCATCTTCTTCCACCGCCCATGGCTCTCCAAAAGCTATATTCAGCCCCGCAGTCCCCGTCAAGGGCCTGGGTATCACCACGCGCGGCGCATGTGCGTGGAATCAGCCACCGCAATCGCAAGAATACTTCAACTCTTCGAGAAACACTACACCTTCCGCCGCATGAACAACCAAGTCGTAGCGATAATCTTCAGCGCAGCGCTCATGCTCCTCTTCGTTACAGTATCCACGTCCCCAATGAGTCCAGTCAAACAAGGGGATAGCCCGACATACCCCCGCAACGCGGAAATGGTAGCATATCTCAATCTATGCTTCCGTGCTCTCGATGAACTGGGTCAATCATTCGACAATGCCAAGCGCACCCGCGACTACCTTGTTACTCTCCAGCGACGTTGGCAAGCAAACATGCGACGATCCGGCTCCGCAGCGAAACGCCAAAACAGCAGTGCTAACTTGGTGTCGCTGGGCACGCAGAAACCGTCTATACAGCATAACCGAGCTGCCAATGCTCACGGAACGGATGGCTCGCGGAAGAAATCCCGTTTATCCGTTTCCGGGGCTCCTCCTCATATACAGCCAGCAGCACCTGTGACTAGCAACCAATACTCCCATCTCTCCCAGCAAACGCTGCCTCCTCACCACCAATATCATCAACAAAGCTCTTATCAGCAACAGACCTCCTTCCCCGTCCACGATTCCCATCTAGGCGACCTAGACTGGATCCCTAACTCGGACATGCGTCTTTTGTCCGAGACTCAAAATGGCAACGCACTGAATGGCATGGGCCAGATTCCTTCTCCCCCTTTCCCCGAGGGCTCTGGGATGCTATCAGACATTGCGGCCATTGATGGATGGTGGGCATCGGAAAACTATACGAGGAACTCAATGCCACCATAAAATCATTATTGGGTGTCTAGTCACAGTCTTTGCTTTGCATATCTGAATATTTGCACCATTGAGCCGCCAAATTTGTCTCACCTTGCTGCCCTGGATGAATATGCTATACCAAATGATATACATCACTCCACTAGGAGGGCGCTCACATAAATGTACCATTATCTCCACATTTGTATATTTCCACCTGGGCCTTCATGAATTCACAGTCGATCTGAAGTTATCTTATTCATTCCAACCGGTTCTAATCTATATCATCCATTCTTCTCTCAAACACATCCTTGAACCAATCACCCACTTGCTCTCCCACATTAATATCACTCCTCAACTGAGATAAAGTAACCCTCCGCTCCCCAATCCCCTTCTCCCGACCCCAAAAACAAGCCCGCCGCATAACAGAAACCATCTCATCAGCCTGTTTAGCAAGAACCGTAGTCCCAAGACCCCCCTCTCTACTCTTCTTCTTCAACTCAATCGCAGAGAGAGAACCAGAAGCCAAACCAGCACCATCTCTCACAAACACCCGAACCCAAGGCAAAGTCATCTCCAACCGCCCAATCCCATCCGCAGGCCCAGACCACGTATCCCCACTAAGCCCATAATCCAACCCATACGGCGGCCAACGCGAAAGCGCCTTCCGACGTCGCGTAACAGTAGCGCTCATATCAACCTCATCGCCATCCAGATCAGAATACACATCCCGATCCCGGATTGACCCGTCCGACGCGTATTGCTCTATGCTTCGCATCTCCTTCAACACGGGGACCGGGTATTCCGATCCCGTGAGATACTGCGGGAAAGTGCGCGGCACGTCCCGACCCGCAGAGCGGAGGAAGAGGATCGGTGATGCGAAGGAGTCAAAGCAGCGCTCTGGGGATGAGAAGAATTTCGAGCGCGCTTCAAGGAGGGGGACTAGGTCTGAAGGTGCTTGCTTTTTTCTTTGGCGTTTGTGTTTGGGTGTTGGGGTATTGTCGCCTGCTTCTAGTTTGGGGCTTTCGCGTGTGCAGTATTCATCTAAGCCCGGCCAGTCGCAGATTGGTTCTATGGCGGCGACGGCTTGGATGGATCGGGCTTCTGTTAGAGATAGCATTAGAGCTAGAGAGCCTCCGATGTGGGTGCCGAAGATGGATAGCTTGGTTGGTTGGAGGTGAGTTCGGATCCAGTCGAATCCGGCTAGGGTGTCGTGGACTGGGGTTGGGTATTTGTATGAGGTTGGTTGGGGGTTGCTTGGTGCCTGGGTTTGGTCTGAGGATCCAATTGGCTTTTGTGTTGAGCCCTCGTCTGAGGGGGAAATAGGTGTTTGTATCTCCCCGAGGCGGTAGTTGACTGTGACTACCAATGCAGATGTAGTAGATGCTAAGACGTGCTGGGGTGAACCTGCAGAGGGTAAGGTGCTGTTTTCACCAACTTGGTGATCAGCTTCAAGACCTTCATGTTTTTGAGATGCGCTCGTGCCATTCCCCTGCAACAAAGGTCCAGGCGGAAGGTAGAGGATCACATTTGGGCCTCCTGGGGACCCCTGGTGAGACCGGCTCAAAGCGCTCGGTCGCGTAATTCTAGGGATGAGGTTAGCATGTATAATTAGGATTGGGAAGGAAAGGCATATATCACCTGAGAGATATAGCACCATTGTTTCCAATGGGGAGACATATTGTCTCATCTGTGCAATCAGATGAAACGGTCGAATATCGCGAACATCGGAAATACGCGACGGAAATATGCGCAGTTCGCCTGCTGCGACGCAGGAAAAGGGCTACTCCGCGGGATGAGCAGATAATATCTCGCATGGTACTATTGAGTATGCTTTTGATATTTGATAAAACTTGTCATGGATTGGCCTGTTGGCCTTGGTATCGGAAGTCATTTATGCCTGAATAATCTGGCAATATACGAGAATCTCAACAATAACTTCCGAATGGTTGTGATATTCACTTTGAATATGTTCATTTTCAGTCTGAACTGTTACATACAATTATATGTTCATAATTAATCAACCCAACAGCTAAGGAATAAGCTAGTCATGCAAATGGCAATTTTTACAGCTCTCCAATTTGAACAAAACAAAAAACGCGCTATGAGCCACGCACTAAATGGGTAGCTGACTGCTCCACGAGTCCCTCCACGAATACGGGTTTCGCTGAGAGGTCGTCGCCGACGCCGCAGGGTCATCTCGGTCCAAAGGAGCTTCAGTATCGTCCTCTGGCACAGGACGCACAACCTGCAAAGTCAACATCGGATCCTTGGAGTAGACTCGCAGCCCAACCACACAGACCGCATTCCACGGGTCAACAGGAGGCCCATCACGGTCCGTAGATGGAGGGTGATTTTTCACATCCTCATCAGGAGGCATATCGAGATCACTGTCGAATTCGAACCCTTCTAGTATCTCAAGGTCACTCGGGTCCAAAGCCTCTGTAGCAACACGAACGTCCAGACTAGGACGCGGAGAGTCGGGCCCGCGTCGCCAGCCACTGCCCGCATGTCTTGCATGCAGACCCTTCCCGCCGTTGACGTGAATGACCGGGACGGAGCCGTTGACACGACGGTCACTAGTTTCGCTCGAGACGCTTGCAGCGTCGACGGGAGACTCTTCTACTGGCTTCTCTGCCAGAATCTGGCTGGGGATAGAATCACGTTCGGAGTTGAAATAGGAGCTGCTGCTGGGGGTGCGGTTCATGCGCCTTCGCTCTTCTCGGGCATCCCTCTTCTGCTGGCGGATCCATTCCTTCTGCAAATTTTTCTTGATCTGGTCGCGAAGCTTTCTCCGTTCGAGTGCCTTGAATGCCTCCTGCTCACGCTTTTCCTGATCTGTCTCGCCCACCATCGCCTTCGCGTGCGCAAGGTCGTATGAAAGGCCGACTTGCACCAGTTTCTCTCTTCTAGTCGCAGCAACCTGGCGGACGGTTTCCTCGGTAGAGGCTACATCTTCGTGGCGGAAGGCTGTGATTTTCATCAAGACGTGATAGTGGCCCGGCTCAAGGTTGATCTCGGCGTTGACAGACCGGCCCATGAAGTGGCTGCTATGACTGCGCACGAGATAATCCTGTTCTCCTACCTTCTGCAAGCGGAACTTAAGCACGAAGCTGTACTCGCCGGCTAGTCCTTTGAAATAACGCGTATCAAGCTGTATCGGTTAGCCACTATACACTAGCAAGAGTAAACAGCGCATAACGAACCTGGGATAAAACAATGACAACCGGACCACTCTTGGTCACATCCAACATGAATTTGGTGCTGTGATAATCGGCAGACCAGGGAACATTCAACGTAGTCCATTGCTGGGTAATGGTCCACTCAAGTCCAAAGAGCCGAGTCCGGTCGAAGTGCTGGTATTTCCTGAGGAGGTCTTTATAAGAGATCCAGAAGAACTGAGCCAGGTTAGCATATTCACTGAATGCGCAACAGATTAATACCTACCCCATCGTTGCCGAATTTATGGCCAAGAATGTTCATCCACTCGGCCGTCCATTCTTTGGATCCATCACCCCAAGCACCGTGCCATTCTTTGCGACCCCATGGGTTCCTAGCTACTATAAGTTTTTCGTTCATTTACCCTTGACTAGTACATTCGTGCACATACCTCAGTCGCAGTAGACGATGCCCGTCAATCTCCCGGGCTTCCATGATGGAATAGGAATGGCCCTCCGCGATACCCTTTCGATCCCTCGGTGGACCTCGGTAGTGAGGATCTAACCAGTTTGAAAACATGCCAGTGCCGCAACCAAACAGGAATTCCTGGTTGACCTTCATAAGTTCCTCGGTCCAAAAGCGGTCCTTGTTGAGGATGTTGCTGGATAAGACCTCAGACGTGACACCTCCGGTGAGATCCTCAATAGCTTCACCAACAAATCCACCCTCGATCGCAGAATAATCTCCGTGGGCCTTGGCGAAGGCTTTTTCCAGAAGAGGTAACCAGGTTTCATTGTCGTCCACGCACTGAGCGAAGTACAGGGCCCGCGAACCCGTCTGCCAGACTCGCCGGTACTCTTCCTCCGTATCAGTTCGGGTAATGTCGTCCCAGAGAGGTCGCTCATCCACAGACTCATCATAGTCAGCAGCGCGGAGATATAGCTTGTCATCTACAATACACTGCTGCCACTCGCCGTCTGATTGAAAAAGTCAGCATGATTCCAAATCCGATCAGTCTCCAACCACACGCTTACCTCGATGGAACACAAATCCGTAAATTCCAACATCTTCATTGCGAGCAACGCAAATCTTCTGAATCAGCTCCTCCTTGTTGCCCATAGTACAAAGGGCAGCCATGAGCCAGCAATCCCCATCATATCCCTGTCGCACGTCTGAGGCCGTAGGTCCATTGACAAAGAATTGCGGATTCTCAAAAATTTCCTATATTAATATCATTAGCAAACCACGCATCGACCACCCACGGCCGATTCGAACTAACGGTCACTCTCTTCACGCCCCGCGGTCTCATCTCCGTATTCGGTTTGTCCAGTCCATCGAGATAGTGTCTCCGACCAGACTTCAGGTCTAATTCGATATCAAAGTGTGGGTCTGAGTATTTCTGATTCACACGTTCGCATTCCTTGACGATACGGTCGACGGACTTTTGACATTCCTCGCGCGCCTGCTCGTATGATTTGACAGCTTCGTGGCCCTGAATACGGCCGCTCTGCACACGCTTGGCTCGAGTCCGGGCGTATGGATTGTCCGGCAGAACCGTGTATACTTTGCCTGGGTATTTAGTATTGAATTGTTCCCAGAACTGTTTGACGGATTCCTGGGGTGCTTGACATCGTGGACGCGGCGGTCGGCTGTTTGAGCGCGAGGAACCTGGTCCTGCGACGGCATAGCCCATCTCGTCGTCGAACTCCATAGTCCAGAGTGTCTTGGATTGATGTTCTGTGCTTAGTTGGGGGTTTGGGTTCTTGTTTTTGTCACTCTGGGGAAGAAACACAACGGTGGGAATATTTGGGCGGCTATTTCTCTTATATCAGACTCGTCATTCTCAAATGACGATCAGGGATGAAAATAGAACTGTTCTTCTAAGCGTTTGGGGAAGAGATTCCCCCAATTTTCCCCTCACACGGACACTCCGAGCCAAGCACATAGTCTCAGCCTTCATTTCCTCGTATCGATTGGCTGGGCGTGGACGTGCTCTCCATAAAAAGAGTTCTTAAGGCTGCATGTGCATTGAACTAGTGTGAGAACGAGCGAATCTGACAACACATTGTGCTTTTGGCCCCCACCTCGGTTCTCAGCCCCCGATAAACGGCCACTTAAAACCTGAATTGTGAGAATTTAGGCCGGAACAGACTTGACCTGAAACAAGTAGAGATGTGACCAAGCAGTGAGAAAGCAAGGGAGGAACTAAAGTTGGATACGATGCTCGGCTATGTGGGCCAAAGTTCAGCTGACATGCCGATGACTCCCTTGAGGCTGAAAAAGCTGAATACAATGATCATTTTTCATATCTGGTTACAGGGTAGAAAGGGTATGTACGCCTGTTATTCACTAAAGCACTTCGTATCCTGTAAACCCGCCCTCCATATCACTCCCCATTGAACGCCGAAGGAGAAAGAAACCATGCCCTGATATCATTCCCCACTGTGAAGAGTTCACAAATGTGTGGAATCATTACCTATTGGTAGCCGTTACTTGAACCACGTCCGGAGTAGTGTGCGGTGCCATGACGGAAGTACGGGTGAAGGCAGGCCTGCTTGGCCGACAGTCGGTGGGCAGGGTCAAACTCGAGCAGAGATTCCAAGAGCTGACATCCAGCCTCTTCCAGTCCGGGAACGATCTCAGCATCAGGGCGCTTCCACTTGGGGAAAGTAGGTTTATAGTCGGGGAAGGAGGTCACACCGGGCCAGATTTCTTCGCTAGGGGTACCGAGGATGCTGCAATTCGTTAATACGGTTGAACATAGAATAGAACCAAGTCAATCTTACCGGAAGATCTTGAAGATCTCGTCAATTTCAGAGTCACCGGGGAAGAGAGGCTTGCGTGTGCACATCTCTGCGAAAATGGCGCCCACCGACCACATATCAACACCTGTGGAGTACTGACGCCCACCTAGCAGAATCTCGGGAGAACGGTACCACAATGTGACAACCTATATATCAAGTCAGTAAACGTAGAATCCCACCGAATCGAAAATCCAATGCATACCTCGTGGGTGTAGGTGCGAAGGGGAACACCGAACGCTCTGGCAAGACCGAAATCGGCCAATTTTAGGTTGCCTTCACGGTTGATCAACAAGTTTTGGGGCTTCAAGTCGCGGTGCAGAATTCGGTGGCTATGACAGTATCGGATACCCTCAACAAGCTGAGCCATGAATTTCTTAACCATTGCATCGCCTAGGCCTAGGGTGACACCACCCAGTCCATCGGGCAATGGCTTCCCTCGGCCACCGTCACTGACAGGCAGAGCCTCCATGTATTTCTTAAGGTCGCAATCGAGGAATTCGAAGACGAGGTAGAGCTTGTGGCCATCGGCGTGGACAATGTTGAACAGTTGGACAATGTTGGGGTCCTTCATCTCCTTGAGGAGAGAAATCTCGCGGATTGCAGTGCTGGGGACGCCCTCATCTTCGGCTTCGAGGCGAATCTTCTTCAAGGCAACGATACGGTTGGGGTGACTGAGCTCACGGGCCTTGTAGACCACACCGTATGTACCTACGGAGCATCGACGCGTGAGTTAGGCTGCAGGTGACAATAGCTGCGTCAAGGGTACATACCTTCGCCAATTTTCTCAATTTTCTGATAGTTATCCATGGTGGCCGCCATCCAGTCCTTTGCTGCTATTAATTAGATTAACAAGGTCGAAACAGGAAGGCTAGAATGGGAAGTTGACAAAGATTGGAGGGATCTTGCCAAGAAGATTTTGTAGAAGCAAGGAGAGGAGATAGTTACTACTTACTCCGAGGATGTTGATCTCTGAGAATAGCTGCAACAGCGAGTTCTCCAAATTCCACCTGGAGATCGAAAAAAAGCAAATTGTTGAAGAGATAATTGACAAGACAGTATTTCAATGGTGGGGAGAGAAAGACACAAAACAAACAACCCCCGCGCCGAACATAGGGCGGTGAGGCGCGTACCTTTACTTTCCTTGTTCAACTTTCTCTCTGACTTCATCTCTTCGCAATGGCCCAAATTAAAGGTCTTAGTGCTTATGATCGTCCCCCTGAGCCAGTGAGACTTTGCTACAAGAAATATTCTAAAATTGCCTTATCCGAAATTGACAATGATCCGGGGATCCTCGACTTGCAACGGATCGATCCCGACCAATTGCCCGATGGAGTGACGATCGAGCAGTACATGTCCAGCCGGGACTTGCGATTGGCATTTGATGATTTCTTTCGTGGAGACCATACCACAACAGAAGAGGATGGCCCTCTAACTGAGGAGATTCCAGTATTCGCTCACAAATCGATTTCCGGTTAGCATTGTATCGCCTAAACTTGGAACTGACCCAGCAGAATAAAGAGCCATGCCTGACCTCCTGACAGGTCTCCTAATGATACCCGCCTTATTCCCTCCTACTATTCAAATCGAATTGCTCTCTCGCCTATTCCACCGAGATTTACCCAACCCCGAGCATCAGACAAACCTACATCTGCACTACGATGTGACGTATCCCGAAGAATCAGAAGACACCTGCATGCCCAAGTCTTTCTTCGCAGATGATCCTACTCGCAGTTTCGAGCCCAAGGATTCTCAGGTGCACAAGCCTATAACGGTTCAAAATCTCTTGGAGAAAAAGCTGCGCTGGGTCACATTGGGTGGACAGTACGACTGGACCGCCAAAGTGTACCCACCTGGAACCCCGCCAGATTTCCCGCTGGATATTGCAAAGGTGCTACGTGCGGCCTTCCCAGCAACCTCGGCCCAGGCTGCCATTTTGAATCTGTATTCCGCCGGGGATACATTGAGCGTACACCGGGATGTGAGTGAGGAGTGTGACGTAGGTCTGATTAGCGTGAGTTTTGGATGTGATGGGTTGTTCTTGGCTAGCCATGACGATGGGAATGGTTGCGAGATCATTCGGCTTCGCTCAGGCGATACTGTCTACATGAGCGGCAAATCGCGGTTCGCCTGGCACGGAGTCCCCAAGATTCTTCCATCGACTTGCCCGAAATGGCTGGCCAACTGGCCATCGTCTGGAGAATCTGCTCCGGGAATGCCGCCTGGTCCATACGAGATGTGGAAGGGTTGGATGTCCAGCAAACGCGTCAACTTGAACGTTCGACAAATGACGACCACCCAGGCTTCCGAAGAAAGAGCAGATCACACTTGAAAATCCGAAATATAGATGTCAGTAATGTGCTCAGATTCTTTCCTTGGTCCAAACGTGGACAACCTTATATCCTGGGCTACTCGAGCACAGATTTGCTGTTCCAATGAGTCCCAATCCAATACCAAAAGCATGGCTACCGTTGACAAGATACTCTTGTCTTTCGGAGAGCAACGCGGATTTGCATTCCGCGGTCCACCCTGGTTGTGGTGATAGGCAACTACTTTCTCCAGGAACAAATTAGACGAATCAATTGCACTTGATAGAACTAATAATATGGGGCTATCTCTGTACTCCAAATCAAACCCGACGTAGTGCGGTGAATAGAACTCCAACTGTTTCAGCCGACTCCAATAACCCCGCACTAGATAAATACTCTACTCTTTGCATATAGTCTCTAACAATATCACAAAGAACATCTACAATTCAAAATGACTGGTATATCATGGGAACTGAAAGGCGAAGCCAAACGCCAGTCAATTTTAAATGCCATCCCCGAGAAATGGCGACTGAACTCTTCCGTGCCTCCAGCTACAGAGCAACGTGATGTCACGGGAGATTATATTCGGCAATACCTCACCAAGCATGAGATTGAGATCACAGAGACAGATGCCGTAGGCATCGTAGAGCAGACATCTACAGGCCGCTGGTCGGCCGTTGAAGTGACAGAAGCCTTCTGTCACCGGGCCGCACTAGCCCACCAGCTCGTACGTTTATACAACAGCACTCATGAATACACCAACATTAGAGCCCTAAATAAAGACTAACCATGAACAAAAAAAACATTAGGTCAGCTGTCTGCACGAAGTATTCTTCGAAGCAGCACTCAAAGATGCAAAAGAGCAAGACGAATACTTCGCAAAACACAAAACCCCAATAGGACCCCTCCACGGCTTACCAGTGAGCCTGAAAGACCAGTTCCACGTCAAAGGCGTCGAAACAACAATGGGATACGTAGGCTGGATAAATACCTTCCAAGGCCAACAGAACGACCCGCGGACCGGCACAGAAGAAAGCGAACTCGTCCGCGAACTACGCAATCTCGGCGCAGTGCTATACTGCAAGACCAGCGTTCCAGCCACGCTCATGGCTGGTGAAACCGTCAACCACATCATCGGTTACACCTGGAACCCCAAGAACCGTCTGCTGTCGTGCGGCGGCAGCTCTGGCGGCGAAGGAGCCCTGATGGCGCTCCGCGGCTCGCCTGCTGGCTTTGGCACTGATATCGGAGGCAGTGTGCGCATCCCTGCTGGGTTCAATTTCCTCTATGGGCTTCGTCCTTCGGCCGGAAGAATTCCTTACCAGGGCGCTGCGAACTCGATGGATGGCCAGGGCACTATATTGTCTGTTATTGGGCCCATTGCGCCAACGGCGAGGTCTTTGACGCTCTTGTTCAAGGCTGTTCTTGGTCAGAAACCTTGGTTGTATGATCCGCTTGCGTTGGAATTGCCGTGGCGGGATGAGGTTGTTCAGGAGACTAGGGCTTTGATTGAGAAGGCTCGGGGTGGGGGGTCGACGCTTGCATTCGGTATTATGAAATATGATGGTGTGGCTCTTGTTCATCCGCCGATTGCGCGAGGACTTCGGATCGTTGAGAAAACGCTTCAGCGATTGGGCCATCGGGTCGTTGAGTGGAAGCCTCCTTCTCATGCTACTGCGGCTGCACTAGTTGTATGTACCTTTGGCTTTACATTTGCGTGTGATTCAGCACGATGCTAACTTATGGCAGAGTAAAGTATTCAAGATGGACGGCGGTGCAGACTCGAGACATCATTTCGGTCTATCTGGGGAATCCGCAGCACCGCAAATAATCAGTACCGACAATGGTGTTGAGATGACAGCGTCTCAGATTGCTGCACTCAATGTTGAAAAGCGTCAGTATCAGAAACAATACATCAACTATTGGCATAGCACCGCTGAGTTGACAGGCACCGGGCGCCCTGTTGATGGGCTCTTTTGTCCATTAGCGCCTCATGCTGCTGTCATTCCCAACGAATACAAGTTTGTGGGATATACTGGATTTGTGAATCTGCTTGACTATACTAGTCTTGCAATTCCGGTCACATTTGCGGATAAAAAGGTCGATGTGCGATCGGCTGATAGTTCTGTAGATGATTCCGAGCACATTCAGTGGGATTGTGAGTTTCTCCCGTATCTTCCTTCTTGCGATCTCATGCTGATCCATGTACAACATATAGATGATGCCGAAACCTATGATGGAGCCCCTGTGGGAGTGCAGTTCGTAGGCAGGAGGTTGCAGGAAGAGAAGATGCTGACTCTAGCTGAGTATCTGGGCGAAGAGATTGCCCGAGATGCGAAGGAGAGGATCTAAGAGACTGTATCTAGCGCGTAATGCTTTTTATTGTCAATATCATGTCAATATAATAGAGCAACTGGGCATCAATTGCGATTAAAAATGAATAATTAAGATTTCATGACCATGATATTCTCAAGGAAGGAGAGTATATCAAACCAGACCTACTGGCCAAAGCCAATGCAAAGTATTAAATAATAGCCCCAAGCGCCTCGTCCAATGCTTTTCTACAAATATTGTGTTCCAAATCGAATCAATTCCTGGACGACGAAGGAGGCGTTTGTCCCGAGGGTGCAGCAAGATTGGATAAATGGGGTGTGGAAGATCCCCAAGGTTTGCCTGCTGCAGAAGACGGAGCATGACCAGACTCGGAAGGACCAGACGGGTCTTCTGAACCATTCATGAGGCGTTGTCGCTTGGCGGGAGGCAGCCCGCCCACCTGGGACATACCACTGGGTAGGGCGTTGGGCGGGCTGCGAGGATCTGCATAGGAATGTGGTGAAGCGTAGTGTGTAGATGAAGCAGGGGTGGAGGCAGCCGCAGCGTCTGGGCTCAAAGCCGTAGCAGATTGTAAAGGACGCAGGCGATTCGGATGAGAGGTGGTGTCTTCACCTGGGCGGGGTGGCCGGACATCAGAGCTTTGCTTAGGCTGACTTTGTTCTCCATCTCCCGGCTGGCTGGGGTTTCCATATCCAACCCCAATCCGACCCATTCCCTTATCGTGCATGACAACACGTCTCCATTTGGCAACCACGTTGTCGTAGTCCCATCGTGTAGAGTCGGCGCTGATATGGCTTTCCTGCGCGTCTAATTCCCGCGCTACTTCCCGTGGTAGGGGTAGCGTGTCTGGGGGAAACAGTGCGAACTCACGAGGCCACTGGCATGATCCGAGCCGCTCGACCTGCGCACGCAGTTGGTTTGCTTCCTGTTGCACTCGGGCGAGTTGCTCGTCCGAGGCTTTGCGCTTCTCTGCCTCCCTCGCAAACGCACGTGTCATCTCCAATTGCCAGGCGTCGCGACGGGTCTCATGAGACAGAGAATTCCAATGATTAAACGCCAGTTCTAAGTGTCGAAAACTGATGTCTTCGTGTTGTTGTGCGCTTCGGTATATCATGCTCGGATCCACCCCGCTATTCCCATGCCTCATGTGAGCCACACCGGTTGAGTCTACTGCGAGTTGGTCGGTCTGCCATTGTGCGACCTTGGAGCGGAGGGCTTGGCGGATTAAATCCAGTTGTTCGGCGCCGGGTGGCTGGAGGGGGAAGGAGGTGGAGGAGGGAAACGGATGTGTTGCAAAGAGGCTTGGAGGAGGAGGGAGGAGTTGCAGGCACATTGAGGGGAAGGTCTGGCTTTGAATGTCGAAGTCGAACGGAGACAGCCGAGGCCGGATACGAGAGCTAGTATTTTGTAAGTTTACCGATTAGATATAATGATGGAAATGAGCCGGCATACCTCGCAGCTTTGATATTATCAAGCACCTCGCGTAGTGCTAGCTCTAGCGCTCGCATCGTATCCGGGTTGCTGGAACTCGCACCTCTACTCGCATAGTCCGGCAGTTGTAACGACCCTGTACGAGACTGCGATGGCGCGATACGAGGCCCATCCGGCGCGCGACTGGGGTTGGGGATATCATTGATGACACCAGTCGCGTGCCAGGTAGGTGTGTTAAACATCATTCGAACCGGAGCCTCGCGCGACTTAGATCCTGATTCTGTGGCTGTAAACGGCTCTGAGGTGCCCTTTTTTTGGCCTCGTTCGGGACTGCCCTCGTTCTTCGCGGTGGATGCTCGGGCCTGGCGTCGGGTGATTCCACTGCGGATTCGTCTGATCTCTTCGACATCGTGTATTCCGTCGGGTTTCTTCTTAAAAAGAAATTGGTCGAGATGTCGACCCAATGATGAGGACGTAAATGCCTGTTTGCAGTACTGACATTTGCGATCCTTTGCAGCAAGACTGGCCTTCGACTCGTCACCGGCAGTTGAGCCTTCGGGGGTATCTCTGGAGGGTTCTGTTTCTTCCTTCATGGTTGAGGAAGTATAAAAAGCAGGTAAATTGAATATAATTCTGGTTAGTTTAAAAAGTCATGGCATATGATGTAGCCAAGAAGCAGCAAGTATAGGCAAAATTCAACGCGCCAGATGGGAGGGAGGACGGAAAAATGCCAAGCTTTTCGGAGCGCGAGTAATTTTACAAAAACACATGGAGATTTACAATATGTCGGACTTATTGATCTCTAATGAAATCGCATATGTGTAACCGTTTGAATGTTACCTACAGGATTATGTAGTCTCTGTAATGTAACTATGACCAATGGAAGTAGAATTGATGTGACTACCTAGGTGCATATAGTACTTCTCAGCAAATCAAAAGCAAGGAAATAGTTTGTTCTTTCGGAAAGAATTACAATGATTATATATTTGTTATGATAGTGTGCAGAGACCGAGTATCCCATACTTTGCCAACCCTCGGACATTCTGAGTTAATGATACGCGGGAGAGGGAGTAGACACTGGAGACTGGAGAGACTAGCACACGATGCACCCTGGCGCATGGAAGACACGGTGTAACCATGTTCAAGAATGGCTTCTGCCCATTCTCGTCTTACGTGCGCTGAGCCATTGTTTTATGTTACGAACACCGTGCAAATACAACCAGGAGAAGGCGAAAACAAGTCCAAAGTTGAAGATTATATATCCCCAGAGGATTCCCTAATAGATGTTAGATTAGTCTGGGATAGCTTAGCGGGAGTTGTAAAAAGCACAATACTCACATAATCTCTCCACTTGTGCGAGTAAAACACATTGATGCTCTTGGACTGGAGAGTGTAACAAAATTCTAGTTAGCCATACTCCAAGCAGGCCAATGAAGACATCCAAGAAAGGACCAGCACGATGATGCACGACTTACATATTGACTACCGTCCGCGAATTGGCAGTATGAGCACATCCCATTCCCAGCATCTCGGACATATCCACCGGCTTTTTCCGCATAAGACCCAGCGTATGCTTGGCAGGTCATGCCAGCCGGAGGGCTAAAGCGGGATTCTTCAACCTCAATGCAGCGTACGGGGACATCATGAGTAATGACTCCAACAAATCCCTCAAGTAGATAGTTGAAAGGAGTAAGCCAGTACATCCATGACTGCCAAAAATGCGGCATCACGGCGTAAGGAACAACAACACCGCAGAAGGAAGCAATGAAGGTAAAGAAAGTTGGCACAAGCAAGCTTGCAAATAGCTCATTAGGTGCAAGTGCAGCTATGAACTGGCCAAGTCCAACGTAGTATACTTCAAAGAGCATCAGCGCCATCCAAACGTAGCCGGAACTAAACGAGTCGCGCGGAAACCAAGTTCCCCAGTACCTTTTGTATTCCTGTTAGATGTGATGCATTAAAGTTTCACTTCAATAGGAACTTACCAACAGTTAAAGTAAATTGACCCGGCAACAATCGAGTATGGCAGTTCTGGGATGATTGTACTTGTCACAAAGGCAGCCCAAGAATAGATCTTAGAGCTAGCTTCGCGAGATTCATAGAGACCACGGAAATGAAGATACCGCGGTTGGAGTTGCTGTATCAGCGGCGGAGCGATCGTCAATGTCATGAAAACAGAAAAGAGTCGTGATTGCATGTCGATTTTACTATTTCCTAGATGCCAGAATGTGAAGGTGTTGAAAAGGCCGGTGAAGACATGGAGCATAAATTTACCCTGAGTAATGATCAGTCAAGTTATCCATGTTTAGTGATACTGACTTACAATAATGTAATCTGGGACCCTCCAGTAAGCCACAAATGCGCGCTTGGTAACTGTGATTACTTGAACGGAAAGAGGCATTGCATACTCGCGATCGTCGTTGACCTTCTCATCATTTTGAGCATTGCGACGGGTGGCGATGATACCTTCTAGCTCCCCAGAGAGCTTCTTGGATTCTGGAGAGTTGACCCACACGTCGCCCCAGTCCTGTCCCTTATAATCAGGATTTCCGGCTCCAATGACTTCCAACATATACTGAAAGAAATGTCAGCGAGAAGCAATTGCTAGGGGTTTGGGGTACACACCTCTGCCGGATTTTCATGTGGTGAGCACTGCCTCCCGCCATTTCGTTCAAAGTAATCAATCAGCATCTTAGAGTCATTTCCAAGCGGGCCATTGTAAACAACGCTTCCGCCACTTTTCAGCAGCAAGAGCTCATCAAAATTTTCAAACAACACAGCAGAAGGCTGATGGATTGTGCAGAGCACCGCCTGACCAGCGTCTGCAAGTCGGCGAAGGAAGCGTACGATGTTGAAAGCTGCCAGGGAATCAAGGCCAGACGTCGGCTCGTCTAAGAAAAGTAACAGCTCCGGTTTACTTGCCAATTCCACTGCAATAGTAAGTCGTTTGCGCTGTTCCTGATTGAGGCCAGAGCCCATGGATCCAACAGTTGCTCCGGCGATGGACCGCATTTCTAACAAGTCAATGATCGTCTCACAATAATCATACTTTTCTTGTAACGGGACTTCTTTCGGTTGCCGTAATAAAGCAGAGAACCGGAGAGACTCCCGCACAGTAGCGGTCGGTTCGTGAATGTCCATCTGCTCGGCGAATCCAGTCGCTCTCTGGAAGCTCTTTGGGAGAGGACTGAAAATGTTAGAGTGCATAATAAGATATATCAACGATTTCTTACCGCCCATCAACTAGGAAGTTACCAGTGACCACACCAAAATTGATTCGCTGTGCTAGCGCATTGAGCAAAGTGGTTTTCCTGGTCAATCATTAGCCCCGAGAACAGGGTCAACCATTTTTGTATCTTACCCTGAGCCAGAAGCACCCATCAGTGCAGTCAGTCGACCAGGCTTCACATATCCTTGAACATTTTGCAATAACTGTCTCTGCCCACCCTTGTATGGAATGGTGTAGTTGACATCTTGCCATGTAAAGATTGCGGTGTTTTTAGCAATGTTCTGAACCTTGTCACCGGATTCACTCGAGTGGCCGTCACTTTTGTTATAAGCCATGCCATCCTTCTCCACGGATTCCTCATCTGCTGGGGGATTGGATCGTTTGATGGCATCTTGAACTGCTTTTGGGGCTTCGCCTCTTTTGAACACCGTAACCGAGCTACCACCCTTGTTAGGTCTCTGTAATTCCATTCCCAACATTGTCAAACAGACGAAAAGTATCAGCCATCCAATGATGATTCCGAGATTTCGCCACAGGTGAGCTCTGCTGTAGGTGTATGCCGTTTTGATATAGTTGCCACCATTAACAATCAACTGGTCTGGATCACTGCCTTGTATTGCACAGGTTTGGTGACCAGGCACCGCATTTGGCCCATCCGGCACAACCCAGGGCGGTTCACACTTTATCGGTAGATTGTGGAACTCATTAGCCATCAACGCCTCAAATGCGTATTGGACAGGATTGATCCAAATGAGCCATTTTAACCACGGGTGCATTTTCCATGGGGGAATGAGATAACCTAGATCACGTTGGCCATCAAATTTGAGCGCAATGCTGCATTGCACCAGGCTCACCTGTGTAAACAATCAATGCCTGTATCGCAACGCCAGTGAGACGTGTGGCTATTTATTGTTATTGGAGATGTCTTGATTATGAGGTGTTGCTTTACTTACCAACATCCAACGAGGCACATAGAGCCCCAAGGGCACGAAAAAATGAGTACATAGTCATTGTGAGAAAGAAAATAAAAAGTAGATTTATGAAGAACTGTGAAGCTGTTCGCGCAAGGTTTGCCATGCTATGTACTAATCAGCTTTATCCGTGAATGATCTAATGCGACTCACAAGTATACTATGAGATCAAATATAACGACTTGTATCAACACAAGAGGTACATCGACAACAACCTGGGCAAGTGCGTATGCCGCAGGACGATAGAAAGAGCTAAACAGGGTTAGTCCTATCAGTTTCCCCTTTTTCTCTGTAGTCCTCACAAGCTTTTATGTTTCAGCAAGATTGGTCGACTTTCAAATGCTGCGGTCAGCTCTGCCATGGCAAGTAATGCATTGAAAAGCAGTATAAAGAACATCACACCGCCCCTCGTAAAAACACCATTGCTTGAAACCGTCAATTATATGTCATCTCATCGTATTTGGAAAGCCAATTACTTACCTGGTATCCGGGAGGTTGTAAAGCAAGCTACCGATAATCAGGGCTTGAAAAGTTATCACACTCCACTTTCCAATCAAAGATTTCCTGTCACCAAACATGACCAGAAACTGGCGATGTGTGAGAATCATAACCTGTTTGTAGAACGAGATGGTGAAGTTTCTCCGTCTGTTGCTACTTCTCGCAGCCTCCCTCTCCGGCCTTCGGGCTTCGATATCGGCCTCCAAGCTTGCAATATCCGCAAGGTTGCTTTTGTAGGTATCGCTTTTGCGATATGCAGCTTGAAATTCAGCTGCATTGCGCGGGATTCGGTCACCCCAGCCGTCTTTGACACGTCTTGCATGAGGGTCACTGACAGAAGTCAGAAAGTCTGGTGTTGTCCAACGCGGGGGACATTCAAAGCCCAGCTGTTCGAAATAGCTCTTAGCATCCTGGGTAGGTCCGAAGAAAGAGCATTTCCCATCTTCGATCAGAATCACCTTGTCAAAAAGATCAAAGAGATTCTCCGAGGCCTGGTAGAGCGCTACCGCCGTTGAAACGTTGGCGGTGTTTGTTAGACTTCGCAAACTTTGGACATACTCCAGTGCCGTACTGGCGTCCAATCCCTTAGTAGAGTTGTCCCAGCACTGTGTGCTGGCCTTTGTAACCATAGCCTCAGCAATTGAGGTTCGTTTCTTCTCGCCTCCGGAAACTCCACGGATAAGTTCGTTACCAACTTTGGTTCCCAGAGCATGTTCAATCCAGAACAATTTAGCTATAGCCGTGAGAAAGGTTTGCTGATATTCCCGTCTGCTTTCTCCTGGAATACGTGAGGCTTTGTCGGGTGTACGGGTTTTCAGGGCAAAAAGCAGCGTATCTCGCACAGTCAAAGTTGCATAATGGAGATCATCCTCGGGGTTGTACAAGACTAACAGGTTTAGCTCAGAATTAAAATAGAAGAAACAAAGACACACCTTCAGACCTATAGTGCTTTGCCATTGTTTCTGAATCGGTACCATCATACCGTACATCGCCTTCAATGCTTTCGTAGCCCGCTCTTTGATTACCAAGCACTTTCAGGAAAGTGGAACAACCAGAGCCAGGACGACCCAGAACAAGAAGCATCTCTCCTGGACGAACACAGCCCTTGATGGCGATTAGTCAAGTGGCCTCCTGGCAATGAGAGACAAACTCACAGTAAAATCGTCTATTATCGTTCGTATCGGTGCTCTTCCGGCCCCGGGCCCTTTCCTACCCCGGGTAAATAGTTGCTTGATGAGGCGCGGCAGCCCGAACAAAATGTCCCCGTTAGTAGGTTGGAGAGCAGCACCAAGGCCCACGCCCTTCACGGTGAGGTTTTTCCATACAACTCCAACATGACGTGTTTTCTCTTCTTCCGAATTTGCTTTGCGGTCAGGGCCGAACATCCGTGAGATCAGTCTCTCTATCTGAGCCCATTCCTCTCTGGTCTCATGACCGGACGCATAACTGCGTCTGCGAGATTTAGTGCGTGCGACAGCATCGTCTGGCTTTGTCCCTGTAGAATCTGCATAGGAGTCTGGTGGGGTGGTGCCGATTGGCGCAAAATCTCTGGGAGGGACCGAATTGGCTGGTGACGATGAACTCTTAGAAGAAACGGAACGCCGAGGGGTGTATTCTGGGTTTGCGGCTGAAGTAGATTCATTTCCCACAGAATGGCCGTTTGCCGTCATTCTTTCAAGTTGAGCTGGGACCTTTTGAGATGCAGACGCTCAACTTAAATATCTCCAGGTCTGTGGTACGCGATTACAAGGTGATACTAAATGACTATTCATATGCTGAGCGCGATACTTTGTGTCGAAAAGAGATAACCAAAACAGATACTAACAAAAGAGCATGTGTGAAGGAAATTAGAATTGAAAACAGGAATCGGGAATGTAGCAATTACGTCAAGTATCATTGCACAAATATCGGGACATCAATGAGCCGAAAGTAAATATATTTTGTTAGGACCTCCAAGCTAGGAGGTATACTCTGTCTAGAATATCGCATCAAGATATATTCATATTCCACAATTTTAATCTCTTTCTAAGCTAATACCAAGTTCAAATAAATAAATTACAGTGATATCTTTGTATTTAAGGTCCCCAGGGGCTCGATAAATACATTGCATATAAATTCATTGGATTCAAAGTCCTCTATCTACGGGCACCATGTCTTGGATTATAGAAGTATTCCATATAACTACAAATTGTAATCAGATGATGCGTTCTCAGACCTTAAGAACTAGGCAATGATATGCAAGTTGATAAACGTGTGAAAGTCGTCTATTTTCCATTCACGAAGGTCAATTCATTATTTGATTTTCAAGTTGGTCATGCAAGTTTTAGGCCTTTTATTTTGGGATATGACAGTTCATTATTGAAGATAGAACGGGCAGTGCTGTCAACATTACCTACCAAGATAGGAAAATATAAACATCTACGGAATTGGTTCCCGACAACTACTAATTTGTTTACTATGGGACGAGAAAACTCTAGTTGTTTCAGTTTACCAAAGATTCCATGAGAGTAATTTTATTATCATGGTCTCGTCATTCTGGGAAATGGTTGTTGATTGTGAGATACACAATCAGACAAATATTGACGATTATCAGACTAAAGCTAGATAAACTATTCGACAAAATACCTTACAGAAGTCTACGGTCTAATTCAAAATATAAATATTTAGTCAGCTCTGGCCCAGTCGGTAGAGAGCGTATGGGGGGTTCACCGAGTTGAACAGAAGAAGTATGAACGGACTATCATTCCTTGATCAACAGTAGGACAGCACGCCATGATTACAACATGCTACTCTCAGATTCAGTAGTGATAAAGCTCTAAATCCCTCTCTGAGAGTAGGGCAGATGTGCCTCTCAGACTACGAATCCTAAACTCTTGCGCAGTACTCTTGCGACTCTGATAGCAATGAAGCCCCATCGCGCTCACAGATTCCTCCGGAAGGTGTTGGAATTTTTCCATTTATCTGCTTCCTCATCGAAACGAGCAACCAAGGCTCGCAGCAAGTAAGTTTCCAATTTTTAGCAGTATCAGTTTGACTAAAAATTAACGGGTGGTCTAGTGCTAAGCTGTGGTGTGTTGCTACCACCGCATCTCCTCTACACAGCATTGTCGCTGCCCGAGGATATGACCAATCTGAAGTGGATGATCAAAATGATGATCCTCCCCAGTATACCACCTTTGGTGGTGCAGCCCTTGAAAAGCCAGTTTCAACTCGCAGCCAGCTGGAGAGTTGCATTGTGAAACTGTGGAAGAAAGTCTGGCTGGGTCTTTATCAGATCGACGACAACGAAGATCGGTATCATGTCGAGCGTCTCGAAGCACTTTCTCTCGGGGCCGGCTTGACTCGCACATATGGAGTTGGCGAGCTTCAAGTTCTTCGGCGTCATTTTCTTCGAACCGAGACCAACAATGGAATTGCCTCGCTAAAGCTTTTCCAGGGCTTGTCGCTTTCAACTCTCTTATCTGTGATTCATATATTGGAGGCATATGAAAGTGAAATTGACAACATGAGGCTGCTCTATTCTATCTTGCGAAGCGGTCAGCTTGCACTACATCAGACTCCAGACCTTGCTCAAACTGCTGTTGTCAGAACTGAGTATATGGCAATTGCGGAGCCGATGGAGAAGCGAATCAAGCAGTATGATATCCGAATGAATGTGGTGAATATGGAAGTCTGCGATGAGGCAATGGGTTTCTATCAGCGACAAAAGGGGGAATATATACACCACAAGGCATTCCCAAATGCGTGGTAGGAATGCCACATTTTGCATCCATCTTCTCTGTCACTGACTCGCCTTGGATTTTTGAGTACAATCAGTATGGTTTGCGTTAAACATTAATCTGATGTATTGTTTAAATGATACTGTTGACGGTGATATTGTCGCCTCGGGTTGCGATGGGCTGCCGGATCACACAGTGATGAATAGCAAGGAATGATATTTTGCCGTAACCTTGGCGCAAATATGCGATGATATAGCGCATTTACGCGTAAGATGCGATAGAAATGGGTTTATCTCCCACTTTATCCATGATGTCTAGAACATAAAATCCTAAAGTCTCACCGGAACTTCCCTGTTCTGTCCAAATATATTGCTGGTATGCCTATGAGGAAGGGTTGAACTTTTATGTACATAATAATTTTTTCGTTTTCGTTCGAAAGATATAATCATTTCACAACTCACACTTGAGGTCTGTCTGTCCTAACCGTCCCTTTGACTTTTACAGTCTCTGTCTCGCCCTCGCCCTTTTTACTCTTTCCAGGCTCGTTCACAAATGGGTTCATAGTATCCCCATTGTCGATACCTTCTTGCTTGAGTGAAATGCTTCCAGTTCCATCAGGTGGGCCCATTCCTCGAGGCTATGTAGAAGTTAGATATTTAATCCCTTGATACCCCGATCCAATGACGACAATGCCAAACAAGCCCGGAAGGCGAAATATAGTAAGGAGGGACCTACCTCATCACGAGTAAAAGTTCGCGAGTTGACATTCAACCCAACGTTCTCATTGCCCTCTGCCCCTTGACTATACTCTTGATTTGCTCCGCGTGGCGCTTTCGGGGTCGGAGCCTCAGACGTGCTGCTAGGCTTATTGAAACCGCCTCTCTGCCATAAGTAGTATGATATTGGTAGCCCAATACCAATTGATACTAGTAACCTATAAAGAAAGTATTCAGTATAAGTCAGATGCAATTGGTGCAGCACATGTTAAAAGGGAGACTGACCACCGGGAGTTGCTTGCCTGTCCAGTCGATCTTTGAGTGACGAAACGTCTTTGACTAGACGTAGGTCGAGGTGATTGAAGTCCCAAAGATGGGCGGAGATGCTGTCTCACTGCTGCATGTGGAAATGAATGGCGGATATAGTCCATACTTATGATTCAATGAAACTCGGAGATTGTATGTTGCAAATAGAATTAAGGATGAAGGAAACTTGAACTTAATAAACGAGAGCAGAGCAGTGTATGAGGCCCAGACTTTTGGCGTGCATTCATTATTACATCATTCTACTTCTCGGACTTGTTTCCAAATAGTCTTACCCTTCCAATGAGAGTCATGAGCCTAAGCCTAATAATGACGCATCCGGAGAAACAACAGCTTTACAGGTTTATAGGTGGGCATCGAGTACGTAGATGCTATTCACTCTCCAGGGCCCCCCCGAGAAACTGGTCTTTCGATATTACTAGTCAGCCAAAACATATAGATTCATCGCTATTATCCGGCCAGAAGTTAACATGAAGTTGGGAATAATCCGAGGTGGGTTTTCTATTAGAGAAATTGATCTATAAAACCACCTGTCAGGCCAAATATTGTCTACTTTTGGAATTTAATAGTTTGAGTGTATGGAGAAGAACCGAGACTCAAGCCCCTGAGAGTACCTTTCTTTGAATGCATAGAAATATGTTTGTGATGGTCAGTATGTCATCGATTCATGGGAATCAAACCTCTTGTCAGTTCAACGTCGATAAGTTTTCCGAGAAACAAGTGCAGAAATTTATTTCTTCCCACATCCTAGTATAAGCTGGATAAAATATTATACACTGATCATTCTGACAAACCGGTCACCAAGGGCATTCGCCGCCAAAGGATTTCCTGCAGAGACCAGCTCCCGATGCAATGTGGTACCACCAGTCTTTTCATATACACCCTCAACCATCACCGCACCTTCATTTCTCAACGTTGACTCAACCTTCTCGACCTCCCCACCCCACAAGGTCTCCATTAGATTCTCTTCCGCATCGCTCCACGACGTAATCTTATACCCACTATAAACGAAGGAGCCATCACCCGCTTTCTTCGTACTCAATAGGGCATAAGGTCCATGGCAGATCACAGCTGTAGGCTTGTTCTCCTGGTGGAAATAACGCAGAATCCGTCCGAGCTCCGCATCTCCTCCAAGATCTCGAAGCGGTGCATGTCCACCTGGGATGAAGACAGCCGCAAAAGTGGTCAACTCATCGTTACTGATGGTGCTGAATGGTCGCGGGTTGTTGAATCCGTTCTCGCGCTTCATTCGTTCGATAAGATTATTTTCCCGTTGGCGTTCGTAGAAATTGCCGGCATTCGCAACAAGTGATTGGCTGGTTGGGTCCAGGGCAGGTTCATGGCCTTTTGGTGAGGCGAATGTCACCTCGTGGCCTGCGCTGAGTATTTTATGTAACGGCTTTGCGAGCTCTTGGAGGAAAACTCCGGAAGGCTGATCGATAACCTTGCCAGCATCGTGTCCGGTATTCCGTTTCAGGGGGAAGGAGTGCGCGTCACTGAGGATAATGAGGACTTTTTTAGGAGGCATTGTGGCAGGATGTAGTATGGGATTGGAACGTTATGAACTGAGATTTTCTTAGATTAGCAAATTGTAAAGTTGAAATTCCGCTGGTCTTCTATACTTCAAATAACAAGAGTTGACCACCATGACATCGAGATGACGTACCAAATCCCTGCACAATCATAGCCACCACCAACCATATGAGGTTGTATTGTTTTCTGTCAGATTGACATATTAGATATTAACCATTCCTCAATTTTATATAAAATACTAGAAAGGAGGCTGGTAGTGTCATCAACAGGGAGCTTGGCGGCGACAGTGCTGACCAGTTGGATTACAGGGTCGGGCTGGAAGCGGGAGTAGGGCCAGAAGTAACAGTGGCGATACGGCTTTTTGGAGAGGCAGACCGGAGTGCTCTTGATGTCGATCTGGGGTCGATCCCACAGACAGCCCGAAAAAAAGTATATGGACTGACATCCATATCCAAGTTTTCAACAGGCGCATACCAGTTTGAGAAGAGAAGTGTGGGCCAGATACAAACTGGGCTAACCACGGGATGCGACAGGCGCCATAGCAGGGATGTGAGACACTAATGCCTTGTTTGTGCGCACTCATGTGCCATAGTAGCATATTCCATCCAAATGCTGTTCAACCCTCAATCTCTTCCATTGGCTGCTCAAGTACTATTTTGATGAGCCTAATAGGAGTCCTCCACTGTTGCTGCCTCTCCAACATCCCGCTCGTCACTGACACCGTTGATTGGAGCCATTTCGGCCATCTGCTGTGCTGTTTTGAGCCAAATCAGAGCAGACTCCTCCGCAAACACCCCATTTTGAGCGAAGTCAAGGAATCCTACTTCCTAAAAGTCCCATCTCTCACGGAATAGTTCCCCAACTTTGCCTGTATACAACAGGCTAGGTCACAAAAGTCTTAAGTCGGTTAAGGTATAAAACCTTGTAATTAGATCGTTAAACTTAATTTATACGCTAGTTTCACAACATAATTAGTCCATTATGTCTATCAAACTACTATTTGAGTCAAGTAGAGAGATATAATACTAGATATTAGGATGTAAACGTAGAGAGAATTACTTAGAAGAGATGAATGCATGTTTTAAGAATACAAGTCCAAATTTGAATACGAAGATCATGCATAGTATATAAAATCAAGGATAGACTTCATAGAGAAAATTTATTGGTTGAATCCTATCTAAGTATAACAAGCTTCGAACTTGATGCCTATCCTATCGTGTTGAATTTCATAGCTAGAGAGCATTAAAAATTAGAGCGATAGGCAAATCTGTTATGGCGGTTAGAGGCTGCGGTGGACCTATCCACTCCAGCCCCGCGCATCAAGATATCGGTCTTTGGCTCGGCCCGAGATGTCCTAAACCCGATATCCGAAATGAAGAATGTTCACTCGGTATCTTCGGGTTCTGGCGTGACTTTCCATTTGACGTTCTCGGCTCTTCTCCATATAAAGTCGGAAGTGATTTGAAGTAAATATTGTGTGAGAAATTCCATGGAAGTACCGCCAACATGAACTCTTGCATTCTAACACAAGTTGTTGCAATCTCGTCGTCCCTTTGGCTATCAGGTATGTATATATCGATCTTGAATGAATAAAAGCGTGGAATACTAAGAAATAAGATAGGCGAGATATTTACCTACTCTTGGGGCGCAGTGCCCGCAGTTTTGGTCGCCAGTCGAACCTCTCCTCATCTAGGTGCAAAACAATGGGCTGCATTTTACCATAAGGGGCACTTTCTAGGCCCTCCTTTTGCTGCCCTAGGAGCAGGAAGTTTTATTTGGTTGGCGTTGAAGTCTCATTCTTTGTTGTACTGGGCAGCTGCTGTTCTCGACATTAGTATCGTACCATGGACCCTTCTTTTCATGTTGGAAACAAACCATCGCATATTCGAGTTTGCCACTATGGAAGACTCGTCACAAACCACGACCCGTGATGGAGCACAATTGGCTTCCCTGTTAAACAAATGGGCGAGCCTCAATACCGTTCGCTCGCTTTTCCCACTTGCAGGTGGTATTTTGGGATTACTAGCGGTCTTGAGTTAATCCTCATGTTGCCTATGCTCGAGTGAAATTCTTCAGTCATTCCAAGGCAAGCTTTCATACTGCTCCGATCAAAATGGACACAAAACATCACGCATAGTATGCATTATCAGGTAGCGATGATCTGGTGGACACAAACAATGTGCCCTTTGTCGCCAGGAGGAAAATGCTCTTTTGCTTCTCTCATATCTTTGGCGTTATCGATGATCAAGAGCCATGGCTCTTAAACAGTGGACAGCCATTCAATGCCATCTCGTGACTTCAAGGGGCTATCGAAAGAATCTAACTTTTCCTTATCACACTTCAACTCTGTGATCTGTCGAGACTTCGTATCATTTTGAGAAACGCCGCAATAACTTAACCCTCGGAAAAGAAATAGTTAGCAAAATACCAATACGAGGCGAGAGCTAAGGGAAATGTTAGACCTGGTCTCCTCTATAAACCTCGAACATAAATGCGTCTTTCCAGCTCCTTGATTACCATGGATATAGATCACTTGGCGCTCGTGTCCCAAGCCTTTGACTGAGGAAAAGCTGAACTTTTCTAACAAATGCTCCAAGTAGTTATTCTTCCTCGGTAGAAATCATTCACGAGTCGAGGAATCATGAATGGCTTGTTTTCGTTGGCGAAGGAGATAGCCGTGCCAGGCTGGCGCGCCCTAACTTTGTCAGATAATCGAGCTTGGTCAAGCATCCGACGACTATTTCCTTGCTGATAACTGAATATAACCGTTAGCTTGACATTTCAATAATAAACCATGAAAATCTCACCTCTCCAAGGCAGCTAACAAAGTTTTGACAGAGGATATATAACAGGACAGTCGATCCTGCAAGACCCGAATAATGAAGTATGATGGAAGACGGTAGGAAGTGAAAACGGAGGAAAGGCTCGAGGAGATGGAATGTTATATGTGCTTGATATGTATAATATCTTATAGGATAACGAAGAGTATCATAGTCAGCTCTCGAATCTGGCTTTTTGGATGTCAAAGAAGTGATTTCCATAAAAGAATTGAGTTTTATATAATGAAAGAGTTCGAAGTACATGTGATGTTTAATATTCGGTACATTCCTTTGATATAACAGGATATAATTAGGTCTCCAATTAATTAGTAATTTATTCCTATATTTTGAAAGAAAGGCTTCTATAAGCGGAGGTGGTTATCGTTATACGAGATCAAAGAACATTATGGAAAAGTGTGAAGTACCCTCGATACAGCTTTTCATAGATGTCTAGCATTAGGCGGTTTCTGTATTGCAAATTTAGATGCACTAGGGCATAGAAATCTCTTAGGAAGTTTAGATTATATGGAAATACTCGGCTAATGTGGGATATTCGGGGCGAGATAAAATTCAGTGTTTGGGACAATCGCCCTAATGTACGGAGTAGTGTCGCTTCAAATCCGCCACTCCTATATCACAAAGTTTTTAATCTTGGCCGAGGCTGCGTTCACATAAATTGGCATTGATACCTTTGGAACTGGGATCGGATTACTCAACTTTTTCGCGAGTGACCTGCAGGTCAGATGGCGCAATAGCATGAGTGACGGGATAAACAAAAATCAATCATGCCGCCATCCCAAGTTTTTCCTAAAAGTTAAAACGAAAATCCCTACTGGTATATTTCATTGATTCAAATAGGCGTCATGCTGTGCCTCTCAGTCATCACTGTCCCCGTCTTCTTCGACAAAGAATAAAGAAACAAAGGAGAGATGTCGACTTCAAGGGAGTAAGGATTACCTTTTTCTTTGCCGTCTGGGAAGGAGAGTTCAATCTTGAAAGGATTCAATTTAAACAGCTATAGTTTTTGAGGAGTCCACATAGAATTGTGCAAGCGACGCCTGGTCTTCTCCTAACAATATAACGATAATAAAATTTCCCATGTCCTATCTACCAATTCTAAGATACGTTCTAGCATATATATTTTTTCCATCGCAAAAGAAAACAGCAACCAAAGAGAAAAACTAAAAAAGAGTGTGAAGCTATTAAACACGTCTCCCTTCAAAGCCCTCAGCGGGCCATCCCTGAAGCGTATCCCCATTCTCAACATGGTCACCCGAAAGGACCAGGGTATGTTCCAAAAGACAAGCATCCTGGCCCATTGAAGCACCGGACATCAACCGTGATCCAGCGCGCAGGATACTCCGGTCCCCAACGTTCAAGGTGTGCAGCTCAAATCCACCACGCGAGTTCAAGTGGCACACCAAACTAGCGTCATCCACAGCAACACGGTCACCAAGTGTGAGGAGATCAGGCTCAGTGAAGAAGATGCTGGGACTACCGTTGGCGTGGATTGCACAGTCCTTGCCAATGTTCGCACCCAAGAGGCGGTAGTACCAGGAAATGTAGGCGGTGCCACTTATCATGGGTAGGAGACCATTTCCGTCATAACAGTCTTTGATCAACGTCTCGCAAGAAAGGAGAAATTGCCAGCGCTGGTTGTAACTGCTCTTGTCCCAGTGGAAGGCACCTTCCTTGCGACGGCCCACGACCGTCCATTTAATGCAAAGAACAATGCCAAAGGCGAGGAAAACTTGAGCTGCGGTGATCACAGATAGAATCGAGGCGAGAAGGCCGTAGAGAGCGAATGGCCGCCAGGCGCCCTGCTTGAAACCAGCGGCATCACTATAGTCCAGGACAGCACGGAGAGCGAAAAGGGAGAACAAGACGGTAAGCAGCCAATAGACAGTGGTGACAATAACTGAAAAAACAGAATAGATAACAATTTGCCACATGCGGAGGACGTAGTAGTTGGCTTCGCCGCGGTAGAAGGCGCGACCGAATGGCTTGCACGTATCGGTGACTTTCTCAGCAATCTCAGTGACAGCGTTGCTCTTATTCTTACTGTCAAACTTGGGTTGCTTCTCGTTAATTGTTTTCTCTTCTTCGTTGTCGCTGCTAGGGCTGCTGCTACTGTCTCCGATGATAGTCGGGGCGGTCGAAGTAGAGGTTGAGGTGGTAGTAGAACTTGGGAACTGTATAGCCTCGCCGCCCTTGCTACCAGTCCAGACAGTGTTGGCAGGATAGTCACCATTACGGCGGAGTAGAGCACCAGAGCCGATCATGGCTTCACGACCGATGGTAGCACCAGGTAAAGCAACGACGCGATCACCAACCATGGTGCCGTCACCAATCACGATGCGATCACGACCGTAACCATCAGATGTGACCAGAGTCGAGCGAGAGCCAAAGACAACATCGTTACCAACCTCGATAAGATCAAAGTCTACAGTGACGGGACCGACACTGGGCCAGTAGACATGCTTGCCAACTTTGCCCCCAAGGGCTCGGACAGCCATCGAGACAAATTCATAATGACGACCAGTAAGGCGGGTGAGCTCGTGGAAGTCACCGGCAGGTAGAATCTGCGCAAGTACAGCACTGCGCACCTTTTGGCGAGTGGTCTGTTTTGATGCAGGACCAGGCTTTGGCTTGCCACAGACGAGATCGAGCAAAGACTTTATAATCAACACAGCAATGAAGAGCACAATCGGACCGCCAACAGCACGACAGATTCTTGCGGTAATATGGAATGCAATCCGTTGATCACTGGTATACCAATCTAAGGTAGACCGGAACATGTCGGCCGCGGGGGTAGGGAACTCGAGGACCATAGGAATAAGACCACCCATCCAAGTGACACGAGCAGCCATCCAGGTGAGCAACTTGATTGGCTGCACGATAATGAGAACCCAGAACCAGTGAGGCTGGGGAATCTGAGAGGTAAGTAATTGGCGGTTAGACTCATCGGCGTCCTGGAGTTCCCAGCTGGACGAGTTGGGACCAATACAGGTTCTCTCTGGGATATCAGCACCAGGAGCAACAACCGATTTGATGCCAATAGATGAGTCCTTGCCAATGCGAATGCGCTTCAAAAGCATAGACGTGTTGCGCTCCACACCGAAGGGACGGCAAAGACAAGTATCCAAAACGACATTGTCACCAATCTCAATCAGATCATACTCTCCCAGCTTAGCAGATGCGGACATGGTAACATTCCATCCAATCCTTGCTCCTAGTAAACGATAGAAGAGGATGCGGGACCAATTGTATTTGTTGAAGAGGCCCTTTCCGCACACCTGCAATGCCTTCTGCGTTAACCACCAGCGCGTATGGTACGGGCCCCACATTGGGTACATGCCCTCCTTGTAGCGACCGATGACAAGCCACTTGAATGTGATAGCAAGGATTGGTGACACAACTTGTGAACTCAAGCGAGCAGACATCACGGCAAAAACAACCAGCATCAAACGACCGATGAGGTTATCACGAACGGGGAACCGATTTGAGCACTCGGCCACGATGTATGCAAATATCATCCACTGGAAGGCGCGCTTCATGGGGAAAAATAACACAGTCGGGAACAGGTGTAGGATCAAGATAATCGGGTTCGTGCTGCTGTATGTCTTCTCGCACCCAGGCAATTCAACTTCCCCGTCGTCGCCCTTGGCAGCCTTGACTTCAACAGCTTCAATTATCTTCTGCTCTATCTCTCCAATGGTGCTGTGGTGGAAGAGAATGTCACCGGCGAGGAAGATATTGAATTCGCGACGAAGTTGCGAAACCATACGACCAGCACTAAGACTATCACCACCAGCAGCAAAAAAGTCTGTAATAGCGGATACCTCCTCTGGTGCACAGGACAAGGCAGCAGCAAAGATCTCACGCACGCGGCGCTGAGTGGGTGACAGGTCACCATCCGAGTTGCGGGCGTGGATGGCATCATTGATAGCAGCCTGGTCTGGATTTCCATAGAAATCCACCGGCATGGGACCTTTGAGGGGAATGATGCGGCTAGGGATGAGGTAGCCATCAAGCTGGCTGAGAAGCTCTGCGGGCGTCACATGGTCATCATCTGGGTTCTGGACAAACAAAGCAACTTGCGCAAGCCCGTCACGCGGGCTTATTTGTACGTGCACTTCAGCGGTACTCTCCTTCTTGGTAATGACCGAGCGAATAATTTTATCATCGATGACACAGGCTGTCTTCGGAATCAATGCAGTGAGCGGAGCCCCAGTGGGTGGGCAGACAGCTTCATAGTGTCGGTTTGCCAGGGGCGTGGTCGTGGTCAAGGTCTCCAGAGACAACCTCTCTGCAAGCTTTATGCGCTGGATCTTGTTGTTCGCTTTCGGCACACCGTCCATGTATACTACCAGAGCCGGCCACTTAGGTTGATGGATAATAGGCTGCAGGGCTTCGTGTATCTGGCGAAGATCTGGCCTAGTGAAGCCCGGAGGTGTGACGATAACCACCCCGACGACTTCCTGTAGCACTTCATCTGGGACAGAAAAGGCTAATGTCTCGGTGACGCGACCATACAGTGGGGATCCGGGATCCTTGGCCGAGGTCAGCACGGCGTTTTCAACTTCGACGGGAGATATAATTTCGCCACCACGGTTGATGACCTCCTTGCTGCGGCCAGTGATGTAGAGGTAGTTGTCGGCATCGAGGTGTCCAAGATCGCCAGTATCAAACCAACCAGCTTCATTGAATGCACTGGTATCAATCTTGCCCTCGGGAGTCAGATACCCCTCGAAAGCGGGTGATCCGCGAATGCAAATGTGCCCGAGCATCCCATATTGCGAGACAGGCTCGCCATTCTCGGTCAGGATTGCAACTTCAGGACCAACAATTCTTCCCGATGTCCCCTCGCGATCAAGATTATAGTTCCTCGGCGGCGCAGCAATAGGCATACATTCAGTCATGCCATAACTGGGGAGAACAGCGCAATGGAAAGTATTATGAAGCTGCACAGCAAGCGTCGGAGGAAGACCACCACCAGCGTTGCAGATGAACTGAATTGCGCTTTGCTTGACAGCATCAGGACGGTGCTCGGCTTCCGCCAGAAACATTTGGTGCATCGTGGGTGTGGCGTAATACCAGGTTGGTGTCATATGAGGGGTTTGCACGGCATCCCAGAACATGCTGGGGTCAAACGATGGGCAACATATTGTAGCACCGCCGGCAAGGATTGGGGAGAAGATACTGCGCATGATGCCACCACTAATGATGTTAATATTTTCCTATGATATGACTTGGCTTGGGACATACACATGATTCAACGGCATCATATTTAGACATGTGTCTGTCTCGGACAGTTCCACCGACTCGATGGTAGCCATAGTACCCGCAATGAGGTTGTAAGTTGTGATGGGGACCAGCTTCTTAGTACCACTGGTACCACTGGTAAACAGGATAATGGCAATGTCGTCCCCAGAATTGGGGTGGACCTCACATGCACTAGAGGCATTCTTTGCAGAGACCACCCGGAAAGTCATGTCTTCAAGCTGCTCAATGCCAAACACTGGCCGACTACCATTGTTCAACTGCAACTTGCCAACGTCAGCATCCAGCGCGACAACAGCATCAGCTCCCGCATTTTCTATATCCACGTGCAGCTGCTCTGGCACCGTGTTCGTTGTCATAGGGACAATGGTATACCTATTGACAAAAGAAAGAACAGCCAATGCCATAAGAGGGCCGTTAGGCAAAATGACAGCGATGCGGGGCTTTCCATGACGGGAAGGTCCCACGGGAATCTTAAAATTCTTTAAGAACTGCCGGATGGCATTATGTGTCAAATGCCGTCCGGTATTAGCATCAATTAGGCCGGGGCGGGAGTCTGTCCCTATTAGTTCTGCAACGCTGGGTGTGGCTGCTTTGACCTGTGCACGGAGACTGGTAATTGATTCATTGTTATTGGCCTTGAGGGATTCTGGGAGGGACTTGTAGATGTCCTGGAAGGTTGAAATTAGGTGACGAGTGGGCCAGAGACCGGTGTATGAGGATAGTAGAGCAGAGAGATGGTGGGAAGAGTCTGGGTGAGCGGCCTCACTGCGGAGGTGTAGAAGCTGATCTACAAGTCTGTTTGACAGTCAGAATTGGAAGGAAGTTAAACCGAGTGCCCAAATTAAAAAGGGAGTAAATAGGCCAATATAAGAAAATGCTAGATGTGATAAAACATACGAAGATCGTGGTAAATCTGCCATATTGTAGTATATCTAGTGCAAACAACTTTTGAACTCGACCTGATATACAATCACAAAAGGAGAACTCATTCATAACTTATATGCTACCACAGCACGCTAGTAACCAACCTGATCTACAACCCAAAAAGTAAAGTCCTTCATTGCACATGCCGCCACCTAATCCTAGTAATGCTAACCCGATGTACTACCCAAAGGAGAAATCCTTCAGAGTTCAAACCCTAGTAATATCCACACAACCCACCAACGACTTGCAAATCACATCGTGGATCTAATAGTTATCGTGGTTCCTCATATACAACATACAGTACGCCAGCGAACTGCGTAAGACCCTAAAGCAGAAAGATCCGCATTGCATACAGATTCACAACCTTGACCCGGCTGGTCCTACGGAATTCCGTTCATGATCGGGATGATCACCTCAGCTCTGAGTACGCAACATCGTGCGTCTAGATGGGATGGTATTGGCTAGAGATAGAGCCATCATCACGTATATCATTCAAGGGCCGTGATGTGGTCAAAGTCTAGAGCCTTGGTAGACATTGTAGTTTCCCCGGGGCCGAGTATCACAATCCGGCCCCCTGTTTCAAGTGATCGTTTGGTTATTAATTCCTCTTTTTGATATGTACGAATTTTCCTTTAACGAATGCAGTAATATTACCGGTATGATTATAAAGAGAGATAAGCCCGCTCCTACGCTACTTATACACTTGGCACTCTAAATGTCGTATAGTGATCATCTACATAGTTTGGGATATGTATACTGTCCATGGGTATCTATATACATGTTTCACAGAGTAGCTTTCAGTCACTCTATCGGACCAACCCTTCAAGAATAAAGTCCCCGAAAGCACATACGGAATGGATCTATGCGGACCGCAGGATCTCTGATCGGCAATTTAGGGCCGTGCCAACACCGTATATCACATGGGTGTAACACGGGAAACTCCTGTCGGACTCCGTACATACCCGCATGATTCGGGCCGTGTATGTAGATTCATAGTAACTACTAGAGACGATCAACCAACATAGAATCTATCAACCTTGTATATATATATATATATACACCATTGCGTGAGTAAATATGTACAGATACGTCGTATTGTATACGAATTTCTACATTAAGATGGTGGCGAATTCCACATTACTTTATAGGAAGTTGGAGGCCATTTGCTATATTTGGCCGAGTTGCTATCTAGATATGATCTAAGCTTTGAAACGGTCTCGTCCTAAGATCGGCCCTTAGCAATGCTGTCAAACTACACAAGGTACATGTAACCCTACTACGCAGGGAGAACGAGGCCCGTTTCTGCAGTGAGAATTATCCGTTTCTTGGCAAACCTTGTAACCTTTGCCAAGTGTCTTGGCAGGGACCGATGTAACCCTATTGTTTCTGTGTCGGAGGGAGTAAGGCAGATCCCGTTCATTTTATCCATAAGGTGTCCCCCCTACGGCCGTTTCAGTACTTGTCGCGTGGAGAATTTACTGGCTATCGTGGGCCATAGAGTTTGATTTCTTCAGCTTTCAAGTTTCGACGTCAAACCGCCGATCTCAATGAGGCCAACGTGACGAATACGACAAACTAGACTGGCCTCGACTAACGCTCGTACTTCCGACCAAAAACCGAGGGAAATTCCAAGCCTACTACGGAGTATAAATATAACCAATGAAATGTCCTGATTCTAATTACTCGGTTACGAATACCACACAAATGCCGCCATTGTGTCAGTGATAACGAAGCGATTGCAGATCGTATTTGATTCTTACGATTACGATTGCAGTTCCTAGCACATTCAATGAATACCCGCGCCCCTCCGGTATCGAAAGTGACATTAGCCCCTCGTTCCCACTGTTCCTAGGATGCTCGAATTTACATCGGCAAGTGAGGCTAAATCGGTTGAAACCGGGCTTGGACTACGCCATAAAGTCCGATAGATAATCCATCTTCCCTATCTGCACACCTTTCACCCTCAAAATTTCATACACCGTCACAACATGGAAATAGAAATTGGGGATGGCAAATCGCACTGAATAATCCTCGAGCGTAAAGTCGAACTCCTCCTTTCCCAGTGGAGCCTTGAAAACTTGCCCTTCCTTCAAGGCAATCTTGGCCGGATCGGCCTTTTCGAGCTCCGCAAGTGCTCTATCAATGCGCTTGTAAAGATCTTCGTAGGTCTTATCCAGCTCTTGCTGTGGCAAAGGCTCAACGGATGCTGCGCGGGCGAGGGCCTTGGAGACGGTATTTGTGGCAGTCGCAACTTGGAAGGAGAGAGGCTTCATGTCCTCGACAAGGCGGGCATTGAGAAATTCATCGAGTGGGATATTGTTTTCTTTTGCGTACTCTTCACCCTTTTTCAGGAGGGTAGAGACGGTATTGAGACCCCTGGTGAAAGTGGCGATAGTGTAATTGTAGAATGGGGAGGCCATGTTGAGTTTGAACTTCGAGTTCTGTGAGCTTTTGGATTGTGAAGTAATAATGTCTTACCGAAGGGAATGGAATACGCCTAATATACGATATCCTCCCCAAACAATATAAATTCTTATGCTCACCACTGTATTCTACTGATTTGCAATCCATTGATTACTAATTCGGATTATTTATCTAGGCCGAAGGGGCGAGCGTTGGACTTGGCAATGATCTTCATTACCATTTACCTATTTTGGATCCGATCCTCGGAGCTAGCACCGTAGATCGGGTGTACTATATTCTACTTTGGTTTGAGCAACAATGAAGATATTCGGTCCTGGTAAAATGGTCTGGGATCTTATTGCGCATTTATATTACTTAGAGGCAATGGCTGTATACCATGTCTAGTAATTTGAACTCTCAATTTGCAAGGTTGAAACTGTGAGGCATACTTAGGTTAAATTTGAACTTCTTAAGTATAGTACCGTCTCTCGTTGCTTCCCTTATATCTGCACAATATCAAGTACTATTATTGCAGCAGGGTATTACTCGCTCTCTTGTTGCTTTCTTAGCCACTTCATCAGGCTAGTGGGCTTGTTCTTTGCATCCTGTAGCTTTGTTGTCTCTTTCTCTCTATGAGACTATATTGTCAAAGTGGCCTCTATAAGACATAATATTTTTGGTTGTTGAGATGTTTACTGACTGGGAGAAATGGAAAGCAAACGTTATACACCTCGGGCAGAATGGCTTCCTTCACATCCCGCGCTTCGTACTCGTAAAGTTGCTCCGCCCGATACGGGCAAGATTGCAATTCACAAAGACTTGTGTGAAACCCAAGGAATGGTTTTATGATATGAAGCCTAGAATCCGGGTATAATAACTTCCATGAACGGTACATTAGCTCTCGAACGTAAGCATAGTCATACCTCCAGGGCTCCCGAGGTCTTCGGGTAGCTCCCGGTTGTGGCTCCGCTCGGTCCGCTCGGGCTCCCGAGGTCCCATTTGAGCTTATCCAGCTCTGGCTCCATGAAATAATTTAGGTGAGATAGCTTGACAAAAGTGGTCTCGAAATAGAAATATGTGATACGGTAAGTGTGGAAATGGCGTGTTGTGCTTAGGATAAGGACACTGCACATTAGTCGAAGTATCGATTCATAATACAGCAAGATCAATAAAACAACAATATTGAAGGTCATCGTCAGAACTACAAATTTTCCCCGTACTTTTCTTTTAGGATTCCTCTTTATCTCACCCCATAGTCACTCGCCTGATCTGTCCCGCCATCCCACCCACTACAACCACCCGGTCCGGCCACGTCAACTTGATCTAGGTCCACGAGCGTCACATACAAAGACAGAAATTATCTTACCGAGCCTAAGATCAGAATTTCAGAATTCAAGAATTCAAGATGGGCTTTATCAATTTAAGTGCGATTTTTGAGGGTGTTTCCACAAAGTAAGCGTGCCCGGGTTCATGCTAGAACATCTCTGCCCATACACCTTGAAGAGATGCAAAGTGGTGGACAATTCTTGTTGAAGCAGAATGGTCCGAATCAAAGGCTAAACTAAAGCATGATCTTTTGCTATGGCCCCATGACTCGGAACAAATGGTTAAATTTGCCCCTACATTGAGAGTTACGCGACAGCAGGACTTCACAAGCGAGCGATGGATGCTCGACTGAACACCTCGTTTGACTTCCCTCGAGCCTATCCAGAAATTCGATGCCCAGTATTGGTTTGACCCAACAAGAGGAGAAACATACATAGCTATCGGAGTCAAGGTTCATGCGAAAAGTCCCAAAACGACATTTCCAAAATGGTCTACAGCGCAAAGTTTGTCACTGTGATTAATGCAACCCAATTCCTTTGCCAATGAGCGTTCATGCCGACGGTTGGCACAATTGACCGTAATTCGCTTAGGGTCCAAGAGTTCTTTGCGATCGCTCCAATGGGCCTTTGCAATATCCCACCATGCACAGCGGCAAGCGGAACACATCCTTAGGCATCATCAATTTGTTCGGGTTGAGTACGTGACACCAAGCTTTGACCACTGGTTCTAATATGACAGGGCTAACTCCAGCCAGCCTGTACCACTGATCCTAATTCCCTTCCACCTTTATCACGAGAGCCAACGCGGGCCCGCCAAGGATTCTATCGTTGAGGTCGCTAAGGCGACGCAGACAAGTACAAGGCCCATGCCCTGGGAGCTGAAAGAGAGGTGAGGACCGCTGAGAATGAGGCGGCGGACGCCCAGAAGTAGCTAACGGCCATCCGAGAAACGACATAGGATGTCTGACAGAACAACCTGTCTAATTCGCAACTTGGGAGTGGGAAATGCAGTTCCATAGTGAGGAGAAGCATTTTTCTTGTATCCTGAAATATAGTCGTGTGGTCCCGTAGGTGTGTTTGCTCCAAGGAATTTTGAGTAGCTAGTACGGTGACTTGATACCAGGAACTGATCCATTCGTAAGTAAATTTCTCAGGGGATTATGCAATTGTAGGAAAGTGCCCTGACTAACTACAAGAGACTTGTAGTTTCCGACACTCTTGTAGGACCAAGGAAAGGTGATCTCATTACACAAGGAGATATCGGAGTACGCGCGGGCTTCTCATGGCATTAAACCACCAACGGATCTAGAGACCTATTTCTGCCAAACATGCGCCATCTCCGCTCGAATCATTGCCATCAAGATGACCTGTTACCATTAACCATTAGCCATGCCTCTCACGATCCCGAGATCCTGCAAGTATTCGACATACCAAGCTGAGATCTACCCCTTGAGCCACCCGAACCCGATAGACCGATATATCCCGATCCCGCACAAAACGCTTCTTGATGTTGTTTGAATGCACTGCAATCTCCGCAATCGTCGCATTTCCAATATTGACATAGTTTATTATCCCCATTGCATCGCGCGGTCGCATCTCGACCAGCTCGCCCGAGCTCAAGATTTTCCCGTCAATAGCCGTGTGTTGCGAGGTGAAGAATTTCTTATGGCAAAGCTCCGCGAACTTGCTACCACTGGCGTCTTCTACAAGCCACCCGATCTTACGTCGCAGATCAAATACTGGCTGGCCTGATGCATCCTTCAATGGTCGCCTCAGCGTCATCGAGCTGTAACCCCCTGGGCCTTCGACGGAGAACAGCTTTTCACCGTCATCGCCCGCTATTGTGATATCCTGAAGATGGCGGTCATGAACCCTTACCCATATGACAGACTCCCGCTCGGTTATGTGGCCTTTAATTAGACAGACTGGTGAAGGTGGAGCCCGAAGGTCTGCGTCCATTGTGTTCGAATATAGACGTCAGGAGCAAGAGAAATGTGTATGCGTTCGTCGTGGTCAGGTCCAAATAATTGAGACAACAGGACCAGGGAGAGGAACAGATAGCGGGTAATGATTCAGAGAAATTGTTGAGAATAGAGGTCGCGATGTCTTTCACATGAGCTTGGGGGCCAGGAAGTATTATGGCCCCGGCCAAGAACGGATCGTGCGGTTCAAATTGTCAGTAAATAATACATAGCATGCCCCTGAGCACACAGTGATTCATTAAAAATCAACATCGATTGCCGATCGTTCATTTTTCTTGGCGCGATATAGGTGTGGGTCAAGCTGTCCATGCACCCCGAGGGCGCTCGTCGCACACTTGCTGTACGCGTGGATAAGGTAATTAGCATTTCCAACGATGACCGCTGTTGTCCCAGGCCCCACTGTCGGTCAATGGATGGAAGTGTACGATGTCCACCCGTGACACCAAAGAATGCACCAATGATCGATGCGTGTAGCCGAAGCTCCGGGATCGGCGTACCCTGTGTCTTGGTACAGCGGGTAGCAGATGCACAGTACCAGGGATTGGTTAAGATTCAAATCCACCACCCAGGATTTCCCCGATTATACCCGCACTGGATAGGATCCCACCCGTATAGCTCCTTGTGTATCTGCTCGACCGATTGCGTAAAAGGATATATCGTTCCCAAGCTGAAGGTATCCCACACCATCACAACACAACACCTCCAGTACATAGCATGTAGCATGTACGGAGGCCGTTGAACGCTCTGCGGGACAGGCCGTGGCAATGTTTCCCGATCGATCTTCTCGGTCGTATAGGCATTCTTCCCCTAGCGCGCAGGATCGCCGACCCGCAGCTCTCTGGCAGACTAGAGATCAGCATCGGAAAATAGCAGCGGCCAAAATCAGCTCGATGTAGCCAATCTAGCGCCATGACAGGAATTGCAGGATGGTAGACCCAAGGATGGGCCCAGCCTTGTCGCCGCCAGATAGATGGTCACGTACAGAAAGACCTGGAAACTCCGAGCTCGATCACCGTGAGAAACATTCGATTTAATACCGGTAACGGTGTCGCTTATCGGGGGAACACGTCCGCTGATGAATCGAACAACAACCACGGTGACAAAGTTTGGTGGCAGTCCAACTGGATTCAAAAACGAATAAAGCAAAAATTGGCGGTGATAAAGACAGGTCGAGCGCCAAAGTCATCCATCACAGGAAACAGGAGAGGCGAACACAGCGCGGCGCCGATAGTCCAATTGTTAGCCAGTAGGAATTGTGGGGTTGTGGGATTAATAAGGACAATGTGGGTAGCATACTCAGCAGTATTAAAGGTAGTCTTCGGAATGAATAATTCAAAAATAAATATGAGAGCATGTCTTGGGATATTCCAATTGTATCAAATTAGGTAGGAGGCCCAACTTATGTAGAAAGTCGGGCTGTGTTGGGATAAGTCATCAACTAAATTCCGGTTCAATAATGCCAAGATGGTTTACTTGACCCAATCTAAATGTACTATGCTAGAATCCTCCCTGGATGGCCGAGTGGGTGAGAGACACGAGGTCATCTGATTGCTGAGTGAAACAGTGAATCCGGGTGATACCGCATTGGGAAGCTCAGTGATGATGAAAGTGGTCAGGGTTTCGACCCCCTCCACAAGTAATTGGGGCACGGATCATTTTTTTTCCCTTCCTTCTCATTTATTCTTCTTATTTATTTCTGTGGATATATCGAAGGTTGTAGATCGAAGTGGAGCCGTCACTCCCGATTTGGTCTAGTGCCATTTCTATTTGAGCCGCAATATCTAAATTCGATAGGTACTTCTTGTCACTAGTGGCTGCAAGTCAAAAGAATGTACACTCCCAAAAATAGGTAAGTCTGAGATTACTTCGCCCGCCTTTATTTCAAATACATTTCTTCTTGTCTCACTTTCCTGCAACTTAGCCACCATCCTCTCATTAGAACTCATAGAATAATCCATAGCGGTTACTAAGTATTTACCCACTGCCCATTTCCCCACCAAAACTGACCAACTTTGAACCCTATATCTCTCAATAAATTTATATTGTAATAATTTTTCTGATGATTTTCAATAAAATATCATTATCAGATTAGTAAAATAGCTCTTTCCGAATAGTGCAATATATATGGCTGTTGAGTGACAAGTAGTTGAAATTCAGATATCAAAATAAATTGTCATTATATATAGCGGGAGCTAGTGATTCCCATACTAAACTAGCGATCAGAATCTCTATCATGACTTTGAAAATTGGCCACACTCTATGAAAAATACTTACGGATATAATTTCATAATATATTACATTGGGCTTCCAATTATAAATAAGATAAAAAATAAATAAAAATAGGTTACAATATAAATTCATCGAGAGAATAGACTTCAAACTCGGTCAGTTTTGGTGGGAAAATGGGCAGTGGGTAGATACTTAGTAGCAGGGTCTGTATGTAGATTGCTTGTAAACTAAGTCTCAACGAATCATGAGTTCAATGTGTAATGTCATCTCTGAATCGACATGGGACATATTTTGGGCTAAATGTCACAACGGAATATAGCCTCCTCCGGGCCGTAGATTGAGACAACTCACCCACAACCATCTAATTGCCTGGAGCTAGCATATCCTACTCCGCACGTTGTGGATGGATGATAGAGGAGTAAAGGTATATACGGGTTCCGGGCTTTTTTTCGATCCAGGGTCGGTGGCCTGACCTCGAGGATCGCTAGTCCATGTAGACCATGGTACCTTACACTTATATTGAGATTTACCTACGATGGACTCCAATTCAATGACGTCAAAAACTTTTCTTCCCACTACTCATCACTTTTTTAGTCCAATGACCGCCAGGTTACGCGGGCTCTCGCTATAGTCAAACACTGGCTCAACCCAGCAGTCTTTGACCGAGTCCTGTTCACGAAGGAATTGCCACCGATCTACGACAATGATAGTCTCGACGAGCTGAGCACTGAATGCCATTAAGCTCCACATAACACTCATCTGCTTCTTTGTGTGGTGGTACTGAGTCTCGTAGCAGTGAATCTCCTCATCAGTCATGGTAGCAATATGCTCCTGCATCTGGGTAGCATATGCCGGGTCTCGACTGATCTTGATCGTCGCAGCACGAACATATGCAGTAAAAGATTTAAAGGCAGCTTTAGGCAATGCTCCGATGATAATAGAGTTGGGTTTAGCTTCCGGCCCAGTTTTGTCGGAGAAGACGTCATCTGGCACAGGAGGCTCAGGAAGAATACCACGGTCGAAGAGAATGCGCTGGAGGAGAGCACGGAAGAAATGACGCGTAAAAGATACTTCACTGTCATCGTGGCCCCAATTGTATGGAGCTTGCACGGCCAGTGCACGAGCTGTGATGTTAAGCTTCACGCCAGCCGTTGCGCCGGGACTTCGGTAATTCTCGTAGTATTTAGACATAGGGAACCCATGCGGATCATATGATGTTCCAGTCTCTTTAAGTCGAGGGTGGAGTGATTGAAGAATCGGGAGGTTATGCGTGGTTGGACCAAGACGTTCCGTTAACAAATTGTAGCAACAGCCAATCATAGCGACAGCCACAATCGAAGGATTTAGAATCAGAGATCGTAGACCATGGTGAACAAGGTTTCCACAAGAGTGAATGGAAACAACCATCAATCTGGCATCGCTTGGTTCCTTTCCATTCTCATCAGGAGCTCCACTGCGGGATGGGCGGATGATATGGTCGATAATGGGCTCTAAGTGGCCATCTTGGATTTCATGCTCAATATAGCTTAGAGTACCGCGGGTATGGATCTCTGGATTCGGCAGCTTTTCTGATAATGGGCCTTTGGTGGGGGATCCAAGTAGCTCGTCAGATTGAAGGCTAATCTCGCCCAGCATCTCCAGCAAAGGGCCATCTGAGACCTGCAAGTCCTCTATCGTTGGGTGGGATGTATCTGTCCTTTCAGAGACGGTCACTTCCGGAGTTCCCTTGCATACATCGGGTGAACTTTTGTCCTTGTGGAAATTTTGAGCTTTCGGGTCTTTTGCTAACTTGGCTCGAACATCCATACTCTTGGCACCGCTAATGAACTGATGCTTGCGCTCAATCGCGATGATATGCTTGTGGTAAGGCGAACTAGCCAGTGTCCGTCCAAGATAGTTCTGCCCAGACCCAAAATCCACAATATGAGTGATTGGCTCACCTCGTCGCTTATTGACAGTGTCTGATAGAGATGCAACATGTCGAGAAAAGCATTCAACCTCGTGAACCTTTTTTTTGTTCATATGCATAGCAACTTGCTTTGGTAATGCGATCCGCTTCGATGAGATGTACATTTCTCGTTGGAGTATCAGTAGACGGATGTTGGAAATATAGTCCAAGAGGCTCTGAGGAGGAACTGCTCCTCCATTCCAAGTACGGCTACTTTGATCTACGGCAGGCTCGCCGGTTCGTAAGTGCTCAATGTCCTCTCGTAGGAGTAGATGTATGATATCATGAATATCATGCTGTTCGAAGAACGATATCCAATCTTTTGGCAGAATTTGCGTATAGATGTCAGGCTCCCGGGTCAGAAAGTCGACCATATGCACACCACCGCACAAATTCATAAAAAGCACCGACGTGGTAGAGAAGCAAAGGAGGGCCTCAATGTAGGCATCAGGGTGTCCCCATACCCCGGAGATGGGTAGGGGGCGAGTGAAAGTCATGTGAACTAGTGATATTCAACCCACCAAAATCTCTGAGGATTCAAAGTTTATAGCCCTGCTGAGTCATCGAGTTTTCTCAAGGTCCCGAGGTCCCGAGGTCCCGAGGTCCCGAAGTCCCGAGGTTGGGAGCTTCCATCTATACAAATGATAATGGCAACATGCCATTCGCGTTCGTATTTGTTTCATTGCATAACAGCCGAGCAATAAATTCACTATACCCTTCGCAATAATCTTCTATAATTTATATTAAGGTTGCTTTTCAAAATCCAGGTGGCAATTGTAATTGTAATATAAAATGGCCGTCCAATTTTCCCAAAATAACTTTGGGACAAAACCAGATACCCTTTGATTCTTCATCAAGCATTCACTATGATATCATTCTCTTGAAGCGCTCAATTCTTAAATATTAAAAGCCTCTAATCACGGCGCGTCGATTGATGTCATCATACTTGTAGACTCGCAGGTGCATGCCTACCGCAACAATCTTATAAACGGGACTGCGCTCTTGACACCGATGGGTCCCATGTATCGCCGCTAGATATCGATCCAACTGCTCAACTCCGTCGTTCCAAGCGGTGCTATGTCCCTCATGCCCAGCTTTCTTATACTGAACAATCAGAAACTTGTCCGCAGAGGTCGAAGTCCCACGATAGTGGAAGGTATGAAGATCCGAGAAGCCTTGTTCTCCAGATTGCATTGTTGATCTTGTGGGCGTGTGCAGTGGCAGAGGCGCCAGCTGCCACAACCCTATTACGGGTAAATACCGCTGCCTTAATGCCTGGGTGTGGCATTAGGGCGTGAATCAAACGCGGCAGAAGAAATAAAATATCTGAATAGGACGATAAGAGAAGGCCACATAAGCGTCTACTAAAAAGTCCACTAAAAAGACTACTAAAAAGACGACTAACAAGACAACTAAAAAGATGACCAAGAAGACATTACCACTGACTATTCTTGTTATAGTAGCTCTTTATTGCTAGGCACTTATGAGAAGTTGAAAAAAAATGAAGCATTTCATCTCTATATAAATGATGGAACCTCAATTTTTTAACTTCTAAACCAGAAAGAAATATACCTAGAAATACCATTATTGATAGGTCCAATGCTCCAATAAAACCACCTAATTACATTACGTTACGCGATTCGGGTATATTTTCCGAGACAAGTAGTACTAGTGACTTGGCTAATATCGGACTTGAGAGTATTACCAGACTAAGTGGAGCAAGAAAACACTTTCTATCGCTGTATATTAGTGGCTCCATAGGATATTAATTAAAATACCTTAATTGCCTCGGCTCACTCAGGACGCCAGCAGACTTCTAAGCGCACAACGAGCTGGTAAAGGAGGCCTTTCAGATAACAATTCTGCCCTTCTAACCTGCAATCACAGTTACGCCTTGTGAGAAGACTGCAAACGAGTAGCACTTGGAGAAAATACTACCATGAGATTCCATCACAAGCAGCAACAGCCTATGAACTGGACTAATATGGCAACCCGGTGCTTCATACTCCGTAGCGGGTTACTATAACTATAGACGGCATAGCTAAGAGCTCCTGACTGGACACCATATTCTTTGAATGGACGAATCAGGAGCAGTGAATTTTCTATGTGGATTGAGCACAGATACACAGACTCCATTTGACTGCATAAGTCTAATGTTATGGTACTTTAGTACTATATACACGGACCCCCTTCAACTGCATAAGCGAAATTCAACTTACGATATGGTACTTTTACTCGGCAGTTAGATATTTGTATAGCAGTGATTTTACCGTACATTGTCATATTGCCAACTTGGTCACATGAATGGCTTCGAGTAAAAAGGTCAAAATTTTAGAAACGAGCCTCGGATGCCCCCGCGCTAAGCAAACGGCGAAGGTGAATGTTTCAGATAGGGAGCGAGGATTGGTGCACATTTGAGGCTAGTCCATACGGGGCCATTACTTCAGCAAACAATACAGGGGTCATAAGGGGCCATGAAGTGACTATAAAGAGACCACCGACATCAAGCGGGTTTCGTATTTCAGGCAAGGATTCTTCGTCCAAATCGCTTGATCAACATTTACCTCAACATGGTGTTCTCCCGCTACTTGTGCCTTTTGGCATGCTTGCCAGGCGTGTTCTCGGCATCTCTGGTGGACTTCTCCGCCGCTCGTGGGGATAATCCCTCTATGCTTGGCGTCCGCAACATGCAAGCAGCCCGCGAGGATGGATCGACTTCTGTCAATACTGATGAACTTTACATCAAGCTTGGACAAGACCCGAAGGGAGTCCCCGCGTTGCATTATCATCGGGATAAAGGGTATATTCGGGCAGAATACCACCTGAAGGACAAGTTTACAGCGGATAAGACATACTATTTTGGATACCAATTCTCTCTTGCTGATATCGAGCAGAGCTTGATGATCTGGCAATTGTACGATTTCTCTTTTCCGTTTTCTTCTATTCCTTCTCTTTCTCCTAACACCCCATTCTTACCTATGTGTCAAAAAGAATACTTCATGGTGCATTCTGCTAACTGGTTACCAAAGCAAGGAATACGCTGCCAACAATCCTACAGACGGCGGTGCTAATATCCCACTATCTCTGGAGTTCAAGAGTGGTCAACTTCACCTGCAATACCAATCGTCCTACACCACAAAACGTGAGCACCAATGGTCCCAGACTCTCAAGACAAATACGGTGTACTCGTTCGGTATTGTGATCAACACAGGGAGCCCAGGATGGGTCGAGCTATACTTCAATGGCAAGAAACAGACTTTCTCTACATCTGGAACAACTCGGTTGACTGCAAACACTTTCCCTGGCCGAGCTGAGCCGAAGTTCGGTATCTATCGGGGCGAGGCTATCAAGATTGATAGCTACGTCTACCGAATCCAGATGGGAACATCAATTGCAGATATTAAGGAGGCCGCTGGATTGGGTGAAGCACCAACTACCACTACTACTTCCCTGCGAACAACAACCAAAGCAACCACGACTACGGGACCTACTACCACATGTGCCTGGGAAGGACATTGTGCAGGTACCAAGTGCACTACCCATGACGACTGTTCCGATCCCTGGTACTGCGTAAATGGAATCTGCGGCTCCGAGTAGGAGCGCCATTGCCTAGGTATGGTCCACTTACCTCAAACCAGCTTCTAAAGATTCCTTTGGTACTAATGGCCACATAGATGCTGCATGCACGATCAGCGGAGATTGTTCCGATCTGTGGGCCTGTATTGATGGAAAGTGCGCTGTTGATCCAAACGAAGCATGCTCCAACGCCTTGTTTTGAATAATAAAACCGGTAGTCTCTTTAGTAAAGCAAGTCCTTGCGATAGCAAGTTATCAGTCTCAAAACTATTTATACTGTATAAATAGGTAAATCCCGCATAACAGGCGATAGAATAACTCTGTATAGGGCCAAGACCCCCACACCAAACCACAAAAACCGAGGATATTGACAAATCGTGTGATTAAATTAATAGCGATCTCCCGGGCTTATAATTTATTTGTGCCTACGTAGTAGATAAGATCATGAAACAGCAGACAATACTATTGTTGGGCTGATCAAAGTATGGAGAAATATAAGATACAGAGAGAGTATAAGAATCCACTAATCATGGAAGGAGCCACCAGCCAGATGATCTTAGGAGTGGCATTCAACAAGGTCATGCTGCTTATTTTAAACTCTCCGCTTCAGCTCTCTCACTACATCATCATCGCTTGGCTGGGCCTCTCCAGGCATCTCGAACTTGAGTACAACGCGATCGCCTTGGACAACTCTGACACTGTAAACCGGTTTGTCGCCAGAACTCTTCATGGTTTCAGTGAAAAACTTTCCACCACTCGTCGACTTGTTATCGCCATGTGCTCTAAGCCATCGACCTGCTGGGTCCCAGTAAAACCCAGCGTTCCCATATCGGAGGTTTTCACAGTACTCTTGAATGGTGGCTTTGTTCTTTACACCTTTATCTTTGCCCTTATCATATAGGAGATGCGTTATTGACTGAATGTGAATGGCAGGAAACTTTACATACCATCTTTCTCCGCGACACTAGGTTCAAAAAACGAGAAAATTATATAGATCGGCAAAGCTCGACAGACTTTTGACAGACCAGCGACGTTCAAGCGCTTGGAAATTGCAACATCCAGATAAGTTAAAGGTATCAAGGTTTGTTGGGGTTTCGATCTGGATTTACATAAGAGGGGGTCTACCCCGGGCCTACCCATGGATGGATGGTCCCGAAATTTACCTAGTCAGCCAACCATCGTACCAAGGTACCTAGGTACCTACCTAGGTAGGTAACCTTGGAATAAGAAGTGAATGACAAAAAGACGGTACGGGGAAAGTGTAATTCCGGCTGACAACTAATTTTCTGCATCCATGGACGGATAGCAGAACTTTGGAAACCCCATTGTCCATGGCCTTATTGGGTTACCGTGACCGCCTAGCCAACGCCAAATCAAGTTTGCAACTTCACTCTCGAACTACCCCTGTTGTAGTCAGGGCCTGCTGCAGAGACTTTGCAAGATACGTCAAGCCTCATAGAGTATCGGGCAAATCTTCTCTCATCATCCCAGTGGAATTATAACGGCGACAACATCTAATCGCGATGACCCACGAATTCGAGTAGGCACCCTACAGATCTAGAATATACACATACTAATAATTTCAGATGTCCATATGCCGTCGGTAATGTGATTAAGATTCACTTGAAGACACTAGATGGATTGGAGGCAACAGCAGATGCCAATATCATTAAAGTCTTCGAGCCGTTCACTCTTTCCTCTGTGATGCTTATTCAAATTGCCTGCTCCTCTTTAAGATTAGAAGGCGACATGATTTTGAAGCTCTTTGATCGGCGATTTGCAACGCAACTTCGGGAAGACGAAAAGATTCGGCCCTGGACCCCACAAATAGAGGCTGAGTACCATCAATTCATCCTTGATGGCGGTGCATCAGAGTTTGTTGCTCATCTCAACGACGGTGAAACACCTGAAGGCAGTACATGGAGTGCGGCTATGGACGAAACTTATCTTCATGATCACATGATGGATTTGTACAAGACAGAGGTCCAGGTATACAGCAACCTGAAGGAGATTCAAGGCACCGACATACCAAAACTCCTTGCATCCGCTATTCTACCTATATCCTACCCAGGTCAAACGAGCAGCGAATATACCGATATCCCTGGAATTCTTTTGCAATATATCGAAGGCTTCCCATTGACCGATATTGAAGAATATACACCAAGAGAAAGCTGGCAGGCTATCTGCGAAGATGCCATTCGAGTTATTAATCGTATCGGTGATCTAGGAATACTTAATGAGGATGTTAAAACAAGGAGCTTCATTGTGCGTGAGGACGCGGGGAATGGATTCAAGGTGACCATGATCGATTTTGCGCTATGCAAATTCCGTCAAGACTATAAAGATGGCGATGACTGGGATAAATGGAAATCGATACAGGACGAAGAGGGTGCAGTGGGGTATGTCATGCAAAGGCGTTTAAAGGGTGCATTTTCTTACCGTCGATCTGCTCGATACGAAGAGCTAGATGAGGAATTCAGAAAAGGCGAATGAGTTGAGACTGTAGGGAAAATAGAAATTACTGTCAGGCCGAGGAATATAGCGTCTGTATGTAAAGTTCAATCTAACCTGGAGTCGAACCCTCGACCTTCGCTAGGCGAGATCATGTTTGGTTACGTGTATATAGAGCGGACTCTCCGCAAAGCCCACAAAGCCCAAAGCCCAACCCAACCCACTAATTAGTTGGGCTTTGGGCCCTATCCTTGGGCCCATTAAGCCCAATAAGCACCAAACAATGCAAATATATAAAGTTGAACCCCTTCTTTAGTTTTTTGTTTAATTGGGCTTCGTTTTACCCCCGTTTCTAGGCCTTATCCTCAAGGTAATATTCTATTTATTCAAATGATTCAGAGCTTATTATTAGTTAGTTCTTAATATCACGTTTAAAAACGCGACAAAACGCGTATATAATGATAGTTTAAAAATTACAAAGTAGTACTCCCGGGTGAATCTAAAATATATATCTTGAGATCACAACATCATCATTAACACTTTCCGTAATATCTCGACTTCCACTGATTAGATTTCGTTCAAATGAGAATATATACTTATACAGCTACTACGATTTAATATCTTGACTTTAAGCCCTATACGATCAGTAGAAGGTCATAATACAGTAATTACAGAGGTCAATTTATTAGATACCGATAGGCTTTAATGGGGGCCCAATGGGCCTGGAGTGGGGTTGGGCTTTAGAAGCTGGGCCCATGTATGGGCTTTGCGAAGCTCTGGGGGGAGTTTACCCCTAACTTTGTACACATCTCATCTTCAAGTCAAACACCGCTACGCAGGTATGTTGCACTTCCACAGAACTCAAAGCACCTTTCGGTCACGTGCTATAAGTTCATATCGTGAAAGCTGAAAGGCTTCATCGAGATAATGCAGCTGACAAAGGGACTCGGCGCCGCATAGACCTGGAAATGTATATGAAATGGGAATGAATATAAAGTCCTGAACTTGGTGACGAAAATCTTCTCCGGCTAATTTCGATTCATGATTTAGGCTCATAACGCTGCATGTTCTTATCCTTTTTTCACTCTGTAACGTTGAGTCTTCGAGTCAATTGCAATCAAAGTGAGGTGGCGTTGCTGAATCTGCGATGATCTCTTCAAATACAAGGTAATACCCAGCTGAGCAGCACGCCAAGGTAATATATGCAGACCACCAAACGCAGGGGTTGGTTTATTTTTGCTTTTTTTTCCTTGTTTTTTGGAACTGCAAACTAAAAACGGACAAGGATGTGAACGAACGCAATGGTGTGATTCCGGTTCGAATGTATGTCGGAAAAGCAAGAGATGCAGGCACCTGGGTACATAGTAGATCTCTCGACTTAAGAGCTGCGTATTAAATGCTCCGCACTGCTCCCATACTCAACATGTACTTCACATTGGATAAAAATATGTCATCTGCTTCCCAAAAGGTCATCATTGTCGGCGCCACTGGGAATCTGGGACCCCATCTGGTGTCAGCTATTGATAGCGACCCCCATTTCCAGGTTTCCATCTTGTGTCGCGATGCATCGGACTGCAGTAAAATCCCACAGCACATTCCAGTCCACCGCGTCAAAAAGTATGACGCAAACGACGCAAACCTTGTCGAAATACTCACAGGACAAGATGTGGTTATCAGCGCGATCGGCGCACAGGCTATTTTGCAGCAAAAGCCAATCATTGATGCCGCAGTAAAAGCTGGAGTGAAGCATTTTGTGCCATCGGAGTATGGTCATGATACACGAAATGAGCGGGCGGCGCAATTGCTTCCCCCTTGGTTCTTCACCCACAAAAAGCAAATTGTTGAGTATTTACAGAGCAAGGAGGCCGAGGGATTGAAGTGGACCGCTTTTGTGACTGGGCCATTCTTCGAGACGTGAGTATTCTTCCACCCGGAGCGACAAACATGAACGGTGCCCTGTACGGCGTCTGTAGGAGCAGTGACAAAGAGCTTACGCAGGATGTTTCAGTGCAATCCCCCATCTGTTAAACTTCGATTTTCAAAACAGGAAAGCCGTGATCTTGAAGCAGTATGCTGATCACCACTGGTCTACTACAACGCTTAGCACTGTTGCTCTCGCAGTCAAAAACGCCATTTCAGCCCCCGTCGAAATTGTCAACAAGTACGTGTTTGTCGAGTCTTTCAACGTATCACAAAATGAAATTTTGTCTTCGGTGGAAAGTCTTACAAAGGCTAAATGGGATGTGAGATATCATGATGCCGAAGAGCAGAGACAGCTAGCATCAGAGAAACTGTCTCGGCGGGACTATAGTGGTCTCCCAACGCTCATGGGGTACGTTACATGTGTCGACGGGTATGGCGGGGATTATATGCAGTACGAGAAGAGCATGAATGACTTGCTATCCTTGCCGCGGGAAAGTTTAGATAGCGCCTTGAAGAAAATGATAAAATGAGCTCTGAAAGGGAAACAGTCCGACAGCAGTCAATCGAAAATGTGTTGAAATTTGAAGTAGTGAGATATCTTTATACCCGAACAAAAGCGAGCGCAATACCCACAAGTGTGTAAAGCAGACTTCCCAATAACCATACCAGCCCAGATCCCATTCCACTCATCCTCAATCCCAACTTGAAAGCATTCGTAAAACAGAGACTGCCCAGTACACTTCCCATCATCTGCATCAACTCGATCGCTGAGTAAAGTCTCGCGGTTTCCTCTCGTTTGACCAAAGCCGTTACGAGAGACCGTGTGACTACAGCAAACCCAGCTCCAGTGGCATGGATGAAGATGCTAGGAATCAAGAATACAATGGAGGGAGAGAGACCAATGCCAAGTGATCCCAAGATGAGAGCAATATCACTCAAGCGCGCGACCTGGAGATCTCTCCTCGGCAGAGACAGAGAATGAAAAACTTTGTTTGACAGGAATGGTAGCAAAAAGAGGAATACGGGAATAGCGACGGCCATGTGGAAGGAAGTAAGAAAGTGAGCCCGTGCCAAGGTCCATGTGAAGCGTGTGGAGATGTATTGGGTTAAGAAGGAGGAAGAAGTCTGCGCAACCTGGATTATGCCAAAGGAGAATAGAAGCAGAAGTAGACGGTGGTTGCAGATAAAGAGGTACGGACGAACGAGCAGGGCAATCTTGCTGAGCAGGACGCGATGTACAGGCTCTGAACCCAAAGAGCATTCGGATGTCGATAATGGCTCGTTTGAGAATGGTTGCTCAGATTCTGCTGTCTTTTTTGACACTGTGTTCATGGTCTCAGGAAGGGAAAGTGCGCAACATAGACCAATCATCACTGTCCCACAACCACCCAATAAGGGTATCCAAGGGTTCACAGTCATCAACGCAGAGCTGATTGCACTAGCAAAAAAGCTCGCAATTTGACTGGCGAGTCCAACTCGGAAGAACAGTGTTGGGCGTTGAGCATCTGTGGTAAGATCAGCTAACATGGTCCAGATCACGATGAGCGCCACTGATGGTCCACCGCCTATAATCCAACTGAAAGCTGCGATCCAGATAGCAGGGAGAGGGAGAGTATTGGAGAACCACAAGACAGAGTTGGTGATTAGTGCATTGAGCAAGAATCCGGGCACAGTGAGGCGGATGGCTCGTCGGCGGCCATATCGATCTGCCAAAATTCCATACGGAATGGCACATATTGCGCCTTTTAGCAATGTCAGTACTGAGGTTTCTCTTCAGAGTGAGATTAACAAACATAACAAGCCCTCTAACAAGTCGGAATATCCCTTGATCGTCGCGACTTCTGCTTGCACCGGTGCGATCTTGCACAAATGTTCGGGGAGAAGACCTGTCGCTGGTAGCCGAGCTGGGTCATGGCGACGCCAGTATTTATCACAAGCGATGGTCTCGATCACCCGGACCATCGGACCAGTAATCATTTGGCCACCAATCTCAAATGATAATAATATCACAATCAGCGTGATTAACATGCGAAGCCGAGTACTTTCTGGCAGCCCTGAGTTCTGGCCATCGCTCTCTTCAGGTTGACTCGGGGTGAGTGGGTCGCTTGGTTCCCTTGAGAGGAACGGGCCAGTCTCGTCATCAGAGTGGCCAAGCTCTGGCGATGGGCTAGGTATACTCATCGAGGATAATAGGAATGGGTTTAGGAAACGGAACTCTTAGAATGACCAGTTTTTCAAAACTCACAGCGAGTGCGGGGTTTTCGTACAAGCAGAAAAGAGTACTCCGTATATGCGATGGGCTTGTCGATCACCAAAGGCAACAAGGTGATCAGCAGCGATTGTGTGATATGTCTTTCAAATCTGACTGATGAATCATATTTCAAAATCCCTGCGAGAAACACCCCCACCTGCCTTGCATAATTGAAGAATGTGGCGCGCGAGATTGCTGCTGTTGAAGGCACTCTGCATCACATGTCAGAGTCATATGCCAATGTGTAGATAGTTCCGTCCTTTCTTCCTATTCCAGTAGTTTACAACTACCACTTCTCAATACAATTCATACATTGTACACACTTTGATGATCTCGTTCATATTGTAGATCTCATCAGCCTGGTCATGCACAGTGGGACCTCCGAAATATTGGGCCAAGTCTATGTACCCAGCCATACCGCCCTCTATGCCGCCTTCCTTTTAGTTATACTGCCACAATAATACAGGGCCGCATAAGCTGCTAAGTGATATCTTTTCAGTGGTCTTTCCAGTGGTAGGTTTAGGAGTCTTCTCAGATATCATTCTGTTTAATTTGTTTATATAGGTCGACGGCAGAAACAGGCAGGAAAAGGCTCAAATTTGTGCAAATGATTTTTCTATATACAACCCTTTGAGTACCAGCCTTACAGCATATCATTTGTATAGAATATATGTTGTAGGATTAGACCAGCATAAGTGGAATAATAGAAAAGACGATATACAGGGCGGTATATCTGGGTACTGGTTTGGCCCAATATCTCGAAGGTCCCACTGTACATGGTGGTCAACGCCGATCCGGGCGATCCCATTGTTTCCAAGGTTGTTTTTAAAAAGCCCCCTCGAGATACTATAGCCCACTTTGTTTAAAGAACATTGTATTGAAATTGCAGTACAGAGTGGGGAATATTTCAATTCCTTAAACTACTCTCTCCTGTTTATAGAAATCGAGTTTGATTAATTTTCCAGTTTGGAAGACAATTTATATCCATTGTATTGGAAACCCGAGATAGACTAAGTGAAAACGACTCAAAACAAACGAAACATTGAAAGTGGAGTAAGCTAGCAACAACTGCAAACATCCACCAACAAACTAGAAAAGTCAAACCAGTTGCGAATCACACTCAAACCTGGGAAGTCGTGCAAAATCCCGGACGGAGACGTTCCGTTCGCAATTATACAGCTCGCTTCAAGCGTCCACGTGCCATTCATCTGCTCTCGTGGCCAGTGATATAATTGAGCGACAATTATACACTGTTAGTGGCTTCCTCATCACGCTTCTCGGGAGCCACATAGTGTGTGTAGTAGAAACGCTTCTCGAGGTTCTCGTCACGCTTCTCGGGAGCCTCATATTTGGTGTAGTAGAAACGCTTCTCGAGGTTCTCGTCACGCTTCTCGGGAGTCTCATAGCGGGTGTAGTAGAAACGCTTCTCGAGTTCTTCTTCGGAGTTCTCGACATTCTCATCACGCTTCTCAGGAGCCACATAGTTGGTGTAGTAGAAACGCTTCTCGAGGTTCTCATCACGCTTTTCAGGAGCCACATAGTTGGTGTAGTAGAAACGCTTCTCGAGGTTCTCATCACGCTTTTCAGGAGCCACATAGTTGGTGTAGTAGAAACGCTTCTCGAGGTTCTCATCACGCTTCTCAGGAGCCACATAGTTGGTGTAGTAGAAACGCTTCTCGAGGTTCTCGTCACGCTTCTCAGGAGCCACATAGTGGGTGTAGTAGAAACGCTTCTCGAGGTTCTCGTCACGCTTCTCAGGAGCCACATAGTGGGTGTAGTAGAAACGCTTCTCGAGTTCTTCTTCGGAGTTCTCGACATTCTCATCACGCTTCTCAGGAGCCACATAGTTGGTGTAGTAGAAACGCTTCTCGACATCTAGAGGGGCCGACTCTACCTGGTCATTATTGGAGACCGGGAGCGCGAAGGTGGTCCCAATGGATCCGAGGAGACCAACAAGATAAAAGAAGTGCATCTTGAGGTCGAAAAAAAACTTTCAGTGGCTTGATAAGCAAATGGTAAAAGATTGATTCCGAATTATGAGCCGTATCTTCCTGAGTAGGGTCATGGCTCTTTATAAGTCATGACCCGAGCGATACTAGCATCTATCTGGCATTCTGTACATTCAAACAATCATGATCCCGGCTCCTGTGGGTCATCCTAATGGCGGTCAGATATCCGGGCTTGAATCACGGAGCTCATTCGTCCAAGATACCCAAGATCCTGAGTGTCCTTGCTCATTCCGATGGCGCTCAGTTGGTTTGGGTTCAGGTAACCTACACTATCTTGTTAGCTCGGGCGAGAAGGGACGCTAATGATGCATGCCACGATCACTTCCTTGGCAGTAATTCCTGATTATTGGTGGCGTGCATGCATTAGCGTCCATTCTCGCCCGAGCTAGTATAGTGTATCATGGCGCTGGCTGTCCAAGACTACCCTGGTAATGGTCAGCTGGCTTGAGACTGTACCCAACTATCATCTGCATGATACTTTAATCACATCGTTCCTCTCGATTGGTATGGTAGATCTCGTGCGAGCGGGGATGCTATCGATTGCATATGCTGAACTTGCCTTGCACCCTCGGCCTTCCAGCCAGCTGCCAGCTATCTATCATCGGGAAGTATGTTCCGTGTTTGCATGTCAAATTGACTTGAGCAAATTCTCATGCGATGAAATCGTGTTAATTGGTAATCTTGGATGTCCGATGTTTTTATAGATCATTATTTCACAATATCAATGATCAGTGCCGCAGCAAGACCGTCTAGCTGAAACCTGCAGGAAGCCCAAAACAACACTGCATGCGCTAGTAGTAGTAGGAAGGTGTGATTGCAAAATCTATACGGAGTATCCGCAGATTCACTTCGGCTCACTCGGGATTGCATCCTCTGGCCATCCCCGGATGCACGTTCCATGTAACACTAAAACCACCATAACGCTAGACACGAGTGTTCAAAGTCACTTCTTCAATGGCTTATAGGCTGTGACCAAATGGACCCGTCCACTCTTTTACCAAAGTGGGTAAATTTGAACCAATACCAAGAAGTATTTCCCAATGGCCAGCGAGTATGACGAGATCAGCTCACCCAAATCTGGTTTCAATAGTTTTATCGGAGCTATCATTATGCACAATTTCAATAGTCTCCTTACAGAGTACAGCACGATCTGCATTGCTTACTTTCAGCTCAGCCCAGCACGTAGGTCATTGAATATGCGCAGATCGCCGTCCATCATTTCCAGAATAATGCTAAAGATAAGATTTCTAATATACCTTGGCAACATTGATTTTAATCGTAATAACCCATGCCCCATACAGTACGCTCTGGTATCTTCAGAGTGAGAGCTACTTGTTCTTTGTTTTAATTATTCCTTCCAAGGCGGATTCTTCACCACACCCCGCGCAAACACAATGCGGTTCTCGCAAATCTTGGAACGTTTCCAACGAAAGCCCGAATTCCACGCCCTCAGGAGTGATACTGATAATGACGAAGAGGATTGTATTGAGTCCAAAGAGCTTCTCAGAAAGAGGACTCTTGCACGAAATCCAGCTCATTCCACCGCCTGGATCTTCTTGACCATTACAAATGTGATCATATTGAGTATCAATATCTTTCTAGCATTCAGTGGCAAGAGAACCTTCTCAAGTGACCAGAAAAATGCCATTCTCAGACCAGTGTCATGGTGGTGTAAGTCTCTGTGCATTGATCAAAGTACTGCTCCATTTTGACAACGGTTCTTCACATTTTAGCACCCGTCCTTGATGATATAGAGATTCCAAGATATGAAACAACACTGAATGGCACGCTCTTTCCTTTGCCAGAGATATCGATTGCCCGCCAGGAGCCCAGTGCCGAGAATGACGCAGCTTGGCATCAGTATGAGAAAGTCTTGACGCATGTTGTCACTCGCGAGCAAATAATCAAGCTAGGCAAAGATCCTGAGAAGGTTGCTCGCTTTGATGATGAGTACTGGGGAATGGGAGATGATGCATATATGGTCCAGCTGGATGTGATGCATGTAAGATCTTCCCTTGTTCTCGTCCCTGGCATCTTCAATTGAGATGACACAAGAAACCTTGCAGTGGCTAACACGAAAAATGAGTAGCAAATTCATTGTCTAAACTTGCTCCGCAAATCCGCCTTCGAGGACTATCCGGGCTATGAACCAGAGATGGATCCCAAGGATAAGATGTGGTGGATTCATCTTGGTCATTGCACCGATATACTTCTCCAAAACCTCCAATGCAATGCAAATACGGAGGTTTTGACCCTGGACTGGGTAGAGGACCGCCAGGCACCATGGCCAGACTTCAGCGTGAATCGGAAATGTCGCGATTTCAATGCGCTGGTGGAGTGGCAGCACGACAATGCGGTTGACGCCGATAAATTCGATGCAGTATCGGCTCCTAAAGATGCTTTCGTGTGGCCTGCGCCTTGGAAAAAACAGGACTACGAGCTTGGTACCAAATTGGGCGAGCATCACATGCAGGAGGGGGAAGTTCTCAGTGATCCACACAAAAATCACGATCATCATTCGAGGAATTAATGTGGTGGAATTATCATTTAGGTATAGTTTGATCGACGTGTAGTTTAAACCCCGCTGAGAAAATAGCCCTGTTAAACCTTGGGATTTGACTTGGATACCATATAACATATTGTCAATCTTTGTTCGTGCCTTCGATATTCTTTGTCTTTTGTTTAAGCTCTAATTGTGAATACGTAGAATCCCGCTGTATACCCCACTGACATTGGCAGTTTTCCAAACCCAATAGATGCTGTGTACAATGTATATCTTAGGAATATGTACCTAGTTCGTTGTACCCTAGTGATATTTCAACTTCGCAATATTGATAGGACCTCTAAAAAAAGTATTAAAAAAGATATATGCAGAATATCCCAGCAAGTGAATTCAATAGTAGAGCAGTGATCCACCAAGTGTGAAGTTATAAACAGGCCTAAAAATGAGGGGATCGATGGATGTTTCTTAATAAAACAAGCAACTACTGTATTTTTCATGGCAATATTTATTATACGACCGCAACTAGCGCTTTTTGTTCATGTTTTACAGGAATTGTTGTGATCGACATGGTTTCAAATCCTTGCACAATATTGGCTTGGCAACACAGCTAGTCATTTTTCAATTGCACCTCAAGAATGTACCAGATTGTCAGATGCGTTCTAATACCACATTTCTCCGTAAAGAAGAGTTGGCTAAGTCTATATTCTATTTTTTATGAGATTTAACAAGTAGTCAGGGCCAAGTTAGTAGATTCTAAGGTTGGACCATGTCTGAATATATCAGATCCAACTGTCTACATGGTAGTGACAACCTATTCGGTCCACGTGTCAATGTCCAGTGTCGAGATTTCGACTTCACCTTTTTATTCGAAGATGCAATCTTAATTCTTCCAGCTATAATATTTCTACTCTTCATTCCCAGCCGCATTCATCATCTTTTGCAACACCCGGCGCAGAGGGTTTTACACAAGTCGGGAGGTTTCAAGATTGTGAGCACCAACCGCAATGTACGAATTTAACTGCTTATTCTCTTATTAGGCCTGTCTCGGTGCATTGTGCAGTTTGAACATCGTGTATACCATCCTGAGTAATCGAAATGAGCGGTTGCACACGGCAATATCCACGGCGGCAGGAGCCATCAGCACGATCGCCACCGCTGGTGCCATATTGGTGTCATTTCTAGATGCTCAACGGTTTGGGACTTCTTCACTTCTTGAAATTTACTATGTCATCCTTGTGATTATCTACATTCCACGACTACGTTCACTCTGGGTTAGTCCTGACATTTATCTTCCGCGGAATTTGTGGACAGCGCAGTATATTTTGACTGTACTTCTTGCCATTCTAGAATCATGTGGGAGAAAACTTACCCCTGCTAGTTCGTTGAAGCCAAAATACCCCAGGGAAGAGGCTCTTGGATTTTGGGGACGTAGTCTCTTTGTTTGGATCTTGCCCACTTTGAGGCAGGGTTACTCTACCATCCTTGAGGTTTCAAATCTTCCCGAATTAGACCCTTCACTCGGTGGTGACAAACCCAGCAGTCAGTTAGAAAAGGCTTGGAGTCGTTGCAGACCGCGCTATCGCCTTTTGAAAGCGATATTTGTTGCTTACGCTCGAGAAATTCTGATTTGCATCCCACCACGTTTGATTCTCGGTGGCTTCACATTTTGTCAACCCTTTCTCATTCAAACCGCAATCAGACTGTCAGAGCAACGGTCTTCACCAGCCACACAGAGTTATGGCAAAGCGCTCGTGGGGGCTTTTGTGTTGGTATATCTCGGGATGGCTGTAAGTCTTACCGAGAATCGGTGTCCAAAGACCGAGCCTTTTTAACGTGGTAATTTTAGGTATCGAAGGCAGTCTATGCGCGATTGATTAACCGTATCATGACTATAACACGCGGAGGCCTCATGTCCATGATTTATCTTTGCACAACAAAATTGAACAATAGCAAACTTGGCGACTCGCAGGCAATAACTCTGATGGGAACGGACGTGGAGCGCATATGCAACACCTTGCAAGCATTCCATGAATGCTGGATTTCTACCATTGAGATAGGGGTGGCTGTTTATCTTTTAGAGCGACAGGTTGGTGTGACGTGTGTGGTGCCGACAGTTGTCTCCCTAGGTTTGTTCATGATATCGTCTCTCACTCATCATAAACTGCACGCTGACCGGCGACGTGAGACATACAGTTTGTATATTGGGGACAATGCCTGTATCCAAGCACATCGTTCCCGCACAGAAGCAATGGGTCGTTCGAGTGCAACAGCGAATGACGACAACCATAAAGATGCTGGGGAACATGAAGTCCATCAAAATGCTTGGGCTGACTGGGACTTTTAATACAATTGTTTCCAATCTACGAGAAGTAGAGTTGAAGACATCGGAGGTCTTTCGAAAGCTCTTGATATGCACTATCACACTTTGTGAGTCCCAATCATACAGTATGAAGCAAAACAGTATTGACAGTGGGTACAGCAAATTTACCGGCGGACTTTGCTCCCTACGCGACATTTCTGGTTTATGCGATTATCTCCTTGAAGACTCAAAGCAGCTCGCTACTCGCCGAAAAAGCTTTCACGTCATTATCGCTGATTTCGATCCTGACGAGCCATCTACTAAAGTTCATCCAGTCGTTGCCGCAGTTTACACAATGTTTGGGGTGTCTGATGAGAATCGAGAATTATCTTTCCGAAACTGATCAGAACCCAGAAAAAGTGGAAGGTCGGGCAAGCGAAAGTTCGGTGCGCCAACTAGTGTCACCAGAAGCACACAATCTCTCCGCGGTACATACGAAAGCTCGACCTGACGATGGAGTTCTCCTGTCAATGGAAGGAGTTGACATTTCCTGGTCGCTGAGCTCTGACCCAATCTTCCAGGATCTCAACCTGACCATTAACAAGGGAATCACTGCTATAGTTGGCCCATCCAGCTCCGGTAAGTCCACACTGATTTGTAGCATCATGGGTGATGCTGCGGTTATTAATGGCACTCCTCTTGTGCCACTTGGCCCTGTAGGATACTGTGCGCAAACGCCATGGATTCTCAGTGACACTATCAGACACAATATTATTGGTGTAAATGGCCACTTTGACAAAAACTGGTATACATTCTGTCTTTCGTTGGCTGCCCTCACGTCTGACCTCGAAGCCTTTCCTGCGGGCGATTTGCATCGGGCAGGTATTAATGGGAGCTCCTTGAGTGGAGGGCAGAAGAAGCGAGTCGTAAGTCTACAATAATAGGAAACTGCCAGCCTGCCGTCTAACAATCCTCCGTTTCCACCAGGCCCTTGCTCGAGCTCTTTATTCCAAGTCATCGCTTCTTATCCTTGATGATGTCTGGAGTGGCTTGGATTCAGAAAATGCAAGACTTGTTGAAGAGAACATTTTTGGAGACAACGGCTATTGTCGAAAAGCAGGGCTTTCTGTCATAATCACTGCTCATGAGGGTATGATTTCCTCTTCCCTATTGCCATAATTTTGTCTCTGCAGTATGGCTCATCAATACTGTTTAGTGCCTCCATTTGTCGATCATGTGGTCGTTCTTCAGGAAGGGTCAATAGCTGATTCTGGATCCTACGAGGATGTGATAACGCGAGTGCCAGCAATCACCCGCTGGATGAATTTAGAAAAAACTGAAATCATGGAGCACATCGGCGATAAGCCTGAGGTAGCCACTGATGACATTCTAGTCATAGCTGGGGCCAGGCCGAAACAACCAACGCCTTCGTATCCAACATTGGACCCAGAACAAGATGATTCCAAGTCTGATGGCAGCTGGAGCACGTCCCTGTACTATATCAACCAAGCTGGTAGATGGAAAATTACGTGTTTTCTATTTTACTGTCTAAGCAGTGCCGTGTTTGCTAATATCGTCAGTGAGTGATTTATATTTCTTCCGCATAAGTGCAGTGAGACTCACATCTTCTAGCTATTTGGATCCAGCGCTGGTCTGAGGCAAACGCCAAACGGCCAAATTCAGACCCCGGGCTGTATCTTGGAGTTTACACTGTTTTCGTTTTCTTGAATATAGGGTTCTACGTCGCCAGTTGCTAGTGAGTACTGCTATTGACAACTGAATATCTTGTCGCTGATACCCAAACAGTGCACTCATCATCGGGATCATAAACAATACAGCTTACTCATTGCACTCGGATCTCTTAAAAACCACTCTGAATGCCCCGTGGAGTTTCTTCTCGTCCACTGATAGTGGCACGATAATGAATCGATTCAACCAGGACATGGACCTCATTGATATGAAGCTTCCAATGTTTGCGATTGGCTTTGCTGGAGGTATGTTGTCTACTCCATCCGTCCAACACTAGCCCTTCATGAGTCTAAGAAAAACCCCATCACTTCAATAGCCGCTTCCCTCTGTTTAGTCAAGGCGATACTTCTTTGTGTGGTCGGCAAATACTTCGCTATCACAATGCCTTTTCTTTTACTCGTCATTTGGTTCATCCAGCGGTACTATCTCAGGACATCAAGGCAAGTCCGACTTCTCGATATAGAAGCAAAATCACCACTATACACACATTTTTGCGAAACGATCGCAGGAATTTCTACAATCAAGGCATATAGGTGGCAGGGCCAATTCCAGAAGACATGTGATGAACATATAAATACTTCACAACGACCATATTACACGCTTTTGTCCATTCAGGAGTGGCTGGCATTTGTTCTCGATCTCGTGGTGGCTGTGATGGCTGTGGTGCTTGTCTGCATCGCCACATTTTTTGAAGACAAGTTCAGTCCTGCGGAAATAGGTGTTGGCTTGAATCTGGTTCTCACTTTCAATGACGCCTTAGCACAGGCAATATCCTCATGGACGCAACTTGAGACCTCCATGGGTGCAGTCAAACGCGTGCAAAGATTTCAAGATACAACCCCCTCTGAACACCGTCCTTGGGTGGCGACCTCGGCTCTTCATAACTGGCCCAGTCAAGGACGTATTGTCTTTGATCAAGTTACTGCTTTTTATCGGTTTGTGGGCCCATTTGCACTCCACGTAGCCAAAATCTCAGTTGATAGCACTAACACCTGCATTATTTACAGTTCGAATGAGCCTCCAGCGCTCGCGAATATTAACCTCACAATCAAATCAAAAGAAAAGATTGCAATCTGCGGTTCATCGGGAAGCGGCAAGACATCGCTGGTTTTGGCACTGCTTCAAATGATAGATGTTCGATCAGGGAGTGTCTCTGTCGATGGCCGCGACTTGTCGGGCTTACAGCCTAGTGATGTCCGCTCGAGAATCAATGTCATCCCACAAGATCCATTCTTTTTCCCGGGGACCGTGAGATTCAACCTCAATCCTACCGTGACTGCGAGAGAAAGTTTGATCGAGTCTGCGCTGCAAAAGGTTGGCCTTTGGGAAAAGATTTCCCACAATGGCGGGCTGGATGCCGATCTCCAGCCCGCGAACTGGTCAGCTGGAGAAAGACAGTTATTGGCACTGGCACGATCGTTGACATCAACCAGTCCGATTGTCATTCTTGATGAAGCGACTAGTTCGTAAGTTGTTTCCTTCTTTATTTTAGCCTGCTATTGCTAATCTCCAGGTATATCCAGTGTTGATACAGAGACTGAAAGAATGATGCAGAAAGTGATAGATGAGGAGTTTGTCGACCGTACTATCATTGCGATTGTACATCGGTTTGCCTATATTGATCGTTTCGAACGTGTTGCTGTTCTTCAAGCAGGCAAAGTCGTTGAATGCGATACCCCGAAAGCTCTACTCGCCAGGGATTCAAGGTTCAGGGAACTATATTCGGCCTCATTAGAACAGTCACTTTGAAAGGGCTCTTTGGGCTTGTTTCAGCTGTGCATGTATGTTGAATCTAGATATCATTGAATTCATAGCAGATATTTTGAACAGAAACCGCTTAATTCTTTTTTACGCTTACAAAAAAAGGTATATAGCGCCCAAGAAGAGGTTAGGTTGGGTTATAGCAGACTTCCGCAGAGCCCACAAAGCCCGAAGCCCAACCCGCAAATGGGTTGGGCTTTGGGTGAACTGGGCCTCTACTTGTGTCTTCTATGTTGTACTCGTAGCATTCCCCATACCCTCAAGTGGGCATCTACGAAAATATTTCCCCACTCACCAACCCAGCAAGCCTCTCTTTCATTTCGCTAGCAATCATCGTGAGAATTCAGTTTCAGGTATAAAATACTCATTCATTCAATCCATTCAGCTTCTCAGACTCCGCTCTGCAGCCCTCTCATATCGCTACAGCGGATGAAGAATGGCTGATCGACCTTTGCCGCAAGGCGGAAAAGGAGGGCGGGATGATCTGGGGTGAAAAGTACGGCGACGAAGTCATCAAGATTTCCGACCACATCGCAGTGAAGTACGGTGGCGTGTAAGCATCTGAAGCAACAACACAAGAATTTGCATTCAATCATGTTGATCCCAACACCGTCCACGTACTAAAGGTCTATCGATTTATTGAATCTCAACAATCAGCGAACCCACGGAGGATACCTCTTCATGAAGAATGTGCAAGGCCAGAATCTCAACAATCTTGATTTAGAAATAGCGTATTGTGTTTACCTACCCACGGGATCTAGGAGAGAGCTCCGCTATATATATATGAATCGTTTCTACGTGAATATTACACCTGTATGATATAATTCAAGGAGAAAAGCCAAGTTGATATAAAGAGTAATTATATCTCGTAGCTTGCAGTCGCATTGAAAAAATTCAAACAATTCTAGACTTCTACGGATGCCCACAGGTTAGAGCCCCACTACGCAGCGGTATAGACGCCAGGTGTCAAACCCCCATTTCTAGGCAATATCGATGCCCTGATGCCTCATTTTCTGAAATAAGACCAGCAGAATAATTAAGATACTTGAATTACTACAAGAATAGTCAGCCGTATAAGCGGCCTTGTGATGTCTTTTCAGTGGTCCTTTCAGTTATTCTGTTTAGATATACCAGTTGTATAGGTCGACGGTTATGCTTTTTGCCGTATAAGCTTTCAACCTTTTGATAAACCGGTGCGCATCGATATTCTCTAGAAATGGGATTTTAACCACTGGTGTCTATACCGGTAGCCCCACTACCCGTTCTCGATAAGGCTTTAAGCTTAAGTCTAGTTTCATCTTGTGTGGACCCAATCAGACCCTTTTTGTTGTAACGTTGCCTGTACTTCATCTAAAGCGACCGAACAGGAACTTTAAACTTATCCATTCTCATGGCGTAATGGAGTACTCTAGTCGCTGAGTGTAAGGAACTAAACAAAGTCCGGGAAATTGAGATTTGCAATGGATCAGACAAATACATGTTGCGGTGCAATTCTAAAGTTATAACAAGCCCCTAAAAGCCGAAAAGAAGGATTAGCCACGTAGCCACAAGAGCACAAAGATATTGTTGGTGTCTCACACAGGTTTTCGGGTAGTTAGAAGTTTAGCTAGTTTGCTCCTCTCCATCAACATCTTCATGGGGCGATCTCGCATGAAGATCCGCTTACTCGGAACCTAGGTGCTGACGAGTCAGAAAGATCGACAATCATAAAGCAAATGCGCACCATCTACTCAGGCGTGTTCTCCGAAGATGAATGGCACCATCCTGAAGAACAACCGAGAGATACAATCGATGGGTGACACTGCAGAAGAACGTGGCCGGTACTCCGGTACAATTCCTAGGCTTCGATGACTAGTAGAGACCGGGGATGATGCGGCTGCGAACGATCGACGTATAGCGCTTCCAGTCGGCGCCATATTTCTTTTTGCACTTTTCTTCGTCACGCGCCTCCCGGTGGATGAGCAGAATACCAAAATAAAGCATGAAGAAGTAAGTGAAAATGATTCCCCAGCCGCGGGCTTCAGGGATCTGTACGGCCTGCTTCTGTATGTCGCCAGCGCCGTTCATAGTTTCAATCATGATATAGCCGGAAACCCCGGTAGGCAATGAATACGACCACGACATCAGCCAGTCGCCTAAGTAGTTGATGTGGCGCGCCACTCCCCACCAGCCGGAAATCATCAGCTTGGAGCCACTTGATGTCTGGATGTATTTGATATGCTTCAAACGGGGGTCGTTGGGGTCCGTACGGAAACGGTTCTTCTGATTGTTGGCGCCGCGGAAGATCGAGTACCCCACACCAGTAATGGTCAGAATTAACAGAATATCTCTCGAGGACAATTCTAGTGGAAAAACCGCAAGATATCTGGTTTGCATATTGTAGATGAAAGGTACCCATACCAGGTGTCCAAAAGAGAGCATATAACCGAATCCGTCCATAATCACATCCATCGTAGTCAGAACTGCTGGTTCCATGTACAGCGCATCCAGCACATAGAAGGTTTGGGATGCGGTCGAGAGTACGATAGAGTTTGAGATATAGCCATACGTTCTGTATTGGCGGGCCATGTTGGACAAGTTCAATATGATCCATCCAAGTAGTCCTGGCCTCATCTCACACCATACATTGATATCGATTGTTCGTGAGGCCTCGTCGACAAAAGGAATAGGCAGTTGTATCCGCGGATTCAGCTCACGGCCGATGAAGAAGTCATACAGAGCATTTCCGGTGTGGCCACCCGGTGCCAACTCTCTTAGTTCGGGATTGAGTTGACCGGGTTTAGGGATCGAGAAACTTTTTGCATAAACGAAGGTGGCGAGGGCTATACAGATTATCAAGTTGGCCGTGATAATCTGCAAGTAGTTGTCCCAGATGAAAACCCATACAATGAAATCAGCACCGTACACGTATGTGCCCAGAGCTAAACCAGAGAGGATACAAATGGCAGAAGAAAATGCTAGAACCCGATTAGTAATATACCATAAAAAGAGCATCCAGGGTTCCATACCGTTGAACTTATACCGAAGCCTCCCCTTGCAGGCCAATTCTGTGCCCTCAACCACCTCGCCAGGTAGAAACACGTACAAAGTCAAACTGAGGAAGTAGTAACTCAGCACCCACAATGTCACTCGCACGTCAAAAAAGGCTTTGAGACCGTCTTGAGGCCAACCAACTTCGTCCTTTAACTTATCGATGGAAAATGTCGATGGATCGAGCAGCGATGGGGCAGGGCAGCCAGACACATCATTACAGAGGAAAGTGAAGATGTAGATAAGGGTCGAGAGACCGAAGATGAATGCAACTGCGCCGAAACTGTTGAACGTTAATCTTGGGGATCAAGCATGTGACCATTGGGACCATATATGACCTTTTCAACTTGTGGCTTTGTTTCCACGAAACCGATTGAACCGGGACCGTAGCTTTGGAAGCCTTTCTCAGTTCCATGTTGTCTTTGAAATGAGGTGGAATATCTCTAGAGAACAAATATAGGGTGGCGTAACGCAGGTGCGACAAGAGCTGTCACAAGGCGCACGTATACTAGAGAATCCAACGAGGAAAGGGGGAAAAAAAGAGTGTTATGGGTGTCTCAATGGCTTTGGAACCTTGGGCTTATATAAATGTTGTATGCTACAGTACGGGCGTAAAGGGAAGCTTCGAAGAGGTAAGCAGCACTGAGATCGTCCGAGCCGGAAAGGTTGGTTGCCGGTGTCACTGTGGGTCCCTTTGATTCTCCACAATAGCCATGGCTATCCCATAAGAAGCAGATATGTGGGTCTGGTAGAACAGAGAATGGGGATAAGGGAGTCGAATTGTTGAAACACTCGTAGAGGGCATTGCTGGAAAGTAAACGAGTACACTACACGTACGTCTACAGCTCGTGGGCTTTCAGTCAACTGACGGTCACCCCGGCTTAGTAACCATGGGTATCAGGTCTTCTGGCTCTAGTCTGTAGAATCTACTCTTTATGTCCGAGCTTCTACTGAAAAGGTTGGCTTGTGTCATTAAAGTTTTGAGGGTCTTAAAGAAAAGACAAGCGATTAACTGCAATAGACCATCGCCGGCCGAATATCCGGCGCTGGAGCTTGCAACAATGATGTAACTTGGTCCTTTCACTGAAGTGCTCCCATTCTTCCCCATATATCTCATGTCAAATCATATTGTAAGGGTCTTTGTTTAATGGGCGATTAGGAGGACTTGATAGAGCCACGAACGACGACTCACCGGGCTCTTGTCCTGGGACCCAGAGCTGTATTGTGTTGTCATCTGAACCCGACCCCAGCAGCTGGGCCTTACTGGAAAATGACACTGCCTTGACACGGTCAGTGTGAAGTTGAAGTCTCGGTAATTCCGGACTCCACATTGGCTGTGTTTTTGGCATGCTGTCGATCCACACGGGGATCTGATCCTTGAACATGCTTATAATAATGCTCCTCTCTGGTGCAAAAAGAAACACCGAGCCATATATTTGAAGCGGCGCGGTCTCGATTATGCCCCGATTCTGCAAGGCAAGGCATCTCGTATCATAGAGCAACTACGAAAGTTTCAAACCCTCATCCAGCTGCAGGGTCACTGCCAGGTCTATCCCTACTATGTAGTTATCGAATCCTAGGAATTTGATGAGAATACGAAATGGGGAACGAATGGAGAAAGCACTATATGTATTCTAGTGATGGATCGATGGGGAAGAGAGGAAGAGAAGGGGATGAGTGAGACTATCAAACACCTATATACATAAAGGTTCTATCACCCAATGATGCCTCAGGCATCCAACAGAATTGTACTGGAGTACCAGCTACGCTCTCGGTTGTTCTTCGGGACGAGTGCTGTTGTTCACTTTTGATACCTCTCGGTTAGTGGCTACCGTTATGGGCCCTTTCTAGATAACCGCATATATTTTGAAGGGCATCTTTACATCTTATATCTTACATCTCAATGCAGCGGGGATCTTTGATACGTCTTGATCTCCTTTTGGAAAATAATAAGAAAAACAAAGGGTGCATATTTGATGCCTCAGCGGGTTTTGGATATCATTTTATGTTGATCCCAAAAGCAATTTCATACTAACTTTCTAGAGCGGATACAGACTAGCGAACTTGTTTCAAGGTACTCATTCTGTAAAGCAAGCTTAGCAAGGGGTTGAAACCCATATCGGCGTACTGTTCAAATAGAGGTATAAATATGTGGCGTCATAATGAGGCGTACATTGAGCTGACTGTGGGTTTCGGTTAAATACGACTCGCCATTTCGGCTATTTCTTGGAATCTTATAGATTATTCACGTCGGCGAGAATTCAAGGCTGTTGAAAATTCGAACCGCCGGACGTCCTTGAGCTGCCATGGCCTGTTGTGATTGTACGCATACCCTTTCCAGCTCTGACAAGGGCGACGAGCTATCGGACCCCAAGATGCTATCTTTACCGGGGGACAAAACACCGGAAGAGGCTCGTCTAGAACGAGAAGGATGTATCAGGAATCTCCAAGTGTTTCGATACAATCTATACGAAAAAGAGTCAACGGTCCATGATTGGGACACCTTTGCCGACCTACTCTACTATGAAGAGGAGATGCGAAGGAATTGTCAAGCGGAGATTAGTTTACGGCACAAAGCGAAGAATGATGCGAGTTTCTGGGTCCCCGACCTTCCAAGCTTTGAGGACGAGATGAGCACGCTCTATGAAGAGAATTGGATGCAGACACGAGCCTGGTGGTATACCCGTGGTTCGATCATTGGTATTTCCGGGCCCTTACAACGGGCATTTGAGTTATGGAGATCTAATCCTTTGTGGTATATGCATCCAATTCTTGTTGAAGACTGCAAATCTAGAGGCGGGTGTTGTGGTCGTGATTGTGGATGTTGTCTTGATACTCAACGCTCAAATACTTCAGCCGGGGCGCTTGGTGTGGGACACTGCACTCAAGAGTGCGGATGTTGCATAAGATCGCGTGTCTTTGAACTGAGTGAGGAAAGGGAAAATTTTCTTCTTGATCGCTTCTCATTTGATAATTACCTATATACTACGGATACTACTGATTATCAGGTCGATCCTTATCAGCGCCGAATTTGTCTTGCCTCTATTTGGGGTTTGAGTGTGGATGATAGGTACCTAGATCACCCAGAATGAGATTCAATTTCAAAACGTTGCTGCTATGAGACTTTCAAATAAGGGAAGTGAAATTTGAAAAGAAAATAAAAACGAACAAGGGAATTGAAGCTAATTTGAGCTAATTTGATCACTGATAAGAAGAAATGAAGTCGAATTGAATGTTGAAAAAGAAAAGGCACAACCTGATCTGAATTGAGGACGGTAGAGGACTTGAAGATTGATTTTGATGGAGGATTTCTTTTGCTTAATATGAGAATGTTGTAGGGCTTTTTGCTGCACATCCTGGGGGAACCTTATGCTTCATCCCATGTGCCTTGTTGGTCAGGCCGTGCATGTTTGCTAGTTCTCTAGGGTATAAAGTCCCTAGCTTTTATGAATATCATCAATTTTTCTCCTCCTTCATCTCCCTATAGGCATATATAACATACCCCTAGGCAAGAGAAGTGAATGATTGGATAAGGGAGTAAAAAAGTGGTTTTCCATCCAACATTGTAATCATGCTAGAGTTTTAAGCGGGTATAGTAAATACTGAACTTCTTGTTGGGCTCGAGTCGGGCTTCGTTGCACATCGTGGTTTTGTTGGCTTCATAGTAGAGATTAGAAGGGAAGAAAGGAAGCAGTCAATATCAATGAGCGGATCAAAAACTTGGTGAGATCATGATGATTGAAATAATACATTATAGGAAGAGAATCGATTATTTTTGTTTATCCCGTCACTCATGCCATTGCGACATCTGACCCGCAGGTCACTCACAAAAAAGCTGAGTAATCTGATCCCAGTTCCAAAGGTATCGATGCTGTGAACGCGGGCCAAGATTAGAAACTTCGTGATACGATATAGGAGGCTAGGGCGGATTTAAAGCGACGCTACATTAGGGCGATTGCCCCGAAAGAGTGTAGAGCGAATGGACCTACCTGTACGGAATATCAACCATCGACCGACTGATTAAACGAGCTGTTAAAGCAGTAGTCAATATTTAGATCAAGGAGCAGATTGCAGATGCGGGATCACAGAGAAGCCGACAAGTCACATGGGGCACGAAAGAGGGGTTGGCGTTGCTTAGGAGGAGGTCGGTGATCTAGTCCAATAGCAAAAATGCCTTGCCTAGGAAGGGAGAAAGGAAATCGAAAAAGAGAATAGGTTTGTTAGATAGAGGGGGAAGAGCAGGGGATTATATACAACCACGCACACCAACGTTACGCGGACAAGGAGCGCTAAACCAGAAGGGTTAACATTAAATATACTGGCGCTATTACCATCCAATATCCGATATGGTGTAGTGGCTAACATCGTCGTCTCTCACACGACAGCCGGGGGTTCGATTCCCCCTATCGGAGTTTATAAAATTATATCTTTTTGCTATACTTCTAGATTTCGAAGTTTTTTGTTTTTTTTTTTCCTGGTTGTTTGTGTCGGGAAATTCAATTTGGTAAGGATTTTTTATATTAGAAATAGTGCCAAGAGTCATGATCACCTGACCTTATCATATCTAATCGGATCTTTTTGTAAAAAAAAAATTCGATATACATAAGACAAGTATTAAAAAGAGCTCAATTGCACTACCGTACACCAATCGCGGAGAGGTTCAAAGAAAAATTGACGGCTTCAATCATTACTACCCACCAAACGTTACCGACTCCATCAGCAAGCGCCTTTTTCTCCACCGAGACCGCGGGGTACTATCAATCGTCGCCAGAAAAGAATCGCAAACCCACTTCAGCTCCAACAACCATATAAACCCAACCTCCAAAATGGCGACAATTTCCACCCCTCAACCGGCCACAGACGCCGCTTCTCACCTCGACCTAGCCATCACCCTCACAATCAACAGTTGGCCGGCTCTCTCACTAGCCGTGCAGTCAAACTGGGGTGGTCCCAACTCAAGCGAGAAGCGGGACTGGCTTTGCGGCGCAATCTCCGATATGCTTTCTGATCGACCTGAGACCGACGCTGAGGACCTGGAAGAAGTGCTCGTCCAGGTTATGAACGACGAGTTTGACGTGGCCGTGGACGATGAGAGCGCCGCGGACGTTGCGGACATGATCATGGAGCTGAAGGCACAGACAGATCGTGGCGAGTTCGGCACTATCCAGCAGATGTTGGAGAAATTCCAGAAGAAGAGCCAAAATCGGTCTGCCGCGAGTCAGTTCCAGAGGGTTGAGGCTGCGGATGAGGATCAGGAGACAGACGAAGAGAGTGAGGAAGGGGATGTTGAGATGGGTGATGCGCCTAACTTGGTGCGGGCTCCAAGGGAGCGGGCTGAGCCTGAGATTGATGATGATGGATTTACAAAGGTTGTTGGAAAGAGGAGGTAGATGTGGGTTCTGAATATATTTGTTTTATTTCCATTTTGCCTTGACAATAGGAAGCCCCTCGGATAGATATCCTTTTCTAGTTACATAGATGCATTTATTACCAATGATTGATCATTCATCAGATCTAGCTTGCATGTGCTACCCCCCCTATTTGGCCGGAGATAACCCAATCCGTATACGGTTCAACCGCTTGGATTCATAGATGGAGCAAAGTCTATGGAAGAAATAAGGCGGAAAAAGAAAAGTTCATCATCGTCAGTTGTGGACTGTTTGTGGTATCATTGCGCGACCTCTGCCCACCCGTACCTCCTTGTTTAGAGTTTCTCGCAAGCACATCGCTGATATCGTTTTTCTTTGGCGATTCGTTGTACTTTTGAGAATATGGACATTCAGGTATCCTCGGTGGCAAAAGCACTTTACTGGGCCTCGGTCTCGGAAGTGATGAGCTTGGTGATCATACCAATAGCAATTGTTTGACCCTACAATCGATATGTTAGTGGGGAGATAAGATTAGGAGTGTAGAAAAACATACCTGGTCACGCAGGGTGAAACGACCTAATTGGTTGTATTCTTCGTATGTTTCGACACAAACCGCGCCGGCGGTGCTGGTAACCTCGAGACGAGCAATGATAGTCTGGCCCTTGCTGGCGAACTGAGGAGGGCGCTTGCTCTTGCGGCCGGTTCCGGGCTCGAGCTTGTGAAGAAGAGCGGCGAAAGTAACCTCCTCGACAGCGGAGTGGACGTGCAGAACACAGTTGAAACCGGCGGTCAGAATGCTCTTCAGATCCAAGATACGGATCTTAGCCTCGAAAGCAGACACGCAGTGAACGGGACGCTTAGGTGAGCAGAGCACGAAACCAGGGAAGAAATCTTCTTCTTCAATACCACGGAGACGCAGGCGAATCTGGTCACCAACCTTGGCGGTCGGGATCTCTTCTTCTGTTTCACCGTACATAGCAGAGATTTGAACCTCCTCACGGTTAGGCATCATGAGATAAGTACCGCTCTTCTTAATGATACCGGACTCAATGCGACCTTCTGCCATAGTACCCATATCACGGTACTTGGCACTAATCGGCATCATGAACGGCGCGTTGATCTTACGCTCGGGGAGCTCGAATGCAGTCAAGAATTCGAGCAGGGATGGGCCGTCGTACCAAGGGCACACGTCTTTGGGGACTCGGTCTTTGATGCCAATAGTGCGCTGGGCAGAGATAGGCATGCAGAAGATGTCCGACTTCTTGTAACCCAGGGCTTCCAGGAACTTGGTGACCTTGACGGTGCATTCATCGAATCGGGCCTTGCTCCATTCGACAGTAGGGTCGTCCATCTTGTTAACAGCAAGGATCAACTTGCTAACACCAGTGTTACGCGCAAGGAGTGCGTGCTCGCGGGTCTGGCCACCCTTCTCGAATCCAGTCTCGTACTCGCCCTTACGAGCAGAGATAACCAAACAACCGAGATCAGCCTGAGAAGCGCCACCAATCATATGAGGAACATATGACTTGTGACCAGGTGCATCCAAGATGGAGAATTGACGCTCAATATCACCCTCCGGGTGCGGAATGGTGACCTTGAAGAAGGCACGACCGACCTCGACTGTCTTACCCTTTGAACGTTCCTCCTGGGTCAGATCAAGAGCCCACGAGAGATACCAGGTCTCTCGACCGGCATCCTTAGCCTCCTTCTTGTATTTGTCCAAGGTACGCTCATCGACCATGCCGGTAGCATGCAGCAATGAACCTCCCAGGGTAGACTTGCCAGCGTCGACGTGGCCGATGAAGACGACGTTAACGTGCTCTCTCCGCTCTCCGTAAATTTCCTTCAGGGTTGCGTCATCAACATCAGCCAGCTGTGCCTTTGCGACAGCATTGGCTTCGCGAGCTTGCTTGGCTGTCTCACCGCGGGCTGGGCTTGAACGTCCAGGGCTAGAACGACCAGAAGATGGCGTAGGAGAGGCCTTTCCAGAGACAGCGGCCTTGTCTGTCTTGTCAAGAGACTTGGAGGCTGCCACCTTTGAGCCTGCCTCAGCAGCCGCAGCGCCCATAGTATCACCATTGGCTTCCTTGGGGGCGGCGTCAGCAGGCTTGGCTACCGGGGTAGGAGTGCCGATCGAAAGGACTTTGGTCTTGGGGGCAGCGCTGGAGGAGGTTGCGCCAATAGAGAGAACCTTGGTCTTGGGGGGCAGGGCGGCGGTAGTCGATGCGGGCTTGGGGATAGACTGAGCCGGTGCTGCAGCCTGGGGTTGCTGTGCTGCTACAGGCGCATTCTGGCGGGCCTGTTGGTTATATCCACCATATTGCTGCTGTTGGGCGTACTGGTTGTAGCCACCAGGCTGCTGGGCGTAGGCATTGTACTGGCCATAGGCTTGCTGGGGCTGTTGGTAACCACCATAGGCCTGTTGTTGACCGTACTGGGGGTATCCCTGCTGGGGATAACCAGCATACTGTTGGTACTGCTGTCCAGGAACGAAGGCAGATGCTCCAGGCGTGAAAGAGGCGGCGCCGGGTTGGAATGAGGGTGCTTGAGCCTGAGGGCGAGATTGTGCGTTCAGGTTAACGCCCTCAGCCTGTCGGGAAAGATCATCCTCCCAGGATTCAGGGGTTTGGTTTGACATCGTGAAATAAGATTCAAAGTTGAATCAAGAACACGAAAATACTAACCAAGACGGATTTGGAGAAATATAAGTTGGGTCAATAAGAGGGGCCCCAGTGCCCTTTTGATTTTGCACCGATGAATGACTAAGACCCCGCGATATTTTTTCACGTGATATATATTGAATGGTTCTTTCTTGTAAGGTGAATGCTTGTTGGAAAACTATTCTGTTTTAGTTTATAGCTTCTTCAAATATCTGATCTCACTAGATTGTCTTTTTTCTTTTCTCAAACAACCTTGTCGGCGAGTTGAGCTCACCTGGGCAACTTCTTTGACCTTTCTCTTATCGATAAGCACCCCTCCACGCCTGCATGTCCACGCTAAGGGGCCTTTTATATCTGTCAATACAATCTACACAAGTTTTAAGGGCCATTGGCCTTTAACTTAAATCAAAATGGATGCTTTTCTAACTGGGGTTGGTTACATATATTTACTTCTTATGGGACACACAGCTAATTTGTCCATTGCATACAGCTCACTCGGCAGGCCATGAATTATGCCATTCGGTATGGATGATGATGACTGAGAAATGTCACCCTTCAATGCTAAACTATGTCATATAGGTCAGGCATTGCGATAACTGCTAGCTATGCAATGCGTCAGTCGTCGCGCTTGCTCAGAGTAAGTGTTCTTGCAGTTGCGGGAAGAAGTCAGTACTGATCAGTGTGATTTTCTTGTCCAGAATGTCAAAAGTGAGGATCGAGATGAGCTAGTCGCCTTGCAACAACGCCTAGAAAGCAAGATACAAGTTATTGCCCCATCTATTGACATGATTGAATTGATGTGAGTCACCCGACACTGGGTTGGATTGTCAGAAAGCTCATAACTGGTCTAGTGCTGCTCGAGGAAATACGTCATTGGAATCTGCTGTCGCCCTCACAAAATCCCTGAGATGGGACATTCAAGCCCTAGGGCAGCGACTGGGAAGAGCCGCGGCATCTGAAGAGTTGAGACGCAAAGGAGCCAGATCGGCCAAAGATCAGACGAACAGCGATAAAGAAATCAAGCTTATTATCAAAGATATTAAGAAGTTGCTGGCTCGAATTGAGGATACAGTGCCACTGATGAACCTGGCCATCACCACCTCTGGGGCCAAGTTATCCACCAACTTGCCCGCAACGGTGTCGCCATCCCGACTCCTCCAAGCAAGCACGTTTCTCACGGCAGGCGATACACAATATTCAATGACCCCAGCCCAAGCAGTCCAAGTAGGGCCGACTTTTACCTTATCGATGTACATGCTATTTGCCAGCCACTTACGACCTCATGACGAAGAATCCGTCCGCGAGGCCACGTGGAAGGAAGTCATGCACAAGGCACGTTTGAAGCTGCGCCGTGTTCCAATAGATTCATTGCAGTCTCCAGATCAACGCCCAAGAACAAAACTTCCAGGAACAGCCGGGGCCGATGAATACTACTATCAAGTCCTTATCATCGAGGACCTAGATGATGGCCGAGTCCACACATTCGACGAGAATGATCCGCAGCCCCAAAACTATGAAGGTGTTTCAACGGCAGGAATCCGGGAGATACTTCCTATTCATCAAATTTCAAAAATCTTCTACGCAGACACCGGAAGGATCCTCAACATCAGCACAGAGGGCGAAACAAACAACCCGGTACTACTATTGAAACGGGACCTAAATGCTCTCCCGCCACGACGCATGATGGAACGCGACGAGGTAGAGGAATTTCCTGAAGCAGAACCCGAGGAACCAGAGGATGAGGAGCAAGCTCAACTCGATGCACAGCTGAACGGATACGACAATCCCGAAACCAGAAGCTTCAACTATCTGCATGAAGACTCCATACCCGAAGAATGGCGTCTACCTCCTGGACTAGATCCAGAATGGATAGCATTTGAAGTCTATAACGAAGATGAAGCCTCCGATACCGAGTCCGAGGCTGAAAATCCCGAATCCTCCACCGATGAGCCCTCCCTCGACCCAAACATGATGGCAAAGCTGTCGCTTAATGAGAAAGGACATTCATCACACGCTCCATCTCCTCTAAACCAGTCATTCTCATCCGCCGCCCCCACAACCACAGTCTCCAACCCTCACTTCGAAAACATCCGCACCTCCCTCTCCCTCCTCGAAACCCTCCTCCGCCTAACATCCCTCCAGCAATTCCAGCAACAATCCCACCTCTCCATCAGCGACGAGCTCCTCAACTTCTTCCTCGAAGAATCTTCCACCACCGGCGCCGGTGGCGACGAGCAGCATCGCCAGCGCCTCCGCTCCGAGGCCCGTCGTCGCGTCGGCTGGGATCCCTACAATGAGAGCCCCGTCAAACACCGCGGCGAGGATTATCAGTACGGCTGGGAACCTGGTAGTAGTCCCCAATATGGCGGCGATCCTTACTCGCCTAGTGGGCGGGCGCAGGGATTCCGTCTTCGTTCTAGGGAGAGTACGCCAGAGACGCCGGTGCGCCAAGGCTCGCCGAGCGTCCGTCCAGGTGGTCTGCGTGGTATGAGGCCGGCATATGCTGAGTCGCCCCTTTCGAAAAAGATGGGTAGGTCTCCGAATGATGGAGACCTAGAGTCTGGCACTACAAATTGAATGGGAAATGAGTAGAATATCATGCCTTGTACATGTATTATGAACAGATTATGAGATAGCGACTGCATAACAAGTTTGATTTATTTCCCTGCCCTTCGGACGAATCATCTACTGGATGTTAAATTGTTCTAGCGAATGCCATCATCCATAGCAGCCGTCGAGTGTCGGGTAATGGTCTACCTAGGGGCTTAGATAGTAAAACCCCCCGTGTTAGAAGACTATGTAGATAGAAGGAATGGCGTGCGTATTCAGATATCAACCGCATAGACAGATACAATCGCTCGCTGAAAGCAAGTTGCAAAAAACAGAGCCGGGAATAAAATGAGAGAGAAAGCCCGAAACGCCAAAAATAACAGACCCAACATTCCTAAACTCCAACCAAAGCAGATCTCCAGCGGGCAATTGGCCCTGCCTAAGTTGGCGTAGTAGCAAGATCACGCTCTCGGGGGGTATATGGTATAGACAGGTGCCCTCGGAACTAACTTAGATACTCTTGCCGATGCGTCCTTGAAAAGAGACAGGTGAGTTACTCCCAGTCTTCGTCGCTCTCGTCGTCTGCCTTCGCAGCGGTGGGGCTCTTCTCCTTGGGACTACCAGGTGTGCGGCTAGCAGCGCCACTCACCACGTCATAGCTAGATTCGCTGTCGGCCTGGGAGTGCTGGTCGTTTGATCGGCGAGGCTCGGCTTTCTGGGTTTCTTTGATGGGAGCAAGAGTCTGGGCACCGGAGGGGACCTGGGGAGTAGAAGGAGACTGGGACTCGGAGTCAGAGTCGTCGTCCCAGCCGACTTCTTCTTCATCTTCGGCATTGGCACCTGTAACGTAGAAATGGTTAGAACAGAATACAAAAATCACCGGAGTGATGGAGTCAATATACCCTTCAAAAGTTCTTTGCGCTTCTTTTCCTCGGTCTCCACGACGAGACGCAAGAAGTAGTAACGAGTCCAGAATTCCACGTATTCCACCTTCTCCGGCACGAGCTTCTCCATGGCGGAACGGAGCTCGGGGTATTTCTCTAAATCGGCGGCGATCTCATCGGTCTTGACCTCGACATTGAATTCCTTTTTAAACGCAGGCCACTCGTCGCTGACCGGGTCCTTGCTGAAGCTTTCCAGATTCGAATGAATAACGTGCAGCTGTGCCTCAAACCGTGTGGCATGAATGACCCGCTTTCCTTCGGCATCCTTGCTCTCGAAAAGAAGCTTGCCGGACTCATCGGCATCAGGGGGCAAAATGCTAACAGCTTCGCGCAGCTTCTGGCCGATGTTCATTCCGAATCGCAGAATCGCTTCATCGGCTGCTTCTTCTGCCTTCTCAATCTCCTTCAGTCGTCGAGCGGCTTCTGCCTTCAACCGGGCAATAAAGCTTTCCCCACTGGCGCTAGCGCCTTCACCCTTGTCGCTAGATTCTCCTTCGGCTACAGCCTTGGGTGTGGCGGTTGCATCACTTTGTCCCTCACCACTCCCCGTCAAGGCAGCTGTGCTGAGAGACAACCCCTTTGTCCGATCGGCGAGTGTTTCCTTAAGGTCTGAAAATCCTTTCACGGCTTCCTCGCTGGCAGCTGCGTACTCCTGGCGAGCACCTTCGTAGTATGTTTCTCCCTGTTTGCGTACATTGTCCCATAGTCCTCCAATTCGGGAGCCCCACGGACTGTTGGAGAAGGCACGGAAGGTCTCTTGAAGCTCATCGTTGAGATTGGCGTTGGGTTCTTGGGGCTTGGAGTCAGAAGCCCTGTCTTCGTTGGAGTATGCCTCCTCTAGGATGTGATCGTATGCGATATCCATGATTGGGAAGTTGCAAGAAGGAAAAGAGGGTCGAATGGAAACACAAGGTTGCAGCTCCGCGCTCACCCATGGCCCGACCGCCCCGCTTGCGACGATCTTCAAAATCTACCTTCAACGTTCAAATTGACAAAAGGATTGTGATAATATATGTAGTAGTAATATTTAATAATATGTAAGCATCCATAATTCATAATTTATTAAACGATAACCTCAGAAACAATTTCATCCTTCAGGTAAGCTATAAGGCTCTCCTACACTATCCTGACTCCCCATCCAAAAGTTCGGAAGCGGAATGCTCTCCATGACGCTTGATGTAAGAAGTTGGCTGCGAGAGAGTACTCGGCCCTGCCATTGAGGATCTCGGTCGACCGCCTGGGAGGACTCAACTTGGACCACTGATCCAGGGACCCGAGGTCGTCGGAACGAACCATCGCCCAGCTCGACTTCACGTTCTTGTTCCCGAATGGGTGACGACTCGGGAACCATTTCTGTAGACTCTTTGTCGCCTTCTTGGGTCTGTGTCTGTATCTGTGACGATAGCACCGGTGCCTGTTTTGGAACAGAAGGCTTCCATGGCTCCAGATTTGGGTACTGGGTGCTGCCTCCGTGAGGGAAAAGCTCAGACATCTTCTGTGTATTCAGCATGGGGATTGGCTCATGCGGGAATTGTGTAGCTGCATGCATTCTTTGATAGTAAATTGAGGCATCAGACATTAGACCTTCGGATGGAGGGGCATCATCCAATCCAGGGCTCGATTGAACAGCTGGTAGAGGAAGGTCTTGGGAATAATCCTGGGGTGATTCTGGGCTGTGTTGGTTCGCCTGTGATCCGTCCAGTGGATCGTTTGCTTGTTGTCTTTTCTTCGGGGTTGGTGTCACGGAACCTATGTCGAGGTTGTCCTCAAAGTCTCCGTAATCTGAGTCCGCATCCGTTTCATAGATGACTGTCCTCTCCCTCTTAGTAGGCTCATTTCTCGAGTTATCGTTTGATTCAGTGGGGAATTCCTGGTCAGTCGACTCCGTCGGAGGTGCAGACGAAGGGAATTGCTCAATAGGAGTTGGGTGGTTCAAGGTGTTATAGATGCTTGGGGAATCGCCCCCATGGACTTGTGAATCATCGACCACACGCCGAACCTCCGGGGGTTCTTCTTTGATAGATTGTATGGGATTATCGGTGAGTTTTAACGGTCTCCGTTTTAAAGGAGATCGAGTAGCGCTACGGAATTGAGATGAGGTTATGATAGCAAGACCGGGGCTTTCTGGTGTCTGTGAAGAAGGTATCTCGCGTGTCCTAAGCTTCCGCGGTGTAACAGGAGCTGTAGATACCCGTTCGCCCTCAGCTCCACTTCCAGCATTTGACTCTTGTGCATCTTTTTGTTGAGATATAGGTTCCCCGGTTGAGAGATCCAGCTCTTCTTCAAACACTCTGTGCTTCCGTTTGGCGGGGGTCTGACGCTTCGTAGGCTTTGATTGGTTCGAGTTGGGCGCATTTTCAGTCTTCTCTTTTTTTATATCCTTCTTCTGTGGTGTCGGCTGGATATATCCCATGTTCACATCGTCGTCGTCATCATCGATGGTAATGTAACGTCGTACAAAGTCCATCTGAGTCAATGTCTTGTCCCGTTTGGTTGCCGACTTCTCCAGGGATTTTCGACCACCTCTCGGACGAACACTCGCCCTTGGTGTTTCGCTCTTCCGTGGTCTATGACTTGGGTGTGTATCTCGATTGGCAACTCCCAAGCTCTTCCGCTTCTGCGGTCGTTCATCCGAATCGCGTTCTCGTTCGCTCATCTTGAATTTCGAGATACGAGCCGACCGAACTGGCGGAGCAGGAAGATAGTCCGAATCCTTATCCGACTCATCATCTACATTTGGATGCTCAGTTGTGTCTTGCGTCTCGCGACGTTTATTTTCGTCAATGTAGCTAAGCTGGTCGTCAATCGAAGGTGTAGGCTGTGTCACGAAGTCAATCTGTGTGAGAGTAGACTGAACTCGTGACAGCGATGTTCGGTTACGAGTGCTCGTGGATGTCAATGAGTGTGGTGATCGTTTCCGTGCGGTGGCTTTTGTGGCAGTTGGAAGACCTCGTGTACTGGGCGTTCTTGGAGCACGGAACTGATTTCGAGGGGTCTCTGGCAGATCTTTAGACTCATGCAGTTCTTTCATCGCAACAGCAATGGTTCAGGCTTTGAGATATTGGACTGGAGCCTAAATTTAAATGATATGACGTTAGCCAATGCCTGAGGCAGTTCGCGTCGACGCGTCGCTAATATCGACTTGGTACGTGCGTTATAGTTTCGACTGCATTTACAATGGAGTCCAGTAATGACACGAGACAAACAATGCAATTATTCCTATTTGGACTGTTTTATCCCGACTAAAGCAATTATAAAAAAAAAGAAATTAACAAAGAGCAAAAAAAGAAATCTCAGGTTTGGTTTTTAGGAATAGCCGAACGCGGGGGTCGAACCCGCAGCCTTAAGATTAAGAGTCTTACGCTCTACCGATTGAGCTAGCCCGGCCGGGCTGTTGAAGGAGGCAGCGAAATTAGACTACATAAGCCAAAAACAGATTGTAGGGTTGTACCAAATCGAGTATGAGTGATGGTGAAGCGGTTATCAAAGGCAGTCTTAATAACAGTTTGGTTCTTTTTATTTGAATATTTTATTCTCTATACAGTTAAGATAAAACAGGTCTAATTATTCCTCATCAGACATCAACCATTCGGGAATTGCATCCTCATCTTCAGGGTCCTCAGAAAGCAAAGATCCCTTCTCGATCTCGCTATCAGAATCATAATTAGGCACTGGTGACGGTGGCCGAGAGATAGTGACCACACTTGCGGAGTTGGATCCAGCATTTGTGGATGAATCTACTGCGATAGGAACTTGGTCAGATGATCCTGCGAGGACTTGGGGTACAGATGTCGGGTTTGAGCCATGGTTTGGGACAACCACCAGTGAGTAACGAGGCATTTTCGACGCTTTCCTCCTCGCAATACTCTCAGGAATCGATGTCGGGTTCATCGGCAAAGGCGTAGGTTTGGGGGGTTCCACCGGGTCTGGAGCTGGATCATGATCATCGGCAATAAATCCCCCTCCTAGAGTGTGATGCTCTTCTTCCAGTGACGGTTCGATTTCTCTTTCTGTGTAGTCCTCAGGTAAATGGTGATCATGTACCATTTTGCCCTTTCCCTTAGCATTCAGAGGTGGGCTTGTGGCTGGTTGGTCTGGTTCGGGAATGGAACCACCACCATAATCTTCAACTCCCATTTCTTCATCAAGCTGTGGTTCTTCATCATCGCTAGCATACTCCTTGACTCTTTCCGCGATCCTCAGCTTCATCAAGAAGAGCCTCCAGAACCGCAGGACCTCCGCAGTTCTTGCCTCCAGTGCAGCATGCCGCCTCTCATCTTCGAGACCCCTCAAAACTTCCTCAAGCGCCTCCTGATACTCGGCGGCAATAACAATTCCCCCGAGTACAGCCGTCCCGCGACGGCCTCTGAAGTCAAATCCAGTGACTGCGTCGGCATAGTCAATGCCAAGGATTCGAGCAGCTCGAACTGCCTCCGGCCGTTTAATGTGAACTCCGCCAGACGGAACCATACTAGGCACATATACATCGAGGTTTCCATATGCGTTCTTCGGAATTCTTCCCTGAACTACCGGCGGTGGGACGTAGATGTCTGTCTGGAACTCGGCGTATAATGCAGTCTCTTGGGGCTCTTCATCTTCGTCATCACTGAAGCCCCCGCCCTTGTTTCGACTTGCAGCAACACGCTTGAGAGGCTGCTCGCCCACTCTGACATCCCGCCCAAGGCGATACCATTTATCGGAGCTTCGCACAATATGCAGGTCAGACCGACGATAAACGGGTTCTGATATCTCACTCCGTGCTGTGCTTTTTCCTAACCCCACGTGCCCAATGATTCGTTTGGGATGGATCACTTCACTGCGACGGACGTGTCGCTCAATCGCATAGACGGGATGGTCCTTGAAGTCCTGTATATTGCGTGGCATGGGCTCGGCCGCCGATTTGGATGTTAGTTCACTAATCTCTGCTTCATCCCGGTCCTCGAAGAAAGGCTTTTCATAGGCCTTTAGTGCCTTATCCCACCACTCCTCGCCATTCCGTGTGACTTCCACGCGGAGTTTCCGCGTCTTTGCATTAAACGCTTTTACATAGCGACGAGTGACGTCTCTTGCGGAGGCGTCATCCTCGAAAGCAACCACATAATTCATCAAGTTTAACGGATCGCTCGCTGGCGGTTCAAATTTCGAAGGTTTAGCAAGGGATTTCGTTACGACAGGGTCAATTGGAACCCATTTTTGTGCAGCGTTGTTGAAAGCTTCCACCCAGAATACCGGAAATGACGACTCTCGCGGGGTCGGGATCGGGGCTACGGATGTTAGTTAGGCGTAGACTCTCAGCCACTGGAAGTCACATGCCTGAATGGTATTTTGGTTGAGGAGGACGCGAGGGTGTGAATTTGGGCTGTCCAATCCGTCGAGGCCTTGAAGCTGTAGGTGATTTTTCACTCTTATTGGGTTCATCTGTTGAGGATCCAGGGTCATCTGAGGATATCACGATATATTGATTCTTCGGTTTAGACGGCGTCATGTCTTTCACAGTGCCAGAAAATGGCAAAGGTTGCAATGAGCATACAAGTCTCGCCTCTACGGCTACAGACCGCAACAGGGCACAGAATAGCTGGGCCCCGAAATCTCGGGATCCTTCCATTGTCTTCGCTTGGGTTCGGAAATCTCCTTTGGATAAGAAGACCTCAGCATTCGCCATGATGGACTCCTATATATTCGGGTCAGTGAATTATTATTGATGGAAAACTTGTCAAGGATACCAATTTCTGCTTCAATTGCGATTCATCTTCAGCCCAGTGGGCCCGTTTCATTCCTGGTTTTGTAACCCGAAATCTGCGTGTAAAGACATCTGCAGCCTGGTTGAGACCGTCCATAAACGTGGTGGATCTGCTATGACGTGGTTTACCCTCATCTGGGTGAAGAAGAGCAATTACTTTTCTAGGCAGCGTCTTCTTGAGAAACTCCTATGATTATGTTAGGTCCCAGTTTATATGGCAAAGCAGACCAACGCTCACCTGTAATTCCTCGTCGTTGCACCATATGTTGCGCAACTGAACGTGGCCTAGGAGGCAAAGAACATGACATTTGTGCACATCCAATCTGGCTTTTCTCTCGGCTCCATTCAAGGGCTTCCTTCTTTGGACTGCTCTTTTGTGCGTCTCGGGTTCCTGCTCTAGTGTGATCTGGAGCATCTCGTCGCCGTCCTGAGACGCGAAGCGTCTATCCACCAAGGACTGAGACGGCTGCTGTAATTCAACATCTTCCCAGTCAACATCTGACTCTTCTGATGTCGACGAATCGTAAACCGTTTGCACTGGTTGGGTGCTATCCTTATTTGCTTCTGCATCCCGATGCGTTTGTTCCGAGACACCTAATCCCACGGGGATCGCTTTCATATGCCCAGCCTTGCGCCTCTTGATTGGTCTGTCCGAGGCAAATTGCTCGGGGTCCCTAGCTTCAGCCTCCTCCAACAGTTCTTGATAGACATCTGTAGCAGGATCATCTGTATGTCTCTGGCGTTTAAGTTGACCGGAGGGGGTCGCCCTGCTCCGCGTGGAGCGGGCTGGTGTTTGGCGCACCATTGTAAGCCAAATTATTTAAATGCAGAATCATGCGGCAAGTTTCCGGGACTTTTGTCTGATGAGGGTCTACGCGTCGCGCATCAGCACTCAAAGTGGTGTTTTAGTACCCCGCCCTCGGAGATTCAATGAGAAAAAACATGAAATAAACAAAATGCAGAATGTTCAGTATTACTCCCAGATGATATTTGCAGAATACTCCTCCCCAAAGCTTTGCTGAACTGCATTTCAAGTCGTCCAGGTCACAAGGTGCGTCATGTCGGATTTTAATTTATCCGTGCCGTATCAATATAACCCAATTAGGAAGTAAGCTATTCACGACTAATCCCATTTATCAATGGATTTAAATGGTTTATTGGTCGATATTGTTATCATTCTAGTAACTAGGACAATAGTGTACATATTACATCTTGTAGAATTTTTACTTGAGTTATATATTAGATGACTAAAACACGCAAAAACGTTAATTTATATATCCACTTTAGGATCTCTGCACTGTCCTTTTTTGACCGCAACTTCTACAAAAAAAGACTTCCATAGGTGAAACAAATCAAACCTTACAGCCTGCCAAGTTTAACTCAATCCCGTGTCGAAAGAAGTAATACATCCCTTAAGACATAGGTTGAAGACATCCATGGAAAGCACGTATTTGATATTGAGTCACGATCGACCAATCATCACGGAAGACACAATAGAACGACAACGCAACTGTAAGAGTTGTCTGATAATATATTGTCCCCTGAAAAGAGTTGCGCATAAGCAGATAAAATAGATCTGGGAATTAGAGACAACAAGCAAAGCGATATACATATACAAATACTGTTCATTATATGTAACATATGTACTGAGTATTCCAATCTACTATACTGCGTCCAACGAACATCCCATCCGTTATTTGGTTCACAAAGATAGTTTGATAGGACGGAAACTTTCCCACCAATAAGCCTCACACCAGTGGATACAACTTGCCTACCGATTGATCATTTAGGCCGTCTTGGAGAGTTAATAAAGGTTCTAGAGCGCGAGTAGAATGAAAGGAATTATTTTTTTGAATAAGACCAGGCCGTAAAAGGCAAGTCAGCACTGACAATAGCTTCAACATTTTAACACTAACCCGTTATTGATGGATGGTAGCGGTGTTGGGATAATTTCCCTCTCTATAGCAACTGTAGACGTGCATGATCTACGTTTCGCTTGCATCTGACAGTTGTGCGCACACACCTTTGCCTAATGAGCTGTGCCGATTGGGCACCTGGCCTACACCCGTGGCTAGTCAAATTGATATTTTACTAAATGATTCACAGCCCCAATTCCAAATATTTTCTTTTTCACTTTACTTGAGCGATGTGTTCTTTTTGAAAATTTCATTCCCAATGTACAAAGGCGTGAAACGTGGGTTCAAAGGTTTTTCCTTGAGACCTTGAATTGGACTGTGTGGACCTTTTGTAGCCGATCATTTCTGTGAACAATTCACCCCGCACCGTGCACAACACGATGGCTTTCTTGGGTGTTAGTTAGTGGATTTCTTGGGTGTTAGATAGGAAATTTTAAATAGGAAGTTTCTTATTTTAATTTTTGTTTTTGTATTGTCGTGCATCCCTATTGCAACCCACAAGCCGCTCAAAAGGTTGCCTTGATAATTCTTGCGGATAGACAGATATTCCTCACCCGCAGCCAATAAAACCTAGTGATATCATCTGGGAATAAATATCTGTGAAATTATTCGAGCGGTCTACCATTTTCCCAGCAGGCAACTGTTTTATATGCAGACACGTTGTATCAAGTAGATGTAACGAAAGCTCTAAGTTGGATGGGTTGGATTGTATGCACGCTGTCAAGGATAACACAAGTCGTATATCTTATTTGACTCCGAAATACTTCCATTAGACTTACACTATTTTAAAAGTACAACATCGATGAGTTGTCAAGAATGGAATCAGGCACATGCTTCCAGGCGCATATAGTCGGAATTAACCGAGGACAGAACAAGTTGCAGCTCAGGGTGATTCACGCTGCATATATTTGCTTAGCACGCCTGTCACTTGCTCTTCCTCCTAGGGTCCAATCCGAATTCGCTAGCTGAACTTGCCAATGCACAATTCTAGCCGCTAGGCACTAGATACATACAAAGTAGCCTAGTGAATATAGTAAAGTGAGTACGTGGTTTCTTGGGCTCGGATGCAACCTTTATCTCGCCATCAACGTCTTGGATATTGCGTAATATGCATCTTGGCTTGGGCGTACATGTATTCGGAGCTGTTCGGTGGTAAACACTCAAATAGACCCTGTAATTTCCAATTTCCTATCTCCCCACATGAAAGAAACCCCAGCACTCTGTACAAGTTCCGCATATAGTGGGTACTTTTAAATGTCAGCGACTAAAGCAAGGATCTCAAAAGAGATAAACCGCCAAGGACTCCACTCCTAAACTGCTCCGCTGCGGAGCGACAATTTAAAAGTTCATGATTGTGATTCGGTAAACACCAAAGCACGCATTTACTGTTGTACTTATGTAGTATCGGAGACGCAGAGTTTAACCGAAAAAAAAAATTGTATTAAAGTACCTAGGTAATTAAGTAAAAAAATGACCTGACTGAAAATTAAAGAAGGTAGTTCGAAAATTCTGGGGCCGTTACCGACACGTTGGAACCGACCAACTTTCCTGGTCGCCGGGTCCGGGAGAATTTCAAGGTTGTTTTGACTTAAAAACAATAAATTCCCGGGATGTTCCCTTTAGATGGGAACCCGACTCCATGGCTTCGAGATTATTATTTCTGGGACGGCTGCAGGGATGCTGTGCTTGGGATTCTATCTGCAGGGTTGACGTGTTTTCTTTTTTCCTCTTTCTCTCCGAATAATAACATAGCAGCTTTTTAATTCGGTGTACTCCGGGTACAGAGGATTTGGTACATTTGTAACTTTGGTTTTTTGTGGGAAACGCCTGGGCACGTTTGTGCTTTCCGTCTATATATGCTCTTAGAACCACGCTCTTTTTTTTATTAATACTTGCACAAGAGCACAGAATATTACCAGGCCCCGAAGTTTGGGATTGTTACTTAGATACTTTGTTGCGGAGTGAAGCGAAGCAATATAAATCATATGTTGTACTTCGTATATTTATACGAAGTAAGAGTACGGAGTAGAAAAAGACGTGAATATGCAGACCCGGAGAACCGGAAACTATTCTACTCCGTGCATGTTCCGTGATGCATTTCCCAGATCCCATGTGCCCCTCCTTTTTTTCTGGGAGCAATTTGGAAAGCCCAGACTTTCCCCTAAGTGACGCTAAATCTGACGGATCACCTCCTCTTTTCCCACCGCGAGACCTAAATAAGGTAGGAGTCTATCTATTCGGGCCGAATGAGGCAGAGAAAAAAGAATAGAAACTGCGAGCATGCAAGCATTATACAGCACTCCGTAAATATTCCGGAATAAATCCGACACTTGTTCAAATCAAGAAATAAACCTGGACGATATATGCAATGACTAACAAGTTAAGTTACAGATTATATGCACTCATGTTGAGATGTAAGATCCCAACAGTACATCTATACGGGGGTCAATCCATTTTACCTTTCGTTTTTCTAAGAAAACAAGGAATAGCATACCGACTATTCCTAGGATTCTGCAGTAGGGAATCAAATCTAAAGAAATGTAAAGGGAAAATCCCAGCAGGAAGGTTGAAGGCGGCCCGTGGCTTGGGCGGGTTGCATACTCCCAGCTAGGCGGAACCCACCTTTATTGGTCGATCGACCCCCCATCAAAATAATTTTCTTGGTTCCGACATTTGCTAGGATCCCATGTCAAGAAAACCGGAAACCGGAAAAAGAGTCCTTTGGATCTGACTTGGGAGAAGAATATACCAAAGATTCTGACTTTTATGACTTAGAAATCTTTTTTTTTCTTTTTGTAATCTTGAATATAGAAAAAAAATAAAATGTTCAGAAAATGAATTAAAAAAAATAAAAATTGAAATTGATTCTATCCAATCATCTTCCCTCAAAATCCCCAAAAACAGAAACATTACATGGGTACTCCGTACTCCGTATTTCCGCTTTCAAATTTCACGCCTGAAGCGCCTGGGTATCTCTTTAATACTTAGTTACTTTTTTACACACGAACTAGAGCTCCACTTATCGGGCTTTGCTTTTGCTTTTTGGATAATGTCGATCTTACGCTGAATTATAGTTGTCGGGTCCCGTCCTGCCAGATTATAACTTAACCCAAGCTGTCGGGCTCTTCCCCTCTTTCAATTATGTCTGGATTTGCAGTTTGAGTCTTACCGTTATATTGGGACTTGAAACGGACTATACGAGTATACGAGTATAGCTTTATATTTGATTCCACTTCAAAGAATAGCCTGCCTTCCTGCAGAACGCACTGATACTTGCTATTTGATCCCGTTGAGAACGAGGTGATCATGAGTAATATGCGTCCGGTAAGTTTGTTTCTCTGGAATATGGTCACCATGTCGATATCCTACAGTTATTGATATTCTGGTGGCCATTTGACTTGATCGATGTTCTTGTTGCTAACGTAAAATGATGCAGGTATTTGATGATGACAGGTAATAATACCTCCATTGGCCCTTCTCGCTTCTTATTCCATTTCCCAATCAAAGACTGGCGTAACTGACCATATCATAACAGTGATACACAGTCATTGACTGACAGTGTAACCGATTATCCTGTCGAGAATGGAAGAACCTATCACAAGTATCACGAGGGAGGTGTGTTTGCAATTCCGGCTCTGTCAGATCCCATACAGCATGCTAATTCAATGGTTTAGCTTATGTATACCCCAATGATGAACGGGAATTAGATCGTCTAGACATGCAACATCATATGTTCAAACTTGCGATGGGCGGAAAGGTATTCCATGCTCCACTGCGAGACCCAAAGAGGATTCTTGATATTGGTACTGGCTCCGGGATATGGCCAATGGATATGGGTATGATAAACTGCTCCAACCTCGAAGTTCCTGTCTGATCTCAAATTTTCTTGCAGCGGCCGTGTTTCCAAATGCCGAAATAATAGGGACAGACTTATCCCCAGTGCAGCCAACCGAAGTACCGCCCAACGTCCATTTCCTGGTTGATGATGCCACTGAAGAAGAGTGGATGTGGGACAGTGACCATTTTGATTTGATTCATACCGGCCACATGACTGGATCCCTGCCATCATTCAGACGGGTACTACGACAGGCATTCAAACACCTCAAACCCGGGGCATACATGGAATGTCACGAGCTTGACCCCAAACCAAAATGTGACGATGGCACAATGCCCCCCGAAAACCTAGACGGAGGATACAGTGCATACGCCATCCACGACTGGGTAGATCTTAGTGTGCGTTCGGGCCGTCAGTCCGACCCACCCAGGCAATTCCGAATTGCCCACCGGATTGCACAGTGGATGAAAGATATAGGATTCGTCGACGTTGAACAACGACTCTCCAAAATCCCCATAAACCCCTGGCCGGAAGACGAGAAGCTAAAAGCCATCGGCGCCTGGAGTGAGAGCAATTGGCTCGATGCTTTGTCAGGGTGGTCATATAAACCTTTTCTTGAACTTGGGTGGTCGAAACCTGAGATTGAAGTCTTCCTTGTTGATGTGAGGAGAAGTATACAGGACCGGAGTATCCATGCTTATATGGACTTTTATGTGGTGACAGGACGGAAACCTCTTCCTAATGAACTCAAAACCGCTTCCTGACTTCCTATTATCTCCCCGCTTCCTCGTCATGACCGTCTTACGTTTTATCACACCGTTCCATTATGTCCTCTCTCAGATGATTAGCATGTGATACCATTGGTGGGCAAGATTTTGCATGCATTGCATTGCATTGGTGTTGTGTTCATGATTCCAAGTGCTTTCTTTTATCTTCTATATGAAACCATTTCTATACCTATATTGGTATACAATCATTTGATAAACAGCGTCCAAAACAAATTCGGCTTTGAACGATTAAATGGCATAAGATGACATGGATATAGGTTAGACATAAAATCAGTAGAATAATTAAAACAAGAGAAGAATGGTGACAACAACTGCTATGGATAAAAAAAGACGTGGACATATGTATGTTGTAGACAGGTGATAATAGCGGTCCAAGGATTGGCCCGTTGACTCGTCTGGAGCGTCGCGGAGATTAGTCAGCATGCCAAGAATCGGAAAGCCGCCATGCGAAAGTTGATGCCAAGTGCTTGCGACACGCCTAAGACAACAATTGGCCTGCACATGCCATAGCCAATCCCATGTCTTTCGGCAGACATGCCTATAGGCATGCTCTCAAGCCTCCAGCTACTCCAACACTTGACCATCTCTGGATCAGTGATGACCTACTCGCAGCCACGTTTCGTCGCTTCGCCAACGGTCAACGGCGCCATGGGAGCTGTGTTCCCGGACCATTGGAAGCACGTCGACGCCTAGCAAAACGAAGGAACACTGCTCTGGCAAGCATAGGAGGGGGACCGGCTGAAGATATCGCGTGTTTGTTTGGCCGCAATGGGAGGGAACATATGAAATGGACCGACCATCCGTGGCAGAGAGCACCATTCGAAACCCAGAGTATGTATTACAAGACACAAAAATTATTTTGAGAATCCGCTAATTGTTCTTGAAGGTGTTGCCGATCATTCTATGGGCCTTCCCGAAGTACCTTTCTCCTTCTCCCAGAACCCGGAGCCTCAACCCGAACCCAGCGAATTTCAGACTACGCATGCTCCTGCATCATACCTCAACAAGTCAGACCAAGCTACGCGCGAGCAAATTCTCAAAGAATTCTTGGATGGGAATAATTGGGGCATTGAAGATGCAAGGGATTTCACTCGTCGGTTGAGAATTGACCTCCACCGGGAGCCCCGATACAGCCGGCAGATATTCGAGCGGTTACTTGCTCGCCCAGACCCAGACCTTACAGAAGCAATTGCCTTCTTGGATGATCCGTTCCTGAATACCCGGGGATCGGGAAATTACGCCGCAGCTGTCGAAATCTTCGTTCGAACGAAAAAGAAACGCGGCAAGCGAACCGCTGTTTTGAATGCGATTAATCGTGCCTTAGAGCTGGGGTTGATTTCAACTGATGAGATCTGTCTGATCATTACCGCTTTGCCGAATATTATTGTCGAACGAAACAAGACTCTGGGAACATGGGACCATAAAGCTTTGCTGAAGCACTATCGGGCAATGTGGAAAGCTATTGGGTCCTGCAACATTCTTGGATATCACGATTTGGACAGAGATATTGTTGATGCTTGGCTTGAAGAGCTCCTACGCACTCGCAGCTTTCGCTTTGCCGAGGAAATCATCATCGAAACCCACGATGCAGACAGTCGCAGCCAGTGGCCTTCTGCTTTGGTTCAAGCTTGGTTGGAGACTATGGAAGTCGATTCGGAAACAAGCTTGCCGTTTCCAGACAAGATCTTCAGCCAGCTGGATGTGAACAGTGCGGCGGACTGTGTCATTCGGGTTACAGAGTCATTGGCATCGTCTTCAGCAGACAGGGTCTCCAGAAATCAATTGCTTGAAAGATGGCGGGATTGCCTATCGAATGCCGAAGTCATTTCAACTGTTGCCAAGTCACAGGTCTGGTTCGATTTCCCTCTCCCATGTGTTCAAACACAAGTCAAGCATGCCCCTCTCAGCCACTCAACTCAACGTCAGATCATTTTGCGACTCTGGCTTCTACGAACGCTTGGTCGATCCACTGGGCCCATGTACAACCAGAGTGCAAGAACAACGGACCAGCCGATCTACTCATTACTCAACCTCTACCAAACGGTGATACAAGACACCAGTGGAACATTCTTCCCGGACTTCCTGCGGGAAATCCATGACCTCGATCTCCCATATAACAGCCTTCTGCTCCTAGCCCTGAACAAAAAGGGCAAAACTTCCATTACCAAAACCACCCGCAGAACCCTCGAACAACTGGAAACCTCCAAGCTCTCCCTAGCAGAAGTGTGGACAAACCCATCCATATATAAGGGAATACAAACACTCTTCCACACCACATTCGACCAAATGTTCCAGCGCATGGACCTCACCAACCCGGCCACAGTTGAAGAGATCCTGAATGTTGTTCGATCAGGCGACTCAAATAACATCTGGCCCATCCTCAGACTTCTCAACAACAACACCCCATTTAAAGTTAGCCTTCACAAAGCCTGGCAGCCCATCCCACACCCCGATGACAAAGTCCTCGTGCGATACCACCCAGGCCCACGAGACAGCCGATGCCCCGATCCCCATGCTGCGGTCGACCTCATAAACCAGCTGGCAGTTTCTCTCTCCTGCTGCAAGCACCTGACTCCGTCCCAGTCCTTCCATATGGTTCATTGGCTCTACGGGTATCTTCGCAGACACGGCGGGCCCGTGGATCCAGAGTTCGTGCGGGCCCTGTATCATGCTGGTGTTGTGCGGTACCGTCGCGACGGTCGCCGTGTCTCGCCTACCCAGTATGAGTACATTCTTTGGATCGTTGGCAAGTTTGAAGGCTCTAGTGTCGTTGAAGAGCTTACTGCTCCGGCTCAGATTGGTGAATCGCGGCCTGACTGGCGGTAGATGTGGTATGTGAATGGAAGCCTACACAAGAAAGTTTTGTAAAATAGAGCGATACGATATACCCCTGCTTCGATATTCCCTTGCTCAGAGGGTGCTAAGCGAGCCTACAATCTACATGAGAGATACATCAAGTTTTTGAAACTCCGATTTCCTGTCCTGCCCATACCTGCTTTAAACCTTGTAGCATAACTGCACGAACATTACGTTCGTGGTCTTGCCTGAAGTACGATCGTAAAGAAAACGTATTGAGACAGAATAAACCCATGCGTGCATTAAATCAATCCAAGAAGACCACCAGTCAGTGCATCTCCAAGAAAATCTAAGTATCAACTTCCATGCGGTCCCCAGTAGTAAGGTTATCATCACCCGACAGAGTTTCGATCGTGACATATTTCTTCATATCTTCCTTGCTGATAACCCTCTGGTCCAAATAAGCAGTGGTACCACGGGGGAAGCGGTAGTTGCGCTCCTTCTGTGGGCGCTCGTTGGGCTTCATGTAGTTGCGGAGCAGCTGGGTGGGCTGGTCCTTCTCAATCACACACACGTCGACATTGCTACCAGATCCCAAATCGTTGAAGATACCGGCCTTGATTGCCTCGGCGCAGATATCGATGGCACCCTGTCGGTCCAGGTCTGGTTGCCAGGTCGACTCAAACACCGACATCGCAGCCAGCGATCCGGATCCCATTGTCACATAGGGAAGCTTGTCTGTGGATCCGTGTGCGTGCACAGTGTACAGTCCCGTGCCGGTCGGGTCAACGCCTGCAACAACCAGGTACGCTCCGATGTGGCCCTGGTAGCGGAAGAGGTGCTGCTTGAGCATCGTCATACAAGTGATCACACGGGGATCACGGCCTGTTGATAGCGAGTGCAGTTCGACGTTGGAGCTGATGAGTGCCGTGGTGAATTCTGTATCGGCGGCGGTACCGGCTCCAGCACACCAAATCTTCGGCGCGATGTAGTGTAGCTTCTCGCAGTTCTAGAGACAAAGAATGTCAGATACCTTCCGAAAAGAAAATGAACACGGTCTGATCGGTATATTTTACCTTGTCTGCTACTATAGGACCGCTGGTAGCTCGGGTATCTGCTGCAATCTGTAATGGCGATTCGAGTCAGCTCCTGGGTCACAGCTCTTGGAATCTCCTCGCATCGCTTGGGACCGTACCACAACACCCTTATCGTAGATACAGCCCACAATTGTTGTACCAGTACTTGTGGCCTTGGGAAGGGGAACACCCCTGGCATGAAGCGCCGCATTGCGGTTGTAGTTTGTGAAATCGAAGCCCGGCATCGTGACAACGCTGGTATTCGCGACCAGCTAAATGATTATCAGGATAGAGAGTAGATATAGGAAGAAACAAGAGCAGATTCCGAATATCGGGGGAGAATAAGAAGGATGGATTGGTTAATGGGATAGCAAGCTGGAGATGGAAGTGAAGAGGAAGTGAGCTGTTTGGAGTGACGAAGCTCCCGCAGCCTAAATCGGCGCCTTAATTATCAGGCATAAACAAGGTGTTTTTGCCCGGACATTATTTTCGAATTCAATGCTCTTCTTTATGTAGTCTCTCTTGACTTCTCTCTCTAACCCTTTGCGCATCGGCGATACTCGTTGCGTCCCTTTTTATTCTTTGCTTGTCTTCTCATCCCTGGGAAGCCGCGCAACCTCAAGATTTTCGCGCATACTCTCAACCTATTCTCCCGGAGTCCTCAGTCACTCCATCGACGCTCGCTCTCTACACCTCCCAACTCCCCTTCACCTAATGCTATCAGACACAACTCTCCTTTAAGCGAAAGCACACGTTCTCCTTCTGGGACATTCAACTCGGAAAAACTTAGAATGGCTTTCTTCGGTGCGGCCAACCCCGCTGGGGGAGGCGCCTCTGCGGAGCTTGGTTCAGAGCTTCCCGATGTCTTTACCGATGTATGTCCCACTACAACTCCCACTAAATATGATTACCCTCTCTAATATAGCTATAGGAAGTCGGTTTCAAAGGTGTCTCCGGAGACGCGAATATCCGCTTCCTCCAAACGGCATGGCCCGACGACGCGCTTCCTGCTCCAACCTCTTCACTTCTGGCTGTCGCACACACCAAAGGACTCATTGTCGGCGCTGGCCCAGATGCGCTGGTGATAAGCACTGCTGATAATGTGAGAAAGTCAATCGAGGCGCCAGCTGGTGAAGATATGGAGAAAACGAAGCCATTTCAACCCGTCGCCACAATTCCTCTTCCTTCTCGTCCCACCCATGTGGCATTCACACCGGGCGACGACGGCTTGATTCTCGCCTCAGAGAATGGCCCCGCAATTTCGGTCTTCGACACAAACGCCCTTATGCAAGGAAATGCGCAACCAGCGATTTCAATTCCCACGAATGGCGTGTCGCTACGAGCCCTGGCGCCAAACCCCGACCCTACCTCCACACTTGTCGCGCTAGTCACTGTTAACGGCGAGCTTCTTATTGCCGACCTCAAGGCTGGGAGCCTTGTTCCTGGACCCAATGGCCCTGTCCTCAAGGATGGTGTCAGTTGTGCTTCATGGAGCAACAAAGGGAAGCAGCTTGTTGCTGGATTGGCCGATGGCACTGGTTACCAGATGACCCCAGACGGAACGAAAAAGGCTGAAATTCCTCGGCCATCTGATTTGGAGGGAGATTGCCACAGTAAGTTTCAGACGATTGCACAAACCAAATATGTGCCTTTACTTACGATTATACAGTTTCATCAATCTCATGGCTTGAAAATGATGTCTTCTTTGTGACATACACACCAAATGTTTCAGAGGATGATATGGGGATGAACCCAGCTTCTTCATACTACATCATAACCCGCCGTAAGCAGGCGCCGTTCCTTATCCAGAAATTGCCAGAAGTCTGCTCAACTATGGGCTTCATGCTAAAGCGTGGTCCCGCATTCCAATTTATCACCAGAATTAGAGACTACAAGCCTCACTTGAAAGATGTCTTGATCGTCGCCTCAACTGCGTCGACTGATCTTGGACTCATCACGCGTTCTGACCAACCTCTGGCGAACGATGAGCGAACCAAATCTCACGTTGGTCAGTTCATGACTACCGAAGTAAGCGACGATACCAAACGTGCCAGTGTCCCGTTGAAGGACTCTGGAGATGAGACATCAGTCATTGGCCTGGCACAAAACCTGTCAGCAACGGAAAATGTGATTGCACCGCTTCCGGGTTCCGACATCTTGGAGAGCTCAACACCTCTTCCCGGGGTTCTTCTTTTGAATAATGATGGTATTCTTTCATCTTGGTGGTTCGTTTACGCTGATTCCATTCGCCAAAGCATTCCGTATTCTGGGTTGGTTTCGTCTGGTCAGACAGCCCAAGCTCCCTCTCAGCCACAGGCTGTAGCTCCGACCCCGGCTCCGGCCCCTGCCCAGCAGCCTGCATTTGGCCAGTCAGCCTTTGGAAGCCCGGCATTTGGTCAGTCAGGGTTCGGGAAGCCAGCGGGAGCTCCTGCCTTTGGTAGTCCATCACGCATGGGCGCTTCAACCATGGGGGCGACTGCTTTTGGAAAACAAAGTGCTCCAGCATTTGGTAGTCCGTCTCAGCTTGGTGGAAGCTCTACCCCGGCCTTTGGAAAGCCATCAACTCCTACCAGTGCTCCTACTTTCGGGACTCCCTCACAGCCGGGTGCATCCTTCGGAACTCCCAGTACTCCGGGACAGCCACAGTTCGGTAAGTCTGGGTTCGGAGCCATGGGCTCCGGGCTTGGACAATCCAGTACCCCAGCAAACCCATTCGGAGCTAGTGGGGCAGCATCTAGTGGCGGCGGATTCAGCTCTTTCTCCGGTGGAGGCGGCTTCAGTGGCTTTGCAACGGCAAAGCAGGGCCCGTCACCATTCGCGGCCAAGCAGTCAGGCGAGTCACCGTTTGGCGCGACAAAAAGTTCACCCTTCGCAGCTGCTTCTTCTGGTGAAAGTGCTTTCGCCAAAACCTCTGCCTCACCATTTGGAGCCAAACCTGAGACCTCGTTCCCGCCTCCAGCTTCAACTGAAGTCAAGAATCCCTTTGGCGCCGCAGCGCAAGGTGGCTTTGAACTCAAATCTACCTTCAAAAGCGAAGTCCCGCCTCTCAAAGAGGAGCCAAAAGAAGACAAGACTTCATCTAAAGCATTTTCATTTGGTGGCTCCTTTGAAGAAATGGTATCAACGTCCCGCAAGGGAAGCTCGTCGCCGAGTGAATCAATGGATGACACTGAAGATATCGAGCCTGTGAATAAGGAGACATTCTCAATCTTCGGCGGGGTAAGCAAACCTGCTTCACAGACCCCTACGTCAATGTTCAGTTCAAAGACAACGACTCCGGCCGGGAACACCATGTCGATGTTTGGCCCCAATGCCACCCAAAACCGCGTGACCAGCCCACTGTCAACACTGTCTGATAAGACAGAGACACCCAAGAAGAATTGGCCTAACACGCCAAGTATCGATGTGGAGACGCCATTGCCACCAGATTCCACCAGCCGGGCTAGTTATGCCGCCGGAGATACTTCTGCTTCATCCAACGTGTCGAAGAGTTCCGCTGAGGATGCCCCGCTTCCTCCAGATTTCACCAAGGCGAAGAAACCTACACCAAAATCTGAAGAGGACGCTCCTTTCCCTCCCGATTTCCTTTCGCAGAAGAAGCCTGCAGCTAAGGCAGAGGATGCTCCTCTCCCCCCCGACTTCCTTACACAGAAAAAGTCCGCACCCAAGACGGATGACGCCCCCCTTCCCCCCGATTTCCTTGCGCAGAAGAAATCTGCACCAAAGACGGAGGATGCTCCTCTACCTCCTGACTTCCTCACTCAGAGGAAGTCTGCACCCAAGGCAGACGATGCTCCGCTTCCTCCAGACTTCCTAGCAAAGCCCAAGAAGTCCGAGGCTGCAGTTGTCCCCGAGGACGCCCCCCTGCCGCCTGACTTTACCGCAAATCCAAAAACCAAATCTGTGGAAGAGGCAGTCCCGATCCCAGACGAATCTGATGAATCAGGCATCTCCGACGAAGACTCCGAGGCCGCAGGCGAGTCGGACTTTAGTGATAGTGGTGAAGAAATCACACACGATGAAGCATTCATCGGCAAAAGCAAGCCATCGGCCCAGAGCTCATTTGGTGCAGTTTCCGAGCAAAGCTCCACTGGAGGATTCTTCAGTAGCCCCGCTCGAAAAGCAGACGACAAAGGCCGCGTACCCCGGCAGCTATTCGGGGAGATGTCTAAGCAGCCAGTGCTTCCTCCCCCGGGCCCCATTAACCGTGAGCCCTACCGGTCACCGAGCCCGGTTCGGGTCGGAGGGAAAAAGAACGTGCTATTCCCCGAGAAATCCCATGTCCGCAAGGGGTCCACAGGCGCGCTGCACTCGCGTAAGGCATCTCTTACCCAGATTGCCCAGCGTGATGGCCACTTGAGAAAGGCCAGTGATGTTGCCCGCGAGGAGCAAGAGAAGCAAGCGCGCGCACATGCAGCAGCCCAGCTCCAGGAAGATGATCTATCTTTGTCAGACGACGACGATGATGATAAACTCCGCGATGAGCTGGCTCAGCCCGTTGAGCCCGTTGATACTCTTGATCCATTCTTGCCTCACCAAAACTACATGGGCGAGACTGCAAAGCCAGGAATTGCCGGCCAGGTCGAACGACTCTATCGTGACATCAACTCTATGGTAGATACACTGGGCATAAATGCTAGGTCATTGGCGGGATTCCTTCTTTACCAACAGCCTAAGAAGCCCTCTGATATTGATGATTGGGTGATGGTCCTCAACAGCGACCAGCCCGCTGATATTCTCGACACGAAGATGGCCTTGAAGGACATCGAAAGATTCGAAGAAATGATTACTTCAGTTGCTCAATCATTGGACAACCAGCGAGTCCAGGGAGTGGATGAAAAGCTCGATGCCTGCCGTGACCTACTCACAAAGCAGGTTGTCACCTTGCGAGGCCAGTTCGCAAGCATCCGCAAGACTCTTGACGCACACACTGATATTGGCGCTATTCTCGAAGCACCGCTTTCTGCCGAGCAAGGTGCGCTCCAGCATGATCTGCGCACCACATTCACCGATATCCAGGTCAAGATAGCCGCTCTTGAACAGGCAGTTTCGCTTCTGCGTGCCAAAATTGCCGACATCCCACAGGCGAATGGTGCAGGCAGGAACCGACCAACCGTTGAGGCTGTCACTAAGACCATTGCTACAATGATGAGCATGGCCGAGGGAAAGAGCACAGACATCGATGTTCTCGAGGCACAGATGCGCAAGCTCGGCGTGGACATTGCTCCTACTGGACCCCCAAGCCGCGAGGGGTCCCCCTTCTCTACTCCTCGCAAGAGCGCTGGTGGCCGCATTCCCATGACTCCTGGGTCACGAGGCTCGATTGACGGTAGCGCTTATCACACCCCCGAATCCGCTTCGCGCGGTCTCAACTTCCGGGCCAGCCTCAATGCCTCGGTGAGACAGAGCCGTCTCCGCAGCGTTGAGGGTGCTGGCGAGCTTGCTATCCCACAAGAAGACGCCGTGCAATACAAGGCCAAGAAGTCACGTCGCCAGCACTTGAATGCCAACTTGAAGAAGGCCTTCGAGGACAAGCAGGCGAAGGTGCGCGCCGTCGATGAGTGGTAGATCAATTTTTCTTTTCTTATCTTTTTATTTGCTCTCATTTGATTTTCTCTAAAGATTCCGAGATTTGGGGAATTTGCTTTCAGCGTGGATTGGTCGGTGGATGGTCTTAATTGGGCCAGGGAGTCATGGCATGCACATATGCGGATTTTTTTTCAGCGCCACCATGAGTGGTTAAATTAGCTATCAAATGCAAGCCCTTTACATGCACTTCTCCATTACCTGTCTAGGTCTAGTCAAATCCCGTCGCATGTAGAACCTACTTTCGTTTTTGGAAGTCACTCGATCAGCTCCCTATATTTAGACTCGTTCATGGCGCTTGATAAAGAATCCGACTCGATCAATGGCATAGTTGGGACATAAATAACAAAGACGGAGAATGCAGATATAACAACAATATGTAACTCCACGGGCTGCTCTTCAAAGACATAGATATATCTAGCAAAACCAATTGTATAATGAATGGCAAAACGTCTTTGTTCTAGCCTAAAGCTAGAACCTATATAAAAGGCCGATACCCTTGTGTCTCTATATATCTATCAACACCATTAGCAATACCAGCACCAGCAACCCTCCAAATATCGAACCAACACTTCCCTTACACCGATCTTATTTACCAGCAATATGGTACGCCCGAACGGTAAGTCTCCTTTCATGGTAGGTCCCGAGCATATGGAGGACCCCGACGACAACAATGGAGCCATTTGGGTTACTATCGAACTACCTCTATTTATGAAGGGAGTCTATAGTGATGCAGATATAATGCAGTTTGTGGTTCAGCAGGTTCGACAGCGCAAGGTTAGTGTTTATTGCTCCGCACAGCATTACCATAGATACTTGTGTCTCTCGTTACCAGTAGATGGATACATTATGGGTAAGAAAGACGAGAAAGTAGTCATGGATAAGGCCTTGGAGCAGGCACTCTGGTAGCTTTGTCAAATCTGCGAAGGAAAGGTTCATCTTGACCGGACAGTGCTTTTCCCTTAGTTCGTGGAGACATTCATATCCGAGACCACCAAAACGACCATGGAAAAAGATGTGCAAAAGACTGTAAGTGACTATTCTTGCATCGGATTAAGGCGAGAGGTATGGGATATGCAGTAGATAGGGTTCTCTAAGGGTATTTGATAGAAGAGTAGAGAAATTATGTTGAAAAGAAAAAGGAACAAGACACATGGGAACAGACGTAAAATTCCACAGGTAGCAAATAGCACAAATAGCACCTAAACCGTAACTTCCCATGTTGTGATCGAATTCGACAGTCTGTGATTCTAGCCCGACAAATTTGAACTGCCATCAAAATCTTAACATGCTTGATGGAAAGGTAACTGAACCCTAAACCCAACACGATAGCTGTAATAGTTAAATTAGTCAAATAAGTAACGTGGATGGGTCAAGAGGGTCAAAAAACTGGGGTAAGTAATTATAAGAGGTATATTCTGCTCCTTCTTACCCTAGGTAAGGTTGTGAGAAGGAAGTCACCATAATCTGCACTCAACTTGTGGAGTATCTCTCTCACTTGCGCAGCCAGACGGTCCCTAGTAGGGGGGCTCGATTTCACTGAGGGGCAAGATGCACTCGGTAGAAATGGATGTTCAGGCGAAGTGACAGCGAGATGGGAGTCGTTGGATATGAGAGTTCCCCAGCATCCGTAGCCAATGATGATACTCAGGTATGATATGAGCTATAGTCTCAGTTTCCGACAAGATGAGAAGCCACAAGATCAACAACTCGAGGGCGATAGAATGTAGCAGCCAGAGGAGAAGCACAACTTCCCAGAAGAGTATCCATTTCACTAGATGGAAAGTGAAGCTAGGGCGTACGAGGTAGCATAAAGCGGAAGTGAGGAAATACAGTCAAGTTCCTGTAAGTCGGAATGGAATGGCTAAATCGACCATTGTGACTGATTCCATGATATTGAGGATAGAGATGACAAGTGAGAGAAGAAAGATATCAAGTACTCCATGACTCCGAGGAAATTACTAGGTGACTACATAAGATAGGGAATTTGGAAGAAGAGGAAGGTACAAGGTAGTTACCCAATTGGGATTCTAGGAGTGACATCATCCCGTGACATCAGCCATCTGTTATTTTGATGTTTCTCCAAACCAACACCATCATTGGGGAAAAGCATCAACCCATCATGTCTCAAAACGTTAGTCAGGTCGTCTTCTTCCGCGTCAAATCTTCCGTCAAGCCCGAAGACCCGTCCAGTGAAGAAGGCGAGGCTCTGCTGAGGGTATTCCGCGCAACCAAATTGCAAAGCGGCCATGAGAACTCAGCATGGGGACGCACCTCCGAAGATGAAGACACTATCGTCTGGGTTGTAGGTAAGTTCAGCATCCCCCAGAAACCACACTTAGGCAACACCATACTCCCCCTACAAACCTACAACCTACGGCCTAACCAAATCAACAGACTGGACCGACGCTCGCAGCTCAATAAACATTCAACAGCTCGACCCTTTTCTGGCTCCAGACAATCCCCAGCCGCCGTCGTCACTCCGAGTTACGTTTAGCCCGACACTCTCCAGCACAGGCACACTGACCAGAAACCCGGTGACTGAGCTATGCACGCTGTCGTTCCCTACCGATCTGGATGTACCAGCAGTGAAGAAGATCAACGCGGACTTGATTAGCTTCCGCACCGCGCTGGTCGAGCAATTGCCACAGTCGGCAGGGCCGCGGTCGTGGTCAATGGGGCATGTCGACCGGCCGAGTAAGCTACCGCACGAGAAGAGTCCAACTGGGCAAGCTTTCGCGCACCTCCTCGTTGTTGGCTGGGATAGTATAGATGCGCATCTCAAAGCTAAGGACACGGAGAAGTTTGTCCAAAGTATTGCGCCTCTGAGGGAGAAGATGCTGCCGCCTATTCCTGGGTTGGAGATGAAACATGTCAGTTTTCAAAAGATTGAGGGATAAATGTCCCGAGGAGGTAAAAATAAGAGCCAAAAATGGAAAAGAGAAAAATAAACGAGTGAGCCACCGTGGATTAGTGTCTGGGGCTTGGATGTAATTTGAGCTGTGCTGGATGATAGGATGTCGGTGGTACTTAGAGCAGGTAGTGGAATGGGAAAGGGCTACTTAATTCAAGGGATAATTGCGGGAATTGTTATTAAAAAGGCAAGCAAAAAATCAAATCACACGCCCTGGAATAAGATACAACAAGAAAGTAAAAAGAAAAAAAAAAGCAATGACACCCTGAGACAAATCGAAGGCAAAGAAAAAGAGACTTCATAAACCACCGTAGACTTTTGGGCATAACCCCGAAATAAGACTCTCATAGCAAGCGTAGATTGCGTTGCTGGACTTAGATTCGATGTTTTTCACTCTCTGATCCATCCATTAGAACCTGGGTATCAAAAACATCATCCGGGGAAGAGGAAGATGAAGAGGAAGACGAAGAGGATGAGGAAAGGGAAAGAGAATACGAACCGAGTCGGGAATAGAGCATGTACAAAGCCATCTGATTGCACTCAGCAGTACCAGTGATAGTAACCAAGCGCTCGTTGCTGCTCTCCTGGGGTTCGTTGATCTTGATAACACTGCCGCTGAGATGACGGATCTCGTTAATTTTAGCACCACCTTTGCCGATAATGGCACCAACCATGTCATTGGGGATGTAGATCTGCTGAGTCAGTGGCTGACCGGGCATGGCACCGCCCACAGGAGCAGGGGCTGCTGGGGGTCCACGGCCAGGAGTCGGCTGCTGAGGACCGCCGACATAGGGAGCGGGCTGGTGAGGTCCTGCACCGCCGTACGGGGCATGGGGAGCGGCGGGGAAGTGCATTGGGGTCTGAGGGACAGGAGCAGGAGCTGGCTGGCCAGGCAGGTAGGGAACACCGAATGCACCGGCACCGGCACGGTTAGCGTGAGGATGGTGACGTTTGAAGGTATCAGGGTGACCGTATTGACCTCCGGCGGGCTGAGGAACGTATGGCACAACCTGCATACCACCAGGGACAGCACCGGCAGGACCACCGCTGCGAGTGGCATATGCCGAAGCCGCGGGACCACCGTAACGTTCAGACAGCTGCTCGACCAAGGTGACGGCGACATAGTAAGTAGCAATGTGGACGGCATCTGCGACACCGAGGATGACAAGGGACCGTTCAGTGGACAGAGGGAGGCAAGCATCCGAAGCGTTCAGGCGAGCGCCGGAAGCCTCTTGGATCTCGCGAATGCGGCTACCACCCTTGCCGATGATGGAACCGATTAGAATGTGAGGGATTAGCAAACGCAGAGGGTACGTCTTGGACTGGGCCGTAGAAGGGGCCTCAAGAGGTTCATTGTTAAGGGTACGGATGATTAAACCAAACGCCTGGTGTTTGTCATTAGCACTCGAACATTATCAACAAGCCCATTGAATAGAATAACTCACCTTGGCAGTAGCATCCTGAGGACCGCTGACGGTCAGGATACGCTCCACTGCACCGCGAGAATAATCACTGACGGTGCACTTGGCACCGGACAGACGACGAATCTGCGACACGTTCTCACCTCCCTTTCCAATCACGGTGGCTGCCTCGGGGCTGGAGATCACAGCACGAATGTGAACCCAGCTCGACTCGTCCTGGGGGGGTTGGTCGGATCCGGCTCGGTCGGCCTGGGAAGCGGTTGATTGGATCGGCTGAGTATCGGCAGGGAGACCCTTGCCATTGGGCGCATCCGGAACCACGGTATCTCCCTGGGTGTCCTTGGCATCTTCCACAGCAGGAACCTGGCTACTCGCAACATCGGTTTCCGCCTCGGCATCACTCTTGACTACTTTGTCCAGAGCCGGGCGCTTGGCCTCAGGCTGGTCATTGGGACCGGAAGGGGACGAAGGGTCCTCGAGAGGACGCTTGGTCGATTGAAGGTTGGAAGGAGAAGCAGACATCTTGGGTCAGTGCTGCTGTTTGCTTTCACTTACAAGTGAAATCGGAAAGTTGCTAAGAGTGAAATCTTCTTCTGTTATGATCGTTTTATGTACACCAGAATTTCCCACGGAAGGTGCTGGTGCTAGCGATCTGAAGGGGGACTGGTGCTTTAAGAAGATGAAGAGGTTGTTAAGGAAAAAAGGTGGTACTGAGAAAGTGCCGGTGTAAGACGGGAAGGAATGTAGATTCAAGTGTGAAAGTGATGTCGCGACCAGGGAAGCTTCACGGGATTTGACGAGACGCTCGAAAGGGACGAGAAAGCGGAAAGGGTGAAAACGGGGTCCTTGGGTGAATGCGACGGGAAATAGGAAATGAGGCAAGTAAGAAGTCAAGCGCAAGTTGCCTGCTGTACCACACTGTAGCCTCTGATAACGTCTGAATCTGAGGTTCAAGGGTGTGGGCTAAACTCGAAAACGAGTTAATAGCCTAATTGACGATGAAACAGCAAAAAGGCAAATGAAGGTGAGAACAATGAAATTGATGAAGGTGATGAAATGAAATCACGGTGATAAAGGAGAAGAGGTAAAGTTGACGATGGGGGAAGGAAGTCGAGGGCGCGAAGCTTGGTCACATGACGCGCATGTTGCATGGGCGTGATGCATCTCGTCTCGTGTTCAAGATTTTGATTGCCCCTAAGGCTTCAAACATTTTACAAGTTTAAATTACAATTCCAATAATATTCTTGTTGCTTCTAGAAGGAAATATTGGCATTTCGCGTTACTTCGCCAATAAGCATGGATATCTCCAACCAAACCGTGCAGAAGATACAGAAATTCGCAGAAAAACGTCAAGAAGCAGAGTACGAGGCAGCAAAAGAACCTCTCAGTGGGACTGCATTACATGTCTACACGCGACGCTTAGATGCAACCTTACAAGGACTTCAAGAGCAAGTCAAACGCCAGCAGGATGAATTGAACAAGGTATGTTATGAGATTATCATTATGGTAGAAAGCCTCGACTAACACGTTTGATAGCTGCGGGAGCTCAATTCCCTTGACCTAACAGAGACGGGCACCGATTCCTGGGCTCGCGTCTCTCAGGCTCGACGAGCCAAGAAAGCATATGACTCGCTTCTCAAGTCCAGCGATGAGCTACCAGCAACAGACTCAGTCTTGCCATCACTTCTAGCCATCGAAGAAACTGCACAGCTTGTTCAAGAAAACAAAGTCTCTGTCAAAATGACTGCCGATCAGCTGTCTGTGGACCGCGAGCGCCTGCGAGTCGAAGAGGCCAATCTACGCGACTCTCAATCAATCGCAAGCGGCCTTCGAGAGCGGATCCAGAGAATCCGCAATGCAAACACGAGAAAGGAAGAGCAATCTCCGTCACAGGTGGCACGCGAACAGCTCGCCCTGCAAAAACACCAAAATAAAGAGCTGGACCGCACGTCCGCGAGCCTCAAGGTTTCGTTGGATAAGTTCATCGATGAGATTCTTGCTCCAATGCTTGCTGCCGAGGATCTAGGCGGTCCGACTGTGGGCGATGACTTCAAGGTCTCGGATGCTACTCTGAAGGCAGGTTATACAGCACACGGCAAGCCTAAGAAGCAGAAAGAACCGGCAGAATCGGAGGACAGGTCACAGCAGCGGATTGACAAGTTTATGAAACGCAACGCGGATGAACCTCTTACGAAGAAGAGGGAGGCAGCTGCAAAGGAGATGCATAGTCTCCTCGACGCTATGTTGGAGGCTAACTCCTCCTATATCGATTTGGGGCGCGATTCGGCGTCTTCGAGGTTCCTCGTCAGAGCCAAGGTCGCGCAGTTTCACCCTCGAGATGCACGACGGCTTCGGCTGATTGATTTTGGTCGCTCACTAGGGAATTGAATGTGGGTTTGACGATTCAATGTTGACCAACAACATGGTATTATTGATTCGTGGATGTGTACATGTATCTCCTTATATCCTAGTCTTGTAAACATGTTAAATACCAACCCGCACCTAAGAGATGCTTGTGTAAACGCCAAATCAGTCATAAATACCCCGCTAAAAAGCGAGAAAAACAATAACAAGACATCAAATAGGCATCATTCCAATCGTGGACTTGGGGGTTTTGGCCTTGGCGTTCTTTCGTGGCGCAGACTGGCTTGTAGAACGATCGCCAGCTTTTGCTTTTGACCGCGCGCCTTTGCCCTTCCAGCTGCCAGTAGAGCCATGCTTCCGCCGTGCTGGTCGTTTGCCACTGGCAGGCTGGCGCTTGCGAGTCTTCGAGCCAGAAGGCGCAGTGCCGGATTCCCAGCCGTCACCAGAGTCATACCCCGGAGATGCTGGTGCAGGGAAGTAGCGGCTTGTGATGTTTTCGGCTGCATTACTGGGTGCGGTCGAGATGGGATTGTCCAGATTGAAGGCGGAGACCTCATCCATGAACAAGTCGTCGTCACTGTACTCATCGCTGCTGCTGAGATTGATGACGTTATGGTGGTTGGGATCCGGAACAATGCCGCTGGTCTCTGCTTCCTGCGTCATTTCCAGGTAGCGCCGCTTTGCATTCTCAACAAGCGCCAGGATCTGCCGGCCGTAGCGCTGCACCTTATCTTGGTCGATGCCCGGGATCGCAGAAAGCTCAGTAAGATCTGTTTCTTTATTAATTATGTCTTCTAATTTTATCGAAAAATGAGTAGTTACCTTTGGGGAAGGAGATGGCCATATCACGTAACACCTGGTCAGAAAACGGTTGGCACCGAAGTCCCTTCTTGACAACAAGCTATAGCAACTGTCAGTTTCTTGGCGGTGTATTAATAGGCAATTACCGCGATCACTCACGTCTTGAAGCATGATTTTGGCATGCTCTTGGAAGTCCTCCACGACTACACGATGCATATGATCAAGTCGATCTAACTTCTGATCACTGGTAATTGGAGGGCCCATCTCACGTGTATTTGCGCGGCGAGGCTTGCCGGTGGTCCGAATCGGCTCAAAGCCATCACTATCCTCATCGGCCGAGAGATGTGCGGCTGGAGCGCCGGTGTATTGATAACGATCAAGGCGGCGGTCTTGAGCAGCTTGCACCGGAGAAGATACCATGGTGGACTGAGGATCGCCACCTGAATTGCTAGACCTTTTCTTCGGCGCGTGCTTGCTCTTGGTTTTAGCCTTGCTATTCGGTGAGGCGCGAACCTGTAGTTTCATTTGCCGTTGTCCACTCTCATACTCCGCTGCACGACGACCGAGGATGAGATACTGAACAGCGAAATCACTTTTATTGATCACATTGTCTTCGGCCAATGCGTCTTCACCCAGAAGTCGGTAGAACAGTCGTTCGGCTGCTCCACGGTCGAGGTCGGATCCCTTTCCATACCCCAGCATCTTGCGATGCTCTGGAGTTTTAGGCCGTTTACAGTCCCCACGAAGTATATCGCAGCAGTAGAGCACAGTGACCTTCTCCTGTGTGTTCTGGAATTGTCGCACAATCTTGATGGCCCACGATGCCTGCTCAGTAAAATCATGGAGCTCAAACACCAAACCGGACTTGCAGTTATCACAAGTGTTGTTGCAGTCCTCTCGGCGGAAGTATTCCGCAAAATAGGCGAGGACTTGCACTCGTCTGCAATCGCTACGGTTCTCACAAAATTGAACAACATTCCGCAACATCTGTTTTTGACGGCTTTTTTGTTGACCATTGCCATCTCCTGCATCAATCATCCGCTTCAAAGTTGCTGTGTCTTTGTAGCCGTAGTAAAGATAGCAGCCAGAACGCTTGCCGTCTCGACCAGCACGACCGGTTTCTTGATAATACCCCTCGAGACTTTTCGGGATACTGTGGTGCATGACGAATCGCACATCAGCTTTGTCAATTCCCATTCCGAATGCAATGGTGGCAACAATGATATGCACTCGGCCCGCCTGCCAGTTGGTTTGAGCTTGCGACTTTGCATTTGATGTCATACCCGCATGATAAGCCTGTGCCTTGAGGCGGTACTTTTTCTGGAGATCCTCTGCAACTTTGTCGCACGTCCTTCGCGAGAGGCAGTAGATAATCCCGCATTGATTTCGGTATGAGGTTGTAATGGTTTCCACCATGCTGGCCAAAACTTCATCACTCTTTCCCTTCGGCCGTACTTCGTAGGTGAGGTTAGGGCGGTTGAAACTTTGCAAGAACACCTCACAGTCGGTGATTTTCAGATTGTGCATCACATCAACTTTGACATTCTCAGTGGCGGTGGCTGTGAGGGCCATAACCGGTACACCAGGGAACCTGGCTCGAACCTCTCCTAGCTCTTTATAGTCAGGTCGGAAGTCGTGTCCCCATTGGCTGACGCAGTGGGCTTCATCAATGACGAGGCGCGCTAGTCTGTTTCCTCGATGAAGTTTTTCAAGGGCTCTGATCAAGGCTTGGCTTTTACTGAGCATCTCAGGTGTGATGTACAGGACCTCCATCCCGGCGCCACCTGCATTTGAAAGCTGCCCCATGATCCAGGATTTTTCCTCTTGGTCGGTGTCGCCGTTAATCATGAATGCCTTGATCTTTAGTTTTCGGAGGTGTGATACCTGATCCTCCATCAAACTTAGCAATGGAGATATCACGATCGTCACGCCCGTGGTGCGTCCGCCCGTAACCACGGAAGGTAACTGATAGCATAGCGACTTTCCTCCTCCAGTAGGCATAAGAATAAAAGTATCTTTGCCAGCAAGTGTTGCATCAATTGCCTCAAGCTGATTGGGCCGGAATCCGCGGAGGTGGAATCGATCTTTCAACACCCTTCTTACTTCTTGAGACCATGGATGGTTTGACCAGAAGGCACTATGACCGGGCGACTTCTTGGGGACGGGGGCCTTGGGGATGTTGCCAGAAGTCTCTGCGAAAACTTCGCGGGTTTGACTGACTTGCTCGCGAACGGGTACCTGATGAGCACCATCGAGGTCCCCTGCCGCCTCTAATATCTCATCATCGCTGACATTCCAGTCGAACTCATCAAGATCCATTGAATCCAACTGTGGGGAGCCCATATTCCGAGAAATACAGTTTTTATTGTTATTCGTCCGATGTGTCTCCTTGGTCTTTCTAGGACTGGTTGGAGGTAGACGCTGTTGGTCAAGGAATTCTGTGTCTAAGTCGGCCCGCGAAGAAGAGAAAAAAGTGCCCCCCCGTGTGGCTGCGTGAGTCTCAAAGGTGGGCTGAGTATGTCCCGTTGGAGGAGGGTCGGAGGGACAATCGTGTGCCAACTCGAGGATGTTGACTTGAGACAGAAGTTGACATATTTTTGTTTCGGTTTGCTCCAACTCTGCCTCAACTGCTCGACTCTGCGCAAGCTCTTCTGGCATAGTTGTTGGGTCTAGACCTTGTGAAATCACACGTATCAGGTTTTGCTTCAAATCTTGCTTACGAGAAACACTGCTTTTGTGGGCGTTTTGATGTTTTCGCAACAATTCAATCGCCTCGATCTGAGTGACAAGTTTCTTGTTCTCAGCGATCAATTCTGGCACCGGTTGGCCCTCCATGGCCTGTTGATAGACTATCTCGGAATTCTTCTGCAGAGTAGACCTCAATTTAGAAATAGCATGCCCGAAGGCATTTTTTCCAAGGGCTAAAAACTTAAGAAGATCCGGATTCTTTTCCTGTGAATTGGACGGCTTCGGCCAGGGTGTTGACGGCATAGGATCTTTAGCATCTGCTTTTTTCTTTGACTGGGTCGATGGTTGCGCAGTTGGGAATGGTGCTTTTGGCGTAGATTCTAATCGCGAATGCTTGATCTCGATCTTCGTCTCGTCCGCCGCTGGACTCATCGCGGGGAGTATTGGGTACAGGCTCTCCTCGGCATCTAGAATCATCGTAGCGGCGGGGTCTTCATCGTCAGCCCAGTCGTCAAAGAGATCATCGTCATCATCTGAATCCGCAATCACTCGTTTCCGGTGGCTCCGTGGGACAACAGGTGAATGATAACCAGGTTGCTTCGCTGTGCTTTGTGGGTTTGTTTTAGTTGTTTGAGTTGTCTGGAGTGGGATTGCGGGCTGTTCCGATACAATATCTCTAGCGGTGGGAGGCCGAGCCGATTTTGAAGTAGTTCGCACTTTCGCCGCATATTTCGATGGAGAAAGAAGATCGGATGTGTACTCGTCACTTTTGCGCTTTTTGCCGCGTTTCTCACGAGTTCCGCATGGTGTGCATTCTTCTGTCCATGACACCCGCGTCTCACCACCCGGGATAGTCTCTGAGGATGATAGTATGGATCGATCAACTCGATCGATCTCACCTGTCAAGTCAATCGATTCAATATCATCACATCCAGATGCGTGGAAACTACCCGGCCGTAATGGAGTCGACTTTTGGGCAGGTTTGCATGATGACAACGGCGGTTCTCGGAAGGACTCTGATCATCGTGCAGCTTGCGTCAGTCTAATTATTCCCACAAAATTCGTCTTATTCGGTCACATACCTCGAGCTATGCTTGATTTTTTCGGCGAAGCTCGTTTCTTTATAGTTGACGGAGTGCTGGTGGGGACCGTGTCGTTTCGGCTCAGCATTCGAGGCTTGCTCGCCGATTGGGGTAGCAATCTAGCCATCGATATATCCGTCTCATCCTCCGCGACTTCAAGGATATCATCGAGGGTCGCGAATTCGTCGGTGGGGGAAATCGCCTGCTGCGATACGTGATTGTCGCGTTCAGGCAAGCTGGTTTGAGCCGGAGGAAGGTAGAGAGATTTCCCTTGGGTTATCAACCATTTGAGATGAGTCGCTAAGTTATTCTTCGTCATGGGGGCCTGTTGCTGTCATGGCCATCGATCTTGATGTTTGCAGTAATCAGAACAATCGCGAAACCTATCTATGTTGTAGACGCGTCGGCACGTGAGCGGTCAAACAAATCGATCTATGGTAGCAACTACGTTCAACTGCAAGTTACACGGTCAAATTGAGCTATGGAAAATAAAATTTGTACATGATTTTATCCTTATTATATGTTCTTATATTTTCTAATTTACATGTAAACAAAATCCAGAGGCGCAAGCAACACACCTATAGACGTAGATCTGGTATAGAAGGGGGGCAATTCAGTGTGGGGAAAGGCATAATTTTTGCCCCACGAAAAAGCAGATCGCGAAAAATCACCTTCTGTATCCAACAGCCAAAATGGCTAAAAAGAATAAGAAGTCCGCTGAACACAAGGACCGTGTAGCAGCAAAGCAGTCAAAGAAGACCGCACAGAAAGAAAAGAAATCCAAAGCCAAGGGCAAAGATGCAGACAGTGATGCTGAAGACGCAGACCTGGATGCCATTCTGGCCCAGTACGCCGAAGAACAAGCTAAATTCTTGAAGGTCACTGAAGTTCCTTCCGAGCCGCCGGTACCACGTTCATCTGCAACCGTACTAGCCTCTCCGTCGAACCGAAATGAGCTGCTGCTTTATGGCGGAGAGTACTTTGACGGAACGCATGCCACTTTCTTCAACAATCTTTTTGTCTATTTGATTGATCGTGGTGAATGGAGAGAAGTGACTAGTCCCAACAGTCCGCTTCCTCGAAGTGGCCATGCCTGGTGCCGAGGAGGAAACTCTGGAGGCATCTATATGTTCGGAGGTAACATTACTTGCTTAATATGTTGAAATTGTTTGTGCGGAAACTAACAAACAGCAGGAGAGTTCTCGTCACCGAAGCAAGGCACGTTCTATCACTACAATGATTTTTGGCACCTAGACACAGCCACAAGGGAATGGACTCGCCTTGAGCCTAAAGGCAAAGGTCCTCCCGCTAGAAGCGGTCACCGCATGACCTATTTCAAGGTATATTTTTCGATTTTGGGGTCTCTATTGTATATTAGAGCTAATACAAAGACAGAACTACATCATCCTCTTCGGTGGATTCCAAGATACCTCCCAGCAAACTAAGTACTTGCAGGACCTTTGGATCTATGATTGTAATCAGTATACCTGGTCCAATCCCACCTTGACCCTTGCTTCCCAAAAGCCTGACCCTCGCTCGTCATTCTCCCTGCTACCGCACGAGACTGGAGCTGTTCTCTACGGAGGTTACTCCCGAGTGAAGGCATCTGCAGGTGGTGGTAAGCAAGGAAAGGGTGGTGGCCCCCAGAAGATGGCTCTCCGGCCCATGGTTCACCAGGATACTTGGTTCCTGAGAATCACACCCCCTCCAGCGGAGGCCCCATCATCAACGGCACCTACAGTCCGATGGGAGCGACGAAAGAAGCCCGCTAATACGCCCAATCCGCCCCGTGTTGGCACTACCATGGCATACCACAAGGGACGTGGAATTATGTTTGGTGGTGTCCACGACGTGGAGCTAACAGAGGAGGGCATTGACAGCGAATTCTTTAACACCCTCTTTGCTTGGACCACCGACAGAAACCGTTTCTTCCCGTTGACGCTGCGACGTCCCCGCGCGCCCGGCAAAAAGCAGCAGGCAAACCAAAATGCAAAGTCCAAAAACAGGGGCAAGGCCGACGAGGAAGAGCTTTTGGCGAACCTCAAAGCCCTAGAAGCTAAAGTCGGAATTCGGGACAATGACAATGACGACGATATGGAAACAAGCACGCCCCAGCCTGAGGAGCCTGTGGAGCCCTCAAAGCCATCAGTTGTTCGCTTTGAAATGCCCCACCAGCGATTCAATGCCCAGCTAGCAGTGCAGGATGATACCCTATTCATCTTTGGCGGTACGTTCGAAAAGGGCGACCGAGAGTTCACTTTCGACGATATGTATTCCATTGATCTAGTCAAACTGGATGGCGTCAAGGAGATATTCTACAGAGAGCCTGAGAACTGGAACCTCTTGAACGAAGCCGAAGATAGTGACGAAGACATGGATGACGAAGACGACGAAGATGAAATGGATGAAGAAGACGAGGCTGACGCCGAAGCGATGTCTCTTGATACTGCTTCTCCTGCCCCGACAGATGTGACGGTGCCATCTGTCAGCAAGGACATGGAACAACTTGAAGTTGAGGAGTCAGAAGAGCAAATTGCCAATGACGGCAGACCTTTGCCTCGGCCGTTTGAGAGCTTGCGGGAGTTCTTCAGCCGCACTTCTGAAGAATGGCAGAATATCGTGATGGAAACTGTGAAAGATAAGGAACAGACTAGTGAAAAAACCATCAAGGAACTGCGCAAGGAAGCTTTCTCCATGTCCGAAGAAAAGTGGTGGGATAGCCGAGAGGAGATCATGGCTCTGGAAGATGAGCAAGAAGCCGCAGGTATTGGGGAGGTTGTCAACATGTCTGACCGTACCGAGAACATGGGAGGAGCTGGTCGTCGCCGCTGATACCCTCTATAGAGATGCCAAGAAGAATTTATGTATTGAATGTCCACAAGTATAGTTGGCCTCTTATGCAGCCTTCTGATATCTTTTGAGTGGTCTTCTCAGATATCATTTCGTTTACATGTGTTGTCGGTTTTATAAGTCGATCACCGAAAAAGTCAGAAAAAGGCTCAATTTGTGAAATGGACTGTTATTCTAAGTCTGTCTCTCTGGTGTCTACTATTGATATTCCTCTAGCTCTGGGCAACCTTTGCCAACACGTCTGTCACCAGTGCAAAGTCTCGCTCCACATCGACACGCCAGTTTGAGATTGCAATACGGCAAGCAGGAGATCCATCCCAGCTAGTACCCGAGACGAACATTCGCGAGCTTTCGTTGATTTTGTTCCCTAGCTCGCGGTTCAAGCCCTCATCGTTCGCTCGAAACAAAACAACCATAAACGCCTGATCGAGTAGTCCAGATTTGGACAGTGCTTCTGGCAAAGCTGTATACCTAGAATGCTCGAAGATCCATCCGTAAATTTTCCGGGCAAGTCTTATTTGACGCTCCAGCATTTCTTGATATCCAGACTTGCCGTATGACAATAGCGATGCATAAACCGGCAACGCTCTGAATCGTCGAGAGTTTTCCATGCCAATGTTCAAAGGCGAGGGGATGGAAGGGCCATCGGAGTTTCCAGAAGCCAAGTAGGCTGCATTTGCATTTTGGAATACCTGCGATGCCACATTCGGGTGGCGAGTAAAGAAAAAGCCACAGTCGTAGGGAACGTTGAGAAGCTTGTGGCCATCACCGGCAATTGAGTCGACCAATTCTATTCCTTCACAACCCTTCTTAATTGTTGCAAACTCCGGGCTCTCATCAAGAAGGCGGCCAAAGATTCCAAATGCTCCATCAGCATGCATCCAGGCTCCGTACTTGTCACACAACTGGCGAATTTCTCTCAAATCCGCACCGCTTGTTGCAAAACGGCCAGTATTAACCTCCCCGCAAGATATGGCGACAATACTGACTTTGTCAGTTCTCGCAAGTTCTTTCTGAAGCTTATCAATATCAAAGCGGAGCGGGTCGTCGGCTCGGCATATGTTGTGTACATTGGAACGACCGATGCCTAACACACCAGCAGCTTTCACGAGGGACGAGTGTGGCAGTGTTGATAATACTTGCACCCCGGAAAGACCTAGTGCATTCAATACCTCAAATAGGCCCTCTTCGCCAACACTCTGGAGGTGACAGCCTTTCCTCTCCGCCGCCTTTTGCAAAACAAACTCGCGACCACATGCTATGCCAAGGATATTGCTTCCTGTAGCGCCAGTAGTGAACGTTCCATTATACCAGATAGAACGATCTAGTCGGAAGAGATCCAAAAGGAGACCAATCGCGTTGTACTCCACATCGGTCACAATCGAGTGATTTGGGAGATGCACCTGGACGTTCTGGTCGTAGGCAGATACAACGTTGTCCGCAAAGAGTGCTGCCGGGGTGGTTCCACCAGTTACGAAGCCGTAGTAGTTGGCACTTAGACTTCCTCCGTTGAATGCCGGGACAATATCATCGGAAATGTGTCGCTGCACAGATTCGAGACTAGATCCTGTATCTGGAAGTGTCGAGGGGAGAGAAGCTCTAGCTCGCGCCAAGCTCTCAGCACTAGGGAGAACGCCTGACTCCCAGGGTCCCTGGGCAGCCTTCCATAGATCTTGGAATTCTTTCTGCATGTCTGAGATGTGTGTCTCGGTGGGAGTCAGACAGTATCGCCAATTTATAACAACTCCGGGATCTCGGGATATGAAACTGAGGCTCCCTTTATAAGGTTCGGCTGTACCTCCCAAAAGCAGTATTAGACTAGTCTAATATATAAAGTTACCTCCAGGGGTACACAGATTCAGACAGATATCATTGGAAGATACGCCCAGAAGGAACGTTGAAGTCGAAGGAGCGGGATGAGTGGGGCATTTGGAGTTCGAAGTCCGAAGTCCGAAGTTTGAAAAGCGTGTGATGTATACAACATAGTATTGCCAGATGAAAAGCTTATAGGCAATGGCGATAGATGGAGCCTTGAAAACATGTAGCTTGATGGCTTTTGCTTGACTAGCTCAGGCGCCGAGTTTGTTTAGGAACTCACTTGAGAAGTACCGGTAATCTCTAGGGTTAATTTTGCCTTTCTCACCCTCATCATGCCTCCTTTTATATTGCCCCTCGCCTATCTAGGTGGATGATGTGGAATCGAGCGGTGCAATTGAATTTAATCTGAGAGTCTGGCACTGACACCCAAAAAGGTTGTGAGCGCAATAGCTCGCGTTTCTGCTGCTTTCAGCCATTGCACGTATCCTCAGCTTATCGTCGACATCTTGCTGTCGCTACACCTTCATGCAGCCAGTGCGTCTTGTTTATCATACACACAGCCAGTATCGCATACGGCCAGTGCCTCTCCATAGCCAGTGGCTCATGTCGGTGCTTCCGACACCGGTATCTCGGAGATTCCACACAAGTGCTCTCGCACATCACCAACTAGGCCAAACCCCAGCATTCTTGCCCACCCAACCAGCATTATCACACAAGTGTCTCCGTACATCTGGACCCCGCGTAACAGGATCTCCAGACTTCCTCCTTACTCTACCAATTCCATTAACTCGGTATACTCACAACACCTTCGCCGACCTTTTCATTTCCGCGAATCGAAGCCTTTCAATTCAGTCCCTGTCGCACTGATAATTATCCACATAGCCGCAAACGCCATCGCCCGTCAACGTCACTTGCAAATTTCACGAGCCTAATAACAAACACTCCACCAAGCAGTGCTCATCCAACCCGTCAAATAAGAGCAAGGAAATAACAAGGATAGAACTGTTCACTAGCTCGAGGTCTACGTTGTCCACCTTTACTACTCCGACTCAAACCCACGCCTCGTCATCACAACCGGCACACATATAAGGAGGCAGTCAGACATCGAGGGTTTCATGAATCATGCTAACCGGAACTGAGGCAATCAAACTGGATGGGTGCATTAAGTTTAGGTATCCAATTGATCACATCAGACGCTCCCCCGTGGATACAAGGTGAGTTCTGCCTGATACACATGAGCATATCACGACCAATATATCAAATGCACTCAGGGATAGCATGTCGAAGGCACCGGACAAAGATATATAGACTGACTAATGCTTTAGCCAACGCGAACCTCCCTTGCCTCCCTGCCGCCGCCACCTTCATGAAAGATCCCATATTCAATCGAAATGTCGATCTTCTGGTAGAATTGAAATTTTATGGGTATGTTTTCTTATCGTATGCTTCCGCTGCTTGCCATATGATATATATATCTGATGCAAGAAACAGGGCTGAACCGCTGACCCCACCCACCACGAAAGGGAACATACAAACTCCATCCAAAGACATAGGGCACTCAAAGATCTCACCATTGCAACACATGATCTGTGGAATAGTGCAAGGGCATAGTTCAATGGTCGACGTGATAAATGCTGTTTGTTTTGTGTAACAGGAATAGTGATAGGGGTCAGTATGATCAGCGTGGTCGAACAGCGAAGGTACGGGAGGTTTCATCTTGACTTCGCCTACTTGTTGCTAAGTCACTACAAGTCCGCGTCACTCTCCGAATCTACGACAGTGCACAAGTCCTTACTTGACGACACTGAACGACCTTATGTTGTATATAGTGTATGCCTACCCTAGGGGTACATAATCAGCCCTGAGTAAGGAGAATCTGTCTCGGACGAAAATAAAACGGGTCTGACCAATGCCTATTATCAAGGCAATCGCCTCTTCCAGAACATGTCGCAATTTCAAAAAAACGGCGAAAAAGACTCAGAAAAGCATTTAAAAATTCCAATTTCAGTAGCGCATGCCCCAGAAAAGCAAATTTATGCCAAGCCATATACAATCCGGCGTATCTAGGTTCAATGATCGGCGCAGATCACTCTTCTTATGCAGATAAATAATCCACATTCTATCATCGCGCGTCTCCTGCGTTCCACATGAAGCCCCTGGGGTGAAGATAACGCGGGGCTTGGTCCTACATTGACAGTCACGTTCAAAACTTTCTCTCATTGCAACAATGGCTGCCACTTCAGACTTCACCTATTCTTGAAGCACCTATCGTTGAAAGGCCGACATGTCTAGTCATATCAAATTTGCAGAGCCAACCTCGAACCAAGCCAATAAAGACCACGCTAGGGGGCGCAACCAAGAAAAGGGGCCGGCACAGAGAGCACCGTCTCCAGGAAGTGAAATCGTTTACCCGACAGGATGGAGACTGGTGCTTACCACCACAGGGTATGTGCTCAGTAAAACTGACATAGGGTTTTCAATTAAGGCTGATAATCTATAGACTCTTGATTGGATTTTTTCTCTCTAATTTGGATGTCACAATTGTAAGCTCGGCTCTCACGAGTATCACAGATGACCTAGAAGGCTTCGAGAAGAGAAGCTGGATTATTACTGGATATCTGGCCACCTACACAGGTATGATCCAAATACCGATTCTATTATTCCTCTTCACTTTGTTTTTTTTTTCCCCTCCCCCAAATCTATGTCTCCGAAAGTACCAAATACCTTCCCCAAGTACTAATGCCCATTACTCCTAGGGTCTATGGCAATATGGACGAAAATCAGCGATATAGTTGGCAGGAAACAAACCACAATCGCTTCTCTTGTTATTCTACTCGCGTTTTCTATTGGGTGTGGGTGTGCTCATACAGTTGACCAACTGTATGTCTAACGCAGTTCTGCCCTCATTTCTTGTCCAAAGGCTAACTACTGAGGCAGCATAATATTCCGAGCACTTCAAGGAATTGGAGGTGCTGGTGCATATGCATTGACAACCCTATGCATCTACGAGATAGCTCCTAAATCGAAGCTTCCAACCTACAGCGGTCTCATGTCATTTTGCCTTATTTTTGCGTCTCTGATAGGCCCAATAATCGGAGGCGCTCTTGCAGAAGGCTCAACATGGCGGTGGACTTTCCTCGTCAAGTATGTGAATGCTGAGAACCTATGTTGAAAAAAGTATGCTAATTAAATCATCAGTGCACCATTGTGCTTTATTGCGATCGTTGTTATCATCGTTGCAATGCCTAAAAATTTTGGCCTTGACCAGCACACTCCTTCATTTCGAACACGAGCCTCATATCGCTCATTTGCTAATCTGGATATAATTGGGTCGCTTTTGATGATGGCTGGCTCATTTCTAATAGTCGCTGTCTTGAACGAAACCAACCTGGCATTCTCATGGTCCTCGAGGGATGCAATTGCGCTCCTTGTGCTTACTGGTCTTGCCTGGATTGCTTTCTTTGTCTGGGAATGGTACATCTCGGGCATACCAGGCAAAGACCCAATATTTCCCAAGCGTTGGCTTTTTGATCGTCCATGGATAGGAATTCTCATGTGGGTCAATTTAAAGGTCACCTATATCGTGCAGCGTTTTTCTGACACCCCTTTAGTTCTTCGTTTGTCATCGGCGCACCATACAATGTTGTCCTAGTATATGTTCCACAGCAAGCCCAGCTTCTGTTAGACAAGTCGCCTTTGGATGCTGGTATTTATTTGATTGGGTATTCTGCTGTTGCGGCAATTTCAGCGGCCGTTGTCAACATTGCTAGCTCTAGAGGACGCATCCCGTTTATTTATACCCTGCTCGTGGGATGTACAGTTCACACTGTTGGTATTGGGCTTCTCTCAACCATTGCCACCTCTAGGGGCTTTCACGCAACAGATATTGGCTACCTAGTCATTGCTGGGACGGGAATGGGTCTGACAATGGGCATCTTGGTGCTGTCGACACCATATATAGTCGAAGACAGAGACCTGGGTATGTGTTCTCCCGAGAAATTTCTTGACATTGAAGTGACTGGTACATTGACTAACTGGCCCTTCACTTTTTGTTGTAGCAATTGCCACTGGCACAGTGGTTCAAATCCGTTTCCTTGGCGGTGCTATTGGTCTTGCCATTGCATCTAATATATTAAACGGCCGTCTAGCGCAGCGTTTGCAGGGTGTTGTGACGTCGCACGAACTGCACTTACTCCTTGAGAATGTGAGATCGATAAAGTCTCTATCTCCCCATCTACAGGCGGATGTGAAGAATGTTTTCGCTAGTAGTTTTAATACGCAGCTGATTGTCATGATCGGATTTGCGGCTGCTCAGCTCCCAGCGACTCTACTACTGCTAAAGGGAGGCCGGCAGCTCGCGGCCAACAAACACTCAGGTACGGCCTCAAGTTGAAAATGGCCAGTTCAATGTTCCGTTTCTGGACAAGATGGAGAAATACTCTTTCCCTGAACGCCTAATGTCGATTCGCTACAATGTATTCATCCCAAGACATACTAAAATATAGTCGTATTGAACACAGCATCCAACATAATTATATTCGATACTACCTAGGTAGACATAGCTATGTATACCTATAGACAGCCCTGGTAGTATAACCAATGTTATTTTCAAGGCTGTCCTAATCATCCATAACTAAGTGACAATAGTACTCATCCCTTTATGAAAGACAAATGAAATAGAAGTAGACAAAAGGAAAAACACAAAACTTCGTTTGCTCGGCTGGGAGCTTGCAAGGTCCCGACTAAAAAAAATGGTACGCTTCTCCGCAAAGCGGCTTATCGCCAACGCGCCCTCATTTTAGTCCGCATCAACACCGCAGTTATGGCCGCCAGACTAATCGATCGACGTTTCCATAATGTTTCAGGTGTGTATTATCTTATAAATTGTCACTAGTTAGCACACTGTTTTCAAAACTGACCAATTTGACCTTATCTAGGCAAACTTCGGGTTTCCGAGCTGTTCTTCGACGTCCCTGTGGACTACAGCAAGCCCACTGGGGATACACTGAGGCTCTTTGCACGAAGTGTCAGTCGATTGAATAAACCTATTGAGCCTACTAAAGAAGAGGGCAAGGAAGCTAAAGAAGGCAAGCTTCCTTGGCTGGTCTACCTGCAAGGTGGCCCTGGCTTTGGATGTGGTGCCCCGCAGTCTTACCCCTGGGTTGAATTCATGCTCAGCAAGGGTTATCAAGTGTGTCATGCCTTTTATACATTCTATCGTTAGATTTATGCTCATTCTCTAGGTACTCTTTTTGGATCAACGAGGCACTGGCCTCAGCTCGACCCTCACAGCGGGAACCCTTGCCCGTCAGGGAGATGCAATCAAACAGGCCGAATATCTCAAGAACTTCCGTGCAGACAGCATTGTCCGTGATTGCGAAGCCATTCGTAATATTTTGACACAGGACTATCCGGCTGACCAGCGCCGGTGGAGTATCCTTGGGCAAAGTTTCGGTGGCTTCTGTGCCGTGACTTACCTGTCAAAGTTGTAAGTCCTGAAAGTCATTGATCTTCATGTTTGGGTCTTGATCATTCCACTGATACCTCTAAACTTCCAGCCCGGAGGGACTGAGAGAAGCTTTCCTTACTGGTGGCCTTCCCCCTCTTATCAACGGGCCCGATCCTGTCTATGCCAAGACCTATGGTGCGCTCCTCTGTTCTCTCGCCGTGGTTTATCCGTGATACTGACCCAAAAACAGCGAAGGTCAAGGAGAGGAACGAGGCTTACTACGAGAAATACCCTGAGGATGTGGACCGTGTCAAGAATATTATGCAATACCTGACCGAAAACAAGGTTGCATTGCCATCCGGATTGCTCACTGCAGCTCGCTTCCAGCAACTGGGCATTTTGCTTGGGTTTCACGGTAAGACGCTCGATTCAGGAAATTAGGCTATTAAAGCTAACACGGCCTAGGTGGTTTGGACAGTCTACACGGTAAGCTTTGCTTTGTATGGTGAAAAGCAGCACAGATGCTAACCCAAATTTAGACATTGTTGTCAGAGTGATTAATGATTTGGAGATGTTCGGATTCCTTACTCTGCCAACTCTTTCTGTGATTGACGGCAATGGAGGTATGGACAAGAACATCATTTATGCAATCCTGCATGAATCAATCTATTGCCAAGGGTAATAATAAGCTTCCTGTGCTGTCCACTTTCCAAGACATATCTGCGTCTAACAATGAATATAGAAAGCCATCCCTCTGGGCTGCAGACAGGTTGCGCGCCAGCAACCCACAATTCTCGATCGATGACTCGCTGCCTGAGATTTACTTCACCGGCGAGATGGTAAATAGCCTAACCCAGTCCAGAATCCTCGAAAAGATCTAACCAATTTTCCCCCTAGGTCTTCAAGGATATGTTCGAGTCCTACTCGGAACTTTCAGAGCTCAAGGAAGCAGCTGAAATCCTAGCTACAACAGACGAATGGCCGGCCCTATACGACGAGGCTCAACTAGCCAAAAATGAGGTGCCGGTCTATGCTGCAACCTACATTGATGATATGTATGTCCACTTTGACCTGGCCACAGCCACTGCTGCCAAGATCAAGAACTCCAAGCAGTTCATCACCAACACCATGTATCACGATGCGCTGCGCAGCAAGTCGGGTGAGATCATGCGCCAACTCTTCAACCTGAGAGAGGACACGATTGATTAAGACAAATGCACCGTCTCTCATTTCGTATGTATTATGGATTTATTTTAGCAACATGATATACTCAGATACCTACCAGTAAATTTCACAACAGAATTTGAGATGTAGAGACTAAGATACGTCACAAGGGAATATGTCTAGTTGACACGGACGTAGTATTGGGTATAATAAATCAGGAAATAGTATATACAGAGAACTTTCTTCATTTTCTGGGAGTGAAAGTATCGGGAGATATCAGAAAACCTGTTCAATATGATCAGTTTTCCCACTCTTTGCTGTAATACTCATCGAGGGAGACAAAGCACGTACCGCACCGCCAATGATGAATAACCTCTCTTCCTCACGTTGTACCCACTGAGCAATTTTGCTAGCGCTTTGGGCAAGCGCATTTCGATTAGTGTTCGGCTCAGCGATACAATAGAATTCGAATACAGGGGTTACCCATCCGAAGGAAGTGGCTGACCGCGAAACGCAGTGATGAACTTTAACGTGGGTATTCTTGGCGTGGATGCTCGCATGCAAGTTGTTGTACATCGACATCAATCTACAGACAGTCAGAATCATTTGAGATTACAAGCATTCAGTAACAGCAGGGTATTGCTCACCTTCGTCGTCGAGTAACCGAGGAAAATTCAGGGGCATACGATGACATGGTAAATTGTACGTTTGCGCGTGATTTGTAAAGGAAATGATGGAGCACAGTTCCAGGAACTATATCAGTAGTTGCGGGTCGGCCATTGTCAATTGCAGTTTTGATCTCCTTCAGACTGCCATTTCTTTCCATTTGCTATTGTATCGTTAGTACCACGTTCCATGTTGATTGGGTGGGAATTGTTCGATCTTACTTCCACAAGAGCATCACGCATCCCTTGCATCTCAAAGAAAGCCTCTTTGTCCGCACTGATAAGGACAATGGCAACAGACTCGTCTTTGGTGATATCTGCGCTATTTTCGATATCATCGCGAATGTCAAGAAAGCTCACATACATATATAGATAACCGCTGCTGTTGAAACCAGGCAAACAGACAGGGATCCAACTTTCTCCGCCGCCAGCTTTCACTCCGTCGGCTTCAAAAACCATGTTGAATAAGAGCTGTAGATCGCCAGGATGTAAGGAGTGCTTCTTCGGTCGGATAACACTGACAAGCCGTCCGCCGGCCACAAGCAAGCCGTATAGCAGACTCTTAGCTTTGGTTTTCAGAAGTGCATTGCTGATCGATTGTCGGTGTTGTTTGCGGATTTTCAGACACTCCAAAGCCGATAGCAATGTAGATGGAGATCCTCGCGTGAAACTGTCTGCCAGAGATGAGAGAAGGGACTCCGAACCCTGCAAGGGCCGCGATAGATCAGTAGAAGGCCGCACCGAGAAGAGATGGGTCAAAGAAGGCAGTGTTAATGTAGATAAGATCTGCATATACAATGCCTCTAGTTGAAGCCGCAGCTGATTGTCGCTCTCCATCATACGGCTGATTGCGACAAGATGTAACGATCCTCGTGTCAATACAACAAATCTAGTGTCGCCAGCGGAAAAGCCTCGTAGGTGATCATTTGCTTCTTCATAAAATGAAATAATGGTCTGAATGACGCCGACATACCCAGATATCAAGCCGCTGTCACCGTGCCTTGTCCAAATCGGCTTCCCGGCGGCGGAGAGGATGATATAGTGCTTGCGCTTTGCTTTCCACCGCTGGAGTAGTAACTCTGATACGCGTTAGTATTTGGAACAAAGAGATGAGTATTTATTGACCCAAACCTTCATTGTCACCTTCCTCATTAAGCTCGCCAACCGCTTCAAATTCGCTTACGATACCATCGTCGTCTATATCGTCGGCTGCAAATTCAGGGAAGTCAAGTAGACCTATGGCTTCGTGTTTTTGGCTACTGGGTGCTGTAGTAGCAAAGTCCATGAATAGCGATTCAACGTCACCAGAATCGCCATTTGGGATTGAGCTTCTAATGCTAGTGGAGTCACCAGCTTCGCTGCCCCGCGCGCTCGCCAACTGGCTGAGGCTCGCCCTGGCCTTTGGAGCCTGGGCCGGACTGTGAACAGCCAATGTCGAGTAAGCGCTCTCAGTGGCCTCGGGTAATTGTGTCTGGATATCGGTCCGTGAGATAGCTGTCGTTGCCCCTGCCTGTAGAGTTGCCGGAGAGCCCGTTTCATCATTCAATAGACTTAACGTATTTGGTCGCGGAGGTAAAGGCGGCCGCTCTCCCTCTGAGCTATCACTGCGCCCATTGTATTCTGGGCTTGACGGCTTGGAAATATACAGTTGCTTGGAGGGCTCGACAGGCTGTTGGCCGTCGGTCTTTGGGTCTTGCTGTGTATTCATCCCCGCTGCGGGCATGCGCTTTTTGAGGCGGTCGCTCGTCGCGGGTCTTCAGGTAATTAGATGCACATTGCTTAATTTGAATATTCGGAGTCCCTGATCAGTTGTGTTGTCGATTTAATAGTTGCTAGACGTTGACGTCGGCGAGTCGGAGCTTCCCCAAGGCGGAACAAAACAATTGAACGTGGCCGCCTGCGTGTCTCCTAGTCAACATTCAGCTACCAACTCCCTTTCCCATAGGGTCATCCTCAATGTCCTAAATATGACGGAGGGTAGTTCAGAGTCTTTACAACAATTTTACGTCCGTTTCTGGCACCATGAGCCTTGATCCCAGCGCCTTTCCGAGGTCGAACTCCCCCGCAAGCTCCGAGAGCTTCTTGACACGCTCCCGTTTACAAGGCAAGGAAGGCATGTTCCCTCAAAGAATCGCACGAGAGTACTGTATCTAATTATATTTGGTTGTTATAGGGTCCCTCAAAAAAGACAAGAACTATCGCCGATATGCATCTAGTGTTGAACGAGCGCTTTCGCTCTTCGACAATGCTCTCCAAGAATGGGCCGACTATATCTCGTTCCTCGGTCGCCTTTTGAAAGTGAGCTCGCTCAATAAGTGGCAATGCTGTGTAGGCTCGCTAATGATCAAGTTTAGGCACTCCAAACCCATCCACCCGATCAGCCTGTCGTCCCTCATAAAGTATTAGTGTCGAAGCGACTCGCCCAGTGCTTGAATCCCTCGTTGCCATCAGGCGTGCACCAAAAGACACTTGAAGTCTACACGTACATATTCGGATTGATAAAGGTATGGGTGGCCCTCTGAAAGGCTGATATTGTGTTTACTGATGCATCTGTTTACAACTAGCTCGAGGGATTATCGCACGACCTGCCTTTGTATCTCCCTGGCCTTGCGCCAACGTTGACTTTCGCCTCTCTTACCGTCCGCCCATTGTTCTTGTCTTTGGTCGAAGGATATATCGTTGATTTAGAACCATGGGCTATTCGGCCCGCCTTGAAAGCAATAATTCTAGCCCTACTTCCAGGCCTCGAAGAGGAAACAAGTGACGATTTTGAGCCAACACTACGCACGATTAATAAATTGCGAGACGCTGCTGGACAACTTGAAACACAAAGGACGTCTGAAGCCGGGGCATCTGGACAGTATTTCTGGCAATGTCTCTTTCTCGCATCTATCACGAACCCTAGTCGGCGGCTTGGCGTCCTCGCATATTTGAACCGTTATCTCCCGAAGCTAGGTATCTCAGATCGTCGGTCAAGCACGGCTGGTGGGAGCGATCCACAGAACATCCCACCTGAGATATTGGCCGCAGCAGACTCTGTCATTCTACCAGAGCCTGGCCTCTTGATTCGATGTGTTGCATCGGGCTTATACGACGACCAGCTCCTTGTCCAACGTAACTTCCTTGATCTTCTTGTCACCCATCTCCCACTCAGCTCTCCGATTTTGCAAAGCAAAATTGCGGCTAGTGATCTTCGGACGTTGGTAATTGCAGCAGTGGGAGTGGTCACTCGGCGAGACATGAGCTTGAACCGCCGACTCTGGGCTTGGTTCTTGGGACCAGATTCCCCAAACGATAGCTCTTCGGCGGATGATCGAAAATTCTCATCGGACACCGCTCGATCTGCCTCCATTGATGGAAAGGAACTCACACAATCACAATACTTCAGCCGGGTAGGCTTACAGCCATTAGTCACTGGCCTACTGGATATGATTAAACAGGCACCGAGTATTCCGTCCGATAGAACGAAACCCTTTCGCATAGCTTTGTCGCTAATGGATCGCTGGGAAATTGGTGGATACATTGTCCCTGCAGTTTTCTTGCCCACTGTACGCAGTGTTCAGGCATATGAATCCACTGCCCCCAAAAACCACTTTGAAGAGGTCTTCCGCAGTGCGAGCGCCTTTTTTGATGGCGTTGAAAGTGGCGTAATATTCTCTGAGCTTCTGGGATTGGTTGATTTCCAATCTTCTGATGTCGACGTTGATAGCGACCAAGTGTTGCGCGACTTGGATCTCGCACAATTCATCATTGAGAATTTCAATGTGCGCGAGGAGGACATGGTTCAGATCCATGTGCCTCTACTAACATTATCAGTGCTCGTGAAGATGAGAGAGATTTCATCCAAGAAGAGCACTGCCAAAAAACAGGCCGTGACCGCTGCATTGAATAATGTTCTGAAATCGTTGACTGGTTTACTCACAGAGCGTGCGTTCTCGAGAAAGACGGGATCTGAAAAGACTTCTAGCAATGACACAAAGGGCCGCGGTACTGATATCTTGGAAACTGTCCACGGATTCTATGAACAAAGCAAAAATAGCTTGGAGCTTCCACCTCTTCCCTACGCCCCCAAGAATCTTGGCGAAATGATCATTCGAGAAGCTCACGAATTAGCTATTGCGGCGCTGGAAAGCCACGATGGCAACCTATCTGTTCATGAACCCCTGGATATCCTTGTGGCTTTGCTGAAGAAGCTTCCAAAGTCCCGCGTTCTACGGGACCGTAAATTGTACGAAGCGCTCTCTACACGACTTGGTTCAGGGAAGGACAAGCCGACAACCGCCTCCTTCTCAGTCATATCGACAATTGCTTCGACGGTGACGAGTTTATTTTTCATTCACACCCCCGGCTTCTACGTCAGCTATGAGGATGCTTGCGATCTGATTACGCCTCTTGTCAATCAGCTTTGGTGGTACTTATCCCCCCTTAGTCCAAAATTCCACGTGGAAGCCGTCCGCTGTTTGTGGCTCCTGCACTCAATTTCTTGGATTGACCACCTTGTCGAGGCGTCCCTAACAGCTTTAATGGTCAATGTGTCAACTGCATCATCCCACCACCTCTCGTCTGAGCAACAAGCCGAGCGGTTTTACGTCTTGTGGAACCATAGTCATCATAACACACATGAGCAGCCACCAAAACAAGTGCTTGATGTTGGAGGGACCCTGTTCTCTTATCAGTGCTCTATGCTTGAACGTCCGCTTTTCATTGTCCTTGATCTTCTCTCCCAAGAGTCAAGCGATAGTTCACAGAGCGTTCAACTATGGCTGCAAGACTTGCCATCTATCCACAAGTAAGTCGGCTTCTCATCCTAACGCGTTATTTATATCTAATATTTTACCAGGGTTTTCCATGTGCTGATCTCAAATCTTGACGAGCTTTCTGAACATGATGAAACCAGCGGGAACACGACAGATAGTCACTCAATCTCCCCAGATGACTATAAAGAGTGTGATTATTTGTTACAGACAGCCTCTAACATTATCTCCGCGCTCTCGCAAAATGGATGGGTCGCGCTTCTTACTCATGTGCTAGGCAATGAGAAGCGCATAGAGACATCTAAACCAGAAGGTGGGTAATTTCTCTTCTCGCGAAACAATTTCAATGCTAATATGGATTCTTGGGCAGAAAACGCAGACGTCAAAAGTCTCCATTCTGCCATATTTGAGGCGTCTCTTCGAATCGTCAGCACACAACCCCCAGCTCCTATGGAAGTTAATCTAGATGGTGAACGACTACATAAAGACGCACTCCAGCTCATGCGGCAACTTCTTCTTGGGCCCGGAGCGGAAGAACTAGTGGAGTCTGGCATTGATGATTTCTTAGTGGAACGCCTCCTTGTCTCTTCCGATGGGGGCAGTATTGCGGTGCAGGGTGCACTAATCGACGCACTCCTTGCTGCTCTGAAGGTTCGATTTGCGCAAGCATATCTACCACCACCCCCACCTCGGCCGAAACATTTCCGAGCTGGCTCTCGAGATCGGCTGACCAGTCCTTCAATATTGTCTTTCCACAGTGACAAGGGAGACAGGAGACAATCGCTACCTCAGCTACCGCAGCCTCCAGAGCGGCTTCTAGATTGTCTTTTAAAGGGAATCAGCTCACCTAAATCCCGAGAAATTGTTGACAAGTGGATAGTGTTGCTCTGCGAGGTGCTCCCACTATACTCAGGTTCTATATTTCAGATCCTATTGATGCTTGTGGAATGTTTCTGCAGGGAAATCCGAGCATCATATGGCAGACTTCAACTGTCCTTCCAGCAAACAGAGGATTGGCCGCAGGACCGTTCTGAGCATGTCACAATTGCTCTTCTGAGTGGCCTCGAGACTTGTATCGCGAATGCTCACGAACGTCTCATTATGGAAGAGTCCAACGTCCCAGCAGTCAAGAGCCCTGACCAAGCGCAGGGCTTTTTTGGAAACATGGTGTCTGGGGTATTCAATTCGGAAGGCGGACAAAATCGCCCAAATACCGCCAACGACCGTTTAACTGTTCTTCTCTGTTTCCAGGATGCCGTTCGCTTATGCTTCTCTATCTGGGCATGGGGTGCGGGAGATCACAGTGGCTCTCCTCCTGATTGCGAATCTCTGGCCTCATTCCAATACACCTCGTTGCGAATGAGAAATCGCTCACGGCGAATCTTGGAGCACTTTTTCACCGCAGAGGCACTTGAATGTCTTGAGACCTTGGTGGAAATGTGGAGTAAGGCTGACACGGAGACAGCGTCACTTATCTTCAATCTCCTCCATACACTCGACGGGTCAAGCCCAAAAATCACCATCCCTGCCATCTTCAATGCAATTTACACTCGCACTAATCCCAGTGCCTTGGATCCTAGCCGGAAGTCCTCGTTGACATCCAATCTCTCTGAGTCCGAGCTTGCTAGCTTTTTGGTTACTTATGCCCGCTCACTGGACGATGATGTCCTTGATGAGATTTGGACGGACTGCACAACTTTCTTGCGCGACGTTCTTAGCAATCCTTTCCCGCACCGGCAGATCCTTCCACGTTTGATTGAATTCGCGGCTATTTTGGGGGTGAAATTGGAGAATACAACCTTTGGCGAGGACCGCCGTATGCGGAAGGAACTTGGAGTAAGTATATTCGCTACTAGTCCTACCATCGTCACTAACAACTATATCGCAGGATGTTCTTTTACGACTACTTACGGCAGTCTTTACCAGCAAGCCCCTAGGTCTCAACCAAGACAATGGGTCTATGGCAAGATCTTCGAACGAGCATGATCGTACCTCGGTCTCTCATACTGGGCCCGATGACATGCTCAGCATTCTAGCAGTCTCTATGCCGTCGTTTATCACGACCCTGGGTGATTCAGATCGGATCAACACCGCCATTACTGGTGTCTCGACTAACGTAGTGGGCCCACTCATTCGGTCACGTCTGTTCCCTAACAATCTCAATCGTAATGTGATGGTTCTTCTACAGCAAATGGCAAAAGTACCAGCTGCTGCGAAAATGTGGAAAAAGGACATATCCGATGCGTTTAATGATGCCCGATTCTTTGGATTGCAGTTGGATTTGGTAAGGACCAGCTGGATGGACCTGCTGCGCCAGTGGGTTCTTGCCGACAAGGAAAGGCTACTCGAGCTTCTTGTCCGCCTTCCACCCCCAAGCTCAGCGGGTATCATGTTCGGCGTAGGAGCCTCTGCGGCCCGGTTGGAAGCCGATCGCAAAGCTCAGCTCAACCTCCGGCGAATCGCGCTACTCGTGCTTTCCGCGAGCGATGATTACTTTGTTGGTGAATTGCCGGCATTGCTTCAGAAACTGGAAGATCTTCTTGCGGCCACCAGCTCCTCGTCGCCATCTTCTGCCACTCGGGCGGAAGTGTTCATGGTCCTTCGAGCAGTCGCACTCAAGACTTCTACTTCGACCATGGCGCCATTCTGGCCTCTGATCAACACAGAACTACAAGAAGCCATCTCCGCAGTACCCCAGGGCTCTCAGCCAGAGCTTTACAACTCTTACTCGCTGCTTCAAGCGTGCAAGCTTCTCGATGTACTACTTGTCCTCGCGCCAGATGATTTCCAGCTCCTTGAATGGCTTTTCGTAACCGACACGATTGATGCGGTCTATCCACCCGACCGATGGGAGCCCATCGCTCTCGCAGATGAAGTTTCTCATACTTTCGGTCCGCGTAGTGCAGGCTCACCCACTGTCCCCACAGAGACCAACGAGCCACAGGCTCACAGTGGTCTTAAGCGGCCATGGCTTATCTCAGACTGGATCCGAGAGACGGCCAAGGATGAGATTATCGAGCGGGTTCTCCGACCATTCTTCGCTCGGTTGAGTATCTATGTGTTTGAGAGTACGTACGGCATGGGCAGCGTAGATGTGACAGTGTGCCGGGATGATTTGTTGGCGGATCTCTTCAACGAGAGCACAATGGCCAATTAAGCGAAGCAATAAATCAACTTTAGTTTTCTTACTAGATATTGCTGATCCTAAATCCTAAATATAATCTTCTTATGTGGCTGTAGTCTCTCCCTTGTTTGTATATAAAAGGCCTCAGGTCTCCAGGTTCCGAGCCGCCCGGACCTCCGCAATTCATCAACGTCACTTTCCAACAATTTCCCCTTGCCACCATTTTCCACAAACAATCCATAAATTTCCCACAATTGAAATAACATTGTCAATATGCCCATTGGGACAAAGATCTTTCTTCCTTTGCGGGGACGCGTTGGTATTCGGTCCTTCTCATCATCCCGCGCTCGCTGGGAGTCCGCCGCGCCGCTACCGTCAAGCAAGCCTGTTGGAGCTTTCCGAGGAGGGTATGAGAACTTCTTTTCTAATCCATTTTGAAATGGTCGCAAATTTTTAGGCAATCTTGCTAATATCCGGTAGTGTCTTTGGTTTCCTGACTGGATCTGTCGCCGCTGGCGCGTCAGTGTACTTTTACATCCTAGCAGAGTACCGACTGGCCAATGAGATGCTGTCTGATGACATTGCGGTATGTCTCTAGCTGCTGATCCCCGGGCTCGAAGAGAGCCTCCCTATTCCTTCTCGAAATTAGGTTGTAGAACTAACTGTCTGCTAGGCACTTCAAAAGGCTACCATCAAGCTCCAGTCATACATTACAGAACTGGAGACCAGGGTTGATAAGCTGCAGAAGAAATAAGTGAAAGTGAAATAAGTGCCTTTGATATGTGTATTTATTATGGTGTTGGGTGTGTTTGTTTTCTGTGCATGAAGCTTGTCAACCTGGACATGAAGCCCATTGTCACTCTCTTAATGACCAGGGCATAGCTTTTTTGTTTTACTTTTTGCATGAGATTAGTCCCGGCTTTTCGAATATCAGCATTTCCTTTGTAATTGACCTAAATCTTCAAAATCATTATAGCCCTGTACCTCTCTCCAACTACCTAGCTCCAATGCAAACAAAACAAACATTTTATGATCTCCAACAAACTCCCCCATCATCCACTTCCGCATCATCAGAACATCCCAACACCCCAAATCTCAAAATGTTTCGCGTCGAACTCATATCGGACACATCAACAGCCACACCAGGCTGGTCCTACGCCCCAACCCGGGGTTTCGACCCCACCCAAGCGATGGCCCCAACTCTAGGCCGCAAACGCGGCATCCGCGACGCCGGCAAAGGCGGCGATATTTCCTCGCGACAAGCGAACGCAATCGCCCGCCACATCGCCGAACTAGACCGCGAGAACCAGCGCGATGTGTCCATCCCAGCACCCGTGAAACAAGCCCGCGAAGCCGGCGCACGCGGCACACGAGCAAAAACCACCTCGAACGTCCGCCGCATCCTCCAATCCCAAAAGACCTTCCGGAACCACCTAGACGACGAAGAAGCAGCCATATCCTCAGGTAGCGGAGGCGTAGCAGGCATGCAAGGTGCGGGAGGCGCCATAATCGCGGCTAAGGGAGGCAAGGCGGCTCGCAGCTTGACACCGGCTAGTACAGCTGGTATCAAACGTCCGGCGGGTACTATGACCGGTGCATCGACGCCGCAGGAGACGGACGCGGAAACTGACGATGAGCCGCGCAAGCCGAAACTTATCAAGTCTGAATATGATAATGATCCCCTGCTGCGCTCGTATGCGCCCCCTGTGCCTTCTGATCGGCTTATGCAGCGGCTGCTGGCGGAGGCGCCGCTTTCTTATAATGCGTCGCGTGCGAAGCCGCCGACGTCGGGGCGGCCGGGACGGCAATTTTGTTGTATGTGTGGGTATTGGGGGAAGATTCGATGCAAGAGTTGTCATTTGAGGACTTGTGGATTGGATTGCTATAAGGTTCATGAGGATTCAAGGTGTGGTGCTTTCTTTTAGGGGTTTGTGTGTGTGCTTGTGCGTGTATACTGAGAATGAGCTTGGCCTCGCCCTGTTCTCTTGATGACTTTATGAATTGATACCAAAAATTCTGTACAATAGATAAATATTAATGTGACATCCAAAACAAAACTTGTGTATATTTTATCTCATTATAGCCAGGCTCTACGCAATAGGCAAAATCAAGTTTTTAAAATTTCCATGCTGAAGATGGTTATGTAAAAAGGCTCAACATTTCAGGTTGATGCCTGCACGAAGCTCGTCTTCGCGAACCTCAAACATAACCTGCACGCCGACGAAAAGTACTACGCAGCAGGAAACCATGTACGCCAGGCCAGAGTATGAGCCTGTTAGGCCGGCAAGCAGATCCTTTAATCCATCCATACCCAACGCAAAGCCGACCAAGTTTGCGATCATCATCATGAGTACGTTCCCAACGGAGCCAATGCCACAGAGGACACGATACGTAGTGGGACGAGAGCGCCAACGATGAGCCGGGAAAAGCATGCCTCCCAAAACTTCTGGTAGAACGAAGAGGGTAACGAGCCAGCCCCACATGAGCAAGCGAAGGTTGATATCGTGCCATAAGGCGACGAAGGTAAAGACCAGCAGAAAGTTGCGAATTTGGAGGAACTTGCCCATGAAGTTAGACCGAGGAGGTGACGCAGGTTTGGGTGCTCCAGGTGCCCGCCGTCCACCGCCACCACCGCCGAGTGGGATGTAGATGTAGCGGACGATCCAGCGGTTGTAGGAGCGGTGCCAGCCGCGCCAAAAGGCGAGGGCGGAGTAGTTGTTGGACATGCAGCGGACCATGTTTTCCGGTGGATCAATTCCATCTACGAGGGCCCAGAGACGGAAGAATCGCCAAGGGAGGAGGAGTTTCAGCCAGATTATGTGCAGGTTGAAGAATGCGAGCATGCTCAGTTGCCCAGGTGTGAAGATGGACCAGTCCGGGTCAGCTTTGGAGATTGCCACCGCATAAATATAGTGAAGGATAAGCTCCATGCAGAGCAGAGTGAGGCCGAAGCGGACAGCGTACATCATAATGCGAGCTCGAGTGAGTGACGCCGGCGTATATCGCTGCTGAGATACGTAATCGTTGAATGTCAAAATCGGACCGGCCAAATACAAAGGCGCATAGAGTACATAGGCGATGTAGTTGCGGAATGAAAAAGCGGTTTGTTCTGCGGGGATCTTGACCCGCTCACGGTCAGAGAGTGCCGCAGGGTCCAGTTGCTTCTTCTTGTGGAACTCGGTAAGTTTGATTGTCATATGGGGGTTGGTGGTCTATCGATCACAGGAAGACTTACTTCAATTGGACTTGCCGCGGGGTAGTCTGCACTCCAGTGGTGATCCATGTTGAAGCTGATGAGGCGCAACACAGTGACTTTGAAAAGGATCTCCCATCGCGGCATCAGTCCCCCAAAATCATCTAGAGTCTGACCCCATTGGACTAGCCCGGTGGGCGTACTTTCTGACGTCCCAGACCCGGGAGCGAATAACTTCGCTATCCGCTCGAGAGAGTAACCACCACTCAATTCGTTGGCAAATAAGACGCAGATGTTGAAGGTCCATGTGGCGGTGGGCACGTAGGAACGAGGAAGATCTCTGCCGATTCGGAAGTTGACGTACAGAATCAACAACACTTTGAGAGCGGATACTCCATGAAGTGCTGTTATGAAGACTAGTCCGAACAAAAAGTCGAAGCGCATTCGCTGTTCAAGTTGCGCCTCGGCCGCACCATTCACGGAATTGCTCAATTGTTTCGTTTCTGTTTTCGATCGGTTCGCGAACGACTGATAAACACGGCGAGCTAAAGGGTGGGCGATTAGGAGTAGTAGAAGTATAGGGATATTGTCGCGGAAGCCTTCATATTGTGAATCGGAGTTGTCCTAAGAGCATTGGAGCAATGATGTCAGTCGGAACTGGCCTCATGGATGTAGATAGCTGTACGCTGAGCGTAGCACACTTACCACCTTACGTCCAGGGATCCAGCCGGGGGATAAAAGGTGAGAGTATGTGGAGTAGCTTGGGTGGCTTTCTGTGAGATTGAACCCCAGTCAGCATTTCAAGGTCCGGCATTTTCTCCAGCCTACACTTACCCTTCGAGACATCGATGACAGTCTTGAACATCAACGGGACAAGGATAATAAAGAACAAATAGTAGACAAAGAATTCTGGTGTGCGCCAAAGGGAAGGTGACGCGCCCTGGGCGACGGCATTGCGGGCATCTTTTGCGGAAGATCGTGTATCGGCAGTGGTTGCGGAGGAGGTAAAACGAGTGTCAAGGGTGTCTAGCGAGTAGATCCGCCGAAGCCAGGCGAAAATAGAGGGCATTTTATAACAGTGGCATGGCCGGCGCAAGTTTTGGAGAGGTTGAAGGCGGAGATGGTTGAGATTCCAGTGTTTACTCAGGGGCCGCCACTCGGTCCCTATGTGGCCTCAATCCCATATACTAACTCGACACGGATCTCCAATCTAAAATTAAAATTAAACTAGAGTCGATACCGGAGCTCTTGATTTTCATTTCATATCAAAATATGTAATTCCAATTGAGGAACCCTTTGAAGGTTGTAGATCCCCCAATCAGCGCTAGTATCATATCGAGTATAGTCAAGGCATATTATCCTACGGAATATGGGTACTCCATATGGAGTTAATGTCATATAGATTCTGATTACATCTTCCACAAAGGATATCATATATACAGTGGTTGACCCTTGATGTTAAGCAATAACTTTGCGGGCGCCAAGCACCCCCAGGGCTGGGCATTGTGTGTTAATCAGATGAATTTGGGTATTATTCAGGTATATGGCTATAGACGTAAAAGATCAAATTAAGAATCTAAGATAATAATAAATCGAGGTTGTATCTGGTTTGTCTCTAATGATAACTTTGGCCTGAGACGGAATTGTATACGGTTTTCCACCCGATATTCTCCAAGGCTTGACATCAACCTCCAGGGCTACACTTCAACTTTACACCTGGACACCACCAACTCTTCAAACCTCATTATTTAAGGAAAATGTCAAACATACGAGTATGTGCCTTGATATATATCCCATTCAGCTTTATGCTATTATGCACATCGGCAGCCTACACAACTAGAGCCACAAGTTTCCCATGCTAATGTTCTATCTACTTCAGATTGCTTTCAAAGTCCATGGCACCGTTCAAGGTGGGTAGACCGCGTAACTTACTCATAATCTTCAAATATTACCATTTACTTTGTCACTGACATGAACTAGGTGTCGGCTTCAGGTAATATCCCCAGCTCAGATGGATGACATCATAATCCGTTGTTTAACCAGTACCTCACGCAACAGGGACTTCACCCAAAAATGTGCTAGGCTCGATGGTGTCAATGGCTGGGTTAGGAATACAACCTGCGGAAAGGTGGGGGATGTCCTGTATCTCAAAACATAACGCTTACAGGGATATTTTCAGGTCGAGGGCGAGGCCCAGGGCAGCGAAGAAAAAGTGCGCAAGTTCCTCCAGCGCATCGATAAAGGCCCTCCTAGGTCTCATGTAGTGAAGCTGGAAAAGCGGGATCTGGACGTACTTGATAGTGAGGAGGGGTTTACTGTGATGCGGACAGCAGAGTCTATGTTTAAACCGGGGAACTAGGGGTTGGCTTCTTTCAGTCTAACAATCAGAAGGTCGAGCCTAGACAATGAGTTTCTTCATGCCGAGAAGACTACTCAATGATTGTTACCTAGACGCATGGAAAAAATTGATACTAAAGCAGATATGCTTGGTACTACCTAGGTAATAAGTCCATACCAGCCCTGGAGTCTGAGCGTTCAGATGGTTTGGACCACAGCACTATGCTTTCTAGAATTTGCGAATTGAATGATGCCAGTGATGGCTGACTTTGTCATATTTCTAATCCTCAATAAGCTTCAAGATCCTTTGCCCACTAGAGCAAGTAAACAAATAGTTTTCGTTCTGGAATTGAAAATTTTGAAAGACCGTTTTGTACTAGTAGTAGTAGCTTCTTCTTTTGGATCTTGGATCTAGGTATCACATCTCTGTCTTTACTAGGAATGTGATTTTATTGGCTTTCCTAGGCTAAAAAGAGCGATTCGGCGACGCAGGAATGCCGTCTAAGGGAATGATGTTGGATATGGGCTCAGTGGGAACGCTAAGCAGAGTAGAGATGCCACTGTATAGCTCCTACTTACATTTGTATGTAAGTATAGATCTCGTATGCCGAAAAACACAATTGATATTCATGTGCCTTGGGTCGGCAGAAAACGGGAGGTTTTTTTTTTCTTGTTTCAGGTACCAATGTCTATTCAGTCACCGGTGAGATATAATAAATGGATCTCAATATCTCGCAAATGACCTCAAAAGTCCGGGCTTTGATGTTCGAATATTTCTCGGGATTCACTGCAAACGGCTGTCTCGGGGTGGTTACGGGCTGAGTCATATTTCGCCGTTCCCGGCCCTTCCCGATGTCACCTGCTAGCAAGAACTTGACCGTTTCGGGAGGCAAGAGTATTGATGATTGTAATTAATATACAGAAAGAATGGGAAGGCTGATATATTCACTTCTTGTTCAAGGATACTAATGGTGATATGATCTTGAGGGAGGGTATATAATGAAAGGCAGATAGAGCTATCAACATCCAAGTGCCTGAGAAATGAAGTATACGGAGTGTCATCATTTCCAAATGGCACGCAACCATCCAAGGTTAACATCTCGGGAGGTTTTTTTTCCCTTTGACTTTTTGGTAAATGCCCCTGATTTTATTCGTCCCAAAATTTGCTTAGATGTATTTAAAAGCCTTAAATATTGGGGGAGCCACCTTCATCTCTCTTCAGTCACAAGACTTCACCTAAATCACTTTTATATCTTCACCTTCTTCTTCGTATCATTACCATCAACACATTCATCACCCTCGATAGTGACCGAACTTGAACTCAATCTCTTTGGTTACATCATGAATACACTATCAACGAGGGCTCCCTTGCGGGCTGCAGCAAGGCTGCAGCACATGCACCTTGTTGTACGAACCTACTCAGGCATCGCAGTAACAAGGTTCAATCCCACATGTGGAGTCGAAAATCGCACGTCGACACTCAGCCTCACATCCAAACGCCCTATTTCATCAACACCCAAGAACCAGATTGAGGAATATTTCCCAGCGCCACAGACTCCAAATGTCAAAGCGGTAAAAACAGCATGGGTGCATCCGGTGTAAGTGTATCCGTAGCCCCTGGCTCTGCCCCAGACGCTAACTGTATGTCAGATACACCGAGGCACAAATGCGAGATATTCGCATCGCCCACAGAGAAGCTTCAAACTGGTCCGACTGGATTGCCCTAGGAACTGTACGCGTCTTCCGATGGGGCATGGACACCGTGACAGGATACAGACATCCCAAGCCTGGCCAGGAACTACCGGCCAAATTCAAAATGACTGAGCAAAAATGGCTGAATCGGTTTATCTTCTTGGAAAGTGTGGCCGGTGTCCCTGGGATGGTGGGCGGTATGCTGCGACATCTCCGTAGTCTTCGCAAGATGAAGAGAGATAATGGATGGTACGTCAATTATGCAAATTAGGATCCAAGATCCTAACATATTGCGTCAATGCTAACCTAAATCCTTTGATCTAGGATTGAAACGTTGCTCGAAGAAGCATTCAATGAACGCATGCACCTCCTTACCTTCCTGAAACTGGCCGAACCAGGCTGGTTCATGCGCCTGATGGTTATCGGTGCCCAGGGTGTCTTTTTCAATGGCTTCTTCTTGTCATACCTGATTTCTCCACGCATCTGCCATAGATTTGTGGGATATCTGGAGGAAGAGGCCGTCATTACTTACACCCGTGCTATTGCAGAACTAGAAGAAGGCAATCTCCCGGAGTGGAATAATCTCGAATCACCCGAGATTGCGGTCAAATACTGGCGGATGCCAGAGGGTCAGCGTACGATGAGGGACCTGTTGTTGTATGTCCGCGCGGACGAAGCCAAGCATCGCGAGGTTAATCACACTCTCGCCAACCTCAAGCAGACTTACGACCCCAACCCCTACCAGATTGAGTACACCGATCCTAACATAAGTCACCCAACAAAGGGCATTGATAACCTGAAGCCAGAGGGTTGGGATCGGCAGGAAATCTTTTCGGTTGAATCGGGCAAGAAGTGAAGCATTCGAAATTTTTAACGGCGTTTCAAAAATGGTGTTTTAGGTTCAGAAAGGATCAAATAGTATCTCGTCTCTTTTTTTGCATGTACGAAGTTCCAACATATAGTATAGTAGAAGATTGCCCCTTGTACCTTGCAACGTGCCGAAGCCTGTCAAACCATGGAACGCGGGGCAACTAGACCTAACCAGGTAATTCAGAAACATCGAGGCTCTTTAGAAGTATAACAATTTTATATTGTCACTTCATAACTTCCAATTCTCAAAAAGGGGTTTCAAGGAAATGGTTTGCAAAAGTTATTTTTGGTGGAAAAGAAACATCTCTTTCAACGACATGTGGGCAGTTGACCCGCTTCCCCTTTTAGCCCCCGTTAGTCGAAACCACCCCCCCCTTTTGGCCCAAATGTGGTTTCTCGTCCGTCGATCCTGCAGGTCTCATTAAACCTCCGTCCTTTCATTAATCCATTTATATAAAAGCTGTTGCTCTTCTGAGGATCGCCCCAGCCCTGTTAACGTCACACTTCCCCCCGCAGAATAGCCTTCCGTCACTGTGAATGTTCCATTAATCTTCACGCGACTCAGATCCACCAAATCTGGCCCGGTGAAATATAGCCCACAGTGAATAATTCAAAGATGGATGCGCCACGAAATTCCATGGACTCTAAGGCGCGCATGCGAGCCTCCTCGCCGTCGCCATCTATCCCAGCAACACCAGCGATATCCTCATATTCCTCTCCAGATCGCACATTTTCCTCCGAATCTTCCCGCTCTGCCTCCTCCGCCACCTCTGCAGATGCAAGATCGTCCGTGTCAACATCTTCTCGCCGCCATGGATATACCCGTGCATTGGGGGCCGAGTTCTCGGACTCTGCCCGCCACCGCGACAGCGTCATGAGCCTCGGCAGTATCGCCCACCTACAATACTATTTTGCCCGGACGGGCTTACTGGACGGGAAGAGCGGGAGGGGCCGTGAGTGGGAAAAGGACAAGAAAAACAAAAATAATGTGCCCCGGGTCCTGATCACCCCCAATCAACGACACATAAATGATGACCTGGTCGCGAGCCCGACAGATATGGCAGATCCGGAGGGTGAATACGAAGATGAAGACGCCGAGGTGATGCTGCCGCCTACAGTCAGCACATACAGCATCAAAACGCATCACATTCCCCCTCCGCCAGATCTAATTTTCTTGCGCCGGCAGCTGACGCTCGCGCTGGATAAGGCAGAGACTAATATTGAGGCAATTGAAAATGGCGCGGAGCCCCCTCCTCGCCCAATCCTCCGGTCGAGTCTTTCCCCGGGTGATATCCCTGAAGATGATCCATCCGGGCAAGTCCCGACCCCGATGAATAAGGAGGAAGCGCAGGGCATGTGCATCCTGGACGATGTTACGAATGCAATCCGCGCAGCCAAAATCTATTATACCACCCATGAGAAGCCAGAGCGCCTAGCAACAATAAAGAGTGAACGGGAAATCCGCAAGGAACTTTTTGACGTCCTGGAAGTTTTGAAGCGGTGGGCTGCGCGGCATTTTGCCAGCGGCCTGCGTGAGGAGGAACGTGGGCGAATTCAGGGGTGGATCGCGGCCGTGCGTACCATGCTGGTCCGCGAGAAAGCGCTGGAAGACCTTGAAGCCCAAGAGCGAGAGAACTGGGATTGGGCTGCTGGCGATTGGAGAGGTCGTGAGCGCTCACGCGAGGAATCCTTCCTACGAAGCTTATTGCCTGGCGGTGACTCCTTGCCGACCTGGACACCCGTTGAGGAGGCTCCCGAGGATTCCCTTCCCACCGCGTTTCTTGATAGATTCCGGGACGGACGTGCCTTGGTCCAGTTACACAACCTTGCGATCAAGAAGTCGAAACGCCAATTTGGGGAGATTACGGCTTACCACCTGGATATTGCCAAGCCATACCGGCAGACTGAGAATCTTCAGTTCTGGGTAAAAGCTGCACAACTCCGGTGGGAGCTCAAGTTGGATGTGGATGTTATGGGTGTTGTACAGAATAGTGGCATTGCCGCCTGGAAGCAGTTCGATACTGCACTGCTGGCTTGGTGTAAAACTGTTCGTGAAGAGTTGGTGCGCGATTGGCAGGCGGCTAACCCTGGGCGACCCCCAAGTGCTGGGCTGATTTGAGGCTATTGAAGGCTCGGAAGTTCATATTTGCGTCTCGGTTATTTCTTTTTTCTCTTTGATATCTTTATGGGCACTTGATACCCCTGAATTGTCGCCGACTATTCTGCCTATCTCCGCATATAATTTTTTGGTTTTTCTTGGTTTCTTTTGGAATTGTATTCATATATCTTATTTTTGTTTCATTCCATAGACGCGTACGTGCATCAAAGCTTTGTACATTCATTCCCCTGTCTTAATTTTGTGCTCAGTCTACGTTGGGACATGTGGCTGATCTAAATATGCAAATAGGGGACTAACTCCTTTGGGCGTTAAATCTTTTTATAATTAAGGCATGGAGTATGAGTAGTTCAACCTGACCTCGTGCATAGAAGATGTACGATATGATATATGTACAATATAAAATAGTAGGAATTAGAATGATATATGTGTTAACAGGAACAGATCCTTTTCTAACTGAAACCATTTAAAAAAGAAAATAACAAAAAGCAAAACAAAAATGAAATGATTTCATCTCGCTGATCCCCTTGAATTACATACCGAGGAGGTACATTAGGCCCCATAGTTAATAGTACGGGGCTAGAGGTACCCCCATTCTGCAGAGTAAACGGCCATACATGGCCACTTTATCCCTCTTTTTGTTTCAACAGTTGCTGCCCGATATCTCCCTCAAATTCATGAGACATTGCATCTAGAACATCTACTAGTTCTTGTCATGTAGCAGATTTTCTTTCCGACACTTTGAACAGCCAAAAAGCCAGCCTTATACCGTGAGAAGGGGTTTCCCTGTTACCGGGCGCCGAACAAGACGAAACATTCCTTGTATCCCTGTCTGAACCACGTCCTTTGGTCCTTTTGCTCTTTCAATCCCCCCAGGGCCTGTCTCCATGCATGCCACAGCCGACAGTCCAACTTTTGCGACCGATCTCGCGACGCATCCTCCAAATAACGCCGCAACACCTACATCCCCCCCGTCGCTCACCCCCGCGCTCTCCGTCTCTCCAAATGATTCCGGCACCTCCACCCTCCGACGCTTGAAGTCCAAATCATCCCTGTGGAGCTTAGGAAGCAGTAACAACGAAGAAGAACCTGTCCCTACTGAGCCGACCAGCGCCGGCCGAACATCCATCCTCCGCCGACTTTCTCCCGCCCTCGCCGCTCGGGTCAAACTGCTGGACAGCAGTAATAAGTCCACGGTGCAGAACCGGCATGCCAATGCAGTCGGTCGGATCCCCGAAGAGCACCTGAAGGAGCTTGATAATCTTCACCAGGATCTGTCGATCAAGGTAAAGAGGAAAGGCCAGGCGTGGAATGGTGCAATATCACCCGGAGAAACCCAGTTCAAGCGGAGCGCGTCGAACCAGCTGGAGCTACCCCACCAGGATATCCTTCGAGAAATTGCAGACGCGCAAAGAGAGAGCCCGGACTTATCCGAAGCAGTCGTGGACGGTCCTGAACTGCCCACTCTAGCTACCACTGTTGTTCCGGTGACTGCCCAGCCTGTGGAAAACATCAGCCCACCCACGCCTATGTCTGTCGCCGAGCCGGTTCTCGCGCAGCAGCGCGCAGACCCCATGTCGAACATACAAGGTCCCAATAATGCTCAAGATGACCGAACTGACTTCGAGAAATATGTTGAGGATACCGCACGAAGAGAGGAGCGGTCTGCTGAAGAGGAGTCGGCTCCAAAACCCCCTCCCAAAGACTCGCCTCCCGCAGACGCCGTGCACTCGCGTTCTTCATCCACCTCCAACTCGCAATCATATTTCAACCCAATGGGTTTGCAGCGCGCAGACTCAATATACTCTTTCTCCCGTGCTTCCTTCAGTAACCAGCTCTCGCAACTAACCTCTATCCCTCTCCCACAACCAGCTTCGCTCGAGGCAAGCATCGAAAACATTTCCACGGCTTTGTCTGCGGTTCGGGCATTGAACGGCGCCGCAGAGCAAATTCAGATTTGGATTAAGAAGGCCTCAGATGTGCTGAGTGGCTTGGATTCTGAAGATGACGTGGAATGGGCTGCGGCTGGCGGCCGGGAAGGGCTGGACGAAGTCGATAAAGCAATCACGCGTTTCGAATCCCTGGTTAATGTGTATGTTAGGGCCATTGAGAATGTCCAACATCGAGACGACATTGCCAATGTGGACGCGGATAACTTGAACACCATCGTTAGCCAGATGGAGAGCATTCTAGCAAACTGGACTCAGATCAAGAAAAAACTGAGAGGGGTAAAAGAGCAAGTGGAGCTAGCAATGGAGTGGGAAGAGCTTTGGTCAAACGTGTTAGGTGATGTGGGCGTGGAAGTCGACAACCTGAGCGCGTTGATATTTGAGATGGAAGAGAAGCGACATCAAGCGTTGATGGATACAGGCGAGACCAGTGGCGGGCTTGACATTAATGAGCTGGAGACGATTGTGGAAGAGTCCCCCTCCAAAGGCCGCGGACATACGCAGAAACGTCTGAGTATTGGACCTCTCTTGGCCTCGGCGTCTACTACCCCCGTTATCAAAACACCGCAGGACGATACGAGCCACTCTAACCTCATGGCTATTTTTGCACGTATGCAGCCGTTGCGCGCATCGTTGGAATTTTTGCCCATGCGACTATCAATGTTCCAAAGCCGCGCCGAGACGATTTTCCCGAGTGCATGTGAGGAAATTGAGGACCGGCGAAAGCGCTTGCTAAAGAGCTATGAAGTTCTTGAGACCGATGCTGAAGCTCTCCTAAAGGAGTTGGCAGAAGATAAATGGATTCTCGTGTTCCGCAATGCTGGGGCCCAGGCACAGAAGATGTTCCAATCGGTTGAACGCAGCATTGGAAAGTTACAAGAAGGGCTGGAAAGCGGCATGCAGGTGCACAACCCCTCAACGTTGGCCAAGCTCATTGAAAGCTTTGAGCAGAAGAAAATGCATTATGTTCCTGCTATTGAGCGTGTGGTTTCCATCATTCAAAAGGGCGTCAACGATCGATTGACTGTCAATGGTGAAATTCTGCGCTTGCTATCTGACATGACATCCCGCATGGATGCTCTCAAGGCTAGCATCAGGGTCATGGATACTTCTCTCGAAGATGTACACATTACTAAGGGCCACCAGCTACGAGACTCTATCTCCAGCATCATGACCATGGACAGTCCAGTCACAGGCAGTGCCATCGAGACTCCGGGAAGCTCGCCTGCATCATCCGTCATTATTACCGGCAACGGGTACAAGCGCGCCTCAACGCCTTTGGGCGGCTCAAGCCGTCGCGGAAGTTCAGTCGGAAGTGCCACAGGCCGCTCGACTATGCCCCCGAACCGTCGTTATTCCAGCTTGCCGCAGCCAACAGCGAGTTACACTACTCGAAAGTCTGCAATCCCCCAACCGACAGGGCTTGTGTCTCCTACTCCGTCTTACAGATCCACAAGTTACTTCACACCGACCCCAGGTGCTCGTTCTCGTACACCAGCGCCGTCATCTACTATTCCCAATCGCCCGCGCTGGAACAACAGTACCAACCTAAATGACATGTCTTCCAGTCACAGCTCGACACTGCGGAAGTCATCTACACCACTCGCTCGTACACCCCGGCCATCCTCGACAATTCCATTCCCCGGCTCTTCCCGACGAGATACATCTGCATCCCCGATTCCCGGCGGTCTTCGATCAACCAGTCGCATCTCGAGCCGCTTTGGTTCCCGAAGTCCCAGTCGGAACGTGTCCTCTCCCACACCAGCGCGGCCCTCGCTCCTCGACCCACCGCCGTACAGCCGGCTCCATCGACCGTCAGGGATGTCGAGCACACCTCGCAGTCGCCAGAGCTTTGCGGGCCCGCCCACAGCTTTCAGTCGAAGTGTATCAGGAACTAAGGATGGTATGGAGAGCCCAAGCAAATCGTCACGGCCAGGTACATCGCTAGGCCATTCCAGCAACAGGCGAACCAGTCTACTCCCTGTTCCCAGGCGTGAGAAAGAGCCAGCAACCCCGAAACCAGTGGATACACGTCCACGGTGGCGCTAAAGGCAAGTGAGTTGTGTATCGCCCTTCCGTGGCTACATCTCTTATGCCCATAGCCCTCATCATCTGCTCTTTCTCATTCCTCCATCATCCTTACACTTCTACGATCTTGTTTTATCTATTTTTTTGTGCATTACACCCCTTCCCGGTTCAATCTCGATTTCCAAATCGGTGTTAAGTCAGAAGGGGAGTCATCTTGAGTCAGGTTTTGCGTGATATCCCCATTGTTTGCATGGTATGGTCTGAGCGTTGGGGTCATCTGTTTCCCAGTTTATTTTCTCTTTTGATCTCATTATCACTCTTCTCTTCCCTGTGAATATTATTCCTTGTAGTTTTATCTAGTTCTATCTTTGATCTTGAAGATGAAATTATTGTTCATTGTACTTCGTAGTATGTTCATTCATATCAACACGATCCTCTATACTTGAAACGGCCATTCAAACATGACTTTATATGTGAAACATGATGGACAGTTCAGATTAAAACTGAAACTTGCCATTTTAATTTCCCAGCTCACGTCCAAAAATCAACGCATCCACCAAGTCCTCGCTATTCGCCAACCGCGCAGCTTTAGGGACCCGTCCAATAACACTAAACCCTAGCTTCTCCCAGATACGGATAGAAGCCGGGTTATTGGCAAAGACCAGGTTGAAGACAGAATATGTATATCCCTACAAGAAGTTAGCATTGTTATGTATCTGCTTGAGCAGCCGGGTATAAAACGAACCAATCTCGGCGCAAATTCCAGGTAGGCTTCGCCCATAGCCTGTCCAACACCCTTTCCACGTGCGGCAGTGGTGGTGAGAAAGCCTCCATTGCAGTTGTGGGAACAGCGGCCTATTATAGTTAGTCTTATATTTCTATATTTATTTAAATTTGATAAACCACATACCAGGATAGTTAGGCTTGATATAAAAAGTTCCCATACAAACATTCTCCCAATCCCTCCCTTCCCTTAGGCCCTCGCCCTCATCGTCTAAGATCGCCAGAGCTGCAAACGTCCCGAACCAGTAGTCAGCGAATTGATCCAGCGCCATCGGCTGTTCCATGGGGTATGTCCCGCCGCGGAGAATCTCCGCGGTGAACTCTGAGTGCAGGAATTTGATCAGGTCTTTTGGGATAGTTTGCGGTCCTCCTGTAATGGGGTAGATCGTCATCGGTGCGGAGGAGGACTTTGGGAGGGTGGTTTTCCTTGCTGTTAGGGTCGGCGCTGCATCTGTGTGTGTTTTTGGTGGGGGATTGCGGGTTGAGGGATCTTCCAGGATGGAGGGCATTTTGGGTGAATAGAGTTCTTTTTAGGATGTGTGGATTGAGATTGGATTGGGGATAAGGTATATGTGTGATATGACCTTAATTGGACAATTTTACAGTGATCAAAGGGAATTTGGTGGTTGATATACCCTCTTCTCCATCTCCATATCGGTATCGGAGCCGATTTTGCATGAGTCAGCTTGTTATTGGTAGGGCGTTCTCCACTGATGTTGGAGTAGGTTCGGGTTCCTCTGCTATGTGCTGGAACATGATAGAACACTTGAAGGATCTAAGGTTGAGCTGTTTCTTTGTATACTCCGAGATCACCTCGTCAATTGCCGTGTGAAATTTGCCCAGGTATATCTCTCGGAGTTGTTCCGCAATCTACCATTATAAGGTTTCCATGGGCATAGAAAGATCATACTCCAATGTGGATATATAAAGTAGAGACCTGAATTTTCGTTAAATCAAGTGAGAATCTCGTCTTTTCTAATCCTACACATAATATGTACATATGGGCTGGGGGAATGGGAAATGCCTGCATATCCCATTATAGCCCTACCAGACACGCCTGACCACCCTGAGATCAAACATTCCGTATTCGATGATCAGTTTAGCTTGATGGGGCAGCGGGTACTTCATTGTTTGAAGTTCATATAATCAAGTCTCCTCGTGGTAGTGTTGACCTCGGTCCAATGCAATCGATAGAGAACTCATTGATCCTCTCCCTCTCCCTCCTTCTTCAAAGCCTGCATAAGCTCGAGTAACTGTCCAAGTTGCTGATCTGTAATGAAAACAAACGTTAACAATTTGATCAACCGAGAGAGAGCACAAACAACAGTCAAAAACATACCACTCATCTTATCCAGCTTGGCCTTGTCCAGCTTATCTCCTGCCCATTGATCACCCTCCAACTTCTGCGCGTATAGCTGCCACTCAGTCAAGAATCCGATCTATTAGTGTCGATGTTAGTGACTGCAACAAGTCTTTCCCCTTCCATGCTTTCCCTTCTCTTCAACTCGGTATAACAACGCAAGACAAGAATAAACATACAATATGCAATGGGTTCTCCACACCCCGATGCGCACGGAACTCATTCTTCACATAAGAATCGCCCAAGACGCGCATCTCGGGATCGAGTTTGCGATGGACGCGTAGAATGCGCCGGTAAAGCTGTAGCGGCGGGAGGAGGGCGAGAGCCTCACTGAGGCTGGACTTGGAGCCGATTGAGGCCGGCGTGGCCATGAGTAAACGCTGAGCAATCCGCATCTTGAATATTTGGGAGGTTTAGGGAAGAGGGTGATATGACATAATTCTGGGGATTTTCGAGGCAAAGGCGGCGAAGAGAACGCGCGAATCAAAAGGTCGGGATGTCTCGGGATCTTGAAAGATTTATAGCCTTGGTTTTATCTTCTCATTTGCTGATACTTCTATTTTATATTCCATATATTCTAAGTGCATTGATTCTTCTTGTGTCTGAAATCTGTGATCGCTTCAGATAAAGATCGTGCACTCTGCATATAATCTCGAGATAACCCCACTATCTCCAAGAACATACACACCATGCTTCCCACACCAGATACTTCACATGTGTCCTTTGACACCATATACGAGCCATCTGAGGACTCATACCTCTTTCTAGACACATTATCATCGGCATCTGAATCAAAATGGCTCTCTGAACGATTCCCAAAGAACCAAGAAGCATCACCACTAGTCGTCGAAGTAGGCACAGGCTCTGGTGTTGTGCTAGCCTTCACAGCCGCACAGTCTCAACAGATCTTCGGCCGACGTGATATTCTCACACTAGGAACTGATGTGAACCGCAATGCTTGCATCGCTACGCTGAAGACCGCAACGACAGCCATTGAGGCTGAACAGCAGCCATCGCAATCAGTGCACATATCTTCATTGACAGCCGATCTTTGTGCACCTCTTCGCCCTGGCTGCGTTGATGTGCTCCTTTTCAACCCACCTTATGTTCCGACTGAGGATCTACCGCGTCTGCCTTCTGCGGCGGAAAATGACCCTGCTGTTTCAGAGGCCATGTCTCGCTCTGCTAAGTTTGATAATGACTCGTACTTTTTGTCATTGACCTATGCTGGCGGGGCGGATGGTATGGAAACTACGGATAGGCTGCTTGATGCTATTCCTGGCGTGTTGTCAGTACGTGGTGTGGCTTATGTCTTACTTTGTAAGCAGAACCGGCCTGATGAGGTTATGAAGCGCATCCGTGGCTGGGGTGGTTGGCAGGCTGAGACAGCGGGGTCGAGTGGCATGCAGGCTGGATGGGAGAAATTGATTATTGTGAGGATATGGAGAAAGGACAGCTCATGAATAGATAAATTGAACAACGATGATACCATTTGCGAATTGATGAAAAGCAAGAAATAAGAAGACTCACACACACACACACACACATTAACTAACTGGTAGTTCACAATTGTGAAAATCATTCCCGTTCCCACTCGATGTACCGCTCAAGGCCAGTAGCGCCGGATGCCAGGAGGATTTCAAACACCTGCTGGGCAGGGTGTTTTCCAGGTCGCATTGGCCAGTGGGGCACGACTGTACTCTTTTCTCTTATCTTCAATCCGTATCTTGCGAGTGCATCAAACTTTGCGGCCTTCTTGTAAAGATCGAACAATTTGGTGACATCGCGGAAAAAAGTGCTTGCTAACAAAGACTTCAGATAGTCAGCATCATTGCGACTCGTTGATTTAGCCTGTGGGATGTATTTTGCAACACGAGTTAGTTCGGTATCAATTGATTCACCAGTCCACATGGCCTCAATGTCGCGGACAAGGAGGACAAGCAGCATGGCCTTCGGGTTTAGAATCTTCGGCTTCAGTAAGTGGCCAAATAGGGAGAGGACGTTTTCGATGCGAAGGATCTCGCTTTCCGCAGTTGCGTATGTCTATATTGCATTAGTATCTTTTGAAGAACATATCCATCCCCAAAACGGTGATCTGAGGAGGTCAAGGTGATGAAAATACCTCAATTCTGTCAAATATTACACATTCATCTTGCTGATCGAAATATATCGGCAACTTCTGTAAATCGATAGAAATAAGTCGAATGCTAATATCTCGCTTCGCAATTTGGCGACAGAAACGTAAGAGAGTCTCTCGGAGATGGATGAATATCAAACCGTACAGATCATTCCTTGCAGAATAATTAGCAGTGTATGATCCATTACATATTTCCAGGAGGCTCCAGCTAGTGCGTGGATCTGCAGTGTCTGGCATAGGCCAAGCATGGCTATCATGGAATAGTGTCCTAGTTATGTTAGTTGCCTGATGAGTAAAATGGGAGTTGGAGATACTAACGGGTTAGGGGTGTCGAATTCTTCCCGTGAGCATCCAAAGGGTAACAATATGCCATCAGCGCGGAACTTTACCGAGGAAACACGCCAATATCGGGGTTGCGTGTATAGGAACCTATGGATTTCATCCTTTCTGCTGAGCGCCAGGGTGACTTCGTGTCGATTCTCGGCAGCCGTGGTAGCAGAGAGGCGAGGAGGAACCTCAAGGTATTTTCGAAGACGGTGCCACTCCTCTCTCGGAAGTTCGATACATAGGGATGCTTTGTTCTTCTTGCACACCATTTCGTAAACCGGGACGTAAGGTTCGTAGTCAGCTGGAACGCAGACTTCATGAATCAATGGCAGGATCTTCGCTCGAAGTGCTGCAAGAACAGATGAGGGGATCAAAGCTGAATACCACAAGTGAATCATAATAGGAGCGGCCTCCTCTGGTGGAAAATGAAAAGCTACTAAAACAAGGATGATATTCTGAGTGAAAATCTCGGGGTGGATGCCATTCATCACCATTTCACATTGTCCGGAATACATATCTGGCAGACGAGCGATTGTCTCGACCATATTTCGAATATCGTGCGATGCTATTAATAATGATGTTAGTCAAAAGAACCGGTCATTGGACCACAGATAGACTCTTACCTGCGAACAGAATACTGAGCTTGGGAGGCGCATCCTGGCCTTCATTTGCATCCAGTTTTAGCAAATCCACTGCTGGCATGGATCCCCACCACGATATTTTGCCTTTGTTCGTGTTCGGTTCATACGGGTCGCTTTCCTTGCGGAAAGTTGGCACTCGGTCTGCTGTATGCCAGTGTGGTTTCCATGACTCCTGTGTGAAGATGTTCTTACAGTCTTTCTCGTGCGTGGGCCAATGCTCATTTTGACATTCTTCGCTGCAGTACTGTTTTAATATTGGTTAGAGCATGATGCAGGGCTTTGAGGAGATCATAGAGTTTGCGACTGACCACAACTAATAAGCAACGGCTGCAGGCCTTGTTCGCCTTGGAGGTGTTATTGGGACATGGCGAATTTACGTTATTCGCACAGAATGCGGGATTCAGGAGCTTGTCGAATCTCGGCATGATGAAAGTAAGTTATTCAGTAAGATTTTCGAAGCATGAAACGCGCAACTGAGGATGGTTGAAAAGAAAGAACGCGACAAAAGAATAAACACCTGGAGAAACTAGATTGCCACCTTTGATAATGCTGCAAATCCTCATCACCGCCGGGCTCATATCATAATAACAAACATTGTCGGTGGTGAAGAAGGAAGGCGCGATTTATACGATCGCTAAACAAACATGAGCTCGCCTCCTTCGTGCTCATCCTAAGATCAATCGCAAGCTTGAACTTGGGTTTGCGATTTATTCAATTGCTGGCTGAAATACTCTCTATTTCACGATCAGCTCATATCTAACATTGGCTGGATATTCTGTGTATCTCCATTGTCTTGAGATCTCTAGAGCTCGAGATGTCCCAAAATAGTATGGTAGGAAGAATGACTATGCTATTTCCAAGGGGCGCAGTTTTGTTCAGTCTGTTATAGTGGGAAGACCCAATCAGTAATGCACATGTTAAAAATTCCCAATCTTACAGTATAAATCCATTGTTTCGCCGTATGCATGATATAGTCCTGGAGTATCAATGTTGAGGTTTGTTGTTCGATATGGATAGTTGCCTGAGGCGACGATGAAGTAATCGAATGTTAGCACTAAACCCGAAAGGGCATTCGTGCAACGTCGACCCTGCCATCTAATCGGGAGCCCTCAAGCCCATTGTTCTCCCATAAATTCCTAATTTGGGTGTGGTGCTTGTTTTCTGTTTGTTCTCCTTTTTTTTGGGGTTGTGCCAGTTTGCCTGCTCCGCCTGAACCACGCTCGTTTCTCAACTGAGGAGCCGATTGACAGCACCGTCCAGCCCACCTCTACCAACAACCCGGGGTGCAGCAGCTCCTCGTAGGGCAAGCCGACTTTAACTTGTACTGACCTCCTTCCAATGTCCTGACCTCATCCTATAGGACTTGACTACCGCGCTACAAACAGTCAACGGGACACTTTCATTTCGGGGGATCAGCCTATCGTGGTCGCCAAGCAGCTCATACGTGGAAGAGCTATAGTCTATGGCGGAGAACAAGCGCCAAGTTTCAGTAAAAGCCTCTGCGCAGAAACAATCTGGTAACGCAGTAGGCTCAGGGATGGCGACACCCATAGTGCCCTTGGAGGCAGCACTGAGCGGGGCGATCGGTGCCCGGTGAGTCTTATCTCCCAACGATGGTGTATACATAGTTGCAGCGCTGACCTATTCTGTTCTCTTGTCTTAGCGTGCGTATTACCACCGCGCAGCCACTCCAGTCGGTTTTTGAAGGTACACTGTTCACAGTATGCCCAATCACCAACCTCGTGGCCGTCAACACGGCCCCCGCACCCAACCCCGGTGATGCCAAACAGGCACAAAACGGCGACTACCGTGTGGTCCCTGTCTCGCGCATCCAGCACTTCCAGCTCCTCGCCCTCGCCCCGCCCTCGAACTCCATCTCGTCCTCGTTCACGGATGCACACCCCACCATTCAGGCACTCGATACCCGTGCGCTCAAGGCCCGTGAGTCAAAGGCCATCGGCGAAGCACTCGACCGTGAGGCGCGTCGTGGTAAGGGCGTCACTACTCAGGCGCAGGATCTATTCGATGCTTTCAGTCGCACTATGCCTGCGCGATGGAACGGCCACAATATTATCGTCGCCGATGCTGTGACAATTGCTGCTCCTTACCGTGTTGACGATTGCCGTTCGATTGTGGAGGGCGATACGGCTGCTCTTGCTCGAGTGCGCAAGGTGGTATGTTATCTAATTACTTCAGTCATCAGTCGCAAAACAAAGCTAATGGCGTGGAACCTAGCTCGAGATGGAGCGCAAGAAGATTGAGCTTCGCAATGCCAGTGCCACAATCGGCTCGACTAGCACCTTCTCTCGCCACCCTAGTGTCCCTAACGACCAGCGCAAAGGTGGATAATGCGCCCAATCACGCAAATACCAGAAACACGGTCTTCCGATGAATTGTGGATAGGTCTGGCGTCGATTCGAGCGTCTTAGTGGCGCTTGATCAACAAAATTGATGGAAATACCCAAGCGAGAAAAAAACGATATTGCAATGGGATAGAGATGATTCGAAAGCGGATCCGACGGGACACTGCGCGTTCTTGACCGCTTGTGCTTGGGAAATGGCATGCCTTATTAAGGAACTATATCTGCTTGCCATGCAAGTTGGACCGTTTGCGTTGCTGCCAACTGATTTGCCTCGTGTCTCGCTCTTTGGCGGGTCGGTGCGCTCAAGCTGAGAATACTAGGCAATCCATAGTAACCTCAATTGCTACAACACTTTATTAGGACAATGATATTGCACTCTTCAAACATTTGAACTTCTGTAAATGCGTCCTATTTTGATAAAGTAAAGACTCATTTCAGGTATTGACAAACATGGGAATCACATAGAAAACAAGAAAGTTCGCTTAGCTTTCCGCAACTGGAACTCTCCCAGGAACGACTTCACATACTGTCCCCACAAACCCTTCTAACCCTGACATAGACGCCATCCCAGAAGCAGAGCTAGAGCCAGGTGCAGATGCTACCGTAGCCCCAGATTGAGACGGGGCAGACGCCATGGAAACACCAGGCATAACGAGAATCTGCGATCCAAGTTCCACCCATTCAACAGACGATACCAGCGCAAAAGTAATCTTGACGTCCTCTTTCAGGGCTTCTGCAGAAGAAGCAGCTCCGACAATGGAGGCAGAGGCAGCGCCAGACATTACTTTGCTGATATCCGTTGTCGATGGACGGCGGCGAACTATATCACCTGCGCCGTCCATGCTATTGGTTGTTGTAGCATTAGTGTTTGATTTCTCACCAGGATAAGGATCGCCGTCAAAGCTGAAGAATTCAGGCTCTGATGGAGAAGGCGGCTCGGAAGATATTTCCTCGCCAGACCCAGTTAACGCCATGCAAATGACACGGACAGTAGCGCGAATGTTGGCGATGTAAGCAATAGCGTTACCGCCAAGCAAGAGCGGGGGTGAATTTGGAGCCGAGAACTCGGTAGACCGGAAGGTGGCGGTAAAGCCCGTGTGGAAGGGTAGGGCTAATAATGAGGAGCCAGGCGAGGTGCCATCCGACGAGAGTGGGGCGTGGAAGTTGGAGAGAATCATGCCCTTGCGGATCCGGCCGAAACGGGGTAGACGGCCATCCTCTGAAACGCCGATGGGTTCAATCCCGATGGTTCCGACTTGGTCTCTAATTAGGCGACGTACAGGAAGTCGGAGATCTCTTACACTGACAACGCGGATACGTTGCCATCTTGCTTGTGAATCCTTGCCGGATAATGAGGTCTGCGGGAAGGATGCCGGAAGATCACCCGAGGGGCCGGGCCCACTGCGGGACAGGGAGCCTCCGGGTGGTTGGGGCTCATTGCCTTGGTCATTTGGGACATCCACTAAGATGGGGCCAATGACCATTTCATCGCCGATGGAAATAGTTCCGCGACGAACTAGCCCGCAGAGAACCATACCGCGGTTTTCTTGGCCGCCCCTCTCCGAGTCTAGTGAATAGACTTTGGAGGGAGGGATTGCAAACACTTCATCCACATCGAAGATGTTGGCTGAGTTAAGAGAGGGCATTGGCAGGCCTTTAGGGATGTGAAGAGTTCTCTGAGGGGGTCGTGTGGGAATGGGAAGAGATCGGAGGAAGGCATGGAGTTTTCCAATACCAGAGCCATCCACGGCACTGGTGACTATGATGGGTACGGTGTGTGTCCACTTCCCATCAGCTGTCACCAGGACTTTCTGTACTTGGGTGCTATCCAATGTGCTAACTTGCTGGAGGTCAAGTGGTTTGTCGCCTGCAGGCGATGCAGGTAGCATTGCAGGTTGTTGTCCGGCTGTTTTAAGCGCGGATAGAACTCTTCCAAGATTGTCTCGCAGTCCGCTGCGGGAAGCAAGGTCCAATTTGGTAATGACAATCAACACAGGAACCTCTAATTTCAGGCAAAGTTCTAGATATGATAAACACATATCAATTTCTGATGGTTCGGTTCCTGCCTGCTCGCTGCTGGGCATCTCACTGCCGCAATTGGCTGGAATGCAAAGCATCACATAATGTGGAGCCCAGCTGACAAGTCCTCTCAGGGTAGATTTCAAATATCGAACAGAGCCTGGTAAATCGGACACAAAAGCCAAACGACCTCCCTTCGAAGCGGCATGGATATCATCCCAGCCGGCAACATTACCGGAGGCGTAGTTAATCACAGTCGGCGGAACCTCATCCGTGTATCCAATCAGTTCCTGCGCAACCGAACTGGTAATGCCCGATGAGATTTCGTGTCGATGCTTGAGCAAACTTAGCCTGCTTTTGCCTCTTCCATTGTCAAGCGTAGACGAAGTCAATGTACCCAGCAAAGAAGATTTTCCCGCGGTGCTTGGACCTGCGAGAGAAATGCGAATCTGCTCTGTATGGGAGTAGTCCTGATCCAAGACTGACGTTTTGCCGGATTTTGAGTGTGCATCGGTTTCTGTGTCATGCTTGGACTTGATCGGAGAGATATTGTAAAAGTCCAGATCGGGACTAACCAGAGCCTCGGCGACCCAGAGATCTTCGGTGTTGTTAATGGTTTGCTCCGCAGTTGCAGCTGGCAAGACATCGGTGTTGTTTGTAGTTTGCTCCACAGTTATAGATGGTAAGACTTCAGTGTTGTTTGTGGTTTGCTCAACAGTTGCAGCTGGCAAGACCTCGGTCCATTCACACTTCCCAACCACAACTCGGCGAAGAATCTCAACCTTGCAGCCAAGACTAGCAGCCATAGCCTGCAGGTTATTCACGCTCTCCTCCAATTCGTCTTGCGTAAGGCCTACGAAAGTGCCGTCATCGCCAACACCGATCTCATACAAAGCACCTTGACTCTCCTCAAGACCGGGAAGCAAGCGGGCGGGTTTTGAGGGTACACCCAATTCCAGGGCTGCCTCGGGAATGACAGGTATCACAAGGTTAGAGGTAGTGGATGAGTGAAAAGGCGACGATTGTTGCAAACGCCACAATAACTGGGTAGTCAACCCCTGTAGTCGTTGATGGCGACTCTGGCTAGACTTGGCTTGCATAGGTTTGGGGGTTGATTCCACGCCCGGAGAGGCAGAGATAGGTGCGGTGGGCATAACGCGGTAATTGTGATGGTACGAACCCGCTATTACATGCCCAGTCGACATTGAAAGATAGGGGCGTCTAGGTCGAAGCAGAAGATGCACTTTGTACTCAGTGGGACCCTCTTGGGGCTCGGGCTCCAATTTGGATATTCCATAATTGGATAATAAGTCAGGGTTGACGCGTAGGGGATTGGCACTGGAACGCGTGCGGATAGCTAAACCCCGACTACCGGACGTATTGATTTGGGGAGTCGATGATCCCGACGTTGACCACGGTGATGACACCCGAGGTGGGTCAGGGTCATAGGTGAAGATGGATGCCATGGGCACTGTTACAATTCAAACCGGCAACAAAGATATTGGTAATAGGCACGAATATGGTAAATTATGCACTTCTAAAAAGACTCGAGAAAAATAAAGCATTGTTGTAGAATTGAATGATCTGCTGAGGTGTGTAGTTCAACTGACTCACAAATGGCACGGGGCCGAAGCATCACGTGGCTATTTATCCGATGCCAAGAAATTGTATGTAAGAGAAGTTCTGTTAGGCCTCTTTTTCTCTCAGAGAATTTGCCTCCAAATATATATACATTATAAGGAATCCAGTTCCAGAGCTGGGCGCCTTCGCTTTAACGCCGAAATGAAAATTGTCCGTATGTCTACTCAGCAGATGATTCCCTGCCTGAGCTTTTGCACTTGCCCTGCGCAACATGAATGTTGCGGGCTGTCGTACGTGTAAATACTGCACCGCATACTGGGCATTCTGCTTTAGCCACCACTCCTGATTTTTCTCGTTGGTGGCGGAGGAGATTGCTGAATGTTGAGAACTCACGACCGTTACAGCCATGGTCCCAGCATTGCGGTCGCGGTCGCAAGCTGAGTACTCTGACTGGATGATCAGAATCTGTAGCAGCAGCGGGTTCTGGTGAAGAATAAACTGGCTCGGGGGCGGACATCGATGGCTGAGAGCTGGTGGAGGCAGGGTGCGGTCTAGTGTTTCGGTTTCCGGTCAGTATGCTACAGTCTTCGGGTTTATCAACACAACTCACGGAATGGCTGATGTGTCGGGGAAGTAGTAGGCAGGGTTCATCATATAAGGAGAACTACCACTAAATGTCAGTAACCAGGTCATTCGATCATTTATGCTTGGAACGGTTCATTCGACATACGAGGTCATGAGAGGCTGCCCGGGCTGAGGAGTACCCGAAATGGATTGAGGGTGAAAGGGGCGGGCTATTGGTGGACTGAATTGGCAATGTCAGTCTTTTCCGAGGTCAGGTAATCAATCGGCTTACCTTCGAGCTTGACTGTGACGTGGAGCGTTGCCAGGTGCTGCGGAATAAGATGCCGGCATCTGATGTTCTTGCTGTTGGTATGCATGCATTGGCATGTTTGGATGACTGGGATAGCCCATCGGATAGCTTGATGGAGGGTATGACGGATGTGAAGATGGAAATGATGGACTCATTTGCCCTGATGGCGGTTGCAAGGGCTGGTAAGGCCGGTTTGCCCACGCATATTCTAAAAGCGTCAGTGAAAACCCCTTAAACCACACTTGGGGCTTCGTACGATGAGTATTCTGCTGCATTGGGCCAGCAAAATAAGTGTCTGATACTATTGACATGGGGTATGATGAGATGCCAAGGCCGCTGCTGAGGGGATGCCCTAGTCAGCACAGAGTCTGGGTCATTTCTCATGACAATTTAGCTTGACGTACCGTGAATCTTCCGATTCAATTTCTTCTTTAATGACAGTTGTGTCCTCAATAGAAGACTGGGCTGTTGACCTCTTGGATGGGTAGTTCAACCCTGGCAGAGTGTGAGGCTGACCTGTATTGGTATCCAGCGTTGTTGAATGATGCGGGGGAAGTGCCAGTTCAAAGGCTTGGGTCGATTGTGGACTCCCTTGTACAGAGATAGAACTCTGAATGGACTGAATGGGCCACTGAGAGTCTGGTCCAGGGAGATTGCCTGAAAAGTCACTAGCCTCCACTGGCTGGATTAGCGGAGACAAGAGCCTCACGTTCGATTGTGAGTCTGAGGGTAGATTTGATTGATTCCTGCGGTGAGAAAATGGTTCCTGTGAGCCAGAGGGTCCAGGGAACATTAGGAACTATATAGGTCCCGGACCTGTGAGATTGCAAGCATTGAGGAAGAGGGGGCCAAAATCAAGTATAAGGGGATAGGCGGCACTGGTAAGAGAAAGTCAACATACAGTTGTCTCAATTAAGTATGTATCCTGTCGATATGAAAGCTTTTTTTTTCTGTTTCAATTGGGGGCACGGAAAGGGCGCGATGAAGTATTTAAAAGCCCATATCTAACAATGGGCGTTTACTAGTGACCCCCGCAATCGTTTTATGATCTGAGAGGTCCCCGTTGGGTAGCCTTGCTGGCCCACAAGTTCAAAAACCAACAACTTCTAGATTCCCTTGTGCGCCACTTCGTGTGCCTCGATCAGGACCGGGTCTACTATGCACTTGTACCCACTACCCGCTTATTTACCGTCTTGCATCTGTAATATAAGACAATTTATTATCTTGTAGGAATCCCAGTGAGAAAAGTAAAAAGAAATAATAAAAAAAAGAAATCCTAGGATCTTCAAATGAGGTGGGCCGATGGGAACTATCACGAGCGAAAGTCGGGCTTTTTTTCGACCCCCACAAATGACGGGTAAAACAGAGGATACTATGCGGGAAAAGGTCTCGGAACTGATTGCGACTGGGGCCATAGTGCTGTACAGTAATGATCCTCTTTAACAGGGGAGTTGGCAATCTTAGGATATTTCTAGCCCCATTATAGTAAATGGGGGCGGAATGGGGGCCATGACAACTCTGGATAAGTCTAGCGCGTGACTGGATATTCCGGAATTTCACCTTCAATTCGAGAAGAAAGAGAGAAAAAAAATTGGAAATACGAAAAAACTCAGTAAGTTGAAGTCAAAGGTCCGCCATCCCCGGCCCGATGCTTGTCCCCCTATCAGTCTTGGCCCCCACAAACGCGCCGTTGGAAAAAAAAAAAAAGTAGATTTCTAGATATTGAAAGATATGACATCCACAGTTCTAATGGAAATACATTTTGTTCCTTTTTAAAAAAGAAATAAAAAGAAGAACTCAAAAAGTACCGAAGTCCCCATCCAGGTATATCAACGATAGTATTACACCCTAGGTAAATGCTAAGATTTCCAGCCCCAGAGAATCCCATTTTAGTAGGGATCTTACGCGGCTGTTTTAGCTTGAAAAATTACCTCATTTCAATGGAATGAAAGGTCTTGGATAAATGGACCAATATCCAAAATGCTGGGCCAGGCAAGTGTATCAAAATGGCAAGGCTGTAAGGAAATGGTGGATCTTGTCACAGTAAAACACAAAAAAACACAGCCAAGACATTGTAATTTGAAAAATTCATAGGTTCTCTTATTTAGCGCTTTGGAAATTTACCAATTCCCGAACTTCAGAAGGCGCCTTCCAATCCGGGCTCCACAGGGGATCCGCAGTTATATCATTTTGCTATGTACTTCTGCATTGGAGATCACTAGATCACTCTATATGCATCTATCCCTGTATATCACCCATACTGTTATATCTATAATATCACATACGGTTGAGCCTTAACCTTTCAATGCTTCTGGTTTTCGTTGATTGATCTCATTCACTGTATCTTCGGGCTTTGGGGCCTCGTCAACATTTGGATGGCCTGAGGTACTTTTTACAAGGTTGTACTATCCAGTATACCTTGCTCGCAGTATGTACTATGTAGGTGATGGCGTATTGGACCTATGATATTGGGTGAAACAACCATTTCTGTCTCGTTCGGCTGACATAAATTGCAAGTCTGCCGAAAGGTTTTCAGTCATTTTGTCAACAGCAGACGGCAGATTTGAAATATCATATACCAAGACTTGCACACCCGTTCAGTTCATGAGTTTCTGGGATTTTCCCTAAAACAAAATGATTAGTGGAGTGGTAAAGTGATGGGAGCCGTCAGTCTGCAGATACGCTGCGTTGGACATATCAACTCTGCCCAAATTCAGGTCAACAACTAAAGCGCATTAGGAGAAACGTAAACCTGGTATTCCGGTGATCCCACGTTGATCCTATGAGATACGATGCAACATTGACACACCGCTCACCTGCATATCAACTATGAGTGCATGAAAGCTGTTAAAGCTTATGGAACTTTTCCGGGTGCAAGTCACGCTGAAGTTCGCTATTTTCAGTCACATCGCCTGCTGCCAAGAATCCAAGGTTCAATTTTGCTTAGATGGCCTAGAGCCTCGACATTTCTCGACACTTGGACTAGAGGATTGGTCTGCGTTGAGCATCTCACGGAGTATATCAAACATGAAACCATAGTGGCCAATTGCTATGCCATCATCATTATAATAGATATATCCAACATGCTTAGAGAAGGTCGAGTATAGCAAGAATGAAATTCGCAACCTTGGAAGGTTCGATCGAATGTGAGGATTGCCACGTGACTTATCTCACCTGATCAGATCTTCTCTGACTCTGGTCCAACAGCATCACCAAAACGAACGCAATTTTTTATCCCCACAATCTCTAGCTACCTGCTAGTGCTTTGACAGCTCATATTAAATCGAAACCGTCCTCAGCTTACAGCTTCCTAATTCATCATGAAACTCGTCCGGTACGTGGTCACCTTTCCTGTGCGCGGCAGTCGCCAGCTCCGCTTGGCGCACCCAGCACCATCAAACCCACTCCCACTGACATCTAATGATTCTTGTAGCTTTTTGATGAAATGCGCCAATGAGACGGTTACTGTTGAATTGAAGAATGGTCAGAACCCCCGCGCAACCCCCGCAGACTCCAACCTAAAGTCCCCCCAAATATGCCAATCCTCGAAATAGGCAAAAGAACTGTCTTGCCTAACTTTGGTCCCTCATCTAGGTACAATCCTTCACGGTACTATCGTGTCTGTCTCCCCTCAGATGAACACTTCTCTCCGGGCTGTCAAGATGACCCCTAAGGGCCGTGACCCCGTTTCGCTCGACA